CACGGAATTGCCCGGTGACACATTTTTCTTCGGATGATAACAATTATGTTTAAAGCTATTTTTATCGACTGTTTTTTACCAGGATGCGGACCGGACAAACACCAAGACTCCTTATGAGGTGGATCACGAATGATGGGAATGATGTAGATTGAGGGATCCAGCTTACTGAGGCTGGAAGGGATCGCCAGCTATATAGAGCTGGCGATACAAAGAGGAGGAAGGTCTGCAAAGGAGGGGATTCTGGGAAGTGCCAGAACCGCTGTCAAAGGGGCCTGCAGGGCAAAGGACTAGCGGTCTGTGCAGCAAACGCCCAGAATCTTCTCACAGCAACCATCGAATCGAGTTGAACGAGGACTGCCGGCCTGAAGACCTGGGATACAGTCCACTATACAAGATGAGCGCCGATGAACTGGAGGCGTGCCGCCTATACATTGTCGAGAACCTCAACAAAGGCTTCATCGAGAGCAGCGCTGCGCCCTGGGCCGCACCTGTCCTGTTCGTTCCCAAGGCTAACGGGAAACTGAGGTTCTGCGTGGACTACCGGAAGTTGAACGCCATTACCAGGAAAGACAGATACCCATTGCCCTTGATCGAGGAGACGCTGTCCCGGATTTCTCAAGCGAAGTTCTTTACAAAGATCGACATTCGCCAGGCTTTCCATCGCATCAGGATGCACCCTGACGATGAGGAGTTGACAACATTCAGGACCCGATACGGGGCATACAAGTACAAGGTCCTTCCCTTTGGGTTGACAAATGGGCCTTCGACATTTCAACGGTACATCAACGATGCTCTGATGGGGTACCTGGACGACTTCTGCAGCGCGTACATTGACGATATCCTCATCTACTCCAATACGCTGGAAGAGCATAAGAGTCACGTTCTGAAAGTTCTGCAGCGCCTCGAAGCTGCCGGGCTACAGGCGGATCTAGACAAATGCGAATTCCATGTCCAAGAGACGAAATTCCTAGGGTTCGTCATCGGCGTCAACGGAATATCGGTGGATCCCGCGAAGGTCGCCGTTGTGAAGGATTGGAAAGAACCCACCACGGTGAAGGGGGTCCAGTCCTTCTTGGGGTTTTGCAACTTCTACCGGAAATTCGTGAGGGAATATGGCCGGGTGGCAAAGCCCTTGACAAGGCTGACAAAGAAGGGGGAAGCTTTTGAGTGGTCTAAAGATTGTCAGATTGCTTTTGACGAGCTGAAGAGGAGACTCCTGGAGGCTCCAGTCTTAGCCCATTTCGAGTATGGCCGGGCAACGAGAATGGAAACGGATGCTTCAGACGGTGTGCTGGCTGGTGTGTTGTCGCAAGAGCATGAAGACGGTTGGCACCCGGTGGCCTTCTATTCGGAAACTATGCAAGGAGCGGAGCATAATTACCCGATTCACGATAAGGAGATGCTGGCAGTCATGCGAGGACTTCTGTGTTGGCGGGCGGAACTCATAGGGCTTCAACAGGGGCCTTTTACCATCTTCACGGATCACGAAGCACTCAAGTATTTCAGTACAAAGAGGTTGTTGAACTCCCGGCAGGCCGCCTGGGCCGAGATTCTTTCCTAGTATAATTTTCACATTACATACCGGCCAGGGAAGGATAATGCCGCGGCGGACGCTCTGTCCAGGAAGGCGGAGGACTTGAAGACACAGAAAGACAGGAAGGACGCGCAGCGTTATATGCGCCTCTTCAAACCGCTCGAAGCGCCCGAGGGGGGGGAAGACGCGCTGCCCCGCGTCTGCACACTGGATCTGGCGGATGACAACGACACACGTTTGGCGGGGACAGGCTACAACTTGGTTGCAGATTTACTGAAGGCTAACAAGGAAGACCCGGCCCTTGAGGGCTACCGCCACAAGGCTACAGAGCAGGACTCCGGATTCACACTGCTACAGGGCCAGATCTTGCTCTACCAAGGACGACTGGTGGTGCCAGAACAGAATGATCTGAGGACACGAGCAATACGGGAATGCCATGACGGCATTGGCACCGCCCACCCCGGCCGGAACAAAACGAGACGACTGGTAGCCACGAAGTATTGGTGGCCAGGACTGTCAGGGGACGTGGACCGCTACGTGGCAAACTGCTTGATGTGCCACGCTTCTAAGCACCCACGAGACAAGACCCCGGGAGAACTACAGCCGATGGAGGTGCAGAAAAGACCGTGGCGCCGAATCGTCATTCACTTCAAGAAGATGCCCATGGATAGGCACGGATATGATAACATTTTCAGCATTATCGACCCGTTGTCTAAAGGAAGTTGGCTGATCCCCTGCCGGAGCAATATCACCGGCAAAGAAGCATGTCGCTTGTATTATCAGGGACCTTTTAGACTCCTTCGCCCCCCGCGGGAAATTGTAAGCGACCAAGGCCCCCAGTTCAAGTCGGCGTTTAGTCAAGAAATGTCTAGCATCATGGGCACCAAATGGTCCTTTGCATCGCCAGGGCACTCACAGACGGCTGGACAGGTGGAAAATCTGCATGAATATTTGGATCAGAGACTTCGCCCTTTCATCAACCATGCGCAAGACAACTGGTCTGAGTTGATCCCAGCTCTGGACTTTGCACAGAATGGCTTATACCACGAAAGTACGGGCCTGCAACCCCATGAGGTTATGTTCGGATTCCCCATGCCCGCCTTCGCAGAATGGAAGACTTTCACACCCTTAGAGGACCTCCCTACGGCGGAACGACTGTCGCGTCAGGAAGCCAGAGACGCAGCCCTTAAGATACAGGGTTATATCGAACAAGCCCGAGCCGCCATCATCCAAGCACAGCGCAAGCAAGCGATACAAGCGAACAAGCATCGGCGGGTTCCGGACTTCGATGTGGGTGACAAGGTTTCCATCATCAAGAAGAATTGGTCTACCGATGGAAGGCCTAGCGACAAATTGGACTTTCCTCAGACTAGACAAGTCTTTCAGATCATTGAGAAAATGGGACACGCTTACAAGTTGGACCTCCCCCCCAACTGGAAGGTGACAAACCAGTTCTCACCGGACCGCTTACGCCGTTACCCAGACAACCCTTTGCCAGGCCAGGCCGCCGAATCCCCTGAAGGCGAAATGATCAACGACAACGAGGAATGGGAAGTGGACCATGTTGTCGCGTCACGCGTCCACTACGGCAAGCTCGAGTACCAGGTGCAATGGCGGGGCTGGGACCCTGACCCGACATGGTGGCCTGCACGAGATTTCAAGAATGCGGCTACGAGGATTAAGGAGTTCCACGACGAAAACCCAACAGCTCCGGGACCGCCGGTGAGGTTACAGGCATGGCTCCAGGCGGCAGCGGAAGACAAGTTCTTGGAGGACGACGACGACGACGATCGCCCGGCACAACAAGGAGTGAGACGAAGATCGCCACGGGCGCGGAGGAAGTAGGCTTGGTGTTGTGGTCGTTGATTGCTGGGAGGTCGTCGGTTCGAGTGGGTGTGCGCGCACCAGATTTTTTTTTTTTTGGCAGACTCGAGGCGAGTCTTTTTTGAGGGGGGGGTGATGTGACGGCGCGGCTCAACCGCTGGTCAGCATTGCTCTCATGGCTGCATTTAGCACAGTGGACCCACCGGATCCACTGCAGGGTTCTTGGCAGCGTACAGGATTATATCCTTTGCGCCGCAGCCATTCTTTGTATTCTAGTTCTTCTTTTTCCTCATCTTTCGATCTTCATACAATAGTAGGGTCATTGACGCTTTGTCGCATTCCTTTTCCACTATTTGCCATAACAATTTCCTTATAAAAGTTAATACGGAATTTAATTCTTACCCTTCTAAAGATAATATTTTTAATTATATTATTAGTTAGAATAAATTTTTTAAGACAAAGTAAGCGAAAATGGGAAAGGTTATACTTTTAAATGAAAGAGCAGTTAATAAATGTAAAAACGGAATATTTATTATTAATGAGTAAAATACAATAATTTTTATATAAGCCGGTTACATAAGCGTTTCTCTTATGTCAGCTCTCATTGTAGATCTTGTCGTTTCTATCCTAATAACTTGTCTCGGGGCCTTTTAAACAAGTAAGATTTTTTAGAGTTTTGTCTGTTTTAGTTTAAAGAGGTTATACCTCAGCCAACTTATATAGAACAAGTCGGGTACTTTTCCCTCTTTCTCCCACGTAGTTTTGAGAGTTTGATGGGGCCTGGTCGGTGAACTATAAATACTTTAATCGAAGTACTAAAAGGGAGTGTTAGGATATTTGGATTCGGGCTAAGTACATAACCGGCTAGTTATGTCACCCGTGTATATAAAGACTAGGAGTTCTTTTATCTGTTCAGTACCTTAAATTAAGCAACAACTCTTTTCCTACATTATGCAGTTCACATGTACAACGGTGCCTACCTTTCAATATATATAAGCTCGGGTTAGACGCCATAGTCCAATAGCTGGTAGATTAGCCTAACTCTGGTCTTGCGAGGCTAGCGAACCGCTTTCTAGTATAAAGGTGATGTCGTCTTTCGTGGTCTTCGGCGGTAAACACACAAGAGCTTAGGGGAGCAAAGTCCAACAATAAAGTAAGTATATGCAACGATCAAAGCCCGAATGCGGCTCGGACAAGATCCGAGTCCGAAGCACGACGAACAAATGGAAGTAGCTGAGACCCAGTGAGAATATGGTATGAGCCTCTCGTCACTTTGAATCATTTTCGCCTCTTTCAAGTACGGATACCCGTTGGGGATTGAAGGTTAGTTCCTATCTATTTCCCCAATTCTGCACTTTTAATCTCCAACGGGTAAGGGCTAGCATAAGGTGTGAGCTATACTTAAAGCAGCTGTCCCAGTTATGAGTCTACCCAATCAACCCTTCTTCCGAGCTACTTGAAGTATCCCGAGGTACCAAGTCCACTCGTACAGCTGCCGACACCTGGCTGACAGCTGCAGCTAGCTGTCCTCTAGCTGGTGTAGATCTTGGCACACTAGGACTCTATTAGGGCTAGCTAGCCTACCAAGAGGATTTGGTAAGGTGGGGAAATCTACTCCTAATAGAGGCTCCCCGCCCGCAGCCTCAATTTTTCCACTTTGCCCCGCTTGCAGGACAGGAGGAGTTAATGAGATCTCATAATTACGGTATACACTCTTAGGTACAGCGCATTACATACTGTGATTCGGGCTTACCATCTTGCTACTGCTGCTACTGCTACTACTACTGCTGCTTTGATAAGCTGCCCTGGGCTGCTCAGTATTGACGCCACACTCTTGAGCGGGTATTTACCGCGCTAACTTACTCTAAACGGATTGAGTTATATCATTGTACGGCTAAGCTTTCACTGCTAACTCTCAGTCGCTTTTGGATCACTATTTTGCACTATGATTCAGAATGACTCATCGGGGGCACGGTCAAAGCGAATTGAGCATATTTAAGACAGAAAGCTAAGTCACCTACCAGGTCAGGTTTCCAAGACTCATAACCACACATTTCGGCAACCACTAGCATTTAATCACAATACTACTAGCATTCACAATGGCCGACAGCTCAAATCACGCCATCGTTTTCGGTGCCTCTGGCCTGATTGGCTGGGCGATTGTTAACCAGCTCCTGCGTAGTTACCCGCGTCTTAGCTCATTCTTAAAGATCACCGCTGTTACGAACCGCCCGCTCAATACTTCCGAGTCTCTGTGGCCCACGGATTCGGACCAGCCAGACCTACAGCTCGTCTCCGGTATTGACCTATGTAAGGGTGATGGGGCCACATTGGCAGATTCTTTGAAGCAGGTGGTGAAAGATATCGAATCTGTCACTCATATTTATTACTTGGGTACTTCCTCCATTCATTCATTCCCCCACTACACCACACACCTGCTATATGGAAAAACTTACCATGAGTAGTGTTTCAAGCAGTCGAGGACGACATTGAGGAGGTAGCGACCAACCGTCGTATGTTTCAGAATGTTGTCGATGCCCACACTATTCTCAGCCCCAACTTGCAATTTGTAGCATTTCCTGGTAGGACACGGGTAAGTCCACTATGTGGTATTGAAATAATCTGAACCACGTGCTGAATACATCAGGGATATGGAATATATACCCCCGGAGGCACATTTACCCCTCCATTGGCCGAGGATATGGTCAAGAACCTGCCACCCGACTATGCCAAGACGGTCGTATATCTGGTATATCGCGAGCTTCTGAGCGCTGCGAGCGAAGGAAAGCGATGGACTTGGTACGAAGTCTGCCCTGATGCCATTGTGAGTCTTTCTTAATGCACCTGAGTATTACGCATTACTAACATTGATCAAGATTGGGTTTACCCCCAACGGTTCCCAGTTTAGCTTAGCCCTCCATTGGGCTCAGTATCTATCCCTATATGCCTATAATCACGGTGTCGGACCATTTGCAACGGAAGCTGCAACAAGTCCTGTTGAAGTACCTTTTCCTGGCAATGCCGCTAGTGCCAACTCATTATTCTCTCCGGTATCTAGCGCGACAATCGCGCGTTTTATGATCTATGCATCGCTACACCTCGGAACTTGTGGTGGTGGCCATCTATTCAATGTTGCCGACAATGAGACACCGTGCAAATATGGCGAGATTTGGCCGCATTTAGCTAAATGGTTTGGCCTAGTAGGCGTTGGGCCGGTCGCTGAGAAAGCATCAGCTCCAGACAACTCTATGGGGGTTGGCGAGCTTCCAGAATCGACTTCACTCTTGTCACCTGGAGAATATGTGACCAAGTACAGGTCCATTTTCAACCAAAACGGTCGCGAGAACGCTGCCACCAAAGGTGTTGGAGCTGGCCATCGGCAATTGGACAGCGTGGGCTACTGGCTGACGTTCGATCGGCAACTAAGTGTGACAAAGTTGAGGGGGACCGGGTTCGAAGGAGACAAGGATCCTGTTCAGGGTTGGCTGTCTGCCTTCGGGATGTTCAGAAAGGCCGGACTAATACTTTGAGCAAGTCCCGTCATTTGCTCATTCGAGAGATCGGCGTCAATCACGGGCCACTCGGCACCGCCGCGCTCCCTAGGCCCTACGGTTCATCATGCAACTTAATTTAGATAGCTTAGGAGCTATTAGCACAGCACATGCTGTGGCTGGAGGAGATTCGCGAGGATTCGTGAAGCTATATAGAAGTTAGAATAGATAGAACAGATGATTGATTATTATCTCGAGGGACTAGACTGAAGCTGGACAGTGTTTTTACAGATTTTAGATACTTCAGAAACTTAAGGTTTAGGCACCGCTGTTTCGCCAACTCAAAACGCAGGAGTTTCTGCTGGAGGTGAGATCAGTGTTAAGTTATAACCCGATGAATAAGGGAGAGATATGAGGCGGAATACAGCATGTCGAGGATATAGAGCTGACGCATAGTGAAATTATGTCACAGGGTTAGCCTATATAGGCTAACCCTGTGACAAATTAGAAGTATATGGTTGCCTAATTGTTTGAGGGAGACGTAAAGGACTAGAGAAAGACGGTAGTACACTTTATTTAACCAAATTATATAAAACTTTTTGTCACGGCGTAGCTAGACGGTGTGATGATCGTACCATTTAGCTAACTTGGACTAAAGACAAGAAGTTGAAGAAGGAAGAAATCCCAAAAGGGAAGGCTAGATGGGAGAGGCGAGGTTCTTATACCCTAACTGGGAGGCAGCCGGAGCCAAGCCCAGAATCTGCACCTGAACCATGTGACCCATGACGGCACCAGCCGTCACAGATTATAAGAAATATAATATACACATTTATTATTTAAATTACTGTAGCTGCTATTTACTTCGTAATTTTATAAATAAATTTTTAACGTGTGGCTAGTACTGTGCCTTGTAACTGCCTTGTACTACCTTATAGTACAGAAGGTTAACTGCTGAGAACGCTATTCCTTCGGAGTCAGCAACAGCTCCAACGATGCCTGGAAGCGCCTGATGCCTCCAGGTGACGGCATCGTCGAAATCCCAAACGAACACACCTACGATCTGCCTCCTAGCTTGCCCGCATCCAACAGCCCAAACACGAGCAAGGTGTACGGCATCAGCATGTTCCACCAGCTGCACTGTCTCAACTTTATCCGGTATGCCTACGAGCCGGATTCCATTAAGGACCATCCCGCCGACGAGGTCGTCTACCACCGGGACCACTGCATCGACTACATCCGCCAGGCCATCCTGTGTGCTGGCGATGTGACTTTTGATCCACTCACGGAGGTTGGCATCAACGGCATTGGAGCAACGCATGTGTCGCAGCTATGATAAGATGTTTGCTTGGGCATATAAGCATCGGTCGGATAAGAAGGATGATGGGTATCCCCCGGGGAAGGTCACGCATACCCCGGCGGACAGGAATATGTTGGAGAGTTCGCATCCGCATGTTCATAGTGGTCACTAATAAGGGACAATCCAGTGTGCGGAAATAGGGGCTCTATTTTTAGGGTACTTTCAGGGGCTTTATTTACTTCCTCACCACAATTCCCAACAAAAACTTTTATCCATTCCATTGCCTCTTTTCACCATTCCAAATTGCAATCTTGAGGCATGGTCTTTGATTGAAAGCTTGTAGCTTTTTTTGCGCTGGAACATCGATGTCTTATCCCCGGACAAACCGCTGCAACCACAACTACAAGGTCCTTGCCTCCATCATGGGGATGTAACTGTTCAGTGGGCATCATTGACTCACCTGTTTTAGTGCTGATTTCTGAGGTTACCGCGGACCAACGCCGCTTCCTGTCCAAAATGTCAGATGCAGTGTTGCATTGGAAATTTGGAATGGTTTTCATGCGGGGGGAAAGTACATATATTTTAGGGTCCTCATTCCCTCTTGCCTTCTTCACGATATCACTTTCAGACTTTCACCAAGCAAAGAAACTCCAAATAATCCATCTTCCAAGGACTTTCATCTTAATAGAACACCACCTTAAATCACACATTGGATGAAAAGCACACCTTAAACCCATCTCATCCAAACCACGCCAACACCACCACCGACAACCATGTCGGACCCCACCTTCAAAATCGAGACCCCCCGCCTCCTCATCTCCTACCTTCAACCCGACCTCGATTCCCACTGCGACTTCCTCGTCGCCCTCTACAACACCCCCGAGTTCATTGCCAACGAGGGAAAGACACCCGTCACCACCCGCGACGTCGCGCGCCGTCAACTCGAGGGCCGCTTCCGCGCCGAACACGCCCGCAATGGCTACGGTACTTACCTCTTCTCTCTCCGCAACCCTGCGAACCCAGACGATCTGGCCTCCGCCACGCCAATCGGTACGGTGTCGCTGATGCGCGGTGATGAGCCCGGATCTTATACCGCGCCGGATTTGGGTTTCGCGATTTTGTCGGAGTACATGAAGAAGGGATACGCGAAAGAGGCGGCGCAGGGATTGATGGAGTATGTCGAGAAGGCGCAGGGGGTGAAGGATATCCTGGGACTTCATGGCCCGGCGAATAAGGCCAGTGGTGCGGTATTCAGAAGCTTGGGTTTCATTAACGTGGGATTGAGGCAACTGTTAGTGTTTGGACCGAATGTGGTTGGGCAGGTGTGGATTAAGAAGGGGATGAGTGAGGATGTCAGTGTTTATGGGTTGCCAAAGGAGGCGCCGGCTGCCGCGACGGTGCCGGAGAAGATTCCGGAGAAGATTGCGGAGGAGGCCGTGAAGGAGTCCGTGAGTGCTGTTGCGGTTTAAGATTGGCTTGCTGGTTCAGAAGGGTACTAATTTGAACTCTTTCTCCTACGTATTCCTTTTCTCCGTTGACCCCTCTCGTGTCTTTATAAGTTGCTCCTTCTTGCAATCTTTGTCGATTCTCTTTCCCAGCTTATGTTCCTTCTTTACAAGTAAATGTGGTACTCAACTACCTACTTGACCTATGAGCGCAAAAGACTCACAACATCGCACGGCCACGGCTGGTGAAAAATCCATTGATGGACATGCAAACTTCGAGTTCAAACATGATTCATGTTACTGCTATGTCTCCCACCGACCCTAACTAGCTGGTAGCCACGAGTTTTACTGAGGATTCTGCCACGTTAGATCATACTTCGCCTCTTGTTCAATCTGGAACTGTCTCAACTTGTCAAAGTCGATACAATCATGTTCAACACCCCACCTCGTCACGGAAGTTGCATGGCCCTTTCCAACTTTGATGGGACTATTACCCTCAATAATCAGATCACGGCCGCAGGAGATTCCCTAGCGCAAATACTCGAAGCAATACTCGACTAAGATCTTCCACTTAAACTCCTCTTCTGGGTCTAGTCCAAGTTCGTCGTCGAGATCGACGTAATATTGGTAGTGGTAGCGGATTATATTCTGAGGAATATTTGTCAGTCTTCGTTTGGGAAAGGGTGACGGAACTGGGTACAGGAACAGGGAGGTTCTTACCAGACAGTACAGCTGGGTGTTTGGGTGATCGCACGGGACAACGATTCCCTGACGAAGTCCCCATTTATTGGGGTTCTCAATCCTGACGGTATCATGGCCTGTCGGACTCGGTCAGTTCATGATCATATTATGTAAACCTTTGGCTTAGACGATACTAACCAGTGACTAGTTCTTCCCATTCCTGCTCAACCTCCGCTGCGCCACCGATATATCGTCCATCTAGTTGAAATACCTTCTTCACAGGAACGAACACTCCCTTTGGGATGGGAATGTGGGAGTAGACATGCAGTGGCCCATTATTTTTCGGTGCAGTCTTGTACCAGAAGGCCAATGTCGTGAGCCATCCCAAACAGAGAAAATACACTGCTATGAGAAGAATGCGATTGTTTTGCCGCTCCCTGGCAATCGAATGGGTCCGAATTGGTGCATTGAGCTGGATATCTCGAAGCTTTTCGTCGTCTGAGGACTTGATCTTGGACTGCATTGTTCTTGGGAAATGGGAAGTTTAAGGTTGGAAGTTCCCCTGTGTTCGACCTCGAGACAGAAAGGACGCAGATAGGCTTGGGCAAAGGGATATCCAAACTCCCCGTTCTTTGCCCAAGCATCACCAAGATGTCGCAAGCTTATACCGGAGGCCGATAACCGAACTGCGACAAACAGGGGTACAGAGAGGGATCTAGACGCCAGTCTTATGTCACTTCCCCGCGCAAACACCATATCTGTCCATGATCAGATCATATTGTAACTGTTTCTCCGCTCGAATGTCACTGCATCTCAGTTCTTGGGAGCTGTATCAAGGAGAGTTCTAGAGAGAACAGGAGGAGACAATGCCAGACAAAACAGACAAAATGTGGAGCACAGTGACCAAAAAATTGGCGGGGCTTCTGCGGAAGGCCCGCAGTCGGTAGCGGCCCGGGCCCTACAACGGGGACAAGGCGGGGCAGTCCCGGCCAAGTTGGCGACAAGGGTCCTCCGAATCTTCGACACACCTCCGATCACTCGTTCCGCACGTCCTTGGCCCTGTATAATTCACATTTTCTCACATTGCGTCTCATAGCCGCTCTTGGTTGTGCGTGCTTTAGGAAGGTGTCCAACTGATGATCGAGTGTTTGTGTTGGACCTACCCGAGTGAGCACAAGTTGAACGAGATGCGCGGCGTTGCTGACATGTGAAGACTTGGAGAGTGGTGCGATATCGCAGTTATTTTGGATCTTGACATTGACGGCTTTCGTCGGGGTGATGTTGACCTGAAGGGGAGGTAAGAGCGCCCCCTCCTGTCCTCTGCTGTTGCTTGTGCCTCCTTCCAACCTCCATCTTTGCACTTTCTGGTCTTCCCCTTTGGCAGGAGCAATCAAGTTCCCAACACCTTTGCATCATCATATACTCCCAAACTTAACAACCGAGAAACATCATCAGGCGGACAATGAAACTGGAAGTCTTTTGAGTGCACACGGGCACCTGGACTCCAACCGAGAGTCAGGCGAAAGCATTGATGTCCATATCCCAATTCGCAGACAATCACGGTGGAGGGAGCATGTTATCCGCGGGGCCATTCCCATCTTCTCCATTACAGTCGGCGTTGCTGCTGGGTTTTACCTCACAAGGAGCTCCAACTCCAATGAGCCAACGTTGAGAAACTTTGGCATCAACCCAAAGACGCCCGTGCCACGAGAAATCTTCACCGACAGGCGAGATGTCCCCTTTATCCCCCACAAGGAGTTCATCGGGCCGTCAAAAGAAGCTGATAGGAACTGGGACCGAATAACGATGGGTAAGTCACCTTTGAACAATACAAGAAGACAACAAATCGTATCTAACCACAACTATACACAGGCTCCGACACCATCTACCTACCGGATATGCTACGATGCTTCTTTTGTTTGCGTGGGTTCTCGGGTATGCGGCTAACAAACAAGCAGGTTAGCCTTTGAAGCTGCGTACGGAGAGAGAAGTCAGACTTACTTGTTGAGCTTAGTTGAATCGGCGATAGGTTGATCTCCTCGGGAAGGTCTGCATCAGTTCTGATTCAAGCTCCTCCCGCTGCTTCTCAAGAGCTTCCATTCCTACCTAGGCCAAGCTTATCCTCGGGTACCGGGTTTGCCAATGGGTCTTTCGCCCTCAACCACTTCTCCACGGCAGCCACAGTCTTGGCTAATTCCCCCTTCTCCTTCTCTCTCCTGTCGTGGGCTTCGATCTCGCCATCATCGGCATTCGCTGGAAGATGCGCCGTTGGATGACTTGCTTGAGAAGCTCCTGAGCTCACAAGGAGCTTATTGACGGTTTTGGGCGGATCCATAACCGGGCCATTGGTCTGATGGGAGACCTGAGGACTGGCAGAGGTTGATTTCTCATCTGTGTGCGAGTCTGGATTTTCTTCTGGCTTACGCTGGTACTCTTCTGTCTCGCGTCCCTGATTTGGGCGGTACTACCTTTATATTCTCGGATTTCATCCAGGGTCAAGATGCGTTGCACGATAACAGAGTCACCTCGTACTTTAAATCGCTTCTTGCCTAAAGTAAGTGCTTCGGGGCTAACCCTTTTCCTACTTATCTTGGTCCATTTGGCACCAATAGGTACTCGGGGCTTAGCCTGTCCAGCAGATGCTTGGTCGACGTGGCTGGAAACAGGTGGAGATCTTGAGTCTTCCACAGGCCGATTCTCGTAGTCCGACCCGTCGTATCTTTCTGCTCTCAGCTCGGCGGTCATGTGCACATATTTTTTGATTATTTCTCTGTCCAAGCCGCGTAGGACGATGACAGAGTCACCCTCAACCCTAAATCGCTCTTTCGCTATGGTTAGGGTCTCGGGATTGACCAGATTTCTGCTAATCTTGGTCCATTTTGCACCTGAAGGGTACTCGGGATTGTCCTCGGTCTGTTTTTTGCTATCTTTGTCGACTGAGGCACCTCTACTGCGCTGGCTGCGTATTCGTCTTGTATTCTTCCACTCTGTTGTTAGTCTGGGGAGCTGAGTTAGTTGGTTGGCCCGTATCAGCAGACAAATCCATTGCCGTCCCCAGCTCTGGTATTGCGCCGAGATTTATCTCGACACCCTCGGGTTGTTCGTTGAGTTGTTCGTCGAAGAAGTCAAAATCGGCGTCGGTAAGCTCGTTGCCTTCGAACACGTCTTCCCCGAGGTCGCTGAACATATTGTCGCCCTCCAAAAGATTCCCAGCCTGTTGCTCCCGCTTGTTGTCACCGCCTTCCCAGCCATTGCCATAGTTCTCCGCATGGGGGGCGTTGTTCTGTATCACAGTATCTATGCCAGCCATCGCATTAAGCTGGGGTTGATTTGCAGGACTGGCAGCGAAGCCTGTCTCGACAGAGGAAGCCATGCCTAATGGTTGAATTCCGTCCGGAGGTGTCGGATACATTGCACTCGGAGCGGAAGGGAATAGATGCCTTTCTGGTAAGAGTTTACCCTTACTCTGCATATACAGCTTGGCTCTTTCCAGTGGATCATTGAGTTTCGGATCTGAACTCGATTGACTTTTTAGGTGATCCATAAACTGCTGGTAGGTATCCCTCGTCTCTGCCCCGGAAGAACTTCCATCATCGTCACCGTCGGGGGGTTTCTGTTGTTGTTGCTGTTGTTGTAGTTACACATCTTGGATTGTTCGGGTCTGCTGATCGCGCACATTGATGGACTCCGAAGGTTGCTCTTCTTCTCGTGGTTGTAATCTTTGCGCCTCACCCGCATATGTCGTAATCTCATCAAGTATGCCATCAGACAATCCAGAACCCCCCGGGTCTTCTCCTTCGATGTAACGTCCGTCAATGTCTCCGTCTTCGGAGGGTACTTCTAGTTCCACATGATAAGCGGTGTCGGCCGATGTATCAAGCTCGTCTTCTTCCATGTCCTCTTCGTCTGATTCTTTGGCCAAATCTTGTTCGTTTTGGTCTTCATCTGAGTCATCTCGGGTGGTATACATGTAGTCATCGTCAACACGAGGCGAGGCAAACAAAGCCAGGTCTTCCAAATGTCTTCAGACATGAGAGGTATAGTCCTTCTCAGAACCGAGCTGTACCTCGGGGCAAAGAGGACACTGTCCGCGGGCCTTAGACTTATCCCTGACGGAAGAAGCGTGGATGTTTGATTGAGACCTCAGCCCGGAAGATGCCAACTCGCCGCCGTGCGCGGACTGGTTATGCTCTAGGAACTCCTCAAGGTTATCGAAGGAAGCATCGGTGCAACCTAGAGAGCAATGCCAGACCCTCCAGTGCTCGCGTTCCATGTGCGTGACCCATTCCGAGCGCCGAGAGAACTGTTGATTTGGGATGGTACACGTCTTTGCAAGGCAGGTATAGGGTTGCAAGTCTCGGAAGATGTGTTTCCTGGAAGAGGGTGTCTGTTAGTCCGGATGATGTTCGTATTTCCTTTTTTTCGTGGATATATGAAAGTAAAGGGGGATTGTACTTCCACTCGTGCCTCGTCTCTATGACAATAATCATATGACAATAGGGACATTTGAAGGGCCCGTCAACGTATTCTGGAGGTATCCTTGGGACACGAAGCTCGCTAGAGTTGGCCTCCGTTGGTGCATACGATGTTTGCGAGCGCATGTCATCAAAATCAGTGAACTCGTCCGCGCAAGCTGTTGTGCTTGTCTCTGTAGAGGTATAGATAGCCTTATTGTCCTTGAGATGTCCGGGGAGCGAAGAAATGGCTGTTTTTGTGGTTGTGTACTCGGAAGCATCGCACTTGAGCCCTTGCTCAACCTCTTCCAGTCCGCGGGCTATTCGGTTGGCATGTTCTTCGCGATACTTGAAATAATGGCGGCGCATCGCCATTGACTTGCCCAGACGGTCAACGAGAGGCTCATCAAGTTGGACGAATTTATGGCGGATGTGGTCTTTGTCCAGGGCTCGAAAGGCTTCGATGAGTTCTGCCCCTGCCCTGGACTTGAACTGGTCGTGCGGAGCTGGATGGCGAATTGTTGCTGAGAGACGTAGCAAGCAATCAACGGCGTGTCCAATTCTTCCCAATGCTTGATCCAGCTCGGGCCGATGAATAGCATCTTTGTCACCGCCGTAGAAGAGCTCAGCAAGCTTATCATCGATGTCCTTGTCATCATTGGGTTGCTCCTTATCGTCAAGAGAGATCCCAGCCGTCGAAGTCACGGACAATGCTTTTTGGCCCCATTGTCAACGTCAGTGAATGATTTAATGCCTTCAACAGCTTCCTTTTCTGGATGGCATCTGTAGCTCCCTCTAGGTACCAGACAGGTAAAGGGAGAAAGTTTCTGTCACTTTGTGTCATACCTTGATCGACGGAACTGCACAGGTCTTGGAGCAAGGTGACGATGTGCTTCCGTATCAAAGATGCATCACGAAGTTTGTACTCAAGTGATCTCGACCCAGACTCTCGATGGGCACCGAGACTGCCCACCCAGAGCCTGAACCGTTCCAAGTGCGAAGAGGCCAGTGCTATCGATTCCTCCTCAGTCTCAATTCCGTTCTCGAAAGTTTCGATGAGTGACTTGAGCGTTGAAATGCCCCGTAAGACAAGCAAGGATATCTTTTCTTCTGGAGCCATAATGAGGTGCCTAGTGTATTGCGACTGCTCGCGAGGCAAAAAGAGGTATCAGATGGCTGAGAACTTGAGCTTGTCAACGGGCAGGCGAGGCCGAGTTCCTTCCTTTCTATCGGTTCAGATTCGGATATCAGACGGGATGAACTGAAAGTTTGCGCTGGACAGGCATGGAAGCAGGAGGTAAGATCCCGTCAATGAGGGGTAAATGCCATCAACACTGACGTTGGCAGCCATCTTCCTCTCCCACAACAAAAAGTCTTGGCGCCAAGCGTTAGTGTTAACACTATGTTGCCCGCAAAACCCTTAACACCACCAAAATCGCCGTTTTCACGGTCGATATCTCAACAACCACAACTACGAAATGTCTACGCCTTCGCCCCCTAGGGCCCCCAAACCGTCGCCGCCGGTTATGATGCCGGTTACCCCTCTGCCGGACACCCTTTGCGTCCCACCCCCGCCCTCTACAACGGCGCAGTCGGCCAAGAGAGCCCGGACTGCGGACGAGGAAGTCCGTCACGCCCACACCACCGCCACTGCCACCACCGCCGGGCCCATCTTATCCTTCGCAGGGAGTCTCATCTCCGAAGCTCTCGCGAGAGCTGAAGTCTACTGCTCCTTCGCCGCTACCCTCGACTCTGAACTCGCTCGCTTCTCTGTCGTCTCTCCAGCCCACGCCCGCGAGGCCGACCGCCTCGCACGGACTATTACCGCCGCTTTACAGAAGAATTCTGCATCCTCACCACCTTCGCCTACCCTGGACCTACCTTCGTCTACCCCGGACTCCACTGACCCGGTAAATACGAGAAAAGGCCCCGTCACGTTCGCGGAAATAGCCGCCAAAGGCGCAAACTCCGCCTCCGCCTCCCGCTCTACTTCCCGCTCTTCCCGCTCCCGCTCCGGCTCTACCACCCACGCCTCCGGGTCTACCCGTAAGGCTGCCCCACCTCCTACATCGCCCCAAAGCGACGGCCGTGTCTTCCTACGACTTGATAGAGACTCCCCCTTCACCGATACAGATGCCTACGCTATTCGTAAAGAGGTGCAGACACTCCTTCACCTCGCCCCCACCGATATCCCCGGATGCCACAAGGTTCCTACCGGATTCGCCCTTGTGCCTAAGAACGACGCAGTCCGCCAGACCCTCCTCGCCCGAAAAGATGAGATTAGCGCCCGCTTCGGCTGTATCCAGGTCGAAGTGCCCAAGAAATGGGTTACGTACGTCGTCCAGAATGTGCCTATGACGATGCGGATGGGTATCGTCCCCGTAGATACTACGACCGCTATTAAGGACGAGGTCTTCGTCCAAACCGGCCAAGAGCCCGTCGCCCTCCGCCCCTCCCAGTACTACCGTCCCGGTGAGGCCCACGCAACCTAGCTTATTTCCTTCGATAGGCCTGTCTCCCCCTTTCGCCTCTTCGACGTTAGTAACGTTAACCACCTTCTCCAAAAGAGGCGCCCACTCAACCAGTGCACCGAATGCTTTGAATGGCACGGCAGTAAGGGGTGTGCCCGCGCCGCGCGATGCTCTCAATGTGGACATACTGCTCATGGTGAGTGTGACCGCCGCGTTCAATGTGCCAATTGCTGGGGCCCTTTCGAATTACCCATAACGACTGCCCTATGTGGCCAAAACGCCAGGGTGACACCGTAGTCCGCCCGACTCCCCAACAGCGGAAGGATAATCGCCGCGACGGCGGCATTCTTTTCACTAGGAAATACGACCGCCCAACCCCCCCCCCCGATAGCCAGGAAGATTCCGCCACGTCTTCCGATGAGCTGCCCAGTTACAATTCCGCCCCCTCCGGCCCTGAGGACTCCGACAGCCCTACCCAAACCCAGCCCTCAGCTGATGAGGCTGATGGAGCTGATGAGGCTATGATAGAGGCCCAGTTTAGCGAGTACTCGTCCTCCGACTTTGGGGTCCGCCGCTCCAGCCGCCACAAAACGCCCTCTAGGAGGGCCGCTGGCCTATGAATAGATACCCGAACCCCTCTCGTGACGGTCTGAACAATCTAGATAATTCTAGGTTGCGTGTCTTTCAAGCCAACGTAGCACGAACACGAGAGACACACGAGATTGCCCTCCAAACTGCTAGTGAAGTTGGAGCGGATGTAATTATGATCCAGGAACCACGCGCATGGTTCTACGATGGCCGTTTTGGTATCCCCGGACACCCTTTCTACGCCCTCTATACCCCCATTCACACGTGGACAGAGGAGGTAGCTACCTACGTTCGTAAGAATATAGCAGCTGGGGGGTTCACTCTCGGGCCTACAAGGGATCTTCTATGGGTAAAGACGCAGGGAATCACCGTCGTTAATATCTATCGACGATCCGATGACGTTTCTGCCCTTGAAACTCTTCAGAACTGGCAACCAACGGCAAAGACACTCCTCGCTGGCGACTTCAATGCTAAACACTACACCTGGCAACCCGGCGCAGAGACGTCAGAATGCGCCACGCGTATTATTAACTACGTAATGGAGCACGGGCTCGATTTACTAACGGTGCCCGGCATTCCTACTCACAATCGTGGCAATACTATCGACCTCACCTTTTCGAACATTCCCCTTTGCTCAACAAGGGTCGCCCCGGAACTGGACTGCGGTTCTCATCACCAAGTTTGCATTACGGACATCCCTACCCAACCGGTAGAGCCTCCCCGCCGTCGACTGGTCCTTCGTGAAGACCCAGAGGCTATTAGGTTTTATGCCGAAAACGTCTCGTTTCTCATGGGTTTGGTCCCGCTCCTCCCTACAGGCGAGGACTCCCCGGAAAGGCTCGACGAGCTCGCCGAGGCCCTCTGCAACGTCCTTACAGAGGCCCTCCAGATTACCTGCAGGCCTTCGAGACCTGAGAAGAACGCAAAGTGGTGGAATAAGACGTGTGCGCAGGCATCTAAGATATTCCGCAACTATCGACATAATAACCCAAATCCCATTCCCCGACGGATAGAGTCGCTTCGGCAGGAATTCAAAAGGGTAGTCAGGGAAGCAAAGCAGCTATTTTTCGACGACCTTATTACTAAGGCACAGGACGACAAGGACATCTATCGGATCGTAGCGTGGCACAAGCCTCGCGACCGTATGGAGGCCCCCCCGCTTGTTATAGACGGACAGGTGGTTGTTGAGCCAGAGGCTAAGGCAGAGGCCCTCCGTACGGCTTTACTAGAAAGGAACAGCGAGGACGAAGGACCTTGAAACCGGCTGGGTGCCCTCGGTGCCACGTCGTCGCCTACCCTGGTCTTCGGTCGTCCACGCGGACGAGGTCTATAAAACCCTCTGTGGCACTGGGAACACGTCCCCCGGCGCCGATAGCATTACAATCCGTATGCTGAAAGCGTCTTGGGAGTCTATTAAGGACGCTGTCTAGCAACTCTACCAGGGCTGCGTCGCTACCGGCTATCATCCACATGTCTTTCGGCAAGCGGAGATAGTCATGATACCGAAGCCGGGAAAAGACCAGACGACGGCCAAGGGATGGCGGCCCATTTCGCTCCTGTCTTGCCTTGGGAAAGGCATTGAACGTCTTATCGGTAGGCGAATCGTTTGGACGGCTATCTCCAACGGGGTTTTAAATCCCCAGCAGGCTGGTGCCCTCCCGAAACGCTCTGCCGTCGATATTGTGGAGGCCCTAGTTCACGATATCGAAGTTGCACTCGACAAAGGACTCGTAGCTGCCCTAGTGGCGGCCGACGTCAAGGGCGCCTTCGATGCTGTACTAGTTAACCGGCTAGTCTTACGCCTACGGGAGCAGGGTGGCCAGATTGCGTAGTCCGTTGGGTCGAGTCTTTTATGTCAGATCGAATGGCCTGCGTTCGATATCCGGGGGTAATTACCCCTATGCGTCGCCTTAGATGCGGGCTTCCACAAGGTTCCCCAGCATCGCCGATTATTTACCTGCTCTATACGGAGCCAGTCCACCGCCTGGGGGAAAGCGAGGCCCAGCACTTTGGCTATGCTGACGATTGTGCGGTTCTTGTCACCGGCTCTTCTAACGAGGAGGTTGCTGAGAAGGCCCAGCGAGAATTGGACGCCATGGTCCGATGGGGGGTAGACATCGCCGTCGACTTCTCCCCGGACAAGACAGAAATCCAATTTTTCTCTAGAAGAAGGCTAATTGCGCCCTTCCCGACTATCATGCACGGCGAGACGGTGGTAGCTGCACAGCCGGCTATGCGCTGGCTCATCACGGAGTTGGGCTGCGGCTGTGTCTTGGGCGCTTAACGACGGCAAGTCATGGGGCCTGGTTTTGATGCCTAATACACCTTGGAACGCACGTTTTGCTCTCTCCTTTCTCATCTAAGAACGCATCTTGCACATCATCAACGGTGCTACGTCCAATGTATACCTGATTTGTCCTACCCTTTAGGCATTCTGTCGGCGGCGATTTCCTCTCATGCCTACTGTGTTCAGTTCTTAGATCACAAACTACCATGGCGAACACGATCTATAATGGCGCAATTAGCGGAGAAAGCTTCGTGGTCGGGCCTCAGGTCAGTCACGGCGGTATTATGAACATCCACTTTGCCAATAGAACCGGTCCCGTCACTGCAATCAGACCGCCCTTTTCCAATGTTCCATATCGTTCAGACCCTCATCATATCGACCGGCCGAAGATCATGAAATGGCTTCGGGAAAGACTGGGCCCGCCATCAAATTCTACACACAGTCGAGCTGCGCTTTTCGGACTTAGTGGCATTGGGTATGTGTGCATGCTATATGCCGTCCGATACATTATTGAAAGAGGGTGGCCTTGAGGAAAATGCTAACTCAGTGTTGTAGGAAGTCCAAGCTCGCCATCCGCTACGCCGAAGAGTTCCAAAAGGAATTTCCACAAGCCTACGTATTTTGGGTGACTGCAGGCAGCAAGGAAAGCTTTGTCCAAGGATTTCGTCGGATTGCTGAAGACCTTCGGCTTCCAGATCCTTCAGGTTCAGGCAACGATATGCTCAGACGGGTGCGGAGCTGGCTGTGTGATAACGAGAACGTACAATGGCTCCTTATCCTTGACAACGCGAATGACTACCGCGTATTTAGGGATCAAAGAACCACTAGTGATGTTCCTCCAGCCATAGACTCGGAAGCGCTTGAGACGTTTTTGCCACAAACAGACAACGGCAGAATCCTGATCACGTCCTGGAGTCAACGGACAGCCGAGATCTTGGCACTCAGCCACGAAGATACCTGCGCTGTCCCTGAAATGGATGAGGATCAGGCGAGACTGCTATTCAGCAAAAAGCTCGGTGAATTCGGCGAAAGCGACGATATTGTACGGAAGGTTGTTCTTGCCCTGAACTGCATCCCTCTTTCCATCTCCCAAGCGGCGGCATACATCCACAAGCTACGGCCTTGGATGACGTGTGCTAAATACTTGGAGAAGTTCAATGGCAGAAACTTCGTTGTTCTCAGCAGTCGTGACAGCGAGGGTCGATACAGTTTTGATGCGAAAAATCGGGAAGTTGAGATCAAAACCTGGCAGATCACTTTCAACCAAATACGCGACGAGCGGCAGTCCGCTGCTGACCTGTTGTCCTTGATGAGCTTCTTTCAGCCACAGGGAATTCCGGGCTGGGTACTTCGGAAGTACTACAGCGAGAGGGACAACAAAGACAGCAGCACTGATGCTAGCAACGATGGCGAAGATGAATTTGAGGATGATCTCACCCTGCTACGCGACTATTCCCTTGTGACGGTGGCTCAAGACGAAAGATCGTTCCAGATGCACAGCCTTGTACAATCTTTCACCCGAAGCTGGTTGGAAACATCGCAAGTGGACCACAACTGGAGGTGCTGCTTTCGGCGACTGATGATCAACAACTATCCCCCACCCGTGGCAGAAAGGTGGGGTGTGTGTGGCGAGTTAACGCCACATATTGAGCCCTTGGTGACTACAACTGCGCGTCAGCTGGAAGATGTAGACGAAACAATTTGTTTTGTAGAGCTACTTCGCAAAGTCGGGGAGTATAATCTTGCCATGGCTATGTACGAGACGGCGTTGAGGATCATCAATAAAGCCGAGCAACTGGCTGTGCAAATGCTGGGCCAGCAAGTATGCCAGGGGGGCGGGGGTGCTGACACGGGCCCCCACCCAGGCTTAAAGCCATCCCACCATACCGTCCGTCCACTCAACCCCCAGCATATGGCGGTAGCGACGGCGAGGTGCTTGGCTTGAAGCCATGCTTGAAGTAGTTGTGATACGCGTGGTGGCCTCTGGGCTTCGCGTGCAGTATTAGCGTTCCTTGACATTGCTAGAGTAACAGACGACAGGCTTCATCTGCCTACCTATGTAAAAAATCTAGCCGCAGTGTCAGGACGGTCAACTTTTCTCGTAATCCGCCCAATTATATTCATCTTTTTAGCGCCGCCTCCCCACTTACCGTCTTGCCTCCGTCCGAACGATATGGATATGGGAGCTGGTGGTTCAGTTTTTTGACCCTACCACGTGATTAAAAGACCCGTTTCATGTCCTTCCCACTCCCATAGATAAGCCGACATATCGGTGGCTTATCTATGGGAGTAATTTTTTGTAGATTTCGACAGGGATTTGGATGACTCAGCTAAAAACGCCGCCCCCGTTTCTAGAACCGTTTTCCATTGCCTTCGCCGTCGAGTGCACCGTTCCACTTACGCCAAGCCCAGCTGAGTAGGCTAGGCATACACTACACAACGTACTTACCCCTGCCATTTACCCCTGACACCTACTCCATATACTTAGTACTTCTAACTGGGAGGTGTGGTTGGCTTTTGGGAGGTGTGGTTGGCTTTGGTGAACACTTTTCTCCGTACGTATATCCCTTCAGGCGAGTCAGAAGGGCCTCAAGATATAAATTGCGTCTTTACCCTCAGATTCCTGACTGAACCAAACAAGCACACTTTTGTCCCATTCTCATTGCATTCACTGTATATCCATTCTTCCCAGTTGATTCTACCGCATGAATTACGGCCCCTACGTTGCGAGGGTTGCGTTGGTTTTTCATATGAAACCCTCCTTCCGAGTTTTTTAATGAATTTCTCCTCCCAAACATACTGAGCTTGTTAGCTATTGCAGCTTGAGAGGGTATTGTTTAAGTCTCACGGTGCCGATCACACTCCATCCATATGCAATACGGAAGAGATGGAGCTACAAAAACCGCCGCTACCGCCGATTGTACTCGACGTCGAAGAACGGAAAAGAAGAGCATTTGCCGACGTCGACGAATTTACGGTAACAATACATGAGCGTTCGCTTTATAAGAAGACCAAAGCCCAGCGAGACCGCGCGTGGTATCTATGGAATAGGTATGTACCTTATCATTTTACTATTTTCTTTAATATTGCGTACTAATACTTTTTAAATTTGTCACAGATGTGTTACAATTAACACCAAAAGAGGCTGATAAGGTTTGGTTTGGTGTGTGCCAAAACAAGAAAAAGTCTATTGCTATCTGCAAGAGCTTTCTGGTCGACTATATACGCTATGCAAGATGTAAGCGTCTGTGTATAGACGGGACCGAGGAACAAAAGCAGGTACCATCAGTTCAATCAGTAGTGACTATTATTACTATATGGAAGCATATAGTAGCTCAAGCTGATGCTGTAGTGCTCGCGAAGAGAAGGGATCATGTCACACGGACATCGCCCACAGTCCAGGGTCAGGGTCGCAAGGCTCAGCAGAGCCTCAACACCTGGCATTAGCCTCGAGATGCCCGGTGGCCTCCGGCCGCAACACTCACTTCGGCCGAACCCTCGGCCGGACCCACGGCCGAACCCTCGGTCACTGGCACTGCTTACCCGAACCCTCTCGATACCATCGGGCTAGCGAGCCAAACCATGGAAGTGCCGAAGACGCTGATGACACAATCCCCAGTCATCCCCGAAGCAGCCACAGCTAACCAAGCAAGAAGTACGGCGCCCGGATAAAGGACATGGAGAATGGATGAAGGCATGCAGAAGATCTACATGTATGAAGACTGCTAGATAGATGCCTTGAAGCCTCAGGCGACAAGGCTTGATGCGTACCTCAAGCACGTACCGATTCCCTTTGGCATAAGAAGGCCTTGAAGCCCAACCTTCTCCTGGAGGTTGAAAGGATCAACAAGGCCTTCGAGACCAAAGTAGTTTATTAGCTGAATTGAACTACTGTTCCAAGCCCTGAACACAGCCCTTGTCACAGATCAAGATTCAAACGAAGATTCAGACGAAGATTCCGAACAATGGACATTGCTTGGCAACCGTAGGAAGCCCCGTAGAGAGATTATCCAAGTAGATTCCCTCCTTACCCATACCAATACTGTGTACTGACATTTCTTCTCACAGTGGATCCAATCAACTCTTGCACAAAAGTTCAACCTCACATGCAAACAAACATTTGAGAAAACTGAAGCCACAACAGACGATGTTCTGCTTATTCTTAGCACTTTGTGGGAACGCGCAGTCGATATACCTTGTGATCCTAGACATCAGCTTGCCTTTCATACATTGGTGCTTATAGGAGGCATTGGTTTTCGGCCCGGCACTTATGAGAATATGCTTTATCAACAAGTCAAGCTACTTGTCGTTCGCGATCCGGATACAAAACAGCCAAGGCTTGTTGCTGAGATCACGATCAATCAAAACAAGCTATCGGCTAACAAAATTGATAAGGGGGCAGATGTGTATGTATTCTTGCCTTTAACTGTTGATCCAAACTAACACTTTTCTAGGGTGACCTTTTCTGCTACTATGGTACCATGCCAGATCGTTTGTTTAGTTACGTTTGTAGCTATTCAAGCTCTACATGATGATGCCTTCGAAACAGAGTTTTCGTCCTTCGACGAATTACTTCAGCGTCCAAACTTGGAAGATGTTGATTGCATTGAACTTAGGTGGAAGGATGGGATGCAGGAAAAGCCTATCTTTCCCTTAAAGTACCACAAATTTCTGGAACTTTGGAACCGGAGATGGTTGGTAGCGGGCAACAGAAACACTCTCCGGCCCTATGCGCTGCGAATCGGCGGTGGAAATAAAATTGATGGTAAGAACCCTTTACCCGTTTCCCTCACTATTTTGCTTACAATTTTTACACAAGGTTCCCTTACATCCGCTATTTGAAACCACATCCTGAGCCATAACACAAAAACATTCGAAACCTCTTATCAAGCGAGGCATATTCCACACAATTTGATGTCATTCGATTTGATGTCATTCGTTTTCGATAGTACATCTGAAGACGATTCCAAGCTATTCAAGCTATTAGCCTCCGCATCCTTGCGCAGGGATGACAAAGCACCGCTTTACCCGACAGCGGCTACGCTAGAAACGTTTGAAAATCGCGAGGATATGAAAGCACTTCGCGCACAGCGTCGTCACTTCCGGGAAGAGCTCAAACTCTCTGCAGACAATAGAGAGGTAAAGCAACTTACCGCAAAAATTGGAGATCTACGGACGGTATTGTCAAACTTGGCTGTCAAGCAGGCTCGAGAAAACTACTTCGCTGAAGTTGATTCCCTTAGGGCTCGTGGCCTGTCAACCGAAGATATGCCAGCCCCCCCTCCAAATCCTTTCAGATGCTCCTTCGGTCCCAGTTTACCTGCAGCAACAATCATTGGTCGATACTTGAACTCCAAAAATCCGGTTTCCGACACCGCTACGAAAATGGTTTTTCCAAATTCGACCGACAGTGGTTCTGACCAAACTACCCAAAAGCGGCTTGCAGTATCGGAAATGCTTTTTGCGTATCTGAATGATAGGTACGGAGAAGTAGAAGGGATTGCTCAGGAAATGGAGCAACCAGCCTCCGAACATAAGAAAGCAGCTTCCACGCTCTCTACATGTCTTCTCTGCCTACAAAGCTTCACTCGTCGACGTAACCTCAGTAGACACCATCGGAGCGTCCATTTCACAGCAACGACCTTTGAACCTTTCTCATGCCCCGAATGTCAGCGGCAAGGAAAGGAGGAGTATAGAATCGAGAGGGCATCGGAGTGGAGTAACCATGTCGAAAGAGTACATGGTTTCATCAATACTCCGGTTCTCTTCACTAAGTCAATCGTCAAACCCAAACCAATGGCTACAACTACCAAGTCGAAATCCGCTCCTTGTTTAAGATGCGGCCAATTGTTCTATGCCGGAAACAGTTTGTCAAGGCATATGAATAAGTATCACAGAATCGTAGAGCCATTCGATTGTCCAAAATGTAAGGGAGAAGGGGAGAATATCCAGATTAATGACCTCGCTTCGTGGCTTACACATACGTCGAATGTTCACGGTTGTAATGGGCAAGCAGGAGTTGTTATTGATAAGAAATGCCTACTAAACCAGGGACAGAAGAAGAGGAGAAGAGAAAACATAGTGGAGGAAGCTATAAAACGTACTAAATTAGAATCCTAAGTATATAGAATACAAACAAGAATGCTGTCTCTGTCTCTCCCACCGAGATATCTCCTCCTGGAACCACGATGCCAGATCTCGCTCTCCACAAGCGTGCTCTGATCAAAAGCATAATCGACTGTAAACTAAAGGCGACAAGGATCCAAAAGATGACGACTCAGCAGAAATAGTCGGCTGTACTGCCCGCGCGATCCCCGCATCCGATCAAACCTGCTTCACTTCGGAACTACAACGGCACCACCAAACGGCAATCCCGCTTTGTTGGAGCGGCCTCGCACCACAAATAGGTTGACTCGGGGATTCGCGACATTGCGATGTTCACGTTGAGGATCGTCCCCACTGGACCAGTCATTTGAGGAGTCGTCTGAATCTATTCCCCAAGCAGAGTGAAGGTAGATAGTGCGCGAGTGGCGATGTCTGTTCTTTGCGAAAGATGAGTTACCGAGGAAACGTGTTCTCTTCGGTATTGATCACTTGTTAACCCTCCTGACTGCTAGCATATAGTCCATCTATCGCCACAGCATGTTCGCCAACGGGGTATTGCACATCTGACTTCGGGAAGAGAACCGAATCTGACAATCCTGCCTGCTCGAAGCAGAGTACGTTAAGTGACTTAACACCGATGGAAACCGCTAGAATTTCTCCTATAAAATAACCTATCCTCCCTGACTCTTCTGGTGTCAAGCTAGGAAAAAGAAATATAAAGGGTGAAAGAAAGAGACTTCAAGGGTATTAACGTCAAACCAATCGTGAAAAGCTAATAGTGAAAACTCGTCCCGACGAACAGCCGACGGATACCATCAGCTCTTGGACGGCGGAACACCTTGTGAATAAATCTGGGCGGTATTCTGGTGGTAACCAGAGTACATTTTTGCCATTGCAGGTAATCCACGACTCATCCTGTCCTACGCCGTATCCTTGCGCTACTAGATCATTTAGCCGAATTGCGTTTTCCGTAATAGCTGTAGCTACTTCAATGCGCCCAGCCTCGGTCATAAGGTAACGGCCCGTAGGATCAAACAATGCATGCGCTACTGATATACCGACATCAATAGTTACAAAGCATTGCCCTGAAGTGGGATTCCAGATCTTCATCGTGTGATCGCTAGAGCTTGATGCGAGGCGCTGGCCGTCCGGCGAGAACGCAACCGACAGCACCCAGTCACCATGGCCTTCTAATGTCCGTAGGCATTGCCCTGACGCGGGATCCCAGATCTTGATCGTGTGATTGCTAGAGCCCGATGCGAGGCGCTGGCCATCCGGCGCGAACGCAACCGACATCACCCAGCTACCATGGCCTTCTAATGTCCGTAGGCATTGCCCTGACGCGGGATCCCAGATCTTGGTCGTGTCATCGCTAGAGCCCGATGCGAGGCGCTGGCCATCCGGCGAGAACGCAACCGACTCAACCGAGCTACCATGGCCTTCTAATGTATGTAAGCATTGCCCTGACGCGGGATCCCAGATCTTGATCGTGTGATCGCTAGAGCCCGATGCGAGGCGCTGGCCATCCGGCGAGAACGCAACCGACTCAACCGAGCTACCATGGCCTTCTAATGTATGTAAGCATTGCCCTGACGCGGGATCCCAGATCTTGATCGTGTCATCCCTAGAGCCCGATGCGAGGCGCTGGCTGTCCGGCGAAAACGCAACCGACGGCACCGAGCTACCATGGCCTTCTAATGTATGTAAGCATTGCTCTGACGCGGGATCCCAGATCTTGATCGTGTGATCGATAGAGCCCGATGCGAGGCGCTGGCCGTCCGGCGAGAACGCAACCGACAGCACCGAGCCACCATGGCCTTCTAATGTCTGTAAGCATTGCCCTGACGCGGGATCCCAGATCTTGATCGTGTGATTGCTAGAGCTTGATGCGAGGCGCTGGCCGTCCGGCGAGAACGTAACCGACGTCACCGAGCTACCATGGCCTTCTAATGTCTGCAGGCATTGCCCTGACGCGGGATCCCAGATCTTGATCGTGCCATCCCCAGAGCCCGATGCGAGGCGCTGGCTGTCCGGCGAAAACGCAACCGACAGCACCCTGCTACCATGGCCTTCTAATGTCCGTAGGCATTGCCCTGACGTGGGATCCCAGATCTTGATCGTGTCATCGCTAGAGCCCGATGCGAGGCGCTGGCCATCCGGCGAGAACGCAATCGACCAAACCGAACTACCATGGCCTTCTAATGTCCGTAGGCATTGCCCTGACGCGGGATCCCAGATCTTGATCGTGTCATCGCTAGAGCCCGATGCGAGGCGCTGGCCATCCGGCGAGAACGCAACCGACTCAACCGAGCTACCATGGCCTTCTAATGTATGTAAGCATTGCCCTGACGCGGGATCCCAGATCTTGATCGTGTGATCGCTAGAGCCCGATGCGAGGCGCTGGCCGTCCGGCGAAAACGCAACCGACAGCACCCTGCTACCATGGCCTTCTAATGTCTGCAGGCATTGCCCTGACGCGGGATCCCAGATCTTGATCGTGCCATCCCCAGAGCCCGATGCGAGGCGCTGGCTGTCCGGCGAAAACGCAACCGACGGCACCAAGCTACCATGGCCTTCTAATGTCTGCAGGCATGCATTCCATTCCACTTCTACAACTGGTTCCATGCTAATCCAGTCCGGCTGCTCCGTCTTAAAATTTTGTTTTACCAAACTGCCAGTTGGTGCAAACACAAGGGCTGACGTGTACGCTTGAAGAGGGGCTTGCTCTATTATCGAACTGTAGGACAGAGCAAACCGGTAGGCATCTTGTACAAAGGCTGGTAACTGCTTTGGATCGCTGTGGCCCTATTGTCTCTGTTAGTCCGACTTTCCTGTATTTTCTGCTTTTGTACTTACCAGCAGACCCTCGAGCTTTCTAATAGCAACAACGCCCGCAGGCATAGCTTGGAGTAGACTTAGAGCTTCCAGCCAGTAAAGGTACTTCGTCTTGAGGAATGTATAGACAACTCCGTTATCCTGTAAACAATCATGCCGTTTTGTGTTCGTGCCAGAAACCGAGTCACACAAGTGATCAACCCAGTAGACGCACGAGTACCGCACCGTCGCTAGCGGGTCCGGATTCGGTACTTGGACCTTGTCACTTGGAAATCCCGGTGCCCTTAAGCCGTATATGTCGCGTCGCAGTATTGTAGACATGGCATCAAGTGACCTCGAGAAGATGGTATAGTTCACATCTTCTTTCCCAGAAGGAAAAATCCACTTGAACGTCTCCTGAGAAGCTTGGTTACCAGCTTTATCAGAAGCATTGCCAAGTAGAAAGTCCTTGGCTGATTGATGGACAAAATAAATAGTTCGTTCTCGTAGCGTTAGAAATGAACCGCAACGCCCTATGATCGCTTCCAGGGATTTAGGATTGTTGCGAATAATATTGGGTAGCTTGACGAGAGTGGCTAATTCATGAAGACTGATTGGTCGGTGAACAATTGCGGTAATGGCAAGAATGTCTTTGCAAAGATTGGAATCCCGGGATAGGCTTATATCCTGTTTCATCCGCGCGTATAGAGCATCCAGCCCGGGTGGAAACGTGTGTAGGATCTCTTCGATATGCCATTCCTCGACCTCTAGGTCTGCAAGCGCTTGGCAGACCAACGCCACCCAGAGGAACGTATCTTGCGCGTTGGAGTGCAAATAGTCATGAACGACCTTTTTCGTAGCAAGATTGTACTCCTTCAGCTCTTCTAGTTGGTCCACCTTGTACCGGATGAATGCATCGACAGCTGTCGCGACGGATTTTGCATTTAGCTCCAGGGATACGTTTAATTTGGTTGTAGCTCTCTTCAATCCTTTCTCGATTTGCGGCCAGTTACGACTCGAGACGATCCACTTGACTTGAGAATATTTAGATGATTCTCGGGCGATTAAGCCAAGAAGCTGTGACGGATCTTCAACACACTCATCAAGTGCGTCGATGATTAGGTAGGTCATTCGGAGGCTTGGGTCTTGTAGGATGTTGGTGAAGATTCTCGACAGGGCGTCCCACGTATTTGCATCTTTGAAGAGGCCTTCGCCTGCACGGTCGTACTCACTCCGCACGTGTGAGAGGATAGATGGCTGCTGGTCACTAAGTAGGTAGATTAGGCCGCGCAGTACAGCGGTTGCATTGTTGATGTGAGAGTCGGTAGCTTGGCAGAAGAAGTAGGCCACATTGCAGTGGCGCGCGTTGGCAGTATCGCCTTGATCCAGCTCATTGATGATGCCGCACAGCTCATCGATAATACCGCCCAGCAACATAGTCTTCCCTTTGCCGGGGTCGCCCTTGATCCAGAGCAGTCGGTGCTGTGGGTCGTCACGCCATTGTTGATAGTCAGCGTTATTGAGGACCCAACGATACAAGTTCCGCAAGAGGCCGCCTTTGGTCCGTTCGATGCGGGCTTTATCATCGCGAGGATTGGTAAGGCGCAAGTGCTTCAGGCATTGCTGGTCCTTCTCTGACATTTCATAGCTAACGAGCTGCTCGAGATGAGACGTCACTTGCTGAGTGGTGTATGTAAATTCTGTCCCGGTCAGTCTTGATGAAGACGTGGTGAGGAATCAGTGTACTGACCTTGCTTCTCACGTTTGAGACGCTCACGTTCTTGATCAGTCCCAGAGCAAGGAGCTGTTGGATGTTAGCACAAGCCCATACCGTCACCACCCGTAATGGAAACCTACGTCCATAGTAGTAGTTATTGTATTGCGGCCCGGCGGCGTTGTTGTTATACTGAGTCCCCGGGCCGGTATTGGCGTTGAAGAAACCCGAACCAGAATTGGAGAAAGACCAGGACCTTTTCATGTTGCAAGGATTGAGCTTCGGGATGTGTATAATGCTTGCTTACAAGATCAAACGTGTGGAATTAAAGGAGTTGATCGACTTGCAATGTTCAGGGAGAAAGCGAGGGGTTGACAGAACGGAACGAAGAGATGAATATTGTCCAACTGGTTGGCCAACCAAAATTTCAAAGGTGTAGCGTCCCCAAACTTTGGTTTGCAGCTCAGAAGACTCATCCCCAACCAAAGGTGGTCTCAAAGCTGTGGGAAGGCGGATGTGCTAGCGAAATGTGCACATTTGCGGCATCAGCTGTTGACGCCTGGCCTTCCAGATCAGCCTAGGTGTCAAGATGCCCAATGGACACTACCTGTTAATCCCCAAATTCCCAGTCTGGCGTGGGTCGGCCACCAACCGCATGTGCCATTGGTAGTGTGAAGATATCCTTTCCGGGAAAGCTGAATGCGACGCCTGCCCCCACAGCTGCAAGTAAGACGCCACTCTCCTAGACTAGGATCACCGTCACTTCGAGAGAGGTCCTAAGCAAATTCGGCCAATCAGAAGCTTCAAAAGAACAACTCCGCACCGAAGATAAAACACTTAGGCTTGAAGGGTCACCTGGCCAAGAGGGGATTGTCTGGTCTGGATGCCCTCCATATCTCCCATCATGGTGGGTGGAGGTATGTGAGGCCACCAACCCGACAATCGCCGAGCCACAATGCTCACTCTTGGAGAAAAGGGTGCCAGAGCTGGGCCTTAGCCTACCTCTGTCCACCTTGGATCTTGCCTCTACCACCCCGAGTAGACGTTAAAACCAAAAGCACCTTCTCTGGTCCTTGCTGTATCTTTGCAAGCTGAGACAGCGTTGTTCTTCGTTTTGGATAATCATGTTCGATGTCAACAATTGCCCACATGGATCCCTCACACGACACTTCTCGGCACACAGTCGGCTGGATCGCCCCCTTTCCCTTGGAACTCACCGCTGCGGTGGGAATGCTAGAGGACCCCACAACAATGGAAGTTCCCGACGACGACGTTCTCTATCACGTAGGACGTATAGGCTCGCACTTCGTCGTGATGGTTGTGTGCCCGCGCATGGGTATCGAACCAGCCGCCACGGCCCTTGCCAACATGCGCCGCTCGTTTCCCAACATCAAACATGTTCTGGTGGTCGGCATCGCAGGCGGGATGCCCTGCTACGGTCCAGATCTGCAGGAGCAGATTGTCTTGGGTGACGTCGTCGTCGGCGTTCCCCAGCAAGGAAGAGGAGGTGTGACGCATTATGAGTTCGGTGCGTGGGAGGGCCAGAAAGAATTGACTGTCAAAGAGCACACGCTTCACCCGTCTGCTGCTCTGCTCACTGCGGTGAATAATCTGCGAAGCGTGCATATGCAGGTGGCGGGAAGTAAGATCCCGAAGTACCTGGAGGAGTTGCGCAGAGGCTTGAATGAGCGATCGAGGCAGGCTTATGAGGATCCTGGGGCCGAATACGATCATCTCTTTGAGGACAGCTATCTTCATACGGACAGGGGAAGATTCTGTCAAGGCCTTTGTGACGCGATGCGAGCAAAGCTGCGCAAGAGTCGGGGCAAAAGAGCCGAGCGGAAGAGTGACCAACCCCATATCCACTATGGCAACATTGGCTCGGCAAATGCAGTTGTCAGGTCGAGCGCTAAGAGAAATGAACTCCACGCGAAGCACAACATCATCTGTCTTGAAATGGAAGCTGCGGGCGTGATGAGCGACTACCAGGGTCTGGTGATCCGGGGAGTCAGCGACTATGCGGACTCGCACAAGAATAAGAAGTGGCAGGGCTATGCGGCAGCAACGGCGGCGGCATACGCAAAGGAGCTTCTGTTGCTGCTACCGGCAGGTGGAGGGTCGTCGACAGGGTCATCTCTTCCCGATGAGAGGAATGGGACTCGGGGAGATGGGTGGTATGTGGGACGGGATCAGTTTCACAACTCGGGAGGCGGGTTTATGAACTTCAATATGGGCGCAGGGTATCAAACGAATAACAACACCGCTGGCAACCAATATAATGCGCCGTTTTATGGGCATCCGTCTGCCATACCGCAGTGGCCCAAGTACTAGCAGGCGGTGTTCAAGTAGACAATGTCGTTCTCTCTCCTCCGTCGACTGGGACAACTTCTCCACCGCCGACGAGCTCCCTTGCTTTGGCGTCGCAGGCTTCGAGGCTGGCAGAAGTCTTGGTGAAGAAATCCCAGATTTCGGAGTCGACGGAATAGTTCCTTGCCGCGTCAGGACTCGGGCCAGTGATGGTGATCTCGGACGATTCCTCCATGGCGTGTTGGCTGGGTGAAATGACGAGGAAGAAGATGACGAGGAAGAAGATGACGAGGAAGAAGATGACGAGGAAGAAGAAGAGAGGAAGAAGAAGGGGAGATGGAAGTTGGATAATGCTAGACGCGGGGTTGTATAGTGCGCTGCACAAGGCAGGTTTCCATGTTGCCGCTAGCCGCAGGTGTTTGTTCTCATCGAATGCCGTTGGTAGTTCCTTCCACGAATTGGTAGTTCCTTCTACGAACTGTTTCAGGGGCACGCATCGGAATTGACCGCTTCCAACGCACTTTCCATTGTTCCTGACAACCTCCGCACATCCTTTGTTCCAGTTGTTATCCCGTAGCATGATGTGTCGCTCTTTCTCCTAGGTAGCTTTCGGCAAAGAGGCCACCTTCCTCACAATAACCTCCCCATTAACAATCCCCAAAGTCGCATCCCCCCTCTCAATCCACTCCTCCCACCCCTTAACCATCTCCTCCACCCCCTCCTCCGTCGTCAACCCCAACTCAATTCCCCGTTGCCTCATCTGCCCCGTCCTCAACCTCTCAATCATCGCCTCCCCCCACGCCTTTCTATCCCCCGGCTCACTGTAACACCAAGTCCCAAACCCAGCTTCAATATCCTTCCTCTCCACTCCAGCATCCATGATCCATGACACCAGCTTTCTGCCTCCTTTATCCTGCCCGCCGTTGGCTAGCATGACATCAACCATCAGGCCGTGGAATTTGAGGAGGGAGGGAAGTTCAGGCCAGAAACACCACATCCTCATGTCCGACTCGCGCAGCGAGATCAGTCCGCTGGGTTTGCAAACCCTGAGCATCTCCGCGACAGCAGCGACGGGGTCGTCGAGGTGGCAGAGGACCTGGTGGGCATGCACGATGTCGAACTCGTTGTCGGAGAAGGATAATTCGTAAACAGATTCCTTTTGGAAGGAGATGTTTTCCGGTACCGCTAGCCCCTGAGAGATGGCGTGCTCCTTGGCCCGCGAGAGGACGTCATCAGCGATGTCGGTCGCGAGGACATGACCGGAGGGTAGGAGGTGTTGGGCGAGAGAGGCGGAGATGGTGCCTGGACCGCAGCCGATGTCGAGGAGTTTGAGGTTGGGGTTGCAGGTGAGGGCCTTTTGGAGATGCGGGAGGAGGTGGGCGGCGCTGTTGGAGGCGGTCGCCATTCGTGGTGCTTGGTTTGGGAAGGCGCGTGCCCGATGGTGTAGGGGGTGTGTTGGGTGGTCATTTTGGGGGTTGATTTTGCGTATGTTGTTGTCGATGTCGCTGTGCAATGCAGTGGTGGTTCTTCTTGTGTGTCTGGCATCTGGTGTTGTTGATATTTAAGTTCGGAAGATCGGATGGGTGATGTCACAAGTTGCTTCTAAAAATAGGAAAGATGGAATCCACCGGCTGCAACACCCCCTCATATGTTCGTTCTCCTCTTCATCGCCATGTCCTTTTATATCCGTAACATAACCGCTCAGCATCGTCACCGCCTCCTTCAACCCCTTCAAGATCCCATGACTGGCACCCGAATCCCTCAACAAGCAAAGACCTTCAAATCATTGTCCCTCGTTTTACGCGTACGGATCACGGATGACCTTTTTACGCCATCGCCTACAATAAGCACTGCACGTTTCGAACTTCAAACATGGCTTGACTGTAATGATGAAATCAGGTCGCGCACCCATTTCATCAACCTTGCACCTCCATGGAACCGTGACTTTCTTCGACCGATCGTTAACCTATGTATCCTGTCAAATTTTAGATGATGATCTCCCGGAAACTGCGTCGGTTTGAGTCGCTTCGGGTAGATAAGAATGGAGAGGGTATGAGGTGAGGTGATGGGAAAGCTAGTGGTGTCGTGATTGTTGATCTGCCGAAAAAGCTAGCGACCTAAAGACGGTTCAGAAAATTGCAAGGTCGACGATATGGGCTTTGGTATCTTTAGTAGAGAAAGAATAGAGATATCTGACGTAAAGAGATGGATGCCACCCCCGCAAAGAAAATGAGAGAATCCACCTCGCTCCCGATCTAGACCCAATCTTGCCAACACCAAACTTGATCAAGATGGAGGACGGAAAGAAACCGAAGAAGACCGGGAGGATGCTGCCAGTCATTTCTTATAATTGTCGGTGGATGCAGGTGTTCGTCTTCGGTTCGTTGGCGAAGCAGGGCAAGAGTGTTCAAGATCGTTGAGTGGGCAGTGAGAAAATGAGCCCGAAAATCGCAACACCTCAACACAAATACACCGCCGTCTCTTCATCCTTATTCCTATTGATAACAAGCGGGCCCCAATAATTTTCCCACTTTCCTACCCGGCGACAGTAGAACCGCATTCCCGTCATCGCTCCGGTGTCGTCGGTGACTTCACACGATGGAGAATTCTCGGCCATTTGGACTTGGACAACCATCAACCCCAACTGAAGAGCTCGTCGCCCACCCCTCGCGAGATGATCGAGTACCAACAAGCAGCATACCTCATCTTTTGAATAGAAATTTTCGCCGTCGTCCCACGTCAAGATCAAGTCGATGGACGGCACGTCATATAACTGCTTTTTGTACGTTTTCAGAGCCAGGATCCCACTTTCTTGCATACCGGTGGTCGTCCTGCCGAAAACATCGACCTGGCATTTCCATGTAAGTGAACCAGAAGATCCAAACCAGAAGGATTTGGGTGCTTCGGTAGCTGCCCATGACCATGAAGGGAGGCCCAGGGTCGTACTGGCATGCGACTCGGGGTAGGATTGACGTTTTAACAGTTTCTGGGCCATCTCATCGCGATCTTGGCGTCGTTTCTCGCTATCATCGGGATACCAGCCCGGGTTAAACATCTCGACATTGAGGACAGTAGAGAAGCCCCAGAGGAGGTCAAAAGGCCAAAGCTCCTGCCAGCTCCCGAGGGTATAGGTCCAGCCTTTGCTCTCTTCTATTGCTGTTACCATTCCGGCAAGTGCGATGAGTCTGTCGGACGGGTAGGTGAGTCCGGTGGCGGTGTAATAGGTGAGTAAGGTCGTCCAACAGGCAGCGAGTTCATGCAAATGTTGTGCGTATTTTGCGTCTTCGTTGTCATTACCCATATCCATGCCCGTCTTCAAGCTCGCAGGGAAAGGATCCTGTAAGTCTTGGTATACGGACTTTGCGTTAGCGGTCCAGATAGATTGAGAAGCCTCAGCATCCTTCTTCAAGCCAGTTCCAAAAGGGCAACTTTCTGAGACCGCATGGAGACGACACTCCCAGTAGAGCTCATCTGCCCCGTAGTAGATGATCCGAGGCGACAGCAAACGCTCCTGGACGATCCAGCCTCGTGATAGGAGCGGGTTTTTCTGAGTAGCGCCCCATAACATCTCGTCCACGTTGGTTTTGTGCTTCTCACGAATGGCGTAAAAAGATGTTCTCCCAGCGGTGTTGACATTTTCCTCGCTTTGGGCCCCGCCCCCCATTGCGCCATCCGACAAAGGAGACGTGATGATGGGGGAATACACTTTCAGGGGGTTTCGCCCTGAGAAGCAAGTGTCGGCATTGGCGCCTTGACCTCCTGCCATGCCCATTCCCGAAGCAAAGATGGTCAACAAAGAGTTACCGTAGACGGCTGCCATCGTCTGGGCCTCCCGCTTCCAGTCCTCTGATGAGTCCTGGATAATGCAGAGAGAGTCGATCCAGATATATCGGTAACCTAGTTGCTGCGTGATTCGCATTGCATCGAGGAATGTCTGGGCTAGACCGTCGATTGGTATTCCTCCATGTTCGGCTGCTTCAGGTTTCTGCCAGTCCTCGATATTCTTGGTTGTTAGCCTTAGAGATGATCCGGTCAAGGCCCATGAGTGACTGAGAGTGAGATATGGGATCGTTGCCGGTGTTTGGGAAGTCGCGTTTGGGACGAAGATGCGCGGTCGTGTAAGCTTCTTCTGTCCATTGTTGTCCGCAACACCTACATCGACGAGCCTTGTCGGGAGTCTCTCAAAGTTGGACCCCTTGCATTCTGGATGGTTATTGAGGCAGTCATCTAGCCAGTGTCGCACAAGGCCAAACGCTTCAGGTGAATCAGTCGAGGAAGGCAACGCGAACATTGAACCATCTGATAGTCTTTGGGGTAGAAGAGATTTCGCTCCTACGCTACCATCGGTCCGTTCGAGCTTGAATGTCGCCAATGGGGTCGTAGCCGAATCACCTTGAGGCTCTTCATCTTTGGAAGGGTCCGGCAATGAAGCCCATTTGTCGTCCCACTTGGCGCGGGAAGTAGCGGAAAATGAAACAATCGGAATGTCCCTTCCATCACCCTCGAAAGCCCTCGATCGGCGACATTCGACCATGACTCTCTGGTCATCCCCGGCGCGCGAAAAGTTGTGCTCTTGACTGACTTGTGTGCACAGATGGCAACCGGCGGCAATTACCGAGTCAATCAACATCTGTTTTGCATTCTTGCCGTGGAAGAATCTCTCGCCTGCCCAGTCAGGGTCGCCCACCGGTCTCGGTTGCCAGAGTGTCTTGGATGCTGTGAGGGCGCGGGAACAGCGTTTGCATAAACGGTTGGGTTCCATGTCACTGCTCTCGAGAATATGTTTAGACTGTCGAGGCGAACCATCGTCTTCGCATGATGACTCTTCAAGAGGTTTGCCGTCCATTGTGGTCAGTCGCTGCCGTTACTGTGGAAAGCGTCGAAGTAGAAAGACGCTGGTTGTTTCTCTTCAGAACGGGAATCGGACGTAGTAGTTCAGTGGTAAAAAGGAGTGAGAAATTAGGCAGCAATGAAGGATTAGTCGCACATCTCCGGAAACCTCTTCGCGAAATGGCCAATGGATAGCAAGCACACGCGACCTGTCGCAAGACCCATCACCGTATCACCTCATCGAGGATGGTAGGCAATTGCGGACAGCATCATGGCGTGGTAGTGGCATCGTATGGATTTCCCTCGAGGAAAACATTTGGCAGAGAGGGACACGGGCTATTTATCGACGAGCGAGAAGAAAAGAGTTGAAACAATGGGAGAGCAATGTGTGGGAAAATGCTTCATTGGCGGCCTGAAGGAAAAAAGAGGAATGGCGGGCCAGGCCAGGTTTAAATACTACCACCATGGAAAATCTGGGTGGGGTGCTCTTTCCCAACGTCACAGAGTTGAAGGAGGAGAAGTGGAAGGTGGTAACGGGACTGTGAAATTGGAGGAACCTGGAAGACATTCCCGCCTGTACAGATAAGCGCGATAAGGCCGATAAGATAAGCAAGCACCAAAACACCAAAAAAAGATCACCAAAAAACATACAGCACCTGGGATTCGCTGGTCGTCACCGACCCAACTACTAGTCAGGCGATTAGTGGCTTATCTATGGGAGAGCGGACGGGATCCCGAGTTTTCCACTATCTATGGCCGTATGTGCTCTGTTGAGACAAAAACAGGACTTATGAAGCAAGGAACAACAAGTACCGTAAAAGCTCGGGAGATCCGGATTTCGGGTGTGCAGAAAATTCCCTTTGCACACGAAATGTCTTTCTTGCTGTCGGCCTATTCCCTGTTTCTTTGCAGAATCGCCGTACCAACCCAACATTTTACATCCATGCAGAGGTGTATAAATCCCAGGCCCCAGGCCTGGTGGACGGGATTCCTGCGTCTTTCCCCATTCATCACTTTAATACAATCCATATCAGAGGTATCAGCCAAGCCATTGCCTTGTCCTGACATCACCCATCGGTGATCCTTTGTCCCCTACCGTCTTATACAAACAGCAGTGAGGAATAACAGCAGGCAGTCAGAGCCTAGAGGAGGACTGTTTTCGGGAAGACAAACTCATCACCAACCATGACGCCTCCGAAGCCCGCCAACCCCACCACGTTCACCGAGCCCTTCCTCCAGACGGCCGAAGACTGGCCCAACTGGGAAAATGCACTCCTGCATAAAGCCGGTAAACTCCATCGCTACGTTCTGGCAAAGGAGCAGGGCGTCAAGGAAGTCGTCGCCCCAGAACCAGCCCACTACAACCTCACAGCCGAAGCGAGGGGACGGGTCTTAAAGGCTGGCCGAGAGCTTCACGCCTTTGATGACGGGGACGAGTTCTTCATGGACATCGTCATTGCCGAAGTCGGATCCCGTAAGACGGTCGAAAAACCCCATCACCCTCGCAACGAGATCCTCGACGACCTGTTTGTGTCGCTCGATGATCTCACTCCTAGGGGAAGGGCTGCATATGAGACCGATATGGCTACCTTTGAGGCCAGGTATACGATTTGGAAAGATTTCGAGAAAGCCGATACCGCCCTGAGAGCTTGGATGCTCGATTCAGTTTGTCCAAACTATTCCAGGGTTGCCTTCAGGCATGGGTGGCCTACGCCTGCTTGGTATGCCAAGCTCGAGGAGATGGTGGACTACCGGGGCCCTAGTCAGAAAGAATTGAGACGGCAGGCTCTTAAGGAGTTGAGTATACACCCTTCCGTTGGTTGATTTGCATGCTCTGCGGTGCTGTGTTGCTGATTCGTGTGCATACGAAACTCAGGTTGAGAAATAAACGGGAATCCTCACCTTAATGAAGCTCTCTGGGGAGACATGAATTTTGCAACGTGAGCAGGAGACCGCGAACAGATATCTCGACGTTGTCCAGTTCACCGTTACTATGAACCGGCTTCTGAAGCTGTTCGCAGCCGAGCTTGGTTCCAAGGAGGAGGAGTCCGCGATCACCCATGTGAAGTCAGTGGACCCTGAGAAGGATGGACAGGAGAAGCTGGCTAAAGGAGATTATATGGGAGGGATCAACATCTTAATGGCTTGGAGCTTTGGGGAAGGGGAGTATGATGCGGCGGTGAAGGAGGAAGATGTTGCGAATGAGTTGTTGGGGACGGTTGCTAAGGGGAGCGGAGAAGGGGGTGGAGGAGTGGGCGAGGGAACATGTGAAGTCTCGCGGTATTTGATGTTTTTTGAGGGAGGGTAAACGGGGCCCAGAGGCAACAAAGAAAAGATGTTGGAAGATAGGAAACGAATGGATTGAAGTTCATTGCTTGCACGGGGCAGTGAACACGGCTCATGCAGATGGCGACGCGGACGTGCAGCGATTGGAGATTGCCGGCCTGCAGCCGTGATCATGATGCAGGCAGGTGAAATGATACTTGCACCTGCCCTTTGGAACCAGCTCTGGGCCGAATTCAATGGAAGTCACTTGCCCTGAAGTCAGGTCGCACTTCCCTCTCTCGCGATTATTCCATCAACAACGCGGACATGGAACGCACATCAGCTGGAATGGGCAAGAGCGTTTCAGGATGATGCTTCCAAGACTCCTGGACGGAACACATCCCCCAGAAAATTGTCCGCTTCCTCGTTCCCCCTCCCTCGTTCACAACCCACAATTCTTTGCCTCTTTCTTATCTCTCTGCTCAGTGTCAAGTGCACGGCCACCCCGAATAATCCAGCTCTTCTTTTTGACTAGAACATCATTATTCGTATCTTTCTCTGCCATGACATATTCTTTCTTCCACTATGGACAACGAATCTCATGTCTCGTTGGCTCGACCGAGAGGCGTATGGTTGTCGGTGAAATGACCACTGACATGCAGGTGAGTCTCGACTGCAACTTCACCTGTCACCAGAATACTCCATCCACCTTGCTAAACCTGTCCGCTCAGACATATCCAGTTTCGAGATCCTGGTTGATGCCACCGGCCCGCCATCGCTCAAGACTCGAACGAGTGGTTTTGGTAGCACTTGACCTGGAAACCTTCCAATCAAAGTAACCCGCCTTCGAGTTGCTGTCGTGTATTACGGGGTCAGTCACTGAGACGGCGATTGCTGTCCAGACCACCATCGCTTTCATGTAGGAGTACCACCATTCCAGCATCCCCCAACCGCGCAAGCATATAGGCGGCCAACGATTCCTCCTCCGTGTTCTCCCTCCAGACTGATTTGTCAGTCAAAGGAACCCGGTGGCGGTGGTAGTCCATCCACACCTTACTCTTCCTCTCCATCTTCCTCTCCATCTTCCTCGCCATCCTCGTCATCTTCACCTTCCTCCTCATAGTCACCCTCCAACATCTCCACCACCTCGTTCAGCCTCTCATACATGGAATACCCATCCGCCTCCTCCATCAACTCCCTGACCTTATCGGTCCAGCCCTCCTCGTCCAACTGCGCCAGCTCATCCTCATCAAAGTAAGTCATCATCTCAAGCAACTTCTCCTCCATCTCCGTCGCTTCATCATCGTCGTTCCTCGCCTGATGCCCAATTTCGTCGTTTGGCGCTGTAACCACACACATCATGATCTCGGTCATGGTTTCGACTGCGCTCTTCCGGGTTCCGTACGAACAATCGTATCCTCCGGCCTTCTTGACAGTCTTCAGAATAGTATCGAACATTTTGCCGATGTCGGAAACTACATCGAAAGCCTTCTCGTACGCCTTTGAGCTGGAAAGACGGGCGTACTTGGTGTTGAGCATGTCCCAAGCGCTTTGGGAGTAATGGGTGAAATTGATGACGCGGGCGCGCTCGCGGGCCCTTTGAAGGTCATGTTGATGAGCAAGGATTGAGTTGATGTAGGGGTCCCGGGCGGCGGCATAGGCGAGCAACGAGTTGGTGAAGGTGGCAGGAAGGCGGGCGATTTGGGAGGAGGGAAGCTCCTGGGCGTTGAGGTTAAAGTCGGGAAGCGTGTTGAGATCGCCGTTGAAGTTGGCGGGGAGGGTTTGAGTCTTTCCGGGTCGCGACGCGGCCACAGGCTTCTCGTTGTCGGAGGTGAGATCAACGGTTTCGCTGCGCTGGCGCTTGGCAGGGCGCGAGGAAGTGGCGCGACCCGTCATATTTTCTTCGGACTGCGATTTTATCCCTTTATGCTGGACGCTCGTTGCAATTGTTGAGGTCAGGTAAGGACTGCGGGAAGATCAAAAAGAGGAAGAAGCTGTCAAGGACTGAAGATTTCAACCGCGCTTTATCTGTCGGCGGGGTGTTGTGCCCCGTGCTTTACCCGACTGACCGCTTTCAGGTTCTGGTACCGGTATTTGTTTTGGACTTCGCGCACTCCCCTTTTTGGTTGTGGTGAAATGGTGATTTTGGTGTTTTGCACCACAACGCTTTGCGCTCTTTCCCATATCAACGGTCAGTAAACGCGTCCCGTTCTATGCATATCTGCCACATTAGCAATTGTCATGATTCCATCACGCTCACAACGCGCTCGCACCTGCATCTTCGGGACTTGCGGGGGCATCGATGGTCTTCGTGACGCAACACAGCTCCCCACTCGCACCACTCAACTCACACTGTTGGACATCCGTGCCCTGGAGCGCATTCACTTGACTTTGCATTCACTGGCACTCGGTCCCATCATCCCCTTTCCCATCTTCGGGTACTCAGTAGGTCACGCTAGTAACTGGGCAGGAACACCAGTACCAAACCACTTACTTTTTTTTTTGTCGTCGCCGTTTCACATCCATCACTCACGTATGCTTCTTTACATAACAACCGCAGCGCAAAAGAACTCGTCAGATAACGGCACAATCTCTCCGAGTACCACAAAATAGTACCCATGGACGTACTGTTGGAGCACTTTTGTAGCCGATATGCAAAGCTGTCATCGATCGTTCACCAGCGGCCACTTTATCGTGAAGCAAGTTACCTCAGGTGCACCACATTTGCAAAGGAAGGGGTTCGGAGTGAAATAGATGCAAACCCAGCTTCGAAAGAAGGATTTTCCATACATGTAAAATACAATGATCAAGCTGGCAGTTGCGGCAGTAGTGAAACGCAATCAAAAGGTGCAAGAATCGTCGAGTGTCTACACCCCCTTTTTTCCTGAATTTGTGATGTACAACTTCCAAACCAACCATCCAATGAATATCCCCGGCTTTATAAGATGAGGACACGGAAAAGACAAGTACATACGACCATACCCACCGGAAAACTCGGGATCCCGTCCGCTCTCCCATAGATAAGCCGGTGAGGGCCAGACTAGTAGTTGGGTCGGTGACGACCAGCGAATCCCTGGTGTTGTATGTTTCTTTTTTGGTATTTTTCTTTTTTGGTGTTTTTCTCTTTTTGTGTTCGGGCCCGCCTGCCTATCTCCACAGCTCATGTTCTCCTCCACTATTCCTATGTTTTTTTTGTTTTTTTTAGTGTTCGCTTCGTTCCCCTGGTGGCGACCTCTGATGTATTTACACATTCACGGATGAGAACTTGAAGCTTTGCCGGATGGAAAACGTATCGTAGTTGTCGTTGTCGTTGTTGTTGTCGTTGTCGTTGTCGTCGTCGTGATTGTTGTTGTTTTTGTTTTCTCGTGCAAGCGCACGAATCCAGATTTTCGACATCGCGAATACATTAATTTAGGCTAAATTCTCTCTGTGGAGCCTCAGCAGCTTCGAAGGTGGGTTCAGCATCACCGTAATGGCATCAGCGGCTGAATGGGAATATCAAATGATCACCGCCAGACCGGAGGACTTATAAGGGTGGCCGGTCGTCCTGACTTCAGCGTCTTTCTGGACTTTCGCTCCCACGACAGTATTGTCTGCTGTCTGTTGTCTCTTGCCTGTTGGCTTCTGTCTGTTCTTTTCTTGATCAAGCAGATGACAGAACATGCCACGGAGTCGGGAACACTCAGAACATGTCACGAACTCGGAAACAGTCAAAGCTGAACTATCATCATCTCTTTCTCTACGCTTCTCGATGCTAATGAAGCTTGTACGGTAAGTCGGGTAGGTAGGTTAACCTGGGTATCGTACATCAACTGCTCAACTGCAACTGCAACTGCAACTGAAACCCATTCAAGTATATTTCCCTCCTCCTCTCCATTCCTTCTTTCCTTTCTTCATTTCCTCATCAACTTGGTTCCGTTCATGAAGTCTGAACGAACCATAAAAGAAAAGAAACAGCCAATGCCAAATGATCCCTTCCCTTCCTGACACCCATCCTGTTGTTACCATATCCCTTCCGTTATCTGCTTTTCATTTCCCTTTCCCTTTCCCTTTCCCTTTGCTTTCCCTTTGCTTTTCTCATTAAATCCCACCCACCGAACCACCAAGGCCCGGTGCCGTTTCCGCAACAACAATAACACCAAATCAACAAGCCAAGCCAGCCATTTCATTCCATCATCACACAGCCATCACAGCCATCACAGCACTAAGGTGACAGCTCACCACTCAACTGCGTGGCCATCCAATCCCTCTCAACCTTGACCACCTCAGTCTTAGTCCAAAGACCCTTCACAGCAGTAACATCCCCGTTCTCCAACGCCTGAATCTGCTCCAGAATCTCCGCCTTCCTCTGCATAGTCAACAGACCCTTACGTCCCATCGCCCTGCGCTCATGCGCCTCGCGATCCTCATCGGTCTTAGCGATGATTTCGGGTTTGCCGGCCTTGGGTTGCCAAAGGAGCTTTGGCGAGGGGAGAGAGTCTTCGTACGACTCAAAAGGAGAAGCGGGGGAGGGGGGAGAAGTCCAGAGGGTGGGGATTGGCGAGGGGGTGGGTTGGGGGAGGGGGGAGGGGGCTGTCCAGAGGCCGTTGTCGGCTTGGCTGGGGGTGCTGGGGGAGGGGGAGGAGATGGTGAGTTCGGGGACGTCGATGGACTTCTCCTCCTGATCATGCTCCAAGTCAACGCTAGTGGCCGTGGAGGGACGCTGGCTCAGGGGAAAGGAGTCCATGGAAGCGGGGCCGTCGTTTTCCGAGTTGGTGGTGCCGCTGGCGGTGGTGGCATGAGACACGCTGGAGCTACCGCGACGCCTAGCCACGGAGCTTTCGCGGGCGACCTGCTGAGCGAACAACTTCTCTTGCTCCAGAGCTTCGATCTGGGCTTGGATCTTGGCCTTGCGAGAGGCTTCGATCTCATCAAGTGACGGGACCTCCGGGACGTCAGGCACGACGGCAGATTCCTCGGGGATGAGACCCATCTCCGCCTCGATGGCATGGATCTGAGCGATGATGGACTCCCTCCGCTTCTTGCCGCTGCTGCTGGAGTGGCTGCGGCTGTTCTTGCGGGAGGTGGTGGAGGAAGTGCTGGCAGAGCGGGAGTGAGATCTGGAAGCGGACGAGCCCGAGCGCTGATGACGACGAAGCTTCTTGTGAGCGTAGGCGGACATGGCCGGGTGGACGGACTCCTCGGGGCAGGTGATGGCGAGAGAGCCGAAGAAGACGGGGTGGACACAGGCGGCGTCGTAGGTGTAGCCTGTGGCGGCGGGGTGGAACCACTCGGAGGTGGTGGTGAGGGATGAGCCGGCGAAGACGGGGTGACGGATGGCCGAGTTGAAGACCGGGCCGGCAGACTTGATGATGGAAGCCTGGATGGCCTCCTCAAGGGCAGCAGCCCAGTCGGCAGGGGTGGCGGTGATGCGGCCGCTGACGGTCTTGTTGATATTGAGGGGATAACCGCTGGCGATGAGAGCCTCCTTCAGATCCGCGGGGGTAGCCTGAGGACGAGGCAGACGTGCAGCCTCAGCCTTGTCGACCTGGGCATTGGCCGCTAGGCTCAGAGTGATCCAGTGCTGGAACACCTGTCTGCTAACGCCCTTAGCGGCAGCGGCTTCGGGCGTCCAGAGGCTGTCGGACATGAGCCGATCCAACGGCCTCCATGAGTCGGCAGCCTTACCCTGGGGTGTGCGGTGCATGTTGACGGCGGCCGGCTCCTGCTCGGTGGTGCGGTTGTCGGACGTCGACTCACGGCCCAGGACAAAGAGACCTTTTGTTTCTGCCGAGCGAGGTGAAGACAAAGTCTTATTTTCGGGTGATTCACCGGGGCTCCATAGGCCGGTCGAGATTTGCAGGCGCGTCTCCACGGCTTGGTTTTCGCTGGTCTCCACTCGGGGCGGAGCTGGTGCGGGCGCCGAGTCATCGGCCAATGCGGCACGGGTGGCGACGACGGCCTGGGCTCCCTGGTCCAGGGTTGAAGGAGTGGAGTCGGCAGTGTCCTGCATTTGTAAAAATCCTTGGTGATCATATTGTTCAGCAACATGTTCTTGGTCATCATGGGGATGATCCTCGGCAAGGCCGATCAGGATTGAATGCTCACTGGAAGCATCATCATCTTCGTCAATGTCGGTGGCGGACGCAGAGGCGGATTGCTCCTGGTGGCTGCTGCCGCTGCCGCCGTCGTAGTACTCATCGACGCTGTAGGCAGGAGTGGCGGAAAGGAAGAGGCTGTTCCTCGAGGGGACAGCAGTCGAGTTCAGGAGGCTGGCAATTTCCCAGAGAGTCGTCTCGTCGAAGTCGTCTTCATCATCGCTTTCCTCGCGCTCATAGTCGGACTCGGGATCTTCATCGTCGTAATCGTCGAAGAAGGAGGTTCCGGAGTAGTCGGGAGTGGACGACGCCCTAAGAGAAGGGACTCCGGAGCTCATGGTGCCGGGCATGGAGCGACCGAATGGACGCGGTTGAGGCATGGTAGCGGTGTCGGACTTCTCGCCCCAGGGGAATTGGAAGAGACCAAGGGTGCCGCGCTTGTCGGGAAGAGGCTCGGGGTTTTCGAGGATGTCGGGAAGAGCGCTGACACGCTTGTTGCGACGAGGAGGGCGTTGGGTTACGGGTCGCGGAGCCTTTTGAGGTTGCGGTTGGGGAGTTTCTTGCAAAGAGAGACGCTTGAAGTCAGCGGGAGGGGCGACAGAAGCCCAGGAAGGTCGCCAAAGTCCGGTGGTCTCCTTGGTGCTGGTGTATGGTTTACGCCAGAGATATTTGGAGGAGATTTGGAGGTGAGCAAGATCTTTTCTAGCCGCAGGACGGGTAAAAATATCAGGGAGATCAAGTACCAGTGAAGGGGCCTCGAGAACCTTGGGAGGAGGCGACCACAAACGGTTTGTCGTGACGGCAGAAACCTTGGGTGGCGGGGTCCAGAGTGAAGGCTTCTTTTCATGTTCAGCCTTCTTCCACAGGCGAGTGCTCGTGATCTCAAGAGGGGCCAGAACCTTCCGCGTCGCAGGACGGACAAATGCATCGGCCTCCGGGAGAGGCGTCGGGCATTCACTTGCAACCTTGGGAATATGCGCCCACAGTGCATTTGTCTCCAAAATCTGCACCGGGACAGGAGGCGTCCAGAGTGAAGGGGCCTTCTTCACATTCACTGTAGGCTTGGACCACAACTGCATGCTGGTGATTCTAAGGGGAGACAGGTCCTTGCGAGCCGCAGGCCGGACAAAGGTTTGAACCTCCGATGTCGCGATCGTGGAAGTAGGTGAAGCCTTAGGCACGGGCGTCCACAAAAGGTTTGCCGCGACAGTAGTCTCCTGCGGCGCCGGAGCCCACAGGGACACGGTCTTGACTGCCTTCTTGGACAGCCAATTCGACACAGCATCCAGCTGAGCGGATAGAACCGAATCATCATCACCAGAGACATCAGAGTCAGGAGGAGTAGGGCTACCAAGCTGGACATTAGGCAGCGGAATAGGCAAGAAGTTGCCGCTGGGTTGACGGAGTCTCTCAGCTGCTGTCTCCATATAGTCGATATGCGCCTCCGTCAGACGCTTCTGCCAGATGCTCATGTGTGACTTGACAGCATCTCTCGAGAGTCTGTTGGGATTGTAGCTGCCACTATTGCGCAACATCGTCTGGCGAGAAGCCCTGCGTTCAGCGGCCATGGCTCCAACAGCCGGACCGTGTCCAATGACAATGCTGCCAACAGTAGAATCGTATCGTGAGTTTCTGTTAGCCGGAGAGTTGGTCTGCATGCTGCACAACGAATCACGGCCCATATCATGCTTCATTTCCTGCCAGTGATTCTCGTGAATACCCATCTCCTTCTCCAAATCCTCAAGTAGCGCGAGGCGTTCAGTGTGGTCCTTCGAGTAAGCCCCGGTCACGGGCTCTTCAAACTTCTTAAGCTGTTCCTGAATCTGGCGGAGTGCATGTTCTGGAGACTCAAGGGGTGAAGGCTCGGCCTGAACCATGACCGTGTTCTTGCGAGGCCCGTTCAACGGCAGAGGGGAAGGAGGTGGCATCCTGATTCTTGACTTCCTATCAGAGAAAACGGGGCACTTGTCACCGACCCGGCGAGCTTGCACTGGAGAGGTTTGCTTGGGTGCTGGCTTGTTTACGACCGCAGTGTTGACTTCTGGGCGCTTCACTTCCTTTGCAGGTTCTTGACTGGCTGGAGGAACCTCAGGTTGAAGCTTGGTTTCGCTCTCCTGACGAACAGTCTTTACCACTGGCCGAGGCATAGGTTGGGCCACAGCAAGGCCAACAGTGACTTGTGTATAGCGGACGGAGCTCCAGGTTGTATCGGCCTCATCAGGCGATTGCGAACCCTCACTATACATCGACTCTCGTGGTGGATTGACAGGAATAACTGGGGATGATGCCCGCTTTGCCGCCATATCTGTCTCGTACTTGCTTTCGGTACCGTTTCTCGACTCCTCAACGATGGTAGAAATGTTCTCGGTCTTGGCTGTGGTTTTTGTTGGTTGGCTCGGCTGGCGCACCTCCTCGGAGTCCACTGAAGAGGGAGATTGAAGGTAGGAACTGGCAACAGCAGGAACCTCGGGAACTGGTGGCATTTTATTTGGCATCTCACCAGGGTACATGCGTGCGATTTTCTCGGTGACCGTCATGCTCCTGGTCCGGTTCGGTTGCGGGCGAGTTCCTGCACCTGCACTCTTCGGAGGAGCGGGGGGCGGCGGCATGTCTTCGGACATATACACGGACTTCTTCACTAACGAGCCGCTAGATTTACTCCTCCTATGCCCGGCAAAAGGATTAGGATCGGCCACCTTTCTCGGAATGGGCCGAGGTCGGTGTACAACCGATTCAGGGGTCCCAGGAGATTGAGGCTTGTTGATGGTCCTGTCATCGGAACCCTGCAGAATGTCATGTACAAGGGCGGGGTCGTCATAGATGACATTATTAAGGAAAAGAACAGTCTGCTGACGTTCTGCGCCGGGTGCATCCTGTTCTAGGTTCAATGCTCTGGATTTGGGGTTTGATGGCAAGCCAGTAGTGGGTCGCCTTTGAAGTACAGTCAAGGGCCTCTCCTGTGGTGGCGCGGGAGGGGAGGGAGGTAACTGTCTCGAAGGACGGATATCGAGATTCGGCAGCGGTTGTTCGAAGTCCTCGGGAGGGGACACGGATCGAGACGGGAAAGTGGACTGTCTCGAGGCCTCTGATGGTTTTGGCGACTGGCGCGGTGATCTTTGCCTGATTCCACTCGTTCCTGGCGACAGTTGTGTTGAAGAACTCATCCCCATGTTTTCCGGACGAAGAGAAGAGCCGGACGAAACTGGTGATCCAACCTCCTTTCTCTTCAAGCTCACAGCTCTGTTCACGCCCTCTCTGGGATCCATTGCTGACGGCTGCATATTCATCTCCCTCTTGGCCTGGCTCGTTTGCCTGAGCAACTTCTCCCTTCGCTCCCTCTCTGCCCTCATGGCATCCTGCAGGTCCACAGTAGGAATCTTATCGAGCGGACTTTTGCCGGTGTCCTGGAGAATGGGATTGCTGATCTGCAACCTTGCACCGGCCGAAGCCCCCTTCTTATGGAGGCTGCCCTTATGGAGACCAACAGCAGCCTTAACGGACCTGTTCCTTCGAACCGTAGGGGCGGTATTTGCTCGGATAGGCGGAAACAGCTGTCCTTCAATAGGAACTCCGCCCATGCCAGCCACTCCAGTGATGGGCAGCGAGATCGTCGGGAGTCCATAAGTAGGTTGGTTGTTTGTCGCTGGTGCCTCTCTAGGGTTGATGAATGCTGTCTCGGACCTGATGGCTGCGTCCTTGACATCTTGGTAATTACCGCCGGGAAAGTAGGGATCGGATGAGGAGATATCGCGACTGATTTCGACACGACGAGGAGAGAGCGCTTCGGGAGATTTGGATCGCAACATGCTGGCGGAGCCGAGGGTGCCAGAGCAGACAGTAAGGATGACTGTACACAGTTAGCCAGTGGGATCAATATCCAGAATAATGGCACTTACTGATTAGGATGGTCAGGCCGATGGCAGGCAGAGCGGTTCTGACCACAAGGGCAACATAACGGAAACCAAGGTGTAAGGTTACGCTGGTCGCGATCCAAACAGCCAGACCAAACATAACCCAAAACAGCGCCTTCCGCCTAGCGTCCTGAGATTCGGTGTTGAGCTGAGTGTTCTGGGCCAAGGCGCGTGAGATGAGACAAAAGAAAATGGCGGCGTCCATGGAAATGACGGCAATCGAAATGGGAAGTTCGGAAGAGGCAGCGACGCAGAAAGAATCGGTTTGGGGTCGAGTGAATCCAACAAACACGCCTCCAGCAACGAGTCGACCGAGTATTAGGAGTTGGGCGATGATCTGCACGGCGGATACCTTCTCCCCTGTGTTCTGCGCCCAGTGAAGGTATTGTTCGATGGAAAATCGGGCAAGTTGGTCGAAGATGGTAGCGAATATTATGCCGATCTGGCAATGTGTCGACGAGTTGTCGACTTTGAGTAGAATAGAAATAAAATCGCTAAGTGCCCACAGGGCAGCGGTCGACAGAAAACCGACGAGGACCAGCCTCTGGCCGTCCCGAAGTATCGCAGTGCCATGACCTTTTGCGTAGAGAGCGAGAGCCGCCGTCGCGGCGTATAATACAAGACCACTGTTGACATGTTAGCTTGTGTGAGTGATATGTTGTCTACTGACCATGCATGAACTGACAAAGTGAAAGCCGCAACGAGGGCCTCGGTGGCGCCTTTGACGGCCATGGTGAACAAGAGTGGATATGGTCAGTTGGCAGAATCGAATATCAACGGGCGGAAAGAAGGGAACCCCAGTCAATGGGGGTATCACAACAAAAAAGAAGAACACGCTTGATAGAAAAGAATTAGTCAAAAAGAATGTATCATATCGACGGGCCTTGCGTTACTGTGAAGATGAAGTTGTGAATAGCGGCAATGACATGCTTTGGGGGGTTCAAGCGATGTACAGAGTTGCCAAACGCCAGTTCAAGATGGAGAGAGGAGAAGGAGAGAGAAAGGAGAGTAGAACAGTTTCTTTGAACAGTGGCCAACCGGCCGGGTGTGTGTATCAGACTGACTACCAACGAACCGGTGTTGGGGCGGCTGCCAAGGAAACAAGCCCCCAACTTGGACTCGGATGTAGTATGTCTAGTATCGTGACCCAAGAAAATCTGGTGTTGCCGTGGACCCGGGGATCCCAGCATCACGAGTCCGTCGGCCGGGGAAAGCTCACGGGAGCACAAGCTCAAACAGGAGCGGTGCAGGGGAGTGCACCAGGAGTGGCGTAATTGTTCTTTATGCTGGAACAAGGCCTGGAGGGTGATTGGCTGAGGAGGCGAGGCTGACAATAATAGAGTTGTGTTAATGGTGGTGATGCCTCCTTTATGCCCCTTGGAGGTGTTTCAGCCGAAACCCAAGACGTTCCATTACGCTCTGGCACTTGCAAGGGGTCTGGATCTGGGCCACCTGGACTGGATCTTGATAAATCTCCGTGCGGCTGCTGCATTCTTTCATCTGGAAAGAAAGATTCGTGCGCATGGATCTTGGAAATATTGGATCGAGTGTTTGTGGCCGTCCTTGATGGTCGTATGTGGTGGCAGTGGCGGTAATGTTGACGCAATCGCGGGGTGGTCCAAGAGCACGGTGAACTCCCAACAGTTCGTATTCCGCCCATGGTCAGTCCTTAAGTTGTCCGAGTATAGCATTGTCGCCATCTCGGCAGCATTTCCGGGACATTGTTTGTATCCATCTGAGATGTGACTGTCGGAAGATTCTGATGACGCGAAGAACAAGATCGCGATCCGAGGCCGTGACATGGTTTGGATCAATTGAACTCGGCAAGGCCCGAGGAAAGCACAAGAATAAACAAAGCGATCGGGGTGCCGTGGTCATCCCTTCTCGTATTTCAAGTGTGGTGACGATCGGACGACGTTGAACTTCAGTCGCGACGACGTTGAACTTCAGTCGCGACGACGTTGAACTTCAGTCGCGACGACGTTGAATGAAGGCGGACACGAGATGACAAAGTGAAGAAGAGACGAAGTGACTTTGCGAAAGGGAACAATTCAAGGGGTCCGTGCACTGACCAATGAGAGCAAGGAGTTCCTGGGGGTGGAGCCGTATGGTGGGGTCGACCTCCGTGTGGGGGAGCCCCTCTTTTCGTTTTGTCATTGTCAATTCGTCCTCATCTCGTTCTTCATTCTTTCCTCTCCGTTCCACCACCATGTATAAATGAGTCTGATATAGCTCGCCTCAACGAAAGAAACGACTCATCCTGGAGCATCACCAAACACGCTAGTCCTTTCATTTTGGAAGTTTGTTGTTTCCGTCATCCGTTTCCTCGGGTGTGGTCACTGGACATCACCTCGTTGACTCGATCTTAAGCACCACGGAAGTCCGTGATGAGGCCCATATCAATAAGAACGGTATCTCCCAGTTTGGCAACACATGAATAGATGGGGTATGCTGAAATGGCATCACAACTACCAATGGATGAAAACGCCCTCGTTTAATCGTCACAGTTCTTCTACAAACCTCCTCGATCTGCTGTCATCGATAGCACTAGGTACATGAGCATGTCATCCAAAAGGCGTGAAATCCATCCCCCATGGCCAAAGCCGAGTCAAGCCGGACCCATGTTCGGGCCGCATCCGGGATGGCGTGCCCGTTCCGCTGGCGTTACTCCTCATCTCCCCGCTCCTCTGCTTATCACCACTCACTTGCCATATCAGCATGTTGATTTCCTCACACCTTCCCGTTGGTAGGATCAACAGATGACCTGCATCGTGAGTCACGGGTGGATGTGTCATAACCTTTCACTTTTTCATTTCGGAAGTCGAAGAAATTCAGATAAAAAAGCAGCCCATCAATTCCACCATCCAAGTGTTCTCAACAGTGACAAAGAACCTGTCGTGACCTTCAGCACTCCTCACCTCATCACCCGCTAAAATGCCTTCTCACGAGCTCGAATACCCCAAACAGCCGTACAGCACGGTCAAGCGACTCAATGACAGAGGTAGACTTCCCTGCCTATCACTCATTTCACCATCTCACTGCTAACCCCATGCACCATCCAGCCCGCTACTCCCTCGAAACCATCCACGGCATCATCAACTCCTCGCCCTTCATCAATGTCGCCTTCCAAGACTCCACCTCCCCCTTCCCCGCCGTCCTCCCCATGATCGGCCAAATGGGTTCCTTTTCCCGTCCCTCCGCCGACCTAGGCGACGTCCTCGACCTTTACCTCCACGGGTTTGTCATCCATTCTCTTTCTTCCCATGCCCTTCTACCTTCTTCCCTCTCCTCCCTTCCCTTCAACTCCATAACCTCTACCAAGCCCCGCCTAACCAAAATATCCAGCTATGTCTCCTCCCGCCTCATGAACCTCTCTCGAGATTCCTCCTCCGAGGGCATCCCCCTCACCCTCACCGCCACCCTCCTAGACGGCTACGTCCTCTCCCTCACGCCCAACTCGCACTCCTACAACTACCGCTCCGCCATCCTCTTCGGTTTTGGGGTACCCGTCACCGACCCCGCCGAAAAGCTCTGGGCAATGGAACTCGTAACCAACAGTGTTGTTCCCCAGCGGTATCAAAACACCCGCACCCCGCCCAATAACGCGGAGATGCAATCGACCAGTATTTTGAGAGTCAAGATCAAGGCGGGGAGTGCAAAGATTAGAAGTGGGGAGCCGCATGATGAACGGGGGGATTTGAATGATGAGGAACTAAGACAAAAGACGTGGGTCGGGGTGGTGCCGGCTTGGATGACATTTGGGGAGCCGGTAAGGGCGGGGTATAATAAAGTGGAAGAGGTGCCGGGGTATTTGGAGGAGTGGAGGGTGGAGGGGAATGAGGAGAGGAGGAGGGAGGCGTATGAGGCTGTGAAGGAGGTGGTTAAACCGAAGAAGGGGGATGATGATGAGTGAAGAGGGAGGTTACGTAGGTAGGTAGGTTGTTGATGATGTTTTATGAATGAAATGGCAGATGTTCGCTTTCATTATCTCGAATCAGACAAACATCATCGTCAAGGTCAGTTATTGGGGCGGCTGATGGTGACTGATCTCCGTTGAAGTGGGGATCATACCCCCCGGTCCGGCCATGCATGGAAGCGTGGATTGTCATCGGGTCCACGTGTTTATTTCAACGTCATCTCATCTTTCCTTCGTGCATCTCACCCTCGTTACTTTCACCTTTCCATTTGGCCCCTTTTGTCATGCCCTTTTGGACCAGCCAAGGTGCGATCCATAACGTATTTTCCTCTTCCAATCGCCTCTTTCTTTCTTGGCTCCAATGAATCACAAAATGAGACAGCTTGCCTCCCACAGAGCCATTCCTATCAGTCCCCTAACACGGCCAGCATATCCTTCAACTCGATCACCACCAAACATCCGAAGCCTGATCCAAGCCCGCAATAACTCATCCACCAGCGAACCTCGCATTTCCCAGTATGACAGCAACAACCCCAACCACCGCTACTGGTGGTCCGCCTGCGCTCCCTCCCTCACCTCCCTCCTCTCCCACTCCCAATCCTACACCCCCTCCCAACAATCCCTCCACATCTCCTGGTTCCGCAACAACGTCATCCCCAACCTCGGTCCCCGCCCTTTTTCCTCCTACCGGCTGCGCTCCCCCTTGAACTACGAAGGCTCCCCCTACCGACCAACCTGGAACTTTTGCTCTGCCCCCGCTAGCTCCAGTTCATCACCAAAGGTCAAGGGGACGCTGAGGTTTAGCTTCGAGCCGATACCCCCGGATGGAACCACTGCAGAAGACCCCACGAACCAAGAGGGGTATAAGAGGTTGTTCCCTTTGCTGGCCAAGGAGTGTCAGGGGAAGGGCGAGACAACAGCGGATTTAACCTGGTATGATGAAGTTAAAGAGCAGATGTACTTATCGCCGGAGGAGCGGGCTGTGCTGAGGGAGAGACTTGTCCCGGGGCAATTACCGCCGGAGCACGCTGCCATCGCCATCGGGTGCGCTGGAGAGAAGAGGGTGTTGAAGCCTTACTTTTTCGCAGGACCAAAGAGTTTGGTAACGGGGTTGTCCCCTCATCAGGTGCTATTTTCTGCGCTGAGGGGGATCCGGACGAAAAGTGAGGAGTTGAAACCTTCTCTCGACCTAGTCGAACAGTACGTCGCTTCCAAGGCGTCAGTAATGACACCAAGTTGTTTCGGCATCGACGCCGTCTCTCCCGACCAGGGCGCGCGTGTGAAACTGTACACCCTCGTGCCCAGCAATGCCTTCAACGTGATGCGCGACGCAATGACGCTCGGCGGCAGCGTGACCTCCCCCGAGACGTTGCGCGGCGTGGAGATTCTGAGAAGTATCTACCACCTTTTGCGTGGGGACCGATCACCGGTGAGCGACGCAACGGAAAACGTGAGCAAACCCTGTCGGTATGAGAGTAGGGGGAATAGTTATTGGATGGGGTTTACCAGCTATGAGATGCGTCCGGGGAGGGAGGAGCCGGAGGTGAAGGTTTATCTGCCACTGATGCAGGTTTTCGAAACGGAGGAAGCTGTGATTGAGGGACTGGAGGAGGTGTGGAGGGGGTTTGGGTGGGGAGAGTTGGGGAAAGGGGGGTATGGGGAGGCGATTAGGGAGGCTTTGTGAGTACAACCTGTCTTCTTCTGATTCGAGCTGCAGTGTGGGAGGTGAGGGGGTTTGGGAGTGAGGAAAGTGGTTGCTAACGAGAAAACAGTCCGCATGTGGATTTCAAGAAGGCGCCGGGGACGCATACATGGGTGTCGTTTTCCTACTCGGATCGGACGGGGCCGTACATTACTGTGTATTTGGCGCCCAGGTTTCAGGAGGCGTATGATTTGGGTCTGCGGGAGGGGAGCTGATAGCGATGGACGTGGGTGTGCAGGGGAACTGGAGCGCTTGAACGCTTCGTAGGAAGGAGTGCCAGACACACGAGGATGTGGAAGGTGAAGCTGGGACTTGGGAGAAAGACCTGAGTGAGCTCATCTGATCGGATTTGAACGATAAGATAAGGAGAGTGAGGTCAAAATGATGGAAAGTCCACCTCCTCCGCTCCTTCTCTTTTCCTTCCTCTGCCTTCCGACCTGGAAACTGTGACCACCACAACCCTTGGCTGGAACGCAACGGCTGCAGTGGCCTTTGTCTCCCATTCCTGCCATCGACAGATCCCGTCTCCTCCGCATCTACATCAAGGTTGTAAGCATCCTTTTTTGACTTGCAAACCATCCGCCTCGGTGGTCAATCCGTTTCCGTTTTACCTTTCAATTCCCAAATCGGTTTGACCTTTTTCTTTTTCTTCGTTCCATCATCAAACACGATCGTTTTGTTTTTTTGGATCAAACATCATTCACTTTGCATCATCTGACTGGCCCCCATTTCCACACGCTTTTGCTGAGACAACCTGTTGAGTGTTACCGTCAAGCCTCGGTATGTCTCTCCCTCCCCATTCTGCCCTTCACTTCCACTCCTCTTTAACTCATTTCTAATATGAAGTCACTCGCAGTACCCGCAGGATACACGACATCGATCTTCTACCGCATCCAATCTACACGGCAAAGTTGGCGTCGACTTGTGATTGTCGGAATGATACCGTGTCCGATGTATCCGATCCTTACCGCTCACTCCGCATCAGAATACCAACAGGAGCGTGGGTAGGCATCGCAATAGCATCAACCTCAATATTGCTGAGTCTCGTCACCCATCCTTAGCATACCTTTCCAGTCATTCACCAACCGTTAGACACGAGCCGCAGCGACAACCCTCAACATGGACCTTCACAGACTAGTTCTACTACGAACAGTGTTATCACCTTCGGAGTCGTCCCCTGCCGAGCTCAAAGATGATCTGGACATATCACCATCCATACCTGCAGGCTCTCAATCTCAAGAGGATGTCTACACGCAGACGAGCTATATAATGCCGCGGGATGGCTACTTCCATCATGCATTCGATCGTGACCCGTTCTTCGACCCAGAAGCGGTATGAAAGTCAGCTAAATTCGGGTGCTACCCAAAGCGTGAACTGAAGGAGTAGGACTACAGCCACCTAAACGGCCCCACCATTCTCATGGTAGGATCTTCTGCGATCACTTATTATTCTCTGAGAAAGAACACGGAGACTACACAGCTGCTTCGCATATCGTCTGAGGAGAAGGATCAGGTAACTTGGGATGCGGAGCTCTTGTTAACTTGGAGCCAATCTAGGGATAATGATGTGGACATGGATGATGCCAGAACGGGTTCGGTTTATTGCGGAGAGCCCGTGGAGTTTGATTGAGAGTGTGTTCAAGGTTCCTTCTTCCTGAGACCTGAACAGTTACCGTGTTGTGGTTAAGAAAACCGGTTGGTAGAAGGAGGGGAGAGCTGCACCTGTTTGACTGGATGCTTTGTGAGACGGATGGTTTGTGGATCGGGGAAGCGAACATGGGATTTTTGATATTAAGCGAAATCTTGTTTTTCTTTTTATGTTCCGACACGATTAGCTTGCTCCTAAACTGATGTTGGAAGGCATGGATACTTGTCACATCAAGACACATCCGGAACTCTGGATCTGCAGAATGATGGAAGGGAAGCAGATGAGAACAACAGCGAGAACAGAGGCGGGAGAGGATGCAGATGTTTACTGGACAGTCATTACCATCAGATCCAATACTAGATAGAGGTAGAAGAAGCATCACCGTCCAACCATATTCGCAATCGGTTTCCCAAGGCTCCATTTCATGAGTTGTTTCTCGCATTTTTCCTAGCAGGTCACATCATTACCAGCACTTGGAATATACCTGAGAAGGAAAGAAGCTGGAGGTGTTAGAGCACAAACGACCTGGAAAAAATGCGACAAAAAAAGGTCTTTTCTCATGAAAACACGGTCAGCCTTTTTGGTGAAGTGGTTTTGGTCCGTTGGCGCCGTGAGAAGGTGGATGATGATGATAAACAACATGAGTAGAAGATAATGGGATATGGCTCATAAGCGAGAACCGAAGACAGGAATGTCCAAGAATACCTATTGAGACTACTTAGTGGGGGTTCGGTAAAACTCAGCAACCCAACTAAGGTACTATGTGATGGAGGAACCAGAGACTTATGTAATTATGGGATATCTCGTCCGCTCTTCCAACCTGGAAGTTTGCCGCAGTTCGTGGCCTTATGTACCTCTCTCCCCCCTTGTTCCTCTCAAAACCCACAACCCCCTCATCTTCCACGCTTCCGCCCCTCCCCGTCTCTCCCGTCTATCCCTCACTCCAACGCCACCGACCAGCGTGGACACTCTGACTTCCCACATCCAGTGCCCGCCCTGTGGGCACAAAAGCCAGTACCGCGGTATCAAGCTAGACGCATCCACACGAAAATTACAACAGCTCCCCCTCCCGTGGCTTCCTCGCGTGGATAACTCCCTGTTCGTCTTCAACTGCAAAACCCAATTGCCCAGTGGATTCCAACACGCCGTACTGCAAATTTGGCTCCCTGCTGTTGGATTGGAAGAAGGTAGTCCACCAATGGTCGTCATTCCTGTTTCGGGTGCAGTAATTTGTGATTTGCTTTGCTGAGGCGTTGGTGCTGCAGTTGGCGAGGAGTGTGGCTAGTTGGGCTTGGTGCAGGTGCAGGTGCTGGTGCTGGTGCTGGTGCTGGTGCTGGTGCTGGTGCTGGTGTTGGTGTTGGTGTTGGTGTTGGTGTTGGTGTTGATCCCGGTGTTGATCCTGGGCGTCTTGAGGTTTCGGGGACGAGGGTGCTGCAGCCGCTGACATTGGCAGCATGGGCCCGCGGACAAGAAAGGCGTTCGCCAGTTCAAGCGGACTCATGGAGAAGTCCCTCCCTAGATGCCAGTAACCCCAGAAGAGGGTCAAAGTGGCCAGTGGGCCGAGAAGGCCGACAACCACGGCCACACCGAGCGCAGGAGCGTTGGCTTTGTACTCGACGCGGACTTGGTGGCTGATGTAGTCGACAGTCTGACTGATGAAAGGCCAAAGTCGTTCTCCATGCCAGGTTATATTGTAATTGTTCCTGGCTGCCTCGTGGAGGGACATGCGGAAGGCTATTTCGCGGTAGCTATTGATGATATCGTCCATGGGGTCGTCGAAATCCGGACCCGACAGTTCCCATCCGTCGTATTCTTGCATGTACACGTAGCTAGCCAGCCCAGAATATGTTATATTAGTCACTTGTATATTTCCTCCAACTCGTATGTCCTCCACAGACGTCGTGGTTATGTTTACGTGGGCTTCCCAGAGCGCGGAGCCAACTATTTCAAGACTGCGTAGCACAGTTGGATCGTTAAGGTACTCCGCTGGGGGAAGAGTGCTTACGATGTATGTCAGCCAACAGGTGTCGAGGAAAACGGCGAGGGCAGATGTTACGTACAAAGGTCGGACGACAGAGTCATCCCTCCAGCTCTTCGACGCAAACGTGGCATTTCCCTTGTCCAACATCAAGTTATAGCTCATGACCGCAGGCGTTAAGCAGCAGTTTTGGGTCAGAGACTTGGCAATCCCCCATTCGGATACTTTCCGCATTACCGTGATATCAAGAACACCTCTTGGCGTTCTTTGGGATTATCATTTGAAAGCTGGCCTGCTGATATGTCGATCTTGAAAATGTCGGTGCTGTTGTAGCCGACAACCCATTGATTTAAATCCTTCGGTGGCATGCTCTCTTCAACCAGAGAACAATTCGAGCTGTCGAATCCCAAGGCTTCTACTTTTAAAGAATAATTGTTGTAGGATTCGGCTCCAGGGACGCGAAGTGAGGCTTTTGATTGGTAATCTCGGAGCACGCTCTGGAACCCCGTTTCAAGATTTTGACTCCCACCTGACCCCCTGAATGCACCCTCTTGATCAACGAAGATAGTACGGGCAACTTGAAGATCCGCGATACCTGTAAGGGCCACTTCACGGGTGTGGGTGGAAGAGGCTCTTTGCATCAAGGGGCCCCGAAGCAAAGACGAGATGGTAACAAGGACAGATACTGAACAACACAGAGATCCATTCGATTAGCAATCCATCTCATGACGACGAAAGATGAGAGACTGGCATCTCCTACAAAGAATGTGGAAACCAGACCACTCAACCATGTAAAACTTACCCAAGCTTATGCGAATAGCTTTCCTCCGAGTCAACGCACTCAGTGCTCCCCAGAAACTCGAGGCTCCTTCCCAGTGACGATGCAGGTTGGTCACCGGCATATGACCTTCCACTGCCTGTACCCAAAAACTGACAGCGCAGCCATAGGCAAAAGCGATCCTGACCAACGAGTTCGCCACAGTCGAGCTATAAGCAAGCAGCACAGCAGGTTGCATTACTCCTGACCACTCACTTACCAACTGGCCGTTACTGTACACAACCGTGGCAATACCAGCGCCGGTACCTTTGCCTTTTTAGCGTGTGTCTATTGCAAAACGACTTTACAGACGTTTGTCTGTGACGTCTGAAATCAAGATGGGTTAGAAGTTACTTACAGATCATACTCAAGAGCAAAGGCAAAACTCCGAGAAAAGGAAAACGTGTAAAGATGCCGGAATTCCAGGCATATTTCCGATCGGGAATGTCTGCATCCATTTCCTTGTTCGTAGACGTCTCTGATCCATATGGATCTAGCTCCGAAGAGCTTTGGGTATAATCCGATTTCCCAAAAGATTTTGGCAAGCTGTTTTGAAGAGGAACCTTCTCCTCGTCTCGCATGTGATTTCGAGCTGAAAAGGGCCTCGCGTACTGGTCTACGATGCCAGTTCCTGTGGACTCCATGATTGAAGCCAATGTTCCTTCTATCGTGAACGATTGTGGTTGGGGAAGAAGAGCTGGTTGAACAACCCAAAGTTCCAGGAAAGAGAGGACACGCCGGCTTAAAAGGAACTGTCCATGCTGATTTGTCTCGTACATCAGAGATTTGCTGAACGTCGCACTCTTGGTGAGAACAGGTGCATATGTACGCGAAGATAGTTGCATATGATGAATCAATCCAATGGGATGCTCTCCTACCGTAGCATTCATTGGAGATGGTAACCTGCGCTAAGGTTAGAACTCGAGCGCCTAACGGGGGGATGCAAGTCGTACCGCCAATCCCACCAATGTCTGTTACTGAAGCGTTCCAAGCAACCATTCATCGCCATTCAAGTGACCATGTTGGCAAACCTGCAATTGCCACCCGTAACTCATCACGATAATACCTTGTCTACATCTAGGGATGTACTGTGTAGACGCCTTGCCCGACCGTGGCTGATAAGACGAAACCCTGATGCTTGCTTCCGGGTGGCGTTATGAGAACGCAACCTCGAGGCAGGCTCGCCGGGATCTAGGTTGCGCTTCATATGTTCATGACGCTGCGGGATTTCTCGGGTTGAACAGTAAGACGAAGGCCAGAGCATCGTAGGCTGCATCTGTGCCCCTTCGTCTTGTCGGCGTCGAACGGGCTGGCCAGCTGCTGTAGATACTAGAGGAGACCAGAGACGGGCAACCGCAGTAGCTGGCCGTCTCAAACCTTGTATTTCGAGGAGCCCGCGGATGGTGTGAGATGACAGAATGCCTACAGACGGGGGAGTTAGCCGCGGATCGCCACAGGAACTTCGGAACGGGGCATGCCAGCAGTGTGCAGGCAGCACAGTGTAAAAGCGCAGAAAGGTACAAGTCAGTGGAAGCATCTGGCGCAGCCACTCACTTTTTGGTTGTTTGCCTGTGCGAGACTCAGACCGGAGACTGGGCATCCAGCGGCGTCTTTCGTTTCAGTTGGTATGGAAGGAGTCAAATCGGCTGGGGATGGTCGAACCAAACATGCCTTTGCATAGGATGGGCATTGGTTATTGGATAGTGCTTGTGCTATCCATCTCAAAGTTGTCGTCTTCCGAGGCAGAGTTGTTGAAGAGTGGTGGTGATGGCTGTTCCACGCATGGCGACAGCGAGAGAGCGACTGGTTGTTGGATGAGGTGGAAAGATGAAAGAAAAGACGAGGAAATGGGGAGAAGGGACGAATTGAATTGGGAGAAGGGAAGTTTCAGTGCTGGAAATGCAGGTACTGTACAGTCGACACCGGACGAACAGCGGCAGGCATGATGGATGTCATGTCGTGTCTTATCGATAGGCAGGCACCTGCTTCCATGTAATGTACCTAGATGCGGCAGGCACGTGATACCCTTCATCGTGACTGCCCGGAAACTTCAGCCTTGCTTGTGAGTGTTGGGATATGGCGACAACTGAAGGTATGCCATGGGGACGGCTGCCTCATTTTCTGGACTTGATTATGTCTGTTCTTGAAGATTCTTTTCGTTAACCCAGCATTTTCTGTCCTGGATCTTTTGAGACTTCCGACTCTGTTGTTTGTCGCATTGAAAGCGTAAAGCACAAGCATGAAGCTGGTACCTGATATCTGAGAGGTAGAATAAGTGCTTGATATTCAAGAATGAAGGAAGAAAACGACAGATGCCAGTATCAATCAATAGATGTCAAAGATCTCCTCCTCTGGTTTAGTGTCCATGAACTCCCCATACATGATACCGTCCACCCATGCCTCTCCCCCGAAGGTGAAGGTTCTTCCACTGCCTCTGCGGTCGGCCGCAATCTCATCCCCGTCTTGTGGGCGTGGACGCAGGATAAAGGGGGTGTGGGCGTTCTGCAGAATTACCACAATGTCTCCAGGTCTAACATCCCTGATCCCGCTGCCCAGCATTCCTTTAGCCGTCTTGAATAACGTGGAATTCTTTGACCTTGAACAGCGAAATAGCCCTCTTATTTTCGCGTTCATGAAAAATCTCAAGTCGCTTTCACTGATGCTATCCGGTACACACTCCGGATCAACTGATTCGCTTTTCGTCTGCGCCTTCCCGTCGACAATGCTTGTCGCACCACGGGAAGTATCATCATCCGGGTTGGATGATTTTCTTATCGGGGCATTATTCATGCGTTTCGAGCTCCTGAAATTCGATAATCCCTTGAATTCTCCGGATGTCTGTATGTGCTTGACCAGAAAGTCTGGGAGTGTCTGAGGATCCGGGTAATCCAGGCGCATGAGCCTGCGGATAAAGCAAGCAGCCTCTGTCTTGTACTTAGGTTTCCTCAGCCATAGCCTGAGAAAATTTGCGTTGTGGCAATCCATCACCAAGCGCCAGACGTAGTCTTCTCCCTCCAAGTTCCCAATATCTGAGCTCTCTAGCAACCCCGTAAAATCACGAATGCGTACCAGCCAGTCGTTTGGTCGATCCCTTTCACGAACACTTCTAGCCTGGTAGTCATACGCCATTACATCGGTGACAAAATCAACGCGATACCCGGGCAACAGGATGGCCGACGGATTCCCATGTCCAAAAAATATATGGTAATGGTTATCCTTCCTGCTATCGCTGGCGTCGAGGTGTGCGAGACTCAGGGCTTCTAAGCTTTGCCGCAGCCCGTTTACACCTACATCCCGCCAGTCGGGGACCCAGCTCGGTAACTCGCTTGGTTGGTCTCTTGGACGGGGCAGACAATGTCCGATATTATACAGTACATCGTCAGCAACCGTTAATGTCAACGAGGTGAGAGACGTCTTAATCAAAGATCGCGTGGCCTGAGTAAATAGATCAACCCATGTCATGTTTTTGTAGTCGACATGGCCAAACGAACGACGGTCATCGTTGGAAAGGAGGCCGAGTATACCATAGACAATATCGCGTGGGTCAGTCGCGCGATACCATGGACGCTCGGTTTGGTAGGAGAAAGCCACAAGAATGGTGCCCAAGCTCACTTTCGTTCCGCGGCAGAGTAATTGACGAATGAGCATAGCCTTGCTTGGATAAAGATGGGAAGGGAACCGCTCACAGAACCCGCGCCGTAGTGGAAAATCGTTGAGGAACGTGGTGAAAAGTCCACCACAAAATTTCCAGAGGGCTTCTAGCACCGCTTCGAAGAATGAAATCGGTATGAACTTTTCCCCGCAGATAAGAAGTACTTCCCGGGCCAAGGCCACCTCCTGAAATATCCATATCCGATGCCAGTACTCATTTGTCAATAGGTGAGTGATACCAGTTTCCAGATCACTCAAGACGGATTTCCCACGGGTCCCGCGTAGCCCTTCAACATGGAGCAAGTCGTAGAAGAACCTTGCCATCTCATACCCCTCACAATCCATGCTCAAAGCATCCTCTATCGTGCCTCCCTTCCCAAACACCGGTTCCGGGAAGAAGTACCGTTCGAGAGGGCGCAAATACATGAATACTTCGGTGCGTAAAGTGAATGAGCCATCCATGGGGATATCTGTAGGCCACAACTTCTCCATCACTCCAACCTTTAACGCGCGAGGGCCCCAGTCCGAAAAGAAGTTCATAGCGACATCGGTTGCCTCAGAGCCAGGACCCAGCCAAGAATAGACAAACTCGGCGTTCTTGAAGATGTCACACATGCTCTGGACATGCCAACTCTTTTCGTCATCATCGGATTGTTGGATGCATATGGCGTCGGCCCAGAGCCAGGATTCCACGCCGTGGTGCTGAAGCATTTGCAGCAGCGCATGCAGATTCTCGCCGACAGAAAATTGTTCGCCGTTGACCTCGATATCGACTTTATCCTTGGTATCTCCCCAGACGTATGACAGCGCACGATATTGGAGGGCGTCATCATCAAGAGAGGCGTGACGAAGTTGAAGCCTGATGTGGCCGGAGCCCGACTGGCAGGTGGGAGTAAATTGGAAGAAACGAGTCTCGCGCTTTTCGCGGCTCAGAGGGCTGTAGGTGAACATTGTTGGCGACGTCTAATTTTTGTTGGACTGGAAGGTGAGATGCCCGGAATGGAGTGGCCGATGCAGTCGGGTGGTTTGCAGGCAGCAAACGGAAGGACTGATAAGAACCCGGTCTTATCAAGACACTGCCCTCCGCGCAGGCGCCTTCCACTTGGTTCCTTCCGATTGTTAGATGATGAAGATACCAAAAATTGAAGGAGAACCCCAGATGATGAGAGCAAGACCATGGGGAAGGAGCGTATCTGGTCGAAGACCTCCACGTGATGTGAACTTGCCTACCACCTGCGCCGGTGCCGGTCTCCTCCACAATTCGTGCAGATCCAACTTTTCCCCAACGATCACTGCAAGCAAAAGAACAAACTTTCACGACACCTTGTGATTTCTGAACCTCTCCCGTTCTTTCAATCTTGGGCTTATGGTTGATATCTCATTGTTTGACTGTCGTCGCGATTGTCGTTGATGTGCACCCCGCACAGAGCAACCTTCCACATCTGCGACACTTGCCTGTCGAGACTCAGCCCAACCTGCCAGCCCTGCCTATATCGGCACCCAACCACAGTCATGGCTCTCAATACTGTCAGGTATTCTTTCATGTCCTGTGATTGGATCATGGGCATTCAGGCCGAGTTCAGGATCTAAAAGTCTTGGCATGCGTGAGGGGTACATGGCTGGCTGCGATGTGACAGAACAGATGGCCCATGATCCAGGAATCTAGAGACCTCGTTGTCCTAGGTCTGCCAAAGCCAAACGAGGTTGAAGCACTTCGAAGATGCGGGTAAGAAGCACCACAGAAATTCTCAGACTCTTGAGTAGTCCGCTGTAAGTGAAATCTGACAGTTGCTGACTTCTTTTCTGGACGCCAGCACTTCTTTGGCGCACGCAGCTCCCGCAAAAAGTCAGGTTCCAATGTCCACACTACCAGCGAGAACAGAAGCTTCGAAGTCGAGAGCCTAGGATCCTCCCTCACCTCTGTCTCCCAGGGCACCGAGACTAGCCATGGAGAAGCCGCTTCGACGAAAGCGTCTCAACGGTCCATTTCGGTTCGGTCAAGGCAGCGGTTGCACAAGGATGACCAAGATACAATCCGTGGTCCCTTGGGGCTTCGACAGATCCACTCGTCTCCGGAACCCTTGGTCGACTTGATTTTCGTACACGGACTTCGAGGCGGATCCATCAAAACATGGAGGAAGGGACTCGATCAAAGCTGCTTTTGACCTCAGAACTGGTTGCCGAGCGAGCCTGGCTTTGGGCATGCCAACATCCACACTTATGGGTACGATTCAGACTGGGCGAATCCCAAGTCTGCGGCACTGGATGTCGATGATTTTGGTTAACGCCTTGCAGAAGAGATGAGGAACTGTCCCGAGCTGCGGACCACCACAAATAAACAGGCAAGTAATATTTGTGCGGCAAACGCTGCAGGTTCTACAAGAAGGGGACTGTTGGACGACCGACGCCGAATGATATTGTCTTCTTCTCAGATGATGCGCTCATAGTATTCGAGGGCGCCTTAAAGTTCGCTCGGGAGGTTCCACTAGGGCAGTCGTACGCCGAGTTCATGAAACTGCAGCAGGATGAGGAAACTTCCGATTTCGATAAAGAAGCTTCCGATTCCGAAACAGACTCTTAGGCTGTTTTCTTCTTTCTTTTCTCTCTTTCTGTCGCTTTGATGGTGTTATTTCGCCTTTTATTTGCGGCCCCTTCGATTTTCTTCGAGTCGATATATACATGTAGTCACAAGATGGAAGAGGGAATATGACAAACCTTCTTGACCATATTTTCTGTGGACTTTGACGTCCTTGGACCTTGGACACCTTCCACATCGTCCTGCTCAATAACCATCCAGCCCGTTAGTGTTTCGATCAAAGTATGAAAGGTATCACGTCAAACACAAGAGCATCCCAAACCATTACATCCTTAACATTCGCTCGGCATGTCTATCCGTTTATTCGTGCCAACCCAGAACCCGTTGGTGCCCAGGACTTCACATTATATGGCACCAACAAAACTCCGTACCCAGAGTAGACGACAAAGGGCGCGAGCATTGTCCCGTGCGTATCCCCCGGTTGGACCGGCTGAACATCACATTGAAGCGCCCCTCGGCCGGATCCTGATGAGCATCGTGCCGGGATTCTGGCTGCAATACCCACCTCCCATGCCATGATGACATCGTTATCAACACAACACCGTATACCTCGAAAGTTTACACACCATCTATCTCCTCATTCATTTCCATGAATTGTATCCGAATTAAGATCTTGGCCGCTCGGTGGGATATGACACAGGTGCTCAACTCACACATGAAGGAAACAGTCCGGTTGCCCCCAGACCGTTTTTGCCAATCGGGAAGATAAAGGTGAATACTTGTTCCTCTTTCCCTGCCCGAGCAGAGGCATCAAAGGCCCTGATGAGACGACGCTTGATCGAATCGAGCAATCCATGTTTGTGCGCGGCAAACTATCACCGGGCCGTTGGCGGCATTACGTTCTACTTTGGGCTTGGCGGGCGTGTTGTCGGTTGTTCCTTCCCTTCTTTCTCCTGTGCAAGCTGTTCGTGAAATTGTACCTTCCTGATGTGATCAGTGAACAGGCCTCATTACCGTAGCTTCCCTCGGTAACAACTTCCACAGCTTTCTCCCCCGCAAAAATCTCGCCAGCGGCACGCCACCAAGGAGATGTCATCAATAACCGAACCCGAAAGCCCCCCTCCACAGCAACAAGTCGAGGAGGAATCAGACTACTCACTCTTCACCCCTTCCCAAAAACGATGGATAATCTTCATCGCCGCCCTAGGCGGTTAGTTCTCTACCGCCAGTAGCTTCATCTACTTCCCGGCAATCCCCTTCCTCGCTCGCAACCTACACGTCAGCATCGAAAAAATTAACCTCAACGTCACCTCATACCTAATCGCCTCGGGAATCTTCCCCTCGAATAACCGGCAACGCAGCAGATTGGTACGGACGGCGTCCGGTGTTTATCGCTACTCAGGGTTTATGTAGGGGTTAATATTGGACTTACGCTCACAGAGGTCGTTCGCGGCGCTTATCACCCTGCGAATCCATGCTCCAGAGCGCGGCGATTTCGGGGTCGTTTGTGTTTGCGTATCGGGTGTTGGGGGATTTGAGTACCCCGGCGGATAGGGGAGGGTTTGTGGGGTTTTTGTCGATTTTTAAGGACGGTTAGGTTGTGTTGCCCAACAGCATGCGTAATACTCCATGATAAAGCAAGAAAACCGAGGGAGCATTCTAACTTTTCTCAATAGAGGGCAAAAACCTCGTCCTTTGGTTCAGTGGCCAGGAACTCCCTACGCATCCACACATGCCTCTCCCCCGAATGTGAAGGTACCGAGTTGCTTGGACCCCAGCATTCCCTTGGCGGTTTTGGACATGGTGTGAGGCTTTGATCTTGAATAGGAAACCAAATCGTTTATTATCATCGTGTCGATGCATGATCTCAACCTACTTTTGCCAATGCTATTCGGGAAACGCTCGAGACCAGCTGCTTCTCTTCTGATCCAACCCTTCTCGCCGTCAGTTCTCTTCGAGTCCCGGTGAATGTCATCATCAGCTTCAGAATATTTTGTGGCTGGACCCTGATTGATTGGCTCCGAGTCAAGACCCATTGGGTTTCTATGTCGAAGGGATGTGCTTTCCAGCATTGAGAGAGGATGACTTCGGCTGGGCGAGACTGTACGGCAGCCCATTCGCTCCTACATCCCGCCAGTCGGGCACCCAGCTTAGTAACTCGCTGGGGTTGTCATGGCCGAGATCCATGCCTTCTGATTGGGTGCATTCATTCACGTGACGGTCCACCCTTCCCGTCTCCCAGACCCACTTCATTCCAGTATTTAACCGTGCTAGCTGGAAGCAGCACTTCTTCTTCCCTTTTACTCCTCATAGTTAATTATTTATTACATTCGTCAGATTAGCAGTGCCAGCCACTTGCGCAGATCTACGTGCCGTGACAGGGGTTGGTTTCTTGGGCGCGGCAACAAACAGTTTCCTATGCCATACGATAAGTCGTCCTGCTTTCGGAGTTGAAATTGTCGTATCAGAGACCGCGTGGCCTGTGCAAAGTTTTCAACCTGGCCACGTCGCGATATCGCGTGGGTCAGTCGCGCGATACGATGAACGCCCCCTGCCCAGACTCACCCCCATTCCTCGACGCACAGAACCCGCGGCGTAGTGGGCACTTGGTCAAGAGCCGGCTAAATTCATCCAGAGAGCTTCCATCTCAGGTTTTGGGAGGAAGAACGGATCGATACGCTGCTCAAAATCCGCGGAGATTAAGAGGTGTAGGAATCTTTGATGACTTCGCGTGCTACCAAAGTTGCTCCATTAAGCCAATTCTTGACGCTCGAAGGCCCCAATGAGTACACCATCTTGATCCACTGGACATGCCAGCTCTTCTCCTCATCGTCGGACTGGTGGATGCATACATATGGCGTCGGCCGCCCAGAGCCAGGAGCTTTCGCCGTGGTGGTGTAGCAGCGCATGCAGGTTCTGGTTGGCTCCGTAAATGGGGGTGTGCAGAACCGTAACAGATTTGGTGAGAATCGCACCCATTCCTGTTAGTGACTTGCACATCCCAGAGGAACCTGGTGGCGCCTAGTACCTCTAGCCTCCAAGCATTTAATCTGGGCTTCCCCGGGTCCTTGGAGTCTTTTCCCTTCTACCCTTCTTCACACTTTTTCAATCCAATTAATTGGTTACCTACCATCAAGGCTGCCACTCTATTCACGCTATTTCCGTCATCAAAATCAATCGCATTGCCCATCAAGCCCATCGCATCAATCGCTCTTTAATGATGGCAGACTCCGGCCCTCGCACACCTCTCCGCGACGACAATAACGACGATGAAGCACTAGGGCGCATTGCCTCCCCATGCCCCTTGTTGGAGGTTCCTGTCTTTTTGTGTCGCCATGACAACCACCGCGACGACGACCGCCTGCATGATGCATCAACCCAACCTCTTTCGTCCCCAATGTGAGTTATCCATTAGTAATCCAATTCATTGTAATCTTTAACATGTTCCGTCTCCCGTCTCTCGTCTCCCTCTAGCGCCAGAGAATCTAACTATCGATTTCTTTTTCTTGCAGCAGTGCCTGATCGATCATTACAGCCATACGGGCTTTCAATAACAGCAACACACGCACACTACCCTTCCTCTCTGTTCCCTTCCCTCCCATCCTTACCCTCCCGTTCTTCCTTTCCCCTTCCCTCCCGTTTCCCTTCTCTTCACCTCCCCCTCTCTTCTCCCAACTCCCTTTCCATCTGTCACCTCTCCTCCCCGTCATCGCTCAGTGAGCAGCCACCTCTTCCCCCGGCGATACGATGTGCTCAAAGTACGCCTTCCACACCGGTCAGGGGTCGTCATAAAATGCCAACTCCTACCCATCAGGTACGCCTGGTGGAAGGACTGGGGCCCTTGGTTTGTGTGGGGATGTTGCTGGGTAAGTACGCGACCACGCCGGTCAGGGGTCGTTATAAAATGCCAACTCCTACCCATCAGGTACGCCTGGTGGAAGGACTGGGGCCCTTGGTTTGTGTGGGGATGTTGCTGGGTAAGTACGCGACCACGCCGGTCAGGGGTCGTTATAAAATGCCAACTCCTACCCATCAGGTACGCCTGGTGGAAGGACTGGGGCCCTTGGTTAGTGTGGGAGCGTCACTGATAGCTACATTGTCGCGCGAGGACGCAAGCGCGTCCCTCCCCATCGCCCCCCAACCGCATTATCTGCATCATGATGTCGGAGTACACTAACAAACTTGTAGTTCAAACGAGCCGCGTGAGGACGATCGAGAGAACATCGATACTGAGCCGATCGACAGTCACGATATAACTGACGACGTGGATGTATCAACCGCATCTAGTTCGAGCGACGATGAAACACACTGCAAGATCGATCTACGCAATCGCAGCGGGGTAATAACTTGGGAGGATGCAAGTCACCAAGATCGGCAAACATCAGACCTGTGCATCGACCTATACGTGGACACCGAAAAGCGACAAGCCGTTTTCGCCTTGCACGGCTTCTTCTTCTTCAAGAACGGTGGCTCGAAAGCGTATCTTTCGTTGGTCATTCATCCAGAGAATGTCCAGTCCGTTGACTTCTCTCGCAGCCATCCGCCCACCATCCCTACGGTGTCCGTCCATTCGACAAACGATTTTCCTAATGAGAGCTTTGCTTCCCTGTGTGTCACCATGACACAGCCACCCAACATCATGGTGCCGAAGGACCGGTGTCTTGAGCCGAAGCCTCGATATCAAGCTATCTTAGATGCCATAGCATCTTTGAGCTCGGTACAACGATTCACCATTTACCTGCCTGACCTTTCGCAAGAAATTCAACAAGAACTGGCTTTGCTACCCTCCGTCTTCTCATCCGCCTATCCATTCGGCCGGTTACGGACGGACGAGACGTGGGCGCCGCCGATCGCATTATATGAGTATACATTTCAGAAGGTCATTGACTTGGTCAAGACTCCGCCTATCTCCAACGGTGATTCCAACCAGAAATTGGAAGAGCTGCAAGAACTGGTCGGGGACGGAATCGTCGCCGCCCCACCATATCCACAATCAGGCTCGTCCCAACGTACGGTGCAAAGCATCGGTCCCTCGAGTCGGAAGCGACGGGCCAGTTCTGACATGGCTGATAAGGACAGCCATGCAGGCTCCAGCATCCTGGGATACCAAACACCAGAGACGGGGCCCCAACCACCACTCACTATGAGTGCCAGTCTCGCAAGCCCAGTACAATTGTCAACCCCATGTGGTATGTTCCCTCATCCGCTATCGGCATTTTCCCCCCTCTAACAAGTTTCCCGTTCCAGCCTGCAAACGCCAACGCACAACCGAACTCCTATCTCCCGTAACCAACGCCGACATCGTTTCCGCATTGCGCCAACTCTCCGACCGCGTCTCACAGCTCGAAACGCGATTTGATCAATTTTCCCCCCGACTCGATTCGTTAGAATCGCTGTTTGCTGCCCACTATTGTCGCTACGACACAGAAGAAGCAGATCACGTGTTCGGTACCATCGAAGAACGCATTGAACACGTCGAAGGCCGCATCGACTACAACAAGTACGAGTTAGACCGCGAGCTCGAAGAGACGGTCAAGCTCGAGGCGGAGGAGCGGGTTGCGGAGGAAGTCAAACTGCAACATGAGGAACTCCGTGAGGAGTTGGGAACGGAATGGACTGAGGATTTGAGGCGTGAAGTTGCTGAACAGGTTACCTCGGAGGTGGAAGAGAAGACCAAGCGCGAGGTGACGCGCGAGGTGGTGAAGGGGATTGCGGAGGCTTTGATGGGTGCTTATCTGGCTAGCCAAGTGAACCAAGATGGTAGCAGCAGCACGCCATTCGATGCGCTGCGTGCTACGGCCATGCCTGGTGAGACAGCCCTCCGCGCTGCGGTGGAGGATATCCAGAACAAGTACAAGGATGAGTTGGGGAAGGAGATGACTGAGGTGCTGAATCTCTTGGAGGAAAATCCGCTGAAAGCTGTGACGTATAATGCGTGCGGGGAGGAGACGAGAAGGGAGTATGTGATGAAGTGGAAGGCGGCAGTTTTAGACCGGGGTGTGTTCAGACCGATATGGCGTTGATGAAGCGACGGAGCTGTTGAGGATAGTCTGGCACAGGGAGTTGTTTACGCGCACACACGATGACGAATTATGACAGTGATGATTGATTTCAGGGTATATACTCGCATTCACGAATAACGATGGACCTTTCACCCCCCTTCCTCATAGCCATTGAATTTGTGAGACCCAGGCGCTTAGTGATGTTACTTTGATCATGTCCAAGACGGAAGTTCTCCTGTCTAGTTTCGATGGCCTTGCGCTGCTAATGCCAAAGAATGGAAGGAAGGTAGGAAAAGAAGGCCTGTGAGGAAAATGTACATATAATAGGAGCAAAAAGGAAGAAAAACGATGATCCGCACCGGAGTCGAACCGGTAACTTCCCTCGTGCGTATAGAAGATCCGCAGAAACGAATATGCGACGGTTAGGTTGTGTTGCCCATTACACCAACGGACCATCTGATAGGGGGGCGGGGATTAATGGCTTATGTACCTAGTCCCGTCCCATGGTTCAAGCATGGGGAGTCTGGGGCTGGTACTGGGACACACCACAATTTGGGATGACCGTCTCGTCCAAACTGGACACAATGCCGTGTTATCAGAGATGGTGAAGACAAACAGGGGAGTTAATGGAGGAGTGATTTATGATCTAGACTCCCATCTCAAACAAGGAGCAAACAAAAGATGTTTCAAGATCGATCAAGGCAAAGATTGTGTTCTCCTTTTTTCATGGCTGTTCATTGCGAATTTTGTCCTATACCGACCGGAGGACCTGGAAGTGCTTGAGGAATGGAGTGGAAGTTCACGCCAAGACAGGAGGCTCTTTTCCGTCCGCTATAAGCCCGCTAAAATACAGCGCTGCACAGGGCAACTTAGTTTCCCGTCGCTCACCTGACCCCGCGTCAGCTGGACGCGTCAGGGCAGTGCATCGAAGTGGAAGCTTCCGCCCCGGCCGCGGTAAACGCGAACCTCTAACCTTCCACTCTGCACAACAACCTGAAGACACTCGCCAGAGGCAGGGCAGCTCACCACCTCCAGCCTCGACATTCTGCATGCGATGAACACAAACGCAAAGGGCGGCTAGAATCCAGATTCTTCGAGGCGAGCAGTGCCGTTGCGCGACTCGCATTCCACTCAACATGCCATGACCGACTCCGGGGCCCAGGGTCAGCCAGCCCCCGAGCTCTACCCCCAGTACTGCTTCCACCTCTCGCCGACCATCAACAAGTGGTGTCATTTACGAGCCGCCGATATTGCCGCCCTGTCGAGCCATCCAGGGTTTCAAGGTAGGTCACCCTCCAAGTCCCCATGCAACTACGCAAGTCTAACATTCATTTTTGGCAACAGGCCAAGACCTCTACTTCCACCTCAACCACCCCATCAAATGGGTTCGCATCTGCGGCATCGTCGTCGCCATCGACGTCTACGGTGACTCCTCCTCACGCAAGGGACAGATACAAGTAATCACCATCGACGACAGCAGCGGACACACCATCGAATGCGTTATCCCGCTTCCTCCTCCTCCTGCCAATTCTGCTCCCACCGTCCCTCCTCCAGGTCAACAACAACCCGCCTCACCCCTCCCAATCATCGACTCCGAAATAGACATAGGCCATACCCTAGACATCAAAGGCTCCCTGCGCACCTTCCGCGAGCAGCGACAAGTCAAAGTCGAAAAAATTGTCCATCTAAAAACCACAGAGCAGGAAGTAGCGTTTTGGGAGAGGGTGGTGCAATTGCGTCAAGAGGTTTTGGATAGGCCGTGGAGGCTGGAGGAGAAGGTGGTGAGGAGGTTGAGGAGGGAGGCGATGGGGGTTGATGAGAGGGATGCGAAGAGGGAGAGGGAGAAGGAGGAGAGGAGGAGGGAGAGGAAGAGGAGGAGGAGGTTGGAGGAGGAGAGGATGAGGTTGGATGAAGAGGGGAGGGCGAGGGGAGAGGGTGATGGAGCGGGGCAGGAGAAACGACAAGAAAAGGAAAGGAAGGCTGCTTTTGCTTCTGAACATGTGGCAAAGACGCAGGCACAAGTGGTGATTCCGACGAGGACGAAGAGGAACGTCACGGGCTTGGAAAGAAAGGTCGTGTCGAGGGCGCCGATACCGCCGAGACCCAAGGAGCCTACGGGCCTGGAAAGAAAGACCAAGTCGGTTAGCAGTGACAGGGTGGTTCCTGTAACTGGTAAGTATACGGCTCTTGGATTGTGACAGCTGGAAAATTGGAAGGAAGGAACGAAGGAGGGAAGGGTCGGATGTATTCTTCAGGGGATCATCACTGCAGACATTTTACTATCGTGTGGCACTACGATATGGGAAGGTCCAATGCAGTCTCGTCGCCCCTCTTTTTCGTAATGGGAGGTGCAAACTCCCCTCAAGTCCGATCCTTTCGCTCCTCTTATCAGGGGCATCCATATTCCTTGTCGTTTCTCCGTTTCCATTCTCAATCCTGCACTCTGTTCCACTTCACCACACTGCGGTCTTCTACCCCATATCATTTCACTTGATTCTGTGAATCACATCGGTATTCACGTTTGATAAACCGTCTATTTTTAACCCACTACTGGCATTCTTCTGAGCACATTTTTCCTTCCAATCCAGTCCCGACCCCGACCTCACGGGAGCCCCGTTGCGCACCCAACTGCTTGCTTGCCTCACAAGTTCTCTCACCCGGCTCCCCGATCGCCCAGCATGCCTGGCAGTCAACAAGGCGAGTCGTCGCATTCCGCCGCCAACCAAGTGCCCAGCATGTATGGCAATCAAGAAGGCCAGTCGTTGCAGTTCGAGGCCAACCAAACGCCCAGCATACATAGCAGTCAGCAAGGCGAATCGTCGCAGTTCGGCGTCAACCAAGCGCCCAACATATATGGCAATCAGCAAAGCGAATTGTCGCTTTCCTCCGCCAACCAGGTGCCCAGCATTTTTGGCGGTCAGCAAGGCGAGTCGTCGCATTCCGCCGCCAACCAAGCGCCCCTCGAAGCTGCCTCTGCTCAAGGCGGTCAAGAAGGAGCAGAACATTCAACGGCCATCGAATCAATGATGACTGTTTTTAAAGGCCTGATGGCACATTGCGAAAGAATACAGACCAACTTGTCCTCGACTGTCTACCGTGACCTGTCCATAAAATACAGTACCTTGGTTTCCAGGACTCGGAAGGAACTCAGTCAAGGTCCTGCGCCTCATCCCATGCAAAAGACCTTCATACTGGAAGCTTGTATACGCATAGAATCAAGGGTGAGCCAATGCACTTATGTACCGTTCATTCTGCTCTGGACTGAGATGCCCTTTTAGTTATTCCAACTCATGCATCGCACGCTTGTCGCCGACGATGTCGGCAACCCGGTTATTGGGCGACTACCCGCCCCGCCATGTCAGCTAGAATGCAGAAACTCGGTAGCCACGGCACAACAAGTAGTAACGTTAAACCAGGCGTTTCAACTGCCCTGCCGTGGTTGCGTGGCTGAGGGCATTATGTGCCAGAGGTCCTTCATTGATGAAGCATGCCCCCCCTGTGCCGGCCGCCACCTACAGTGTTTAACAGACTATACAACCGACGAGTCTCAGATGCAGACCAACACCGGTCCACCACCGGTCATTGACGGTCCTGTGGATCCGGCTGCGAATATCCGAAGAATGATGGAAAATCTCTTCCAAGAACATCACAAGGTACTCATCGATATGTACCGTTCCAAGGACGCCAAGGACGTCATGAGTCTATTAGACCTGCAAATTGAACTGTCATCCCTTCGTCCGGCACTGGAGGGGTATAATAATGTTGCTCTTTGGGAGTTTTGGATACGGAACATGAGAAAAGTAAGTGGTTCAATCTTCTTGTTCATGAAGATTCAGCCTACATGTTGCGTTTACCATTCGGACAGCTGTTTACTTAGATATCGCTTCCTTCTAGGTATGGCTCGATTGCAACTTAAAGGAGAGCCTCGCCAAAACCCCGACACACCTGGAGATAGCCACACAGTGGGCTGTGCGCGAATGTGTCCAAGGACGCCTTTTTATTTTGAGGTCAGTGGCTCGAGACTCCCCCGATACTTTCTCGGGTAAATTTGGTCCGTTCGGACTATGTCGACACTGCATCGCGCGCAATCTGTTCTACTTGGACACGTACTGGTTGGAAGCAGACTGTCCAGAGCAGCGTTTAGAAGTCAGGGATACGGTACTTGTTCCATTCCCATAATTTGAGTCTCCTTCCTACTAATCGCCCTCTCGCACCCAGCTAGTGGAATTGCTGTCCTTCTGTAACCTCATCGCCGGATATATCTGCTCGGGGCAGTCTTATCTCGAGTTTTCCCATCGCGAGTTCCTCCGCGCGAATCCCTATATGATGTCTCAACAGTTTGCAGAGATCTAGGACGTGCTGGAAGACTTGTATGAGAGGAACGTGTTCATCGATATTGCCATGCATCTTTGTCGGTTTGAGACTCCAGAGAAACCATACCACCAACAACAATTTAACATGAACCCCACAGCGCTCGTAAAACTCTGGCAGTTAGCGTTGGATTCGATGAACCAGCTAATCGCGCAAAGGTCAGAGCTTGAGTCATTTTGTGAGACCATGGTGGCTGTGAACACGGGAGATTTCGGCGTTAATACTATCCCACTGGAGACCCGTAAGGCCGCATCGAAAGTGTTCACCGATACATAGGAAGATTTGCAGAAACACTTGAGTGTATACCCTAAGAAGGTTCGTCGGTTCCCCTACGTTGCTTCGAGTTCTGTTTGGTATCTCTAGCGAACTGTTTGACTTTCGGCATTGCGGTAAGAAAGATGTATTTTTGGTGCTAACAGACTGTCTTGCATTTGTTAGTGGATGAAGAGAAATATGTGGATGGCGGAGGCAATAAAAATTCAGGGTCTTTCGGGTTCCGTTCCTCCTTCTGGGACGCTTCCGGGTTCTATTCCTCCTACTAACCCGTTGTCGGGTTCTATTTTTCCTGCTGGGACGTTTCCGGGTTCTGTTCCTCCTACTGACCCGTTGTCGGGTTCTGTTCCTCCTTCTGGGACGCTTCCGGGTTCAATGAATGGTTCGTCCTTGTGATGTTTTGTGTTCGGGTTACGGTTGATCGGGATGGCGATTACGAGGGCGATTTTAGTTCTGGTTGGGGATGAGCATGATACGGATCGGAACTTTGGGTATTCTTATGAGCTTACTTTGGGAACAAAAGACGTTGGGTAACAAACGAACTTTCTGCTTGACACAGATAGAAGATGGGAGTATGAATGAAGTTATAACGTTACCTTCATCTCTTTATCCTAACGAACTGCGGGTCCTCATTTGTGTCAGATTAAGAGTAAGGAGACACTCATCGAATTCAGCATCTTCTCCTGGGGTGACGGCAAAGCAAAGTGTACTCATTGATAAAACCTTATGTTAACTTCGTATCATGATGGTTCACTGACGCCTACGTGCAAAACGTCGAATTCAAAGTCGACATTCGAGACGGGCTTCCATTAGTTATCAACACGCACGGGAATCGGGAAATGGGACATGTCGAGGTGCTTGCAAAATTGTTAGGGAGTTAGTACTTTATGCACTTGCTGTTGGTACAAGAAGCTCGACAGTCTAACAGGCTGTTAGTGCTTCGCTGGACTTCAGGTGGCCAAGGGCAGGAAGCTTAACAAAACAAGGCCGACAGCCAGTTAGTGCAGGCACCCATCGGCTTGCAGTTGCCGGATATGGATAAGATAAGAGCTTGGTCAACTGCCCCGTGACCACCATTTCTTGTTTCGTCCTTCACAAGTGAACCATCATCATCATCCGTTCTTTGCTCCGCCCACTTACGGACAGGCGTTACTAATTCCAATACCGCTTGGTATTCTGGATCTCAGTGCTGCCCCGGCGATATGACGGGGAGATGCATGGAACGGGATGACCTTTGCGGCGTCCCAACCGGGACCTTGATGACCTACCTGTACACAGTAGGGGCAGGAGGAAGCGACCCAAGCGAGGGGAGTCGTGGAGGACGAGCTGTGCCTAGGTACCTTCCCTTCCTTTACCTTAGCTCCCGTCGTCCAAGGAGCTCAAGCAAGGCGAACTCGGCGAGGAAGGTTGAATGATGGACAGGACGGAATGACGTCTTCCTCCAAATGCTGATCTCCCAACGCCGCCAGAGTTTGGGGGGTTCTTCGGTTTTTTCGAACCTTGTATCCTTGCTTGCTCTTACACGCATATACACTCTCCTTTTCCTAGGTTCATCTCTTTTGCTTTTTTTTTCCTTTGTCTTGTTTATGCCACACAGATTGAATATCCCCGGCTTGAAACGAAACGAAACTAAGTTCCAACATCCAAGGTCAAAACACAAGAAAGCATATATCTCGAGAAATCAAGAATATGACCATGACTGTACTTGTATATGCCTTGTATTATTCTATAACAATGACCCTTATCCTCTAATCCTGTATCCAAGCCCTGGTTTGGTTGCCCAACACAACGGGCAGGAGGGGTATCATCAATATCCGTCTAAGTCTAATAATCTATCCTGTTCTGTTTATAACTAGGGGCGTTCTCCTTTTAATCCGTTCAATGTCAGGTTCATCGCCATGTGTTTGCGGGTATCGTTTCTTCATGTCTTCGTTTCCGTTTTGTGATTCATAACGCCATACCATAACCCCAAAACGCCATGCTAATGCAAATTAAAAGGGGGTATTAGAAGAGAGAAAAAGAATTGAAAGTAAAGCCAAGCAGAAAGGAGGTAGCGTAGCGACCTCACGCATCGATATGCTTATGCAGTTGGCTCAAAGTCCACCAAGAGCTGTTTCCACCTGAGTTAGCATTCCTCATCCCATCAAGACAAACATGAAACACAGGAAGAACAACTTACCAGCACACCAAGTCAAATACCAAGTCAGACTAGCGCCTCCATCCAAGTTTTCGGGGCTGAACCCATCTCTCTTTGCCTTCGCTGCCTTCTGAGCAAGATTAGGCAAAACCATCTTCCCCTTCCCCTTCTCCAGCGCCCTTCTTATCGTCCTCCTCGCCATCTTCGACGACATGGCGCTGACTGTCCCGTTTACCGGTACCGTTCCATCCGGTACACCAGGAGTGGTGGGCACTGAGGTCGAAGTAGGAGTAGCAGTCCAGCCCGGTGTACTCACGGTACTCGTTGGCGCCGACGTCGACGTGGGAGTCGGCTCAGTAGTGCCCGGCGCGGTACCATTTCCAGGGGCAGGATCAGTAGGCTGACTTCCACCACCCCCAACACCTCCACTCGGCACACCCGCACCAGCAAAAACCTCCCAAGCACCCTTGGGATCGATCGTCGCGTAATTCCCGTACAAAACACCCTTCCATCCTCCTTCCGCCGCGTCCGCGGCCCCTCCAGCGAAGAAGGCTTCCCACTCTTCTTTGACAAAGTCCTTGTTCCTGATGAACATGGTATGCGGTAGCAACGGCAACATGTGAATACCTTGGATGTACTCCTTCTTGTTTCCAAAGAAGGTGACATGGTCGACTTTGTTCTCGAACAAGATACCAGCGACCTTATTGGGCGTGAACTCCTTCGGCTGGATCTGCGAGCCGGGGTTGGAGGAGGAGTAAAGGTAGTACGAGTTCAGGGAGCGACGGAGGAGAGATAGTTGGAGGGCAGAGCGCTGGTAGAGCGCTTGGTTGTTGGTGGCTTGGGCCCACATCAGCAGAGCGTAGACGTGCATGGAGTCTTCCGAGGAGGATTCCTGGTCTTTGCCGTCGCTGGATTCGTAGAGGCCGTGGGCCCACGAGTGGCCGTGGTACCAGTCGAAGGTGCGGAAGGCGGGGAAGTGAGGGTCGAGAGAGGCAGAGGGGTTGGCGACGTCGCGGACGAGGGAGTTGACGTATTGAGCGTTGGAAGAGGAAGAAGCCCAGGAGGGGTCAAGGTGAGCGAGAACGGCGCCCGTGTAGATGAAGTAGCCGTAGTGGAAGTGGTGGTCGTTGTAGTAGGTGTTGCCGAAGTCGGAGCCGGAGTCACCGGTGGTGTAGGAGGCGGAAGAGACGATGCCGCCCCAGGATTGATCATAAACCAGCGGATACTGCTGCTGATTCTCCGCATACCGCGCAAACGCAACCTTCAACTGCTCCAACCCCTTCTTCGCCAGATCCGTATCGCCTAGCATATCATTGACAGCCACCAAGATGGCCGCAAACTTGGCAAGGGCTTTGCCGCCATAGTACATGCTCGGCTGGTCCGTCTGGTTAAGCATGCCCTGGCCCTGCCACGTTCCAAGGAGTTCCTGTTGCGCCACATTCTTGATATACTCCTTCGCGGAGTCGCTGATGGCCTTCACAGAACCTGCCTCAGGAGTCCAGGGGACGAACCCAATGCTCATGGGCTTGCTGATGTCCTCTTCCATGGTCCACTCGTCGCCGACAACAGCAACGGCGACGCCCTTGGTGGTGGTATCAAGCTTGACGGAGGAGGCCACCTTGGAGGCCGTCTCGGAGCTGAAGGAAGCCTGATGGTGAGGCAAAGCAAACATGACGAGGCTGGAGTTGGACGGCAATCCCTCCTTCTGGAAGTGGAAGGTATACCGGCCCTTCTGCCCATCCACGGATCCGGAGAGTTCAACACCAGTGGCATACGTGCCGCAAGCAGCATCGAACAACTTCTCCGCGTCCGCCGCGCCCTCAGTACCATTGCCTCCACCGGGCAGCTTCGCAAGTTGCAAAACACCCGTGAAGCTCCGCTTGGCCACGGCCGTATTATTATCCTTCACCTCCAAATCCAACCCTCCCAACTCTCCCCTCTTGATCGCGCTCACATCCCCACCAATAGCATAAAGCAACCAAGTCGCTCCATCGTGCATCACCAATCGATACTTGACCACTCCCGTCTTCACCACGCCCATAGCCTTCGTCACCATGCTCCAGCCCACACCGGACTTGATCACCGGCGTACCCTGCTTATACAACGCAGTCACCATTCCCATGCCCTGCACCACAGGCGCCTCCAACCTCACCTCCCCTCCCGAGCTCAACTGCACACGAACGCTATGCTCCTTGACATCCTGAGTCGTGAGCTCGATGTTTCCAGTGCCGTTGCCCATCTCTAGTTGTTCCTCAGAGAGAACCACATCCGCTCGACCAACCGGACTTCCAAACCACCGGGCCGCTCCGCTCCCATCAGGATCTTGGTCGCCGAAGACGCGCTGGCTCGCATCCACATGGGAAACAGCCAGACCCCAGGCGCCGGATTGGCCTTGCCCCTTGGGCCATTGCAGGGAGTATGGGTGCGTCCAGACGGAGGAGGATTGCGAGCCGAGGAAGAAGTTGGCGTGGAATTTGTTGGTGGGGATCGCACCGCCCTCTTGAGGCTGCTTGATGCCCTTGCGAGGGGCGGGGTGGTCCGGTTGCGAGGGGATAGATTGTGGGAGGGAGAGGTCGGAGCAGATGGGGGTGGAGAAGAGGTCACCGCCAGCACCGCCAGAGGGGGAAGAATCTTTGTTTTTGCGCGGTTGTTGGCTATATCCCTTGTAGGGGAACGGTGATGAAGAAGAGGAGGCGGGAGAAGGCTTGCTGCCGGTGCCCTTGTAAGGCGGGAAGGGATATGAAGGCGATGGAGCCACCATGGGAGTGGTAACGGCCATTTTGGGGTTGATTTCGCTGATGATGGGACTTCTAGTTGAGAGGTTATCGGCGTCGTCTGATGTTGTCGCCGCTCGGACGTTGGTACTTGCGTCCGCGTCTGCACCCGAAGCTTCTGGAGTCGTCTCCTTTTGATTTAACGATGCTCGCCAGTCTGGTGCAAAAGGATAGTAATGCCGTCTGGCAAGTATTGACTCTGGTATTATAGCCAAGCAGGCTGCTTGTTGAATCTGTAGCAATGTTGTTAGCCACAGCAACAAGAGCCATGCTGTCGGCGTGCTTTGCCGTCGTCTCTCGGTGTTGATGAATCCAATCATAGTGGATATCCTTCAACGATGAATATGATCAAAGAGAAGTAAGAGAATGGCACTTGACCGCGAAAGGAGAGAATGAAAGCTCTGTAGGAAGGACATCGCGTTGTTTATGTAGGTATGTTCGATTCGGAGTTCGAGTCAGTCAAAATGTTCTCATGATTGACTTCCCCTTTGCCTTCGTCGTGGCGGCTTCTGTCGTACTTGGAGATGTGCTTCGACTTCCCATGATACCGAAGCCCCGAGTATCTTAACACACTCTCTGTTCCTCTTCAACCCGCTTTGTCGACCCAAGCAAAATACATAACCCGTTGTGTATGCGTACTCCAACATCTCCAACTCCAACGATCCCCGTGCCGAGTAAACATCCACATGTGCCGTGCATCGCGTTGGAATGTATCCATTGCCATGTCTCAACCAACTCGGTGCAGAACTACCCCGACCCGCAGTCTCGAGATTACCACGCCAGGAATGTTCACTTAGTTCACTCACCTAGGTAGCTTCACGAGTGGCGCTCCAGAAAAAGCTTCTAGAAACCTTCGATAACCGAACCGCGAAACGATGATGACGTGCGGTGGCGGTTTGTTTCGAGTTTCAACCCAATTTGGAAAGAGAGGAACAAAAGAGAGAGGATGTTTCGAAACAAGAGTGGGTAAGTGAGGTCAGGTACCGTGCGCTCGGACTCCGGGGTCTCGGTGTGAATGGCGGAGGTTATTTAGGTGTAGGTAAATAAGAGTGTCGGTGCGCTCTTTTGACCAGCGTGGGTGTTGGAGAAATCTAGATCTTTGTTCGGTAGGTAGGTGAACTTTTGACTCGGTGAACGGACCGCCGTGACTGAATGACCGTGTGGAGAAATGTTTCGTTTCGTTTCGTTTCACACTCTGGGTCCGCGTAGATGATAAACAATATTCGAGAGATATTCCCTGTATGTAGAAAGATAGAGAGGAAAAGGATCAAGGAAGAAAGGAAGAGATATGATAGAGGAGTGGCAAGCAAGGATGCAAGCTTCGAAGAACATTGGGATCCCCAAGTTTTGAGTGACCGAAAGTTGGAGACGACAGTGCCTTCACTCGGTCACTGCTTCCCATTGCAAGCCGCTCGGCAGTGATCCTTGTCCCAATCATGATGGAAGTCACGTCGACTTCATCTCCCCAGGAAGAGCAGGTCCATCCCGTCGATTCGTTCCTTCCCGCTCGCTCCTCACTTGGAGTTCCGTCCATGTCATCACCCTTGGTCATCGACCTGGAAGACCGAGGTTTGGGCGGCGCCCCTGGACAGAGGCTTTTATTCCATCGATGATGCTATAAACCCCCTGCTGTATGTCCCTCTGGTCAAATGTCTGTATCTAGCGAAAGAAAGCCGATACGACAATGTATCTGGGAAGGAGAAGATGGTGATGGTCGCTGGAAGCCGACGACCAATACCTTATAGACCAACCTCTTATCTTATGGGCTTCTGATCCGTACAGGTAAGGTACCTTAGGTTCTCTTATCGCTATCTTATCGCTTACTTCAATGCCGGCGGCAAAGAAAAGCCTGCCGGATTAGCTTACCTGCAAGGGCCTCCTAAAAGTAGGAATCTCTAACAGCAGAAGGTCAAAAGGCTGTTAAGCTTTCCATGTATTGTTCCACTTCACACTAACAGACCATTAGCACCCGGCCATTTTTTGAGTGAAACAATGGGGGGTGTTACGGGGGTTTAACGCCTTAACACCTCCTTTCCAAGCCCCTGCCCCATGCATGTATGGAAGCATCCACTGGAAATCCTGCAAAAGCATGGGGATTCTGTGAGCGAGCTGCTCAACTTAAATTGTACCCAACAAGAACAGTTTACTCCTGTTCAACATCAAGACAGAACGAATGGTTTTTTTTTCTATCAAGTTAGAATCACAGTTTGGTAAGCAGATAACGAAGGCCGAAGCGTATCAGACGCGGCGAGGAAGCAAAAAGTGGAAAAAGAGAGGTCGTTGGTTTCTCAAAATGACAAACGAGACTCCACGACCTGATTACCGCACCGGATTAGTTGACGTATCAGGCAGGTTCCAAGTGAATGATGAGGATATCTTGAATTGGTAATTATCGTCGTCATATTGCTCAATAATTGTTCATGTAGTCAAAATTACCGCCACCAAATCTACAAGAGATGCGAGACGTGATGAATATACAACGTATACAATTCGTGACTCTACGAAATGCTTTCCTATCCCCTTGCCACACTCGCTGGCTCCCTTCTTTCTGTAGATGATTCTTTTCACCAGTCACAGCATTTTCGCTTTTCCAACCCATGGGTATTCTCCTCCAAGGAAGTCTCCGATGTAAAACGTATTCATGACAAGGAAAATACCAGTATAGTGATGTAACAATGTACAAAGAAATAAACATAGTAGTAAAACAACCAAGAAAAAAGCCGTTTAGATGTCCGGTACGGCGAAACCTGTAACTTCGCGTTTAGAAGATGGTCGAAAGTTTGTGGAGAGCATCGGCCGGGCTCGCCCAGAACGCAAGGGCAATGATGACATAAAGTCCCATAAGCTGTTTAATCACCTTCGTTAGCATTTTCCCTCCCCACATCATCAAGATCCAGGGGAAGAAAAACTCACCATAGCACCCTCCAAATAATTCGACTTCCCATCCTGCACCGTATACGTAACCACCATGACGCTCAACGCAAACGCAATCGTCTCAAAAGTCTCAAAATGCAGCGTCATCGGCTGTCCAATCGCCCACCCCAGGAGCACCAAGCTGGGAGTCACAAGCAACGCAATCTGAATGCTGCTGCCAATCGCCACCCCCATCGCCAAATCCATCTTATTCTTGACCGCCACCACACAAGCCGTCACATGCTCGGCCGCATTTCCGACAATGGGGATCAAGATCAGACCGATAAACGTCTTGCTGATGGCGCCCGTGGCAGCGATGGCATCGATTGAGTCGACCATGTAATCAGCCGCGTACGAGATGATGACTGTTGTCACGATGAGGACGAGGGCCGCAGACCAGGGCGAGAGGATCGGTTCCTCCTTAGGTTCAGTAACCACGTCGCCGACGGCTTGGGCCTCGGGCTCGAACAGCTCCTTGTGGGTGCGCAGGACGAAGAAGAGGTAGGCGCAGTAGAGGATCAGGAGAATGACGGCGGTACCGCGCGAGAGAACCAAGATGCTGTCTTGCTTCTCTTGGCTGTCGGAGTGGTTGAGAACGTTGTAGAGGGCGGCGGGAATGATGAGGGACGCGGAGGCGAGGGTCATCATGGAGCAGGTGGTCTGCGCTGTCCCGGAGGCAAAAGTCTGTTCGGTGCCGATGCCGTTGGAGTCGCGCATGTTGGCGATACCGCCGAGGAGGAAGCACATTCCCAGCACGAGGAGCAGGTTAGAGAGGATGGAGCCGAGCATCGAGGCTTGCACGACCTCGATCTCGCCGGCGCGGAGGGCAACGATACTGACCTGATAGAGCGGAATTGTTAGTCCTATGAAGATGAAAAGGGGGTGGTCAGAAAAGTAGACAAATGCATACAATGAGTTCCACCGCATTACCAAATGTTGCGTTGACCAGACCGCCAAGGGTTTCTCCTAGTCTGTGGGCGATCTCTTCGGTCGCAAAAGAGAGGACCGCGGCGAGGGGGATGATGGCAAAGAAGTTGAGGGTGAACACTGCCGGTGCACTCCAGCCTCGCTCGCCGGCGATGATGCCGAGGGGCACGAAGATGAGAAGGACGTTGATCCATGCTGGGACATGTTAGCCATGTGCTTTGTGGGACGGGAGTTTGCCGTGGGATACATACAGCTCAGAAGAGTGACCTTGGTGACATTCCATACTCGGGTAGGATACTTGACGAGGGGATTGGGATCGTTGGTGCCAGGGGTTCTCTTGGTATCAAGGAAGAAGTCGCGCCATGAGAAGTCGGAGTCGGACTCGGTGGTCGAGTGGCCGTTGCCGAGGAGCGGCCGGCGTTCCGAGTCCATGGTGGTATAGCCGTTGGTATGGCCGTTGATGTGACCGTTCAGGTGTCCGTTAGTGCTCCCGTTGGTGCCGTTAACGTAGGTGTAGCCGTTTCCGTTGGAGATGCCGTTGGGATGGCCGTCTTGATGCTTGGGTACAACTAGACTGGCTGCTCGACGAACTTGAGCGCGGAAGGGAAGAGTGACTGTAGATATGATGTTTGTTAAAGGATTGCCCATGGTTTACAAGACGAGGAGGGCGAGGATGTGGTGGTGTCTTGTCATGGCCCGCCAACAGAAGTAGTGTTTCTTTGTTTGCAAGTCCGCACTAGCGCAATCTTGAGAATACGCGCCGTTGGGAACGGATACTAGCGATATCACGATCCCGTCGTCGCGAACAGATAGAAAACGCGTAGATGGGTAGTTTGGAGAAGGAGGAATCCAACAGTTCGTCTTTTTTTCTTAAAACAATAGTGGAGTAGGGGAAGGGGGTAAATATGGGGTATAGCATATGAAAGGGAGGACGGGATGTATATTGTAACGATAAGGATCTTGATAACTTACACCAGGTCATGATTGCTGCTGGGACAACCCCCGAACGAGATATATACCGGGACTGTTTCGCAACGGTAGGATCCCCTGCTCAGATTGGGTAGGAAATTACAGGTTAGGTCCCGGTAGTGTGCACCGTAAGTACCTCTTCCGGTATGTGCGGATACCCAAAACCGTTGATTCAGGCGTGACAGGGGCAACGGATGGGCAGACGAGTGGGGTGTAGTTGTGTCTCGTCCCTCAGAAGAGTATTTGCCCAGACAAGGCGTGTTCCTGGGCGTTCACGGTTACTTTGTCCGGATGGGTGAAGGGCGGGTTGAAAGGGCCAGGCAGCGTTGGATCGGAGGTGATGCCAAGGGCAAGCCAAAGGGATAATCTGGGTTTGTTAGTCCAGTCTGAATGATGGATGTCGGGCAAAGCCACAATGAGGACGCGCGGAACGGCAGTGGTTGGCGGGAGGTGACGAGGTGGATAAATGGTCCAAAAGTGTCAATATTAGGTTGGTGGGAGAGCTGATGATGTAGACGGGGAAAAGAATGAGGGGAACATAGGCTGAGCTTGAGAGATGAACTTGATGAGAAGAAAACCCAGAGATCCGGGTTCATCGGGGATCGTGAGGAAGGAGCTCCAACAAGATCTGTCTCCAGTTCCTTGTGAATGAACTAGTTTTCTTTTTAATCGTTCCTTCTTTGAGAGGTCTCCAACGTCACCGATGGAGAAGTCTTCACCGTCGGGATTCTCCTCTTTTCCCCCATGTTGAGATGGCATATCCGTGCGCCAACCCATCATCTCAGCTCATCTCTGCAAGCTCAACCACCTTCAGTGTATCGATCTAGACCCAACGCGGGAACAGCTGTGTGATGCAAGCATTGCCAAGGAAAAGTGACTTACACGATTGTATATCCGGTAGCGCAGTGTGCGTACGTAAGGACTCGGGGTCAGATGTGGTTGGCGAATTGATTGTATTAGACTTTTCTACAATTCGGGAGCAAAGGGAGAGACAAAACCTGAGAGATCTTGTCCGTCCCAAACATAAATACCATGAACCTCCCTGACACTACCCTTTGTCCGTGCCGTTCCGCAAGCGCCGGCATTGCGTCGGATATGTTGGATATTCCATTCCCTTTGGGAAATTCTCGGAAGACCAGGGAAAAATGGAAACAAGAAAAACGCAGCTACACGAAGCGTGTGTTACAGTGTGGAATGTGGATATCAAAACCGGTTTGCTCTGAAGGTCAAAGTATAAAGAGGGCATGATGTCCCTCCCCGAAACTTGTCGCGAGCGATATTCCCGATCGACTTGACGATGATTGTAGTGATGACGAGATGGTGCAGGGGGGATACGTTGACGGAAACATGGTTGTGCCTCGGATCCCGTAGCCTCCAGGAGATGATGTTTGAGGATTGTTGATACTTGAGAGGTTCCGAAGACTTGCATCCATTCAAATTGGCGCTGGGGATGTCGCTCGATATCGCTGAAAGCGGTAAAGTTCCATCTTGTCTATGACATTATCGATAAGGGCACTTCTCCAGCGGGAGTGGGGGGCTACGTCACTGGCAGGCCACTCAAGTGTTGCAATTGGAGTCGACTGGAGATCCACTGGAGACTTTTCTCGACCTGAACACGCTCAACAAGCCTTTTAGTTCCAGAAAAGTTTCTTTGCACAGCCCCCTTGCCAAGAGTTTATTATTGACAAATCCTAGTTGAGCTGATGGACGACACTTTATTGGTTCGCATCGAGGTTCGCGACCGACCGAGTATCTGCGAGTTCAACAATTCTCAGCGGCGGCCGACGGACAGCAGGAAGAGGAACTGGAAGGGCGATAGAAGAGAGAGGACTTGGGACTCCAACAAGCGCGCGAGTCGGGGACGATATCGGGGACAACGTCGCACCACCGAAACCAGAAACGCGGACGAGAGTCATGACAGTGCGCCAGAGGAAAGGTCACAAGACACTCTATTTGACGCTCCATGTCTCAACATCGATGGTGTCGCTGGTATCACTGGTATCGCTGGTAGAACCTCGAGCACATGGTGGAAGACAGGAAAGACAGGACGTTGAGGAAAAGAAGTCTGCCTGAGGTCTGAGTTCTGGCTGGAATGCCTTTCCGCAGAGCAATGCCATGCCCATCCATCCGCCCGACCCGCGTATCTTTGGCATCTGTTCCTACAGTCTGCATGCTGATGCGGGGATGGCAAGGCAGCACAACCGCCATTCTGCCCACCGAAAAAGAATATTGGATCGATAGAGGACAAAAGTGCGATATCCAATGCCTCGGAGTGCTTCAGTGACACCTGGGGTGACACCAGTCGCGGATGGATGCCGACACTAAAAAAGAAGTACGTACCAGTGCATGGCGGCATAAAGTGGGGAAATGAGGCCTCCGCCCCAATTCAACCAATGATGATGTCGGAAGACACCCACGGTTCAGATGCCTTTTCTGTGCCTCGAGTGTGCATCACCATTTCACCAGAGAGCCAGTCAACCCGATGCTAGGTACCGGTTGGGTAACATGGCACGAGGATGGAAATCAGAATGACCGATGAAAAACGGACGAACTCTGTTGGAAAAAATAAGTTGAGGAATTGACGCCAAACAGACCGTCTCCTCCGGAGCACGCCGAGTGGCTCCGGGCGGACCACCGGATTTGTGGGTCACCTGTCCCGATACTCGGAAGCAGTCAGTCCCGGAAGTCCGGTTGACGACAAGATGTTGCACCATCGTGGGTTTCATATTTCGACAAAGAACAAAAGTTGATATTGAAGGAACACATCGGTGATAAAGGACAAATAAGCAGATCCCAAAACTCCCTGGCCATGCATTCTTCCCTCGCTCGCTCGCTTTTGAAGTAACCCAATCCCAATCCCAATCCCAATCCCAATCCCAATCCCAATCCAAATCCCAATCCCAATCCAAATCCCAAATCCGAGCCATAAGGACAAAGGGGTATCACAGCGCAGCATCCCAATCCCAATCCCAGCCACAATCTCAATCCCAGCCACAATCCCAATCCCAGCCACAATCCCAATCCCAATTACTCAAACCCAAACCTCCTCCCCTTATCCAGCTCATCCTCAATCAACACCTCCCCCTTCCTCGCCTTCTTCGACAACCCATGTCTACTATTCAAATGATCCCAAAAGTCTCCTCGCGTATCAAACCCTTTATCCTCTTCTGTTTCCTCCTCACCTTCTTCCCCATCTTTTCTCCCCCCATCATCCCCATGTTCATGTCCCTTCTTATGTGTCTCCAGATTCATCTCACACCCCTCAACCCAACAGAAATACCTAACCCCAAGCGCAAACGTCTCCCACCTCGTCGTCGCACTCCTCGCTCTGCGTTCGCGAACTAATAGTTCTGCATACTTCTTGAGCAAAAGGCGCTGCTCGCCGTCGTTGGCGGATAGCCAGCGTTCTGTGGCTTCTTCGATTTCGTCGAGGTGGTTCCGTCGGCGGAAGGGTAAAGAGCGAAGGGGGGAGAGGGAGAGCGGGGAGACTTGGAAGCGGTGGTAGTTTTTGTAGAGGCGGCCTTTGGATTTGCGGAGTTCGAGTTCGGTGGGGGAGGGTGGTGTTGATGGTGAGTTGGTGTTAGACGAAGATGAGGGTGAAGGGGAGGGCGATGAGGTAGAGGAAGAGGAAGAAGTGGACGGAGAAGAAGAGGTGGTGGACTGAGAAGCGAAAGGTTGAACAAGCTTCTCGTAAAACCAAGCGTTGTGTTCATCCGTTCCCAAACTCAAAAGTAAATCGATGGGTGGATTGTAGTTTCCGGGGAGAGAAGGAGCAGAGGGGTCAACGCCTAGGAGGGATGAGATCTCTTTGAGGACTGGCAGAGTCGGGTCCCGGATCTCCTTGCTGCCGTCGACGAATTGGCCGATGGCCGGGAGCTTGAATGGCTTGAATTGCGAGGAGTCGGACGGGGTGGTGATGGCTTTGGCGACCTCCGGGATGGAAGGGACTTTGCCTTCTTCGTCGGAGCCGTCGGCCACGAGGACTTCTTCGTAGGTGCAGAAGGCGTAGGGGTGTCGCTCTGTGGGAGTGGTGGAGTCGATCTCGCTGCACCAGGCGAGGGTTTGGCATTGGAAGGAGGTTTTCTTGAAGGAGATGGAGGAGGCGGGGCTGGAGGTTGTAGTGCTCGAGCGGCTGGAGGCGATGGTGTTGTTCGTGTTCGCCCGTTTGGTAGTCGGAGAGATATCCTCATTATCGCTGACGATTGCTCGTGAGGCGGTGGTATTGCTCCCGGTCCCGGTCCCAGTACCAGTCAAGTCCGTACTGGTAACGCTGAATTTGGAAAACGTCTCGAACCACGTTCTACTCTTCTTCGTCGGCCACGTCGTCCTCCTCTTATCCTTCTCCCTATCCCCTCCCCCAAACCCCGGCAGAGGAATCTCAAAACTGCCCAACCCCGGGAAACTAATCACCCTCCGTCTCCTTTCCGCCCTGCTCTCCCTCTGACTCCCTCCATCGCCCACATCAACAACCTCCTCCGCCGCATCCTCCATCTCCAAAAATAACGGCGGCAACCCCATCCCATCCCTTCTACTGCCTCCATTCCTAAACTCCTCCAAACACCCCTCCACCGTCCGCCCCATCACCCCCAACATAATCGCAATCAACCCCCCAACTGACGTGCCCGCAATATAATCAAAATAGTGACTAGGCAAATACTCCCCCGCTCTCAGCGTGTCCCCAGGAACATCCACCTTCAAATCCCCCACCTTCAGTTTTCCCTCTCTCAACTTCATTGCCCTCTCACACTCCGGCATCTCCGTCCCGGCACCATAAAAATACTCATCAGACTCAGTGAAGTAGTAGTTCTTGTTTCCTGTCGGGTCGGCACTCGAGTAGGCGGGTGGCTGGAGAGATTGCTCGAGGGCGGCGATCTCCCGCATTAGAGTGCGCAGGAGGATTAAGGAGGAGTACCCCTTTATGCCGCCGCCGTCGAGGGTCAGGATGTTGCGCGTTGCCCAGGGCGTGGTAGTTACGCGCAGCCGGGCGGAGAGGGAGGAGTGCAGGGTTTGGGCGATTTTGGGGGTGGAGGCGGTGTGGGCGATGGGGTTTGCGGCGAGGTTGGGTTGAGGTTTGGGGGGTTGATCGTTGATTTGGCTGTCATTGTTTGGTTCTGGTTTTTGCGGGACAGAGGATGTGATGGAGGTTTCTGCTTTGAGCTGGGTTTCTGGTTCGGGCTCGGGCTCGGGCTCGGCGATGGAGACGCGGTTGGATATTCGCCGGACGTTTGGCGGGCGGTTTACGGAGCGGAGGGCCGAGTGGCTGGTTTTGAGAGCCGGAGGACGGGGACGTTCTCGTGCTGGTGAGTCTGAGGACTGTTGTTGGCGGCGTGGATTGACAACTTCCGTCATTTTGACTGATTTGAGTCACCGAGGTGACTACTACTGGTCTAAACGATACGCGCGGCCTTGCTGGCGATTGTTTGCGCACTCGCTCGTGGCGACTCTAGCGAGTTGATGATGATGATGATGGCTTCAATTGCTCACCGAGCAAAGAAGTCGCGATGGACTTTGTGCCTGATTGATCGCCAAACTTCGAATCAAGGAGGAAGTTAGCGACCAGAACTCCAGCCTTATAACCTCCCCTTCTGAGTGGTCACATTGTCGCTCCCATCATAAATCCGTTTGAGGCGTCAAGGTGTCACTCGTTGATTTGACTGGCTCATCGGGCCCCGATTGGGCGGATTTCTTGGAACTTGGTCCGGCCCCCTAATTCTCGTGCAACCATTGGCTGAAGTTGTCACACGTCCAGCGGAACGGATGACGAGCTTCCCTGAGGAATTCCACTGAACGGGAATAGTTACAGTTGCGCTTACAGAAGGGACCTAGTGGCGAGCGTTCCAGGCCGTCGGGATTGCGCGAAGCGTCTGACAAAACACCCCACAATGGAGACCGTGGCATTCGAGATCTTTCCTTCTATTCCTGTGCTGGAGAACGATTCCATGAAAGGAAATGTGTCCGTAGGACGGCAGACAGTTGAGGCTGTGTAGTAACCGGCCTCACCTGTCGCGGACTGTTTGAGATTCTGAATGGAATGTTTCGTTTACGCTGACAGACATCCCGGTTGCTTGCTGCTTCCGACGATAACCTTCTGTTTGTAAGCTCCCAACTGTATGACTTTCACCGGAAACAGTGATGGATGCGCGGCTGTGCTGCTGTGATGCTGCGATGAGGCAGTTCGAACAAACCTCGGTTCAGTGAGTCAAGTCAGCTGCCATCTCGTCTTCTGAAAGATGTATTCGAGTCTAGAATCTCACAATCTGACAAAGATGAGATTCATCCCTGCAGAAAATGTAATGGAATGGGTAAGGCTACTTTCCGAAGGCTATGCTCTGGACTAACCTAGCACCCGATACCGAAAAACGTGAAGCTATCGGGAGCTGACTTGCATCTGGGAGGGGTCTAGCGGGAGGCCTGAAGATCAACCGCTGAAGCTCACGATGATTGGTCGGGTAGCGTCATGCTTGGGCTGAGAGTGAGACGCCAAACAGAGGGGTAAGTTCGGAACCCAGGACGACGAGCTTCAGCCTTCAGCCCTAGGCGATGTGCTAGGCATTGATGTCTGCCTGTTTGCGTGAAGCTTCGCTTTTCCTTCCGACAACAACTCGGTGAAAGAAGGTCTTCTGGATAGTTCAGCATCACTTTGCTTCACCGTGGTGAACATCACGACCAGGTCTTGGCGCTGACACTTGTCGAGCTGACCCTTCGGTCTATTGGGCACCAAGTCGAGGTGAAAGGGAAAGGACGACCGAAACAGCAAAGGACAGGTCGTGAGATTTGATCTTGCTCACCTTTCACCATGGACCCCCTATCAGCTTTCGAACTTGCCCAAGTGGTCCTCGACAACACCGTCAGGCGTAAGATCCCATCACCAACCCTGATGATCCATACTAATACCTTTCAGTCTTCAAATTTGTGTCCGCCCTCGTCGAATACCCCGAAGAGTGTGAGAAACACCGACTGCAGCTCATAATCGAATACAATCGAGTCCTCGCCTGGGCCAAAGCCGCCGGGCTCATCGAAGTCGCCCCAGGCTCCTCACTAGTCTCAACCTTGGGAACGAATGCCACCGAGCTGATCACCATCCTTGCTCGAATCCAATGGCTTTTGGCCGAGTTTAGGGATTTGAACGCCAGGTATGGAAATGAGCTTGTGCCATCAGGCATATCTCCTGCAAAAGAGAAGGAGAAGGATAGCAAGGAGAACAAGGACGTCAAGGGCAACAGCAAGGACGTCAAGGGCAGTGGCAAGGACAGCAAGGATCCCAAGGGTGCGAGTGGCGCCTCCTCGTCCAAAGAAAAGTCAACCTCCGCAGAACCAAAGCCAGCAACCGACCAAGCCCTCCTCTCCCAAATCTCATCCCTGGCTCTGTCCTATGACCAATCCCAAAAAGAGCAGAAGCTCAAAATCGAAGTAGAGGAAGAAGCCGAACACCGCCGCGGAACCAACCACATCCGCCGCTTCTTCCGGACCACCAAGGACGTGGTCACCCACCCCTCCCGCGTGCGGTGGGTGATGGTCGACAAGGAAGCCTTTGAGGCTCTGCTTTTGGATTTGCACTCCCTGACCGAGAGACTGCACGAGCTGATGCGTGGTTACCAGCAGTCCAAGATGGACGACATCATCGGCAAGACTTACCGGGAGATGATCCTGGCGAGAGATGGGATCGGTGAGTTGAGGGATATGGTGGATGTGCTGGGAAAGATGATGGAAGGGATGGGGGTGGTGACTGATGGGGAAGGATTGGTGGGGAGAAAAAAGAAGATGGTGAATGATGTGCAGGATTTGGTGAGGTTGAAGAAGATGGCGAGAGTATCGGAGGAGTTGCTTTCGAGGCTTCACCTTGGACAGGATCCGGCGACGTCAGGGTTGGAGGCGAGTGATACGGAGATCACGGTTGTCCAGTTTGGCGACCCGGAAAAAGGCAAGAAAGACTTGGGGCTGTCCTTTGAACCGCAGGACGTCGGGCATAATCCCTATGACGCGCCAAGTTACGTCGATATCATTCATTACAACCGGCCACATGGGTACCTCTTCGTGGACCCCGGGGTGGAAGTTCCGGTCTGGATTGAGTGGAAGCCCATGGGGAATCATGCGGAGGGCTCGATTGAAGAGAAAGTTGCCGATTTGCGCACGCTTACGCTCGCGGAGATGCTGCACCTTCCCAAGCCTGATTCCCTTCACGTCCCAGAGTGCATCGGCTACTTGGATGCCCGTGATGACTTCGGTGCGGACATGTACGGTTTCATCTTCAAGGCAGGGAAGGGGGTGAAGTGGCTGGCTGATGAAATCGTTTCCCTCTACAACTTGTTGGGCAACGAGATGCTTAAGCCGAGTCTGTCGCAACGGGTTGACCTGGCCTTGAAGCTTTGCACCACCGTCCTGAATCTGCACTCAGTCAACTGGCTGCACAAGGGCATCTTCAGTGACAACGTCATCTTCTACTTCCATTCTTTTGACTGGGATACCGAGCCCGAAAAAAGAAAGCAGCCGGTTTACGACCCAGGAAAACCTTTACTTTGCGGGTTTGGATATTCCCGACCGGAGAACAGCAAAACCACCGCACGCAGTCTCGATACGGCGTGGGATCTCTACCGCTGGCCCGCCATCCAACGCGAGCATCCAACGGATCAGAATTCTCGCAAGACGTATGACCTGTACAGTCTTGGACTGGTACTGCTTGAGATCGGACACTGGAAGCCGCTTGATGAGATCTTGTGCCTAAAGAAGTTGGAACCTTCCTCAAATGGGGATGATGCATTCGTTCCGTCGTATGCCCATACGCTGCCTGAGAGAAAGCCGCCGTCGGTATCCCTTCAGGACTCCAAGAACGCGAGGGGTTGGCTGCTTGGTACGGAGTTTTCCGCGCCCTTATTCAAAGGAAAGGAATTAAGTCCCCTGAGGGAGCTTCGGAACCTCATGGGAGACAGGTACTCCAGGGCCGTGGAAAGGTGTCTGTGGGCTCACGGCGAGAAGGGATTTGGGGTGGAGGACCTCCCCGATCAGTCGAGGGATTCGGGGGTTGGGATCCGGTTGCAGGAGGCGTTCACCAAGTACGTGATTGAGGAGCTGCAGGGCGTGAATGTTTGATGGATATGCCCCAAGGTAGAATGGTTCATGATGTTACGATTCGATTGTTGATGTTGTTGTTTTTGGACAAATGAAAGAAAAGTTGAAGTTGATGAAGATGCCCTGAAATGCCAAGCTTACAGAACCCCATGTGCCCTGTGAATCCCCACATTTACAGTGTTTACTTGTACACAACCCCCTGTTCCGTCCCGCAGCGCCGAGCCGTAGCTTGTCCCCGCCCATTACGGCGTCGGCCGGCCGGGGTCCGAATTTCACTCATCCGCGGTCCGCGGTCCACAAAATTTCCGACTTCACCTCACCTCACGTCTTACAACGTCCGGTCTCAGGTCTCACAACTCCGATCCGGTCCGGCAGTTTGAGGCAACACCCTCCAGGAATGAGCCACTGAGCTCATTACAACACCACCACTTCAACCCACCAAGCACCACGGAGGTCCCTCTCACTCACCATGACCGGCGCCAACACCATCGCCGCCGCCCTCGAGCGCCACGCCACCACCGTCACCCGCCTCTCCAGCCAAATCTCCTCCTTCTACGCCTCCCGCCTGCCCTACCGCATCTTCCACGGATCCACCAACTCGACGCGCCCGCCCACGCAAAAAGGCAACACCAAATTCGTCGACATTTCTTCTCTGAACAATGTCCTGTCGGTCGACCGTCAGACCAAAACCGCGCTGGTAGAGCCCAACGTGCCGATGGATAAGCTGGTGGAGGCCACGTTGCCGCATGGCTTGGTCCCGCCGATTGTCATGGAGTTCCCAGGTATCACGGCCGGAGGAGGGTTTGCGGGTACCGCGGGGGAGTCTAGTTCGTTCAGACATGGGTTTTTTGATGATACCGTTAGGGAGGTGGAGATGGTTCTGGGCAATGGGGAGGTTGTCAAGGTGAGGAATCCGGAGATTGCGGCCAAGTCCGAGGGGGTGACTGGGGAGGTGGAAAAGGGGGATCTATTCCGTGGAGCGGCCGGCGCTGTCGGTACCTTGGGAACAACGACGCTCCTGGAGGTCCAACTGATGGAAGCCAAAAAATTCGTCAAAACCGAGTACAAGCGCGCCAGCAGCGTCGCCGAAGCAATCCGCATGGTCCGCGAAGAGACCCAGCGCGGGGACAACGACTACGTAGACGGCATCCTCTTCAGCAAAGACCACGGCGTGGTGGTAACCGGCAAACTGGTCAACGAGCTCCCCTCCGACGTCCCGACGACCAAACCTCAAACCTTCAGCGGCGCCTGGGACCCCTGGTTCTACCTACACTGCCAAGAAAAGACTCTCTCTTCCCAAACCGCGACCGACTACGTCCCCCTAGCCGAGTACCTCTTCCGCTACGACCGGGGCGGCTTCTGGGTCGGCGCCGCGGCCTTCCAGTACTTCAGCTGGGTGCCCTTCACGCGCCTCACGCGCTGGTTCCTAGACGACTTCTTGCACACGCGCATGATGTACCGCGCCTTGCACGGGTCTGGCGAGTCGGCGCGGTTCGTGGTGCAGGACATCGCCATGCCGTTTGAGACGTCGGAGGAGTTCATCGATTACACGTCCTCCTCCCTCGGAATCTGGCCGCTGTGGCTTTGTCCGTTGAAGCGGAGGGCGCCGCCTACGTTCCACCCGCATACCACACGCCCTGGCACTGACCCTGCCGATGAAAAGGCACAGGACGACATGATGCTCAACATCGGCGTCTGGGGCTGGGGCCCGGACAAGCCGGCGGAGTTTGTGGCGAAGAATATCGAGTTGGAGAATAAGGTGCACGAGTTGGGTGGTATGAAGTGGTTTTATGCGCATACGTATTACGAGCAGGAAAAGTTCTGGAAGATGTACGGTGGACGGGAGTGGTATGATCAGCTGAGGAAGAAGTACAATGCTGAGACGCTGCCGACGGTGTGGGATAAGATTCATGTGGATGCGGATAAGGCGGGTAAGAAGCAGAGGCATTGGTTGTTGGCTAAGAAGCCTATTGGTGGGTTCTATGGTATTTGGAAGAGCATTCAGAGCAAGGATTACTTCTTGCATAGGAAGGCGGAGTGGAAGTGGAAGGGGGAGTAGTCTGGGTTGTGCGTGTTACTGGCTGTAAGAGTTATTTGTGTTTGTTTGTATAGATGTAGATGATGTGGTGGAAAAGTAAATACCCCTTTTTAGAATTGTACAAAAGTTTGTCAACGATGATCTGCCTATGACTACGTTTCACGACAGTTTTGTGCTATACCCCAGAAGAAAACAATTACTACATGTTCTCCATCATACTCTCAATCTCAACTGACCCCGAGCGCGGTGGTAGACGTGTTGACTATCGGGTTGGTGGGCAGAAAGTTTGAAGAGTCGGGAGCACCGAGTGGAGAGAAAGTTGAAAGATTGTGAGCCCTGGGAGCACTAACCTTCTAGAGTGTCGCCTCCCCAGCCCGGGTACACGAAGGAAACAGCATATCATGTTCGTAAACGCCCGCAATTGCATTCAATTGCAACTCATATATTCCATATCCCGCTATACTCTGAAGCCCCATCTTCTACACCCCTACCACCCCAACTCCCCTATCCACTATCCCCTATCCCCATATCCCCCTGCTCCCATCTTCCTTTCAGTCCCCCCCCCCCCCAAAATCAACAAATAACGCCCACCCAATGTAGTAAGTGATATGAATCCTCGCTTTCCCATGGTGCCGAAAGATACATGAATGATGCTTTTTGTCTGGACAAAAGTGAAAAGTGAAAATCCTCTTCCTCTCTCCCCTCTTTCTCCGTTCCTCCTTTCTCTTTCCGCTTGCCTTCTTTTCCGCTTCCCCGGTTTTCTATAACCCATGCGTTTCGATGCTCGTACCTTTTCCTCCTCTTAAACAGGTCCCTCCACTCATAAAAAAAACATTATCAGGTAACCCTCTCTGATCTTCGCTTCGCCTTGCTTGTCGTATATACATTTGGTGTGTCGGATGTCGATGTGTTCGAGTTGAGTGGGCCGAGTAAGAGGAGATGCCGCTACTGGACCGCGGTCGTTGTTGTCTGATCCGTCCGGGTAGAGGTATGATTGTCTGTAACCAACTTCGATGTGCCCACGGAACAATGGTTGCCATCCGATTGTCCCTTTTGCCCAAACGAATGTGTCTGATGAGCTCCATCAACGTTGATCGTGCCACCGATAAGTTGACTTGCCCTCTCTCGCTGATATTGTCCGAGCCAGTCCCAGTGAAGGGCCCAGCGAGTAGCATCGATCGTTGCCTCGATCTGTCCGTCACGAATGTGCCTTTCCGTGATCATGTCACCGATCACGTTAAACCTCCAGTGTATATCGACCGCGCCACCAGTCCTTCGCATCCTCAACCAAGGGTCTTCGACCACGCCACCGGCCACCCTTCCCTCCGCTTCCCCTCCTGGGTATAAGATATGTGAACCGTGGACTCATTGGCCCCGCCACCAGCCCGTTTCGTCCCAAATGATGAATACAAAGGTGCAGTAACCGCCAAAAACCTCCAAAAGAAAACTATGAAGCACTGTATAGGCGTTATGCACACAGAAAAAGAGTTAGGAAGCTACGTAAAATTTGGGGTATCTTTCGTCACCAATAATCCTCTCATCCTCCTCCGCTGACTCCTTCATCATCTTCGATCCCTGATTCCTCCACTATGCTGACTGTCCTCGGTCCTCTTGGGATTCGCTCATTGCGTCAATGGATATCGACTGCTGATCGTATACTCTGACATGCTGATGTGTAGCCATAGGACCCTTCTGGTTGTCGAATAGCTTTGGTGGTCCTGGGTATGGCTTTGCGCTGCTAATAGGGGTTAAGTTCCAGGCCATTCGATCAACCATAACCGGTGGCCCCAGCCCCTAAACCTTTTTTCCCTACTTGTAGTAGCGTTCAATCCACTTCTCACCCTATAACCAAACGGAAAAAAGTCTCGAGTTAGCAGTTTGTTCCTTTGCCATGATTTGCTGTAAAGCCGAGCGTCCAAAGTGGCAAAATGACCAAATCGCAAGGGGTGGTTTAAATTCCAAGACCGCTGGTGCTGGGTTCGACTACATTATCGGAGAGGTTGATGAGGAGCTGCGCCAGGCAACGCTTAGTGGCGGCGTCGTCGCGCAGAACCGAAGAGAAGGTGGCGTCGCGAAGGGGCTCAGGCAGGCACTGGCGGAGGGCCTCGCGGGCACGAGCATTGTCGCTAAGTCTGTTTTGGTTGTCAGTACAGAGGCCTACCAGAGTTCAAGACAGGCGGCGAACATACCTCAAGAAGCACCTAACAACATGTTTGAGGAGCCTAGCCGTTTGCTGCTCTACCAGCTGAGCAACCATGTTGCTGAGGACGGTACCCACAGCATAGAAGCGCTCATAAGTGGCACAGATATAGTTAAGACCGTTGTCATCAAGCAAGATCTTCTGGACGATGAAGATGGCAACCGTCTTGCTGAGCTCCGACCCGGTCTCCATGATCCTCAGGCAGAGGGGAATGATCTCGGTCGTAAGGAGAAAGTTGATGACCTCGGTGGAATCGTTCTTGACAAGCGCACCGATGACTCCCAGCGAAGTAAGCCGGAGGTATTCAAACGGACGCGACTTAGACGTCGTGTTAAGGAACGGGTAGAGGAAGAGTGGGATGTGCGCTGAGAGAAGATTAGCAGGTGTAGTCGGTCTTGGCTTGTGACAAAGGGACACCCACCGTTGAGGAAGAGAGTACGCGTCTCGTTGTGAGACGCCACGCACTGAAGAAGGGCGAGAGCATTGCAGACCCTGTTGGAGGCGGCAGCGGTGAGCTGAGAGGGATTGAGGAGTGTATAGACACTGATGATCTCCTGGAGGAGAGAAGTCATAACTCCTAGACAAGGGGGTTAGCGCATGATCGGCGGGGGAGAGGGGGAGGGGCTCCGAGGTATAGGTCGGTTGTACTTACCGAACGAGTGCCAGAGGATCAGGGCCAGTTCGGGAACCTGCTCTCGCTTCTTGCTGAGCTCCAGGAGCGCGGCCTCCCTGGTATTCTCATTCAGCAGATCGGCAATATACTGCAGTGTACGGCGGTTGTCGTCCGAGACCACCGGCTCAATGGCATTATCCTGCGCATGGGTGGCGGCGGCGAGGGTATTCACATTGTTATGTGCGCCGGCCATGCGGTTGTAGTGCTGCTGCTGGGCAACATTGGCGGCGGCGGCGGCAGCCTGGGCGTGCTGATGGTGCGAGGTCTGCTGGTGAAGCCAGGCAGAGTCGGCCTGGGGGTACTGGTGGTGGCCGTAGACATGGGGATTCTGCATCATCTTGGCTATGTGTTCGAACGGAGAATGCTGGCGGCGACGCGAGGTAGTGGGTCAAAGACGTCGGAGCTGTCTTGTTGGTAACGGGGTGGCGCTGTTGTTGGTTTACTATCTTTCGCCAGGAACTTGACGATGGGGCAACGGCAGGCCGGGCGGCATGAGAGGGGTGTCGTCGGGCGCGTAAAGGGTCGTTCTCGATTGCGGATATCAGAGCAGCGGTCAACGGCGTCGCAGGGCGGGTAGTGTAGAGTAGACAAGTGTGTGAGGCGGCGTCGAGGCGGGAAGCAAGGTTGTGCTTTGAGTAGGCTGTTGAGACAAAGGCGGCGGCGGCGGATTAAAGTGCAGATTGCAGAACAGTCACGGGCCCGGCAGGCAAGGCTTGACGATCGCGGCGGGTCTTCAAAAGACTGGTATAAACGCGAAATATGAAGAAGAATGAGAGTGTTTGTATTGTTGGTAGAGGTAGCAGAAGTGGTGTCGGTGAGGTGGATAAGGTAAGGTGGTTGTCTCGGGGTATTTGGTGTTGTCGGCGGGCAGGAATCAAGATGAAAGAAGCTGGATGGCGCCCGCCTGCTGGAGTCGACTCGTCTCCTGCTCCTACCGGCGTTCGAGGGTCACACCCACAGCGGGCAGAGTGGTCCAGAGCCGCACCCGACGACGGTTTGCGCACAGACCACCAAGCTCGACGTGTGGGGAAGCTTCGGTCCAGTTCAAGAATGCACAGTTAACCCTGGGATCACGCAGTTCCGACGTATAACCCTACAATGCTCAGGGGATGATGCACCCTGATTGGATGACAAATGCCATGTGCGTTTCTATTAAGATCAAATCTGCAGTCCTCGAGTCTTGCATCGGGAATCCGGATGATTAACACTTTCCGAATGTTCAGTCGGATGAAATCGATGGAAGGGCGGGTCAAAACGTCTATCATGAGAAGCAGAACCTGCCAGAACTCAAAACTCCACCCTGAAGAGCGACGTACAGTGCCTGTCTCTTCATCCCGTCTCAGATCTTGTGATCAGCCTTACAAGGCAGCTTGTACTCGAGTTTCCTATAATCGATGTGATCTACCCAATTCGATCACTAGATCACATCGATTAGACGCAAAGTCTAAAGCTCTGAGTCCCATGTCACCCTCCTTTGGATCTGATACCAACCCACATCAGTGTGATCAACAGCTTGACGTTCAAGACTCAAACTTCTCTTTGATATCCCAGATCTGCGCAATGATATCTTATTCCCCTTCAGACCAACAAGCCTAGCCTAGGTATTTTTTAACAAGCCACACAAACACCGTAAAATGCAAACCCCCTTCTGGTCTACCAGACGCCCAGTTACCTCCCCCCTCCTCTCCCTCCCATCCCTCACCCTAGACCTCCACGCCTCTACTTCCTAACCCTAAAAGTCTTCAGCACATTCTTCCTCCCCCCCGGCCCCTTCTTATACTTCCCATGACCGCCCTTCCCACCCTTAGCGCCCTTCTTCCCCCTCAACTTCTTATCGTCGCCCTGCTTCCTAAACGGCACGAACCCGACCTGGCTCTCGGTTAGGGCGTTCTTCCCGTCCCTGGGCAGCAAGTAATCGGGCACGTGCTTGAGATGGGCTTGCTGGCGCATCTTGGTGCCCAGCTCGCCGTCGTGGCGCAGGTGCGAGAGCTCGTTGGGGTTCTCTTCAAAGTAGCGCTTGAGCGTCTCGGAGCGCAGGAGTTCTTGTCGCAGTTCACGGGTGCGGGCTTCGCGGATGGCGACTTTTGTTACGGCGCGGAGGGCTGTGACGCGTGTTAGTATGTGAAGAATGATTGAGAGAAAAAAAATTGGAGACAGAACGTACCATCGTTCATGCGGTAACGGAAAGCCTCCATCTGGTCCTTGTTAAAGTTGTACGGCTCCAGCTTGCGGTTGAGCTTGGCCTGCTGGCGCATGACCTTGGCCAGAACCTTCTCGTCCTTCTCGCACTGCTTGATGCTGGTGGGCTTGTGCTTGCCGAAGAGGTCGTGGGGGACGACCATGGACAGAGCAATACCGGCGCGGCCGGCGCGGGCGGTACGGCCTATCCGGTGGATGTAAGAGGAGGAAGAAGTGGGCATGTCCAAGTTGATGACGGCGGCGACATTTTTGAAGTCGATGCCTGGGAAAGTTAGTATCCAGCAATAGCCCACGGCAAAAAAGACGGAAGAGACATACCTCGCGAAACACCATACTCCTGGTCCCTCCTGCCCTTCTTCTTCTTTCCCTTGCCGCTCTTCTTCTCCTCACCGTCCTCCTTCTTCTCCTCGGTCTTCTCATCCTCCAAGAAAACCTCGCTCCTCTCATCCGAAGCAATGATAATATCATAAATACCCCTATTAAACTCCTCAATGATCTTGATCCGCGTATTAATCGGCAGCTCCGAGTTCAGCACACAGCTGCGAATGCTAAACTGCTCGAAAAACAGCTTCAAGCGGTACGCGCGATCGATATCCGCCACAAACACCAAACAAGGGCCCTTGATCAGCTGCAGCTTGAAGATCAGGTAGCTGATAAGCCACTTGTCGTCCTCGCCGCACTTGACGTAGAACTGGGTGAGTTTCTCGTCCTCGGCGCTGAACTCCTCCTTGAGATCCAGCATGGTGGGGTTGCGGCAGAAAAATCCCTTGAGCGTGTCGAGCTCGTCCGAGACCAGAGTGGCGCTCATCATGGTGGTCTGGACACCGCCCTTGGGCAGCGAGCGGGCAATGTTCTCCATGTCTTCGTCGTAGCCGTAGGACAAGACGAGGTCGGCCTCGTCGAGCACAAGGTACTGCAGCTTGGCGACGCTGAGAGCGCCGGACTCGATGTTGTGCCAGGCGCGGGCGGGCGTGGAGACGATCACGTCGGGGGCGTTGGCGAGGAGGGAGCGCAGGACGGCGTCGGACACATTGTCGGTCAGCTTGGCGGATTGGATATCCTTGGTGCAGAAGGCAGAGAAGGCGTCGATGGCTTTGTGGACTTGGTCGGCGAGTTCGCGCGTGGGAACGAGGATGAGGGCGGAGGTGAAGGGTGTTGGGTCGGTCTGTTTTGAGTTTCCTTTCGTTAGCATCCATTCTCTCTCACGACCATATTCTCCCGGGTGCTAACTCACAGCCTTCCTCTTAAGAATGCCACTCAGCACAGGCAACACATACGCCGCCGTCTTGCCCGATCCCGTCTTCGCCTTGCACAGCACGTCCTGGCCCGCCAGCGCAAGCGGGATCGCCTTCCTTTGAACGAGCGTCGGCTTTTCGAAGCTCTGTTTCGCAACGGCCTGCACGAGGCGGGGGTCGAGACCCAGGTCGGAGAAGGTCAGTTCGGCGTCGTCCTTCTGGTCCTTCTTCTGGTCCTTCTGGCTCTTCTTCTTCTCGTCCTTTTCGTCTTGTTGTTTTTGCTCATCCTTTAATTGTTGCTCGAGCTGCTGCTCCTCCTCGGTTTGTTGTTGCTCTTCTTGGGTCTCGGGCTCCTCCTCCTGTGGCTTGACATCCTGCGACTTGGACTTCTTCTCCTTTTTTTCTTTCTTCTCGGTTGAGGACTTCTTGGTCTTCTTCTGGGTCTGGGGCTCGGTCACAATCGACGGCTCGTCCGTCTCGTTCAACTTGCGCTTGGCCATTGTGTCGGGGTATCTGGGTTGCGATGTCTGGTATTAATCTGGTCTTGCGCGACAGGAGTTATGAAGTAAAAGACACGGTCGAGGTTGGTGATCAGTCGACTAGAGTTGGTCGTGGTATGGTCAATGGAGAGAAAGATGGAAGATGAAGAAAGTGTTTTGAAGTGGAGGAGGGGCTGCACTCAAGCTACGAAACTGATGGATGCCAATTCGAATCGACCAAAAGTTTGGCAAAAATTTCGACGGGGACTCGCCCAGGCTGCGCACCCACTGATTGGCCAGCGCTACCAGTCCACTTCACAGTGGGCTTAGGCGCTAGCGCACCGGCAGCTCCTTGCCCCACAAAAGCTTAATCCAACAACCCCCACAGCAACCGGGGGGATCAACCATCTATTCACGATTTCACGGGCTGTTCCTTCAGCTTTCAGTGATTAAGCCTTACGAGGCTGTTGAGGCTCAAGATGGACTGGGGATCATATCTTGACATTCACATTCAGCATCACAACACCACGGATATCAAGCAAGCTGCTATACTAACTCCGATTGAAACCCTATCAAGAATAGAAACAAATACATCTGATCCATAACCCATAAACCTTAAAGCAATTCCTCGTTTTCTTTTTGCTCGAACCCATTCCGAAGTCCACATAACAGAGAGAAGAAACATGCGCTGGGAATCAAACTATTCATCCAACACGAAACGAAACGGACCATACCAAACTACACTTGCGGGAACAATCCATACCAGGCTTCCGTCGCACAAGGGAACTTTTACCAAACCATAAGCACATGAAAGTCTGATGACAAGGAAATACTTCAATACTCATGTTTCATTTCCTCCGTCCATTTGTTACATGTGTCTCTCCATCAATAATCCTCCAACTCCCGGAGCACCGCACCGCAGTTTTGCGCTTCGTTGCTGTCTCAGCTTAAGAACGCCACGGAGGCACGAGATGTCCATCACTCATCTAGACCCAACGAGTCGTTGAAAACCGATAGGACCAACTCATTTGTTGCTGTCTCGGTGCACCATAGTCCTCGTAACGGGTTTCTGGAGCCGTTCGCTCCATCTAGTAACGACGACCGTAGTCACGAGGCGGGTATGGCTCGCGAGGGTACGGGTCACGCGGAGGGAAGTCCACGGGAGGAGCGCGGCGATCGTAAGCATCTCCGCGTCCGCTCATGTACGGGTCGGGAGGATAATCGCGGGGAGCGCGGTACGGGTCGTCGTAGCGGCCGCGAGGGGGAGGGTAGTCATCGAGTGGGCGCCTGGGTGGTGAGCGGTAACCACCTCTCCTGTCCTCGTAGTACTCGCGCCTTGGTGGCGGCGACCTGTCACGGTAGCCATCGCGGTAACCGTCACGGCGGGGGCTGTATCCGCGAGGAGGGGGTCCACGGCGGTCATAGTCGTCCACGGGAGGAGGGTATGGGCGGCCACGCGGCGACCTCGAGCGAGCGCGGTGGTCGTTTCTGGGGATGTCGGGTTGGGTCTAATTTCCGATGGTTAGTAACCATACCCATTCACAAGGTGTGGTGGTAATCCTTACATTAGCGACGCAAGTCACGCGTTGACCCTTGAACTCGCGGTTATCGAGCTTCTCGACGGCAGTCCTCAAATCGGCAGCATTCTCGAACTCAACGAAGCTGTAGTATCGGTCAGTGGAAATGTTGACCGACCTTGACCCAGGTAACATACCCTTCGCCGTTCTGGTTGCGAGTCGTCTCGCTATAAACGACATCAAGTCCGGACTGACGAGCAAAGTCCTTAAGATCCTAGAAAGGCAAGTCGAGTAAGTTGAAGTCCGGGATTTGGCAGTTGGCGGTCCTCCCATGTATCACAACCAGTAAAAACGTGTCCAGGAAGCCGATTGTGTATGGCAGGTTGTCATCCGGCTCTGGGGTGTCATCTGCCATAGTCCCGCCGTAACAAGAAACTCCAACGGGAAGACTGAAAAGGATGAAGTGAAGGAAGCCGGAGAGAGAGCCAGTTGGGTGTACAAGAGAGAGCCAAGTGCGTTCAGCTGGAACGGCCGGACCCCCGAACAGTCGGTAATAGGAAAATGACGAAGTCCGAATGGCCAAATTGAGTGTGACTGTGACAGGGAATATGCCATGCTGAGGGCGAGAACAGGGTAGGGTGTGGAATCCATAGGTAGCCCGGAAAAAGAGAGAAATCCATATGATCAAGCGGCGCACAAGGAAGTGGAAGGGTGACAGACCTGCCAGCTGGTTTCATTGGGAAGGCCAGAGATTTGCATCCGGTGAGGCGTGCGTCGGGGCCTGGGTTGGCTGTTACGCTCGTGGGTGAAACCGGGACCTCCCTCACGGTGACGGGCGCCACGCGCAAACTGAACGGTAAGGCGCTCTCCCATGAAGTCCGATCCATCTTGTTATTGTTAGTCGGTCGATATCGTTACGAGGGGGGGTGGGTTGGAGACGTACGGAAAGCTGAAGAGAGAAGAAGGACTGTTAGCGCATGTATCTTTCATGATTGTATGACGCGTGCAGAGAGCACTTACCAGGAACAACATCGCGAGCGTCCATGGCATCCTTGTACTCGATGAAACCAAAGCCGTTCATGAGCTTGATTTCGGTGATCTCGCCGGTGCCGTGAGTCGCAAAGTGGGCTTCCACGTCGGCCTTGGTTGCTTTGCGGGAGTCAGCATTGTGCATCGTCGGATGGACCCGACCAGACCAGACCAGACCAGACCAGACCAGACCAGACCAGACCAGACCAGGCGCCAGAGCAGGGACAACTGGACGGAACAGGTAGCCTCGCTGCGACAAGGGAGCGATTGATCCTTGATCATGGGAGACGGCCGCTGGTCGACGGTGGCTGTGGTGGTGATGTTGGTGTTGCAGATCCGGGTCACTCACCGTGCCGGGGCAGGTTGCCCAGGTAGAGACGGGTCGACGATACTTCAGTCATTGTGTCGGATCGTGTTTGTGAAACCTATACAGGATGACTGGAAAGCCAAGATGGTAAGAATCCAATCCAAGGCGATGGAAGGCTGAAGAGGGATGGGGAAGTTCCCAGCGCAGGGCAATCAATCCAGTTATCGTACTTTTTGGTGGTGGTGGTGGTGGTCTGACACGACGGAAGAGATCGATCAGAGCCTAGTGAGGCGAGGAGGAAGTTAGTCAAAGTAATAAGCGCGACGTCCTGTATCCTGCCAAAGCCTCGTAAAAAAAAGTTGCGACAACTTGTCCGGAGCCTTGTTCGCGCGCCGACCAGTCAAAGTGCAAGCCGCGAGAGAGACCACTCTGGGCGGAGAGGCGGGAGGTGTAGAGAGGGCGCGTCAGCCAAGTTGTGGTGGGTGTTGGTATCACTCGATGATTCAATCAGAGACGAGATTTAATCACGCGACGAATGGGCGGGTATATTCGTCGTTGCAGTGTTGGGTGGTTGTCGAGAGTCCGAAGTTGGCAATGATGTGGTGGGAATGGAGGAGGAAGCTGTGACATGCGACACGGTGGGTGGGTGGGTGGTGGATGGGAAGAAAAGTGGATGGGAAGAAAAGTGGAGGAGGGATTGAAGGACGGGAAGTGGAAGGATGAAGTGAGTAGGCGGATTGCGGAAGGGGGGGCTGGCTGAGGGAAGTGGACGGGCCCTGCTGCAGGCAATGGAACTGAACCGGGACAAGGAAGGAGCAAAAGACCACGCAAACGCAGAAAACACTGGACTCACAAAGTCACAAGCACCCACCGGTCTGCTGCAGCATTCGTGCCAGTGAAAATGCCTGCCCTGTCAGTCAGTGACGACGCCCCGACGACGACGACCTCGGAACTGCCGCTGTGCCGCCTACGGTTACAGCAGAACAGCACTCATCCACTGAAAAAAGCATGGACCCGGGCAGGCATGGACGAGTGGGGCAGCAGCACAAACGCGGGAAGAGGTGGACCGCCAAGCCTCTCGCTCGTCCAACCAGAGACCGCCGGTGCCCTGAATCCGAGAATGTGTCACAAGCACCCTGGTCCTTGTGAGAGGGGAAGGGCAAGGCATGATGCACGCGTCGTTGCACGGACACCCCTCCTTGTTGATGCCGCTGTTGCTGCTGGTCGCCGCTTCGGGGCTCCGGGGGATGCGATTGGTTTTTTTGGACTTGGCTGTTGTCGGAGCCTTGTTTGATATTGGCATGGCATTGTCGAGGGAGGGCTGTGGTGTGGTGATGGGGATGTTGAGATAGATGGTGAAGCTATCGCCAGTTCACTACAGTTGGAGCAAGAGCTTTGTGCAGTGTAAACAAAGGAGCTTTGGCCTCTTCTGATGCTGGTTCACGTCATTGCGTCGGCTGTTTTTTTCTGATGCGAAATTGAGACCGTCGTCGATGGATAGGCGTGCACGGAGGTTATAACGCTAACGGATAGAGTTAGAACAGTCTTCTCATATGCTACCATTAACTGTTTAGGTACCTCAAAGGATAAAATCATCCAAACATAAATATCACGACATATAGACATTCTCAGCCTCTCAGCCTCTCAGGCTTACTTCCTCTTCCCACCAGCCTGCACCACCAAAACACTAGCATTCACCGCACTACTAACCAACCCCTCCGCAACCGCACCCACCGTCTTGCCCAAATCCAAACCACCATTCCCTGACCCACCAGCAACATCCACCCGACTACTACTAGCACCAGCAACCGCTTCAGTATCAACCTTCCCATGTCTTCGTCCAACAACCACCACATCACCCGCTCCCCCCTTCTTTTGCCCAACAGTAACCTTAGCCAGCCCCAGCACCGTTTCCGTCAGGTTATTCTTGCCCTCTGTTAAGTTGGACTCTTCGAATACCACGCGGGAGGCAATTTCCTGGGGGAGTGAGTCGCGCAGCGTCGCTAGCAGGGTTGCGTCCTCGTTATCAGCGGCACCGCTGGAGTTTTGATATTTGAGGTGGACGATGGTGGCAGTTACGTTCGCGTTGCGCGCGAGTTGCAATACCAAGCGAAGAGCAACGCGATCATCTGCGCCGCCGATGAACGGCAGGAAAACGTGGTGTGTGCGATCGGTGATGGTGGGGTAGGTCGCCAATGCGGGCGTGGTGTGTCGATGTTGGGAGTGTAGCGACACACCGGACTTGGAACGGGTGAGCCCACCAGGAGGGGACTGAGAAGATCGAGGCCCAAACCCGCCGAAACCGTTATCAATAAAAACACCCGCATTACAAACCCTCTCCGCCTTAGCCAGGGTCTTATGCATAAACTCCAGGTGAGTGTTCCCCTTAAATCGATCATTGCCCGCACCAGCAAGAGACAAAGACAAAGGCTGGTCATAATCCGTCAAACTACCATACTCGCTCCACGGAATCAGGGCAAACTCCGATTGCGTATCCGCCGCATGAGAGGTGAAAGTTTCGGCATAAGAAGACTCGGGAACCACTGCTACGCGACCGGAGACGGCGACGTTGTTGGACATGCCGGGCGACAGGGAAGAAAAAGTGCGGAAGGTGTTGATCACGGGATCGCGCAACGAGTAGAGCTCTTCGGCTACGCCTTCGGTTACTTGCATGACGGAGGAGGTGCGGTCTGTGAGCTCGATGAGGCGGAGGCCGTGGACTTCGAGGGGTTTTTGCTTGCGGGTGATTGTGGTGGTGACTGGAACAGATTTGCTGCCTTCGCCGGTGTCTTCGATGGTGGATTCGACCTCGGAGGGCTTAGGAGTGTTCGATTCGGTTTGGGGGCTGAGAAGGGTGATGAAGGCGAAGAGAGAGGGTAGGCTGTCGAGACGGAGGTAGACGAGCATGCGTTGAATCGAGGATTGGTCGCCGACGGGCTTGGAAGGGTCGGAGGCGCTGGATCCGGATTCGGAAGGGGCAAGAGGGTTCTCGTCCCAGTCGATCTCGCCACGGCGCCATCTTTCGACCTTGCGCTGGTACCATGGGGGATACAAGGCTTTGGTGAGGGGGGTGGTGGCGACGGTGGTGACGAGGGCCATGACGACGAAGATGGTGAAGGTTCTTTGGGAGAGGATCTTGGCTTGGAGACCGATGTTCAAGACGATGAGCTCGACGAGACCCTTGCAGCTCATCAGGCACCCGATGGTGAAAGACTCGCGCCAGAGGAGCTTGTTAGCACGAGCAGCGAGGGTTCCGCCGATGATCTTGCCGGCGAAAGCGCACGTAACCACTCCGATCACGTAGCCCCAAGTGATCCCATCGTTAAGGAGACCAAGATTGGTGCTAAGGCCGGAGAGGGCGAAGTAAAGGGGAAGGAAGAGGACGGAGATCAGATCCTCGATCTTTTCGGTCATCTTGATGGCGAAACCACCCTCGTGAGGGCAGATCAGGCCGACGAGGAATGCGCCGAAGATGGCGTGGATGCCAATGATGTCTGTCCTTGTTAGCACCCATCACGGTAAGCCAAGGAATGGTAGAACTCACTCGTAAAGAACGCAGAAAACAGCACGAGAAGCAAAGTCAACGCAACCACCCCCTGCGTCGGTCCATTCTGCAAGCTCCCCGTCCTCCTCACCCACCACATGAACGGCGGTCTCACCGCAAACACCAAAAACAAAATCCACCCAATGCAACACAACAACGCCCACAGCGCCGCCAGTCCCGAGTTATTATTCACCAACGCCACGCAAAGCGCCAGCAAAATCCACCCGGTAACATCATTCCCAATCCCCGCCGCCAACACCGTCACGCCCACGTTGCTTCTCAGCAACTTCAGCTCAGTCAGAATACGGCACAGCACAGGGAACGCAGTGATAGACAAAGCGGTGCCGATGAAGAGACCATAAACGCCGAAGCTAATAGGCACCGTAGTCCCGTCGTTGTGGAACTGGTGGTATAAACCCCAGGCAATGCCGAATCCCAAGCCGAAGGGGAGGATCATGCCGGCTAGACCGACGGAGAGGGCGACTTTCCAGTTGGAGGTGAACATGCGCATGTCGACTTCGAGGGCGACGAGGAAAAGGAAGATGATGAGGCCGAGGTTGGCGACGTTGTTGAAGACGGGCATGGATTCTTTGGGGAAGATGGCTGACGGGGGGTGTTAGTAAGTATTGGGCTGTAAGTGAGTGTACGTGAGGTCCATACCAGCTTCAAAACCGGGTATCCTCATCATGACCGAGGGACCTAGTAGAATGCCGCCAATGACTTCGGCAATGACTTTGGGTTGATTGATCCATCGTAGCGGGTAAGCCAGGAGCTGGCAGAAGATGATGACGATGCCGGCTTGGATGATGAACAAGGTGATGGGGGCCGAGGCGCTGTATTTTGTTGGGTTGGCTCCCTCGAGAATACCGGCCTGGCCGTTGACGCTTGGGGTCGTCGCGTTTGAAGAGGAATTCAACGATGTCGCAGCGACGGCTCCGATGACGGTCTTGAGGACCGCGTCTGTTATGGTTGAAGCCATCTTGTCGACGGTTGGCGGTGTTAAGCCAAGTGAAAGGCTGGACGGCTCAAGACCAAACCCGAAGGAATGTTAGTCGGGTCGATGCAGTGGTTTGATTACAACATAAAGTGTTTAAAGTGGCCACAGGGGACCAGACAATGAAGAATGTTGAGGTCCGAGACGGAAGCTGTCACTCGACAGACAGACAACAAAGAGAAAGATTATATAAAAGGGCAACGGACCCAGACCTGAGACCCTGGGAATCCATTGTTGCTAAGGTATCACCGCCTCTTCCTGATAGAGGTTGCATGCCTGACTGTACAATGTAAGCACCAGCTAAAGCACTGTGAGGTGTGTGCCTCCACGTGATGGCATCCTTGAGGCCGGGGAGAGGGGATCATGCTCTTTTGGGGGGGCCTGAAGCCTAAAGGATCCAATTGCAGTCGTTACTTGGAAGGATCATGGAGGGAACCATGAAGGAGGTTGGTTGGTGGTGCTGGGCTGGTTCTTGGATTTCCAACTCGGATCCATACATAGGGCCGAGGGTGTTGACGACAAAAACGGGCCTGTGGCGGTCTAGACTCGGGACCCTGATTAAGGTTGGGGTAGCCGGACAAGTCCCCTCTCCAGTTCTCTTTGGGGACATCCATTGGATCGCCTTCACAAGCCATCCAAGCCATCCAAGCCATGGGTGCTCTGCTGACTGACCGCAGCTGACTTGATCTCACATCTTGGCTCGAGTGTAGTTCTTGCTTCGACATGCGATATCGCCATCCATAGGTTGTAACCGGAGTGATGAAGAGATGAAAGAGAAGAGAGAACAAGGCAAGAACGACAAGACCTGGGGATGACCCACATGTTCTTTTCGATCTCAGTTCCACTTTTATGTGTTGATCCACTGTGGGCGGGGCCTTTAGTCACTAGAGCACTCCACTATCTGCGGGGTTAGACCCATTGATCAATTTCACGTTTCAAACAGTGCACTTCAGCGAACTTCTGCCAAAAACACCAGACATCATCGCTAGGTTTATACTACCGTCACACAGTTCTCCGAGTGGTCGACACCGTTGCACAAACTAGACCCTTGGATCACCCCAACTCGGGTCTTCTCCGAAAACAACGCCATCACAGAACACCAATGGTCGATGACATTCATTTTTGTCTGCCTCGCAAGGCAGAGATGGCAAGGCCTCAAATACCGTGTAGGACGTCGCACAATATGGTCTTCCCGAAAACGGCTGCGACGTGGTATGTACACTCCAACCGGTCAAAGACGACCGTCCTGGTTTCGTCAATCACGCCGAGAGTTTGACACCTAATCTACTGGTATGGCACTTGCCCACGCTGGCACAAACGGCTGAGTCCAAGTGGCACAGCGGCCGTATTGTGTGAAATTTCCAAGTGCCTCCATCAACACAAACTCAGTCTCTCCCGCTCATGTTTTTTTTGGAGTAAGAAAGATCTTTCCGATGGCGAGAGCAGCGCGAGAGCAGCGCGAGTGCTGAGCAAGTGCTCGATGCCGTTGGCCAATCAGCCAGGTCTTGAAACATCACAGGACAGACTGTCGCCATTGTGTATTGGCTGTCAGTCATGGCGATTAACTAACTTGCACATGGTAATCTTGCTTGAAATGTTCTAGGCAAGATGTAGAGTCTGAAAGTCAAGATACTATGCATCATGTCTACTTGGAAGACGGCAGGGCACCTGTCCATATCCGGGTGAAGGAATCTCACATCAACAATGATCAACAATGGCAAATACCCATCCTTACAGTTCATATGTTATCATGATCCCATTCATAAAAGTATATCCAACCCAGCTACCTCTACCTACTCCGCCCATACTCTTTACGCATGTCTAGGTCCAGCAAACCTCCTATCCCTCTTCTCCTTCCCTCCCCCTTGCTGGTACGACGAGGAGGATGGCTCAGTCTCTTTCCCCTTGGCCAACCTGATGGGGTGACACTCGGTGTTGTAGACGAACTGATTCGTCTTGTCGGATTTGACTTGCCATGGGTCGTCGTCCTGTTGTTTTTGTTTCTGTCAGTATCATTTACACACTTAACTTCCCTTTCTGTCCCGCCAGGCCATCTTGGGTCCCGTCCAGCCCTCGAAGCAGCTTGGTACCCCTAGAGGGGAACAGATATGGAAAAGGGCAGCACTGGGACGAATACTCACATCCTGGAAAATCAACCAACAATACTTCAACACCTCGGCAAACCAAAAACTCTCCTGGAAGTTCGTCTTGCTTCCCCCGCCCGCCTTGTTCACATTCTCCACAGCCGAATACCCGCTCCCCGCCCTCGTCGTGGCATTGATCGCCTGGAACGCCGCCCACGCCCACTCCCTGTACTTCTCATCTTTCGTCGCCCGCCACGCGTAGTACATACTTTCGATGACTTCGGGACGCAGGACATACTGGCCGTTGGTAATCCAGAACCCGTTCTTTGCGTAAAACGCCTTTTGCTCAGCCGTGGAAGGGCCGGGGTTGTTGCTCGCATTAAGCGGGGTGCGGGAGTCCTGCCAGCTAAACAACTCGGGACCGATGCCCGTGGCTGTGGAGGAGTATGTTTCCGCGCAGGATTTGACCAGCTCCAGCCCAAAATCGAGGTATTTTTGCGAGGACAAAGTAAGTCCACCCAGGATGAAGTTACCACCATCGAAACAATCCAGATGACCAGACGAAAACCGCAAGGTGGTCCCCTTCCATCCGCCCAGGAACGTCAAGTCCGGCCGGGTAGAAGGATGCGAAGCCACATACTGAATCGACGAATCGGCCGCCAACACCCACCTGTCGCGGTACAACCCAAACCGGTCCGGATCGTACAGGTACATCTTAATCAGGTACTCGTAAAACGAATCGGTCCCGCCGCCCCAGCCGCCCGAGCTATCGACGAAAAGCCCAGTAGCGATATCGACGTTGGAGCCCAACAGTCCCGGGAACGGTTCAGCTACGTTAGCCGGTTGCGGGTTCAGCAGGAACGACTCGGCGCGCTGCGCGAGCTGCGCGTACTTCGGGTTGCCCGTTAGATCCGACAGCCGCGTCCACTCGAGGACTAGAGTCCCGATGGTCGCGATGCCGTTCGTCTGCGATCCCGTCCGCCTTGGGCCCGTGAGAGGGTCGAAGATGAGCTGGTTATCGGGGATTCCCAAGGGGGTGTTGAAGGCCACCGAGAGCTGGTCGGCGAGTCGGACGGCTTGAGACAGGATGGCGTCGGTTTGGGACGAGGTGTAGTTGAAAGCCGGGTCGGAGGCGAGGGGTTTGCTGGTCAACAGGTCGTAGGCGGAGATTAAGCCGCCTAGGTACCGGATGGTGGTCTCGAAGAGGGAAATTTCTGAAGAGGTGGTGGTGAAGTCGATCTTGGGCACGTAGGAGAGGATTTGCGAGACGACGGACCAGTCGCGCATGACGAGGGCGGTGGAGAAGGCGTCGATTGCTGAGGCGCCCCAGCCGTTTCTGAAGGGGGGTGTTAGTGTGGTGTTGAGTTGGGGAGGGGGAGGGGTTAATGTGAGGGTCAAGTCTCACCGGTCATCATCATAAGAGTTTGACACTGGCAACAGTGAGTCGTGGGGAAAGGCATATTTGTAGTATCCGTCCCAGGAGATCTGGAAAGCCTGTTTGACGGCATCTCGTCTTTCTTGGTTTGAGACGGCATGAGGTGATGCTGCAGAGTCGGCAGTTCCGATCTGTTTCTGTTGCGGTTGAGGGAAGGGTGTTGCAGTGACCACTTGAGTGAGGGTCAATGCACCCGCCAAGAAGGTTGCCGGGCCAATGTTGAACGGATACATGACTCGGATGAGGCCGGTAACAATGCTCGTGAGCAATGTTGTTTTTGTTCTGATGTAAACAGTGACCCCTTTGTCAACCGTCCGAGCGCGGACCTGGGGTGTTTATATGTATCGTGTAGACCGCGGCTCACCACGACAGACAGTGAGACGACCGAGTAATGAGTGTCCGTGCAGTCAACGACTGAAGGAACTGTGAGATGACAAATTCCCACGCTCGCTCAAGTGAAGCACCGATGGACCGAGGTGAAGGATGGACTGAAGGAGACGTGCCCAGTCCAGGCACGAAGAGCAAGGAGTTGGGAGGTGCATGATGTATATATTCCGGTTTCCTTCGTATCTGCCAAGGCCATTCTGGCCCCGATCCAGGAATGAGGGACGGTCTATTCACACCGACTGATCAACATTTCTTGGTTCGGCCAATGGAGTGGGAGATGTCGGCAATCGGGTAGGCATGTGCCTTATACGGAAGTCTTTCTGTCTTTCTTGTCACCGACTGTGGTGGGCGGGGCGACGACTGGTGGGGTACAAAAGGCGGTTTTTCCACTTGTAAACTTCTCGTAGACCTGGATTCTTCTCCAGAACTACATCTTCTTGGTGACCAATCAATTATCATGGCTTTGTCGTCCCAATAACCGTGCATCACATATCCCTTTTCTGTACCGACACCGCATACATATCGCTGTGCTGTATGCAGATGTCAGGGCACAGGCCCATAACCCCACATGCATACAGGTATGGCAAGTACGAGCCAGAAGTATAGGGCAAGTACAGGGCAAAGGCACACACAGGGTGTGCAACCAGTACTATGTATTTAGCCAGATTCTGGCCTCCACCTTGTTGAGAGGCCATCCTTCTCCAATACATCACATCAAGTCATACATTGCCTTGCAGAGGTCCCTGTCCTTACAGCAGACAATGCATTTTGTTGGCTGCAAGTTGCGGTCTCCTACATGCGACTTTGCGGCCGGTTCGACTTCGATCAAGATTGGGAATTTGGATCAGATGTGATTATGCCTCGAGTCGAGAAGGTTGGATAATATCTACCATGTCTGAGAAGTGTAAACAACGTAGGATTGAAGCATCAACGGCAATGTCCCGTGCCCCTCTCATCTGCTCTCACCAAATACTACACTACGCTGTAGAAATGGCGGATGGTCGTGTCAATTGTTCGTTCATTCAGCAAGGAAAGCTGCACCGCCAAGGTTGGAGAAAGATCTGCAAGCTGAGTGATGTGCATACACGGGGCTTTTGGCGGGGGAAATGAACCGGGAATGGGGAATACCTATCTTGACATCAATGCCCATTCAGCTCGGTTGATTTTCCCGGAGTTTTGGCTCGTCTGAAGCAATTGTTTTCGTGGTATGTCCGGCTATAGGACGATCTGAATTCAGCCCATAATGCTATCATTGGTCGATCCCTCAAGAACCTGCCTGCTTAGTAGGAGATTGTCGGTATAAGAGCGGTATATGAGAGACTATAAGTGAGACAAAGTCCCACAGACTCCAGCCCCCCACCATCATCATTACCGAGGTGTTGGAGATGCAGCTTGGACCGCGCAACAACATTGGGACTGAACCGATATGAAGTGAGGTACATATACTCATACCGGGTACCGTAGAAACTCGCAAAAATCGCCAATAGCTATGTTAGAGCTCACGGCAGGCGCAACCTTGCAGTACATCACACTCTATAGAATACACCACACATTTGCACCCACAGCTTGCTTTCGCCTTGCATATGCCTTCGGCATTGACAGGCTATCCCTCTTTAAGCGCTGGGCATATGGCAGATATGTACACAGGTAGCTGGCAGGACAAGGCCGGGCCCTGTGCACTTGAGAATGTGTTTAAGTTGATGTGGCGAGCACATATGCTGGCATATGCGTGCTTACGGGGCATGCTCATGGCAGATTTCTGCCATATGCCCAGCGCTTAAAGAGGGATAGCTTTTGGCGACTTTCGCGAGTTTCTATGGTACCCGATTCCTGTTTTCCTCGAGAAGAGATTGTGACCCAGAGTCACGATGAAAAAGGTCCGAAGGTGGGTTGTATGCTCCAAGCCAAGGCACCCGTCTAGAGTTCCATCGCATACATTACATACGAGATGCCGTGTATCGTTGCTCCAACGAGAGGAATCCAGCTGCCAGGGCCTACTGATGCGTTTCCTAATCCATCTACCCACATAGCGTGCGTAAACAGGTTGTTGCAAACTGGGTGCATGACCCAACGGTCGTGCATTTGTGATGTCTGGTGACTTGTAAGTGGTCATTCGTCAGGTTTTATAATGTTCCCAAGACAGACCTAGAAGAGGACTGAGTTTTGGGCCTCATGGTTCGGTCGGTGAAGTAGTCCAGAAGGAGTACCGTGTTGGTCGGGGGACAACGGCTTCTGGTGTTCCGTGCACGACTTCGATATCAAATGTTGTTGTTCTTGCCCACGCGGATGTTGTGTTAAGACGAACATGTTCCTGTGGTCCAGGACCTGTAGCGAGCCGCGAGGTACCGCACGTTCTTGTGAGGGGTGCCGTAGAAACTCGCCAAACTGGCAATACGCTACTGCCGTAGAAACCTCTTTTTCCCACAGAGTACTGACGGGACTGTACGGTGCAAGTCCGAGCCTGTGCTTTGAAACGCAAGCAAGATAGTGGTGGTCAGTGTTGTAGAGGCTTCACTAACTGAGCAGATTTATGTACGGTAGGTTGCCAGGACATGGAATTACATTGAACGAGGGCGGAGATGTTCTGTCGTTGATCGATGCTGGTGTTTCCGGTGTGAAAACTGGTGATGTTTTCCCTTCTCATGTCCATATTGGTGCTGCATCATCAGCATGAGTTCAGGAATATCCATTTGTCGTATTGGTTGAGGATCCGGAGAGATCTTCGAATAATCATCCCCGCTTGTTCGTGTGGAACAGACACGTTCTTCCCTCACGGAACCCAAACCGTGTTCGGGATGTTTGGCGTACCTCGTCAACCCCCTTGTCTCAGCTTTGCCAGCGCAGCAGCAATCCCGCCGCTAAGTTCCTCCTCTCGTCTCCGAGAAGCTGGAGTGTTGGTGGAACTCGAGCCCGAAGCCACCGCCGGTCCCGCTTCCTCAGAAGCCATAACAGCTTCAATCTCGTCCAGATTATCGTCTTCCGGCCCGTGCCCGGTAGCGCCAGCCCTGTCCTGTGTTTCCTTCTGCCGTACCTGTGTCTGCGTCCGTGACTGTGTCCCAACACCAGCACCAGACCCCGACCCAACCACCCTCCCAACATCCACCGCCTCCTCCAGCACCTTGTTCTTCCCCTTCCCACCACTATCCCCCGTCCCAGCTTTCCGTCCCTGCGCCTTCCTAACCCTAAAACTCCCCTCCACCGCCCTCCTCCAACTCCTCACCTTCTTCTCCCCCCACCCCTGCACCACACTCAACCGCTCCTCGCCATTCGCCTCCGTCGCAGCATTGATCGCGTTCCGCAAACTACCAAACGTGCTCACCAGCGCAATCGCATCCGTCTTATTCACGCTTCTCGGCACCGTAACGAACTCCACCATTCGTTCCGCGTACGTCGTCTTTTGCTGCCCTCTAATCGCGCTCGCGCTCGCGTGCTCGTACGATTTGTACAGCTCCAGGTATCTCGCCGCTTCTTGGGCGGACCAACACAAGATGACCGTCACATTATTGACCAGGCTCGTTTTGGATAATTCGCGGAGGGGTTCCTCGTGGTTCGGGATATCGACTAGCACTAACAGGACCCGCAGCAGGTAGCGGTTTTGCAGCAGGCGGATGCGCGTGTAGATGTATTCCGGGTGCAGGCGGTGGTATTTGAGGGACAGAAAGAGCGCGCAGGTGGTGGATCCCAACACATAGTCGGAGGGGATGTCGGAGTATTCCCAGGCGGTGGACTTGATGGAGGCTAGGACCGGGTTGCCTTTTTGGCGGGGGGAGACGAGGATGGAGGAGCCTGAGGAGCGGGAGCCAGGGGTGGCGCCGCCGGGGAGGGGTTGCGGGGTGGGTTGGACTATTCGCGGCCCGGAGGAGGAGGAGGAGTTGGAGGGAGGTGGTTTGTCGAGACGTTGGGGGGTGGGTTGGACGACGCCGCGGCCTGGTGCTGGTGGGCGTTGGGGTTGTTGTCTTGCTGCTGCTGCTTCGGAAGCGGCGAGGGCTTGGAGGAGCTCAGCGTCGTCGAAGTCGTCGTCCATTTTGTTTACTAGGGGAGAGGCAATATGCGATGAGGGAATCGCGATTTCAAGATGATGAATTGGAGATGAATGTGCCAAGATCCGGGGAAGCCTAGAATCGAAGATGGAGAGATGCGGGGACAGTGTGCAATACAGTGCTTTCTTAGACTACTTACGGTACGTCATGAACGAGACAATGACGTCAGTGAGTCGGTCCACGAATGTAAACAAACACTCCAATGTTTGCCATCTTCTGTCTGGGCATTTGTATGATGATACGTGTAGTGATTGCTCGATATAGAGGCATATAGTGTACAGATCTAACTCAACAAAATCAACAAAATTTAAAAAGTACCACAGCTCAGAACGGAAGCCATGGCGAAAGTCCGGCTCCTATTGCCGTGATGGTGGAGAGGATCGAAGCCTTCCTTGGGATCGAAGGCGAACTTTCCCCTGACGCTCTTTTCGCCATCATGGATACTATTCCAGAAGGAGTGCAACGGTCGTGTACCCGGGGCTGGTAACTTAACCACGTGGAATACCTGAATGAAGAGGAGATGAACGTACACCAAATGGGTTGTCCATCTATGATCCGCTATCTAGAATAACCAGAATCTAAACAAACAAAAGCTAAACTCCAAACTTCCGACCCAATGCATTCTATATGTCTTTCCGGGTATAATCATATCCAATCCATATCCATAACCATCAGACCACCAGAGTCTCCAAATAAACAGTCCATTCCAAGCCCGACGCCATGCAAACCCATATTTCCATGAATCATTCCCTTGAATTCTCTGCCTTTTGCTCTACTCCAAGACATACCCATCCTCATAATCCGAATAATTACTCTCACTCCTAACCTCAAAAGCCTCCTCACTCAACTCATCATAAATCTTATAAAGCGCACTCAGCCAAGTGTCCAACATAGCTTTCACCGCCTCCTTCTGTGGCCCTCCTCCTTCCACCACCACCCCAAACTTCCCATCCTGCAGCAACAACTCCTCCCTCAACTTCTCATACCCCTCAATCATAACCCACACCTGCAGCGCCGACGTTTCCGTAGACAGCTTCTCCTTCTTCCCTTCTGTCGAATTCCTGGCCTGTCGGTGCCTCAACCCCGGCATTAGATGCGCTGAGAGGTCCCTGGTGAGAAGGTCGAGACAGATTTGCAGTGACAAGTCTTTCTGGACTATCGGCGCGGGAGTGGGAGTGGGAATGGGGAGGGGAAAGTCGGAGATGGAAGGGGGACGAGGGGACGCGAAGTCGGGTTTGAAGTAAACGGTTTCGTCGTCAAAGGCTACTAGAGTTCCGTCGTCTGATCTTGGGGATGGTGCTTCCGGTTGCAGACTTTTGGGGGTTGTTGGTGGTCTGGGAAAGGAGGATAGTTGAGGGGAGAGATTCAGTGCTGAAGGTGCCAAGGTGTGCATCCCGGTATGGCTGTTGCGGTGGCCACCGTTCCCAGCGTGGCGACTGCGAGTGGTGTTGGTACGTGAAATGGGTGGTTGTGACTGGGCTCGTCGTGATGAGGTGGTCTGTTGTCTCCTCAGCTGCTCCCGGGAATGTGTTGGGTCTGACCGGGTGTGGGAGAAGATGGAGGAGTTGCGGGATTCGAGGAGGGCGCGATACTCTTCGGCGATTTGCGCGACGCTGGAGCGCTTCTCGTCTGCTAGGGCGTTGCGTGGTCGGGGAATGTTTTCTAGCTGGCCGATGGAGAAGATGGGTGTCTTTGCCCGGCGTCTCGGTGAGCCTTGAGACACCGGGGACGAGGGACCACTGCTCATAGATGCCCGGCGGTCTGCATCGCTGATGGCAAGGTGCGAGAGCTCGGGAATAATTCTGACAGGTGAGTCTGGTTCTGGGATTTCTTCGGGTTCAGGTTGCTGTTGTTGTTTCTTCTCGGACCGCCGAGGAGGGGACCGAGGAGGGGACCGAGGAGGAGAGTGCCATAGGTATTCCGACCATTCTGGCTCTCTGATTCCCGGTGTTACTGTCACGGGAGGCAGGTATGGGGGTGTTGCTGTGATGGGACTGCTGATGTCGGCAGTGGTGATGTGGTGTTTTGAGGACTTGCTCTTTCTGTATGTGTCTGATACCACCCTCCTCGGCTCATCTCCGCGTTTTTGCTTCGAGACAGACTTTTGAAGTTTCCTCCTCAGTTTCGGCACCTTGTTGGTGGTCATGAGGTGGAAGGCCTCTCTTGTTCGTTCCATTCCTGTCATTGTGTGAGTTGTATGGTGGTAATTTGACGATCAGTCAGACAACTTGTGGTGATGGTCAGTCAATATGGGAGAGATATTGTGTGAAACACTGCCGGGGTCATGAAAAGGGCAGTTCATATTGAATGTTTTCCACGAGGACTGGTTGTTGGGTAATATGACGTTGGAGTGTCCATCACTCGTTGATAGTGGATGGGGGACCCATGACGATTTCCCATCCAATGCCAAAACCGGATTTGGCTTCACTCACAGGGCTGGTAGAGCTGGAAAAGGGTGGTCAGGGTGCTTGTCCAGGGTGACCTGTCAGAATTAGCGAAAAGACCCTGAACTGACGCGTGTCTCTGGAAATTGAATCATTCAGCTTTTCTGGGCTTCCAGTCAAAAGTCTAGAATGAAAGAAGACGTTGATACTGGAACCCTAGAAGCGCCGATGACCTCCACTCCCGTGTCATCCAAGCTTTCTGACGCTTTTTAACATCCGGTCCTTGCGGTAGTTGATCGATTCCACCAAAGCCAGGATCCGTACACGTGTATCCCACTGATGCAGGGACAATCGAAAGGTTTTGAGAAAAGGGCAGGGAGCCGTCATCGTAACGGCCATCTCGAACGATGACACTGACGGTGGGAGGTTGGATGTTGACATTGCGATAAGAGCTCCGGTTTGCTCTGGCCAGCTCCATCATTTCAGCTGGGTCAAATCTCGCCGGTCCACAACATGGTGGTCGCTTGACCAGTAGCGTTGGAGAATATGAGAGCGTGTGTCTCTTGAGACAGCCATTGTCGTGTGACTGGAGCGGGTGATCATGGTTTCTCGGCTGGGAGAAGAGAAAGTCCAAGTTTGAGGTTGCGCGATTCAGCGAAGGCACTTGGCGGAGTGGGTCAGCGGGTAATTGTTAGTGCACTTCGCTATACCAACCCTAACCCCAATATACCTATGTTTTGTCGACGACAGTGAGGTCATGTTGCGATGTTTCCCCTAGACTCGTGAAATGCCGAGAAACATTGGTTGAGGAGTTGATATCTAATATTTTCCGACAGACAGAAACCGGTAGTCTTGTTGCTTTGAGTCACCGATATTGATGAGGCACTGGGGTCACTGTGCTACCCCCGACAATCCCTAGAAACAACAATCGCGAGACCGGAGGCTAGAACAATGGGACTCTGAACAGGTGACCCAACAAAAAGTTTCTAGAAATATTCTATGGAGATAAAGCAACGGTTAGTGAAGCGGCGAACATGTTTCAACAGATCGACCTGGGTTCTGACTCGTGGCTCAGTGCCACATGGAAATCATCGGAACAGCCCGACATCGCTCGACCGATGCTTTGGCAATTGTTGAAGGTTTGCCCTCTCCTACCAAGTATATGAGCATTGGTTTAGTCCACTTTCTTTCTAAGCTTCCCAGAGTTGTGTTTTTCTCTTGTCCAAAACAATAGTCCGAAGTCGACTGAACAGAAACATCACTTATTGGCCTTGTTCATGTTGGCGGCTGAGTCTTGTTTGGATGAGAAACAAACCAGCAAACTTGGTCTTCGCACAGACTCGAACACAGACATCGTACCTCATCCGCTTGGACTTGACGTGTCATGACCCTGAACGATCCGAACGCGGTTCACTGACCAGTGTTCAGATAGTCGCCAATTGCCTGGCACCGTACCTGAAAAGACTCTCCGGGATGACGATTTCCACGTGTATCTTATAAGTCTTGACTCGTTCTTTGAAGAGATAACTGGGAGTACCACACTCAAATTCTTGTGAACTTAGTCAAGACAAAGGACAACTGGAAGACGAAGAGATATCACCCACCAGAACCTAGTTGACCGGGGGAAATATTCCTTCCAACTCGAAGCCTGTGATTCCTTCATGTCTGGTGACTTTGCGAACCTTGATAGTACTCAGGCTGAAGGATGAAAGGTTGAAACTTGAAAGGTGATAGGAACGGTTCAATCCCATCAACCATCAATGACCCCCACTTGGAGAAGCTTTGTATTTATCCATCAATCAGAAGGCTCAGTTCATGAAGACGATCAAAAGTTGACCCTCAAAGTCTGTTAGCTCAGTACACGATATTGACTGTATATTATAGGCTGAAATAAGTCATCCACTAACAGATGTCCGCGAGGCTAACCCCACCATACCCCTCACAAGCGTGCCCTCTTCCCCAGTTTACCCCAGTTTACCCCAGTCCCCAACGGCTCAAGATGACCGACGATGGCAGCTCTGGGCCTCGCAAACGATGAGCCGAGACCGAGAAACCATTTCCCTTCAGTAGACTGAAATACAACTTGTTCCCAATTCTCTTCTCTTGCTCATTACCTGCCTACCTCTAGTGAACCTGACGAAAAGGAGCTCTCACACGTCTCTCAACACCATAGCAGCCCCCTCGTCGCCAGGAATAACATCACAAACAATCACAATGTCCGAACAAGAAATCACAATAACGGGCTGGACCACCCGCGATGTCCGCTTCCCCACCTCCCTCGACAAGACCGGCTCCGACGCCATGAACGCCGCCGGCGACTACTCGGCCGCTTACTGCATTCTCCAGACGGACTCCAAGTACACCGGGCATGGCATGGTTCGTCTTTTTTCTCCCGGTCTCCCCCTCCCAGCATGAAACCCAAACCAAACCAAACCAGAAAGCATCAAGGAAACTAACACCACCCCTCTCCCCCCAAAAAAACAGACCTTCACCATCGGCCGCGGCAACGACATCGTCTGCTCCGCCATCAACCACGTCGCCGACCGCATCCTTGGCCGCACCCTCTCCAGTCTCGTCGCCAACTGGGGCCAAACCTGGCGACACCTGGTCAACGACTCCCAACTCCGCTGGATCGGCCCGGAAAAGGGCGTGATCCACCTGGCCCTGGGCGCCGTCGTCAACGCCATCTGGGACCTGTGGGCCAAGGTCCTTGGAAAACCCGTGTGGCGGATTGTGGCGGAGATGAGTCCTTCGGAGTTTGTGCAGTGTATCGATTTTAGGTACATCACTGATGCGATCACGCCGCAGGAGGCGGTGCAGATGTTGAGGGCGATGGAACCTACGAAGACAAAGAGGATTAAGGAGGCGGAGGAGAACAGGGCTGTGCCGGCGTATACTACCAGCGCGGGGTGGTTGGGGTATGGGGAGGAGAAGATGAAGGCGTTGTTGAGGGAGACGATGGAGAAGGGGTATAGGCATTTTAAGCTCAAGGTTGGTGGCAGTGTGGAACAGGATAAGAGACGGTTGGGGATCGCGAGGGAGGTGATTGGGTATGATAAGGGGAATGTGTTGATGGTGGATGCCAACCAGGTTTGGTCGGTGCCGGAGGCTATTGAGTACATGAAGGAGCTGAAGGAGTTTAAGCCGTGGTTCATTGAGGAGCCGACTAGCCCGGATGATATCCTCGGCCACAAGGCGATTAGGGAGGCGCTGAAGGAGTATGGGATTGGAGTGGCTACGGGCGAGATGTGTCAGAACAGGGTGGTGTTCAAGCAGTTGTTGATGAGCGGGGCGATTGATGTATGCCAGATTGATGCTTGCCGGATGGGAGGTGTCAATGAGGTGTTGGCGGTGTTGTTGATTGCGAAGAAGTATGGCGTGCCGATTGTGCCGCATTCGGGCGGTGTCGGGTTGCCCGAGTATACGCAGCACTTGAGCACGATTGATTATGTGGTGGTCAGTGGGAAGAAGTCGGTGTTGGAGTATGTTGATCATCTTCATGAGCACTTCTTGTATCCGTCTGTTATCAAGGATGGGTACTATCAGACTCCCACGGAGCCTGGGTATTCCGTCGAGATGAAGGCGGACAGCATGGATCGGTTCGAATATCCTGGTGGTGAGAAGAGCTGGTGGAGGACTGAGGAGGCCAAGCCCATTCTTGAGGGACCAAAGTTCTAAGATGGTGTAGACAAAAGCCAGAAGTAGCGATAGATTTGATTTATATGCGTTGATATTTCGTCTTCTTGGTGTTGTTCACTCTTTGACGTGCCCAGCAGTGGCAACCTCCAAAATCTCTTTCTCCATCCCCTCGATATGCACCACCTCAATGCCCGCGTCCTTCAAAGACTTCCTTCCCGTGTTCTCCTGAACAAACGTCTCCGGCTCCAGTATTCCAACATAGACCGTCTTGATACACCCTGCCAGCCTCAGCACTCTTTCCACACATGGCAAGTTCCCGCTCAAACGCTGGGAGCACGGCTCGACAGTGGTGTAGAGTGCCAAGTTCGAGGGAAGGACGTCACTCAGCTTCTCCTCGGAGACACCATGTTGTTGTGCCAGCTTCATGAAACAACATTGCTCGGCATGAGTGTTGCCCTCCAGTTCCAAGGTGTACCCAGTCGCCAGGATGGTGTTGGAGGGTATATCCACGACGACTGCTCCAACGCGGTAGTTGGTAGGTTTTGGAGGCGACTTTTGGGCCAGAGAGAGGGCCAGGCGCATGTAGCCTTGGTGGTCTCCTGGTTGGATCGAAGAAGTCATCTTGAGTCTTGGTGCGGGTGATGGTGAGGGAGGGAGAGATGACAAGTCGACAGGTGGAATTGACCAACACCTTGAGCTCCCTCGCCGGCCCGTCACTTCTACAGACAGCTGTCAGTCTGCCACTCCTACGACAGATTCACGGACCCTTGTCACCTGATAAGATAAGCCGCGTCGTCGCGTCTCCCCAGACCATTGTTTAAATCACCAACTGATCAATCCATCGCATCGCATCGCCATAACTCACATTTGCGCGCATCCGTTGAACACTGTTGCGGTACTACTAATCCACAATGCCTCGGACTACCAAAAGAGCCGTGAAACCGCCTTCCGACTCTGGCGAAGATGACCACGACGAGCATGACCTCTCCGACGTCGAAGAACCCCCCACCATCGACCCTTACGAGGTCCTTGGACTTGAGCGCGATGCGACCGCCGATCAGATCAAGACTGCGTATCGGAAGGCTGCGTTAAAGAACCATCCTGGTATGACTTTTCCCTCCCTATTCTCCTGTTCCCAATTTCTATTTCCCTTTTCCCTACTTCTAGCCCTTTCTCTGCTCTTCGTCTTTATGGCTCTCCTTCCCCTCCTGCAATCCCTCCCTCCTTCTCGGTCTTCTTACCGTGTGCTTGACTAACCGAATGCCTGTGTCTAGACAAGGTCCCAGCCGAACAAAAGGACTCCGCCACCGCCAAATTCCAACAAATCGCCCTAGCCCACGCCATCCTCTCTTCCCCCACCCGCCGCCAACTCTACGACACCACGGGCTCAACGTCAGACACTCTCGCCCAAGATGACTTCAACTGGGCCGACTACTACAAATCCTGTTTTGCCGATTCCATCTCCGAAGCCACCATCGAGGCGTTCGCAAAGACTTACAAAAACTCCGACGAAGAGCGATCGGATGTTCTGGCCGCTTACACCGAATTCGAGGGCGATATGGACGGAGTATACGAGAGTGTGCTGTTATCTAATGTGTTGGAAGACGATGAGCGGTTTAGGACATGGATTGATGAAGCTATTGAGAAGGGGGAGGTGGAGGCTTATCCGAATTATACCAAGGAGACGAAGAAGAAGCGGGCGGCGAGGGTGAAGGCTGCGAGGGGGGAGGCGAAGGAGGCGGAAGAACTTGCTAAGGAGTTGGGGGTTTATGACAAGTTGATGGGTTCCGGTAATGGTGACAGCAGTAAAGGTGGGAAGGCTAAGGGCAAGGGAGGAAAAGGAAAGAAGGATGACGGCGAAGGTGCCCTGGCCGCGTTGATCTTGGCGAGACAGCAGAGTAGGGGGGATATGTTTGATAAATTGGCGGAAAAGTATGGAGCTAAGCCGAAGGGGAAGGGAGGCAAAAGGAAGGCGGAGGAGCCACCGGAACTTGACGAGGAGGAGTTTCAAAGGATACAAGCTGGGTTGGGGAGGGGCGGTTCGTCAAGTGGTGGGGCGAAGAAGGCAAAGAAAAGAAAGGCGTAAGCAAGTGCATGATTGCTCGAGTCTGATTCTAGATGGGCGGAAAGGGTCGCGGGGTTTGGAGTTATGGTGCTTTCAGTGATTTTGCTGTCTTACACATGTATGGTGTTCTGGTTTGTGGTTATGGATGTTTCAAGGATACCAATCAAGCGGGCGACATTTCCATCATTTCAACCTCAGCATCCCAATTATCAAGGCGACAGCAGGTGACGCTGACAAGTACTGGTTGTTGTTCATGTATTGGCATATGTTGAGATATGTCTTTACCACATTCTCTTCATACCCAGGATTCTTTTTGCCGAATGCCCAGTTTGCTGGGAACACATCCTTTTCCATGTCTTGTTATTCGTGATCATCATCTAGAGGTAACTCAACATTCAACATCAGAACTTCCCAAAACCCCCGACCCCTCCAACTCTTGCCTCTCCCACGTCCTCCTTTTCGTATCTTCATCAACAACCCTCACCGTCCCCACCGCATCTAATTCCACCCTCGGAGAGGCGCAGTCGCTGGTCGCGTCGCTGCTTTCTTTTCCTTCCGAGATACCAGAACCCCAATACTGCTGCTAAGAGAACTAGTATTGGAATGAGCATACCCAGCAGGACAGTTCGTCCCATTCGTTGGTGACAAGCCAGAGTTCGACTTTGATTTGGTGGTGATCTGGTCTGGCGTTTGACTTGACTCTGACTCCGGCGGTGAAGTCAGAATGGGCGTTGAGGTCGTGGAGGGAGATGTCGTTCTCATCGCATTATGCCCACCCAGTTGCTGTCTCACTTTCGGTGCTTTTTTTTTTATCTGTGTCCGTCACGGTAATCCGGTGGTCACTTTCCCGCCAAACCGGTTGCACACATGGGCGCGACGATTCGAGTTGGCTCAGGTGGGTATGTCAATCCCAGATTGAAGCCGCTGATGATGCCTGAATATTAGTCCTGTGTTGATGTTGGTGGTGATGGGAAAGTCGAAGCTGCGTGGGAGAAAGAGGGGAAATTTGAGAAGACTTTGACTTGACAAGTTCCACCTTCCCTCTCAAACCACATCTCTTCACTCCCCACCTTCCAATAGTGAAGAAGTCCGGTTATGTTTGATTCTCATTACTGCTCAATGACAAGGGAGTGTATCATCGACATATATCCAAAGAAATCCGCCCTGTGTTATTGACCGACGGGGTATAGCGGTATATCCCAACGCCAACATGATTAGTTCCAATACTCAATACCCATAACCATTCAATATGTCATAACATCATCATGTACACCGCGCCATCATGCCCATTATAGCAGCCAAACAACCAGCATATTTAACCCAGCCAACACCGCCGCAGCGATAACCCCAACATCCAGCCCACTCGCCGCACTATCATCCTTCCCATTTCCATTTCCACCCCCCGAACCTCCACCTCCACCACCACCACCACCCGTCCCCGTCGGCAATCCAATCCCGCCCGTACTAACCCTCGTCCCCGCCGGTCCCGGTCCAAACTCCGAGTTGGTCACGGCCGGCCCACTCCCGGCCGCCGTCCTCGTCGGCGCCCTCGTAGCCGTAACATCCAACCCTCCACCGCCCGCCGTCTTCGTCGGTCCACTATCCTTACACTTCCCCGCCGAACTCGGCACCGCATCCTCCCCGCTCCCAATCTCCACAATCTGCTCTCCGCAATTCGCCGCCTGAGCCAGATGCAAGTTCCTATTATCCTGATCATAAACCACGTACGCCGCGCGCAGGAACGAATCACCAAACACCGGCTCGTCCTCGGTCGGCAAGACACCAACGACACACACATTTTTCTGCACCTCCCAGATGAAATCCGCATACGGCACACGGATTTTTTTAGACCCAAAAATGAAATCGACTGATCCTGCTTCTTGACTAGCCGCCGAGCAATCGACTATGTAAAACCCTGACTCGGGATCGTACTGGCTCCCGGGGAAAGAGTCCCCAATCGCCTGGAAGATGGTCGACGGAAGGCGGGACAGAGTGCCACCGCTGTCCAAAAAGACGGGGACGGCGATTTCCTCGGACTCTTCTACCTGGCCGTTTGGGTAAGTCATGCCTACCCCCGACAGGACGATCCAGTACCGGTCAGCGCCGGAGGGGGTATCGGAGGGGTCAAGCATGGGGAGTTTTTCGAGGCTGCCAGAGAATTTGCCGAGGTCGACGCCGCCGAAGATGACGGCCCCGCTGGGGTTGTCGATGCTACGCAGGTCCAGGGAGAAGGCGCGCGAGGAGATGATGCCTTGGGAGGCCATGGAGTCGAGGAGGTAAGGGTAGGGGGAGACGCCCGGGTTGACGGAGGGAGAGAGGCCGAGGATTCCGAGGGGGATGTCGGTTGATTCGAAGCCTACGCCGAGGATTTGGGATTTGACTTTCGCGGCTGGGGGGTTTGTCAGTCTACGCTAGGTACGGTGGAAGAGGAAAGAGAAGGAAGGGATGAGGACTCACAACCGATAGTAACATCATCAGTCACATACTCAATCGTCACATTCCCCTTGCCATAACTCAAGATATCCGCCGCCCCCGTATCCTTGATCGTCTTGCTCTTGGTGTAATCAAACTGCGGGAAACTATTGCAGTACTTCGCCTGTCCTGAGGTCTCACACTGCGGGTTCACCCACAGATCCGGCGACCCGGTGTCCAAGATAAGCGTCACAGTCTGGGGAGGCGTCCCGATCTCGATGTCGATGGTATAAGTCGTTCCGAGGTTCTGGTTGTGCAATCCTTCATCTTCCTGTCTCCGTCGAAGCTTGGGAGCGCCGTGAGCAGCGTGGACGGAGGCGCGGATGAAGCCATCGCCGCTGCGGGTTATGAGTGAAGGACTTGAACGGCGTCCGGCTGGTGAGACTGGGACTTTGATGGGTGGTTTTGCTGATGCCAAGACTCCTGCTGCTGGTGACAGTAGGGCTAGGGAGAGGGTGGTGAGAGGTAGCATGGTGATCATGGTGGAGGAGAGGTCGCCCGGGAGTTGTATGAGACCGGAGACAACCAGCATCAGACTCGCTAACGTAGATGAGACGAAGAGAGGAGCCATGGGAGCTTTATGTATACGACTCATACCTACCCAAACCTAATCCAAACCCAGAAACATCCATGCTTACGCTACTACCGAGCCAGCTCCAGCCCCAGCTTCTGCAAGCTGTATACCCTTTTCGTACCACCGAGAAACTTTGCTTTGTTGATAGGCCCAGGCAGGCTGACAGCGTGGGATTTTGCCTGGCACCTGGTCCAGTTAGACCAGTCTTGTCCCAGCCTTGTCCGGATGGGGATCCAGGAGGCGATATTCCAAGACTCGATGGCGCATCATGGCACCCAATAAGCTTTATCGATGGCCGACCGGAGGGTGTCAATGACAGGGGTATAGAGAGCATCAACATTGGAGACAGTATCAGGGTCGTACTGTAGTGTAAATTTGTTGATCGTGGGCGGATGCCCGGCAGGGGCTCAGCCTCTTCTCTTGTCTCTTCTTCTTTTTCCTGTCTTTTGGCTGCTCTGGTAGAAGTTCCTCGAGCTATCAGCCTCTGTGGCGCCGAGACGGACGCATGGTGTCGGCTTTTTGGGTAGGAGTCGTTATTGGCTCGTTTATTTTTGAAGGGGTTGTGGTTGTTAAGCAGAAGGAGGAAAGACAAGGTTGGGTTGGCGAGGGGAGAGTGAGGTGGGATTGGCTTTGTTCAGCTGGTGCGACGTGAAGAAACGAGGAGGAGGTTAAAGATGTGATAAGTGAAGATTGACTTTCAGCCGTTCAGGAAGTGAAATCTTTCTGAAGAGTCCTAAACCTCAAGTCGTCACATCGTTTCTTCCTCACTCTGAGCTCTGTCTCTTCACCTCATTATCGAGAGGTTACCTTAACATCCCAAGAGCCCCATTGTCCCGTCTCCCTTCTCACAACCGACCTCCTTCTTTCCTCTCAACACCTCCTCACAACTCCTCTCGCTGAAGATGTATGGTTCACGTTTCGTCAATGTCCATCGTAAAAGCCACGCTTGGCATTGATCCCCACCCCTTGAACGCCATCCAATGTCACCCAATCTCACTCTACCTCCGCACGCTAGAAGGCCGCTAGCGGTTTCTTACTACAGCGTGTCAGTCCCTATTTCCAGGGCTTTTTGTTCCGTCGGGTGTTCTCCGCATTTGAGTTGAAGATTTTTGTGTCGATGATGACGGTGATGACTTCAAGATTGCAGTTTTGGATGAACCAGCGGGCATTTGTTTTCCAAGATCTGTCTGTGATGGAGAAATGTTTGTTGAGCTGAGCTGGCAAGAACAACAATGCCTCGAGAATTGTGAATATCACCGTACCGCTGTCAGCCTAACCATCGGAGCAGCCTCCGCGCTTGAGTCTTCAGAGCCTCCTCGGTGACAGTGACTGACGGTGACAGTGATCACCTGCAAACCGTCGGAACCTTAGCCATGAAAAATCCGCCATCGCAACTTCAGCCCCATGGAGCCTAACACGTGTGCCAGTGCCTGAATTGTCGGGGCTGGTCTTCATCTTTTGCGGGTGCTTATTGGCTTCATCCAACGGCGGCGAACCTGGCGAACCTGACTGCTGGTGTTACACAATCCCACCGCAAAAGGAAGCCACCGAAGCCATTGACCTCCAAAAAAATCCAATATTGGAGTCTGGCCCACTTGCGCTTTTGGGATAGCTTTGCGGTCTCCTCTCATTCGTCAGCTTAACTTGCATCGTTTCTGACACTCCTTCGGGGTCAGGCATCGCATCCGGGCTAGTATCAGTGGCCGATAAAGATAAGACTTTGACTCAGAGCAGCCCAGCCTGGCAGCCCGTTGAAGATTACGAGATGAAAGCCCTGGGCCAGAAAAGAAAGACGTTTAGAGGTACGTTGCTTTGAGCGGCGATGAAGTGTTGGAGCCGGATGTGGTGCTTGATGTTGATGTTGATGGAATCGCGGACGGTTCGTCCCAACCCAAGTCAAGGCGAGGTTGGTCGGGTCAGTCAGTGTCAAGTCCGGACCGACCTGCGTCGTCATAGCGAGCTAGGATAATTAACCTATACGTTATGCATGCCAAAGCACGAGCCACTTCCTCAATCTTGGCCCCTTTTCGTTCAGCTCAACAACATGACATCTCAGGCTTCTTTCATGACACTCCCATGATTTAGATCTATGTCAGACGGTGACATATTTTGTAGTACCTTCTATAGTAACCGACCATTGCTGTTGAAGCGCTACGAAGGTGAAGAGCCTAACTTGGTAAGGTTGAAAATATGATGCGACCAACGACACCTCACGGGTACCATACCCAGCTGCCCAGATGACACGTGGCTGGCTAGCTGACATGTGTCAAGACGGATCGATCGCAGGATGTGAAGATGCAGAATGCCGACGGTGAGTAAGAACTGCCCTCACAGGATATCTGATGATACAGCTAGGTCTTTCATGATAGCGTATTGAGCGACTCGTGAAGGACTGGCGAGACAAACACATGCTGACGTAATAATATTATTCTTTATCTGGGTATCGAAAAGATCTTGCAAACCAAGACAACGCAAAAAAAAAAAAGAAAAAAAAAAAAAAAAAGGAACGGATAAATAACCAAGATATGTAAGCCAGTTACCATAACATAATCCTCGACACAGCAAAAACCGAGCAGCTCGAAACAAAGTTCCAATATCTTTGGATTTGATTATACTTTGTTCAAAACATTTGACGGCTTCCTCTGATGCCTCATTCCTAAGCCCCCAACCCCACCTCCGTTTGCGCCCGTGAACTTCCCAATGAGCAAACTCCCTTCAACATGACGCTGATGGATGATGATATGTATGACATAGATGTGGAAAGATGATGATGCACCCGATGATACTCCTGATATATCCTCCTCCTCCTCTTCTTCTTGTTGGACGAGCTCCCTTTATGTTCGTTATATATCGCCGTAATATCTTCCTCCTCATCCTTTTAATCACCCTCCTCAAATCCCTTTTCTCCCTCCCCTCATTTAACCAATAACAACCCTAGCCCCCTCCTTGCCCAAAACTCCCCTCTCCTTCGGCTTCGGGCTGCTCCCCCTCCCCTTCTTCCCTCTAAACAATCCAAAAATCCCTCCACCTCCGCTTTCTTTCCCACCACTGGCCCCCTCACCATGTGCGGCTGCCGCATCCACCGGCAGTGTGGCATCCTGCCTCGCCAAGTCGCTCCAGCTACCCCCTCCATCCAGCGTAACTTGCACACCCCCCGTCGGACTTCCTACCATCAACGATGATCCGTGTGCTCGGCCCTGACGAGCGGGGGTGGTGTATGCTTGAGGATAAGGAGGCAATGGCGGGGGACGGCCGGGCGGGACGCCGCCGCTGCGGCCTGGGCGGTGCGAACTGGTAGGTCGGGGGCCGACGGCGGCCCGTTGCGAGTCGTAGGCGTTGTAGGCGTGGGAATGTGAATGGGCGCTTTGCATCGAGTTGCTCCGTTCTGGGGCCTTCGGAATCGAGTTGCTTCGCTCTGGGGCATTTCGGTCGTGAGCGACTTGTCCGCTGGGGGCATTGGGGGGTTGGAAGGAGGAGCGGCTGCCGTTGGGGTGGTGGGTTTGGACCGCTTGCGAGTGCGAGTGCGCGTGCGAGGTCATCTGTGTCGCTTGCGAGTTTGAGTGCGCGTGCGAGGTCATCTGTGTCGCTTCGTCTGTTGTTAGGGCTTGTGCCGGGCGCGCGTTTTCGTCTGTCACGGGGGTAGGCTGGCCGTTGGGTGTCTCGGCTTGTGACTCGGTGATTCTGGGATTTGTTAGCATCAAAGCCGCAACGTGGCACGAAGCGGGAGGCTTACTTCTTGTAGGCAGCTAATGTGTAATCGAAGGGACGGAAGTCGGTCTCAATCATCTGATAGAGCTCCTCTTCGCGAACCTCTTTGTCTGTGGCGTCATCCTTTAGCTTCTCGCGCGGCTTCTGCCTCCTTGCCCGGGCTTCTAGTGGTGCTTCTTCCAGAAGAAGCTCCTCCAAGTCGTATGTAGCGTCGAAGTTCGTCTTCTCCGATGACGGAATAAACACTGGCTCTATTTGCTTCTTCTCCAGTGCGTCAAAGTCGATGACAGAGAAGAAGTCATGGTAAATGAAGCTCTCCCAGGTGTGACCCATACGCTTGTCCGGGTTGTGCTCCAAAGCGTCCTTTATGGCGTACATACAGTCTAGCTGGACTGGAGGCTGTGTGACGGGGAATTTGGGGTTGGCGGCTTGGATAGTCTGGCTGAGTGATGATTCGGAGTTGCCCTCGAATGGCCTCTGTTTGTACAGTCAGTCAGCATGGCTTTTCTTGTCAAGTGAGATGGCGTAGCAAGACATTGTAGTCTGCCCAACCCTAGACTCTGACGGTACGTACCTTGTTATAAATGCACTCGTAGAACAAAACACCCAACGACCACCAATCAGCACGGACATCGTAGCCCTTGCCAGCATAGACTTCTGGCGCAAGGTATGCCAAGGTACCGGACTTGCTCGTTAATTTTCTTCCCGGCACAATGTCCGAAGCAACATTCTGATAGCGTATATAATTAGCCTGATTACACAAGAATATGGGTCCAGGGTCTGGAACTTACAAAGTCAGTTAAATGGACATGTCCATCAGCATCGAGAAGCACGTTGTCGGGCTTGATGTCTCTGTGGATGATGTTTTGCCCGTGGACGTAGCGCAAGGCACAGCCAAGCTCTGCGATCCAAAACCTTACCGCCGCTTCGGTAAACGTCTTTCTCGAGATGTGGAAACGTAGATCACCGCCGCTCATGAGGTCAACAACCAGGTACCTGGTCCGTCGTCAGTTGTTTTTCCGCCAATGTCGAGCTCGGTTGTAACGTACATATACTCGATATCCTGGAAGCTGTATCGCAAGTTGCAAATAAAAGGGTGGTTGACATGTTCGAGCATTCGCCGCTCTCGGATGATATTTCTAACACTCTCGGAACGTACAACTAGGGAGAGTGAGCCATTGCGCCATCAAGTCCTCGAAGTCGAACAGAGCCTACCTTCATCTTTTCTAATGTATTTCAGGGCGAATGATAGACCGGTATCTTTTCGCTCGACAATGCGCACCTTGCCGAAGGCACCTCGACCGACTACCCGCAGAAGACGGAAGTGATTCAGGTTCACTACGACACATGTCCAGTCAGCATCATCGCAACTTGAGATCAAAGACAGGCACGTGAAACTGGAGCCTGGAACTGGTCATCACAGCAAAAAAGGAGGGTTTCGCCTTACCTTCGCCGTCAAGATCGACGGGCTTTCCCTGGCTGTTTCCCATCCCGCCCTGCCGACAGCTTCTAGATGCGATGACAAAAGCGGCTGAATACCTTCTTTTCAAAGTATATATAAAATCGAACAAAAAATTAGGCGATGCAGTCCATGCCGGGGACAGCTGAAAGGGCTGCTGGTAGCTGGAAAGTGTTGCGTGTGTCCGCTCGCTGGTGGTGCTTGGTGGGTCTGTCACAAGTCGCGAAGTGGGAACCCAAGGTTAATGATTATTCGGGTTTCAGGTCTTGGCACCACACAGTAGTCGAGTTCAGCAGCGAAGAACTTTTTGGGACGGCGGACGGCCCGAGTTCGGTCTCTTTGTTCTTTCGATTCGAAGCGGGCGATATCCCGTCTTTCCGTTCCTGAAGGCGCAATCCGTGTGTGTGGAGCGTGCTGGCTGAGCTCCTCTTTCTGCTTGTTTACGTCACGGTACGGACTGGCCGCAGCGAATCGCGAGGTCGACTCGAAGGTCGAGGAAGATGGTTGTTCGAGACCACCACGTGTCTGTCTGTCTGTCTGTCTGTCTGGGGCGGCGGTTGATCTTGGGCGCTTCGTGAACACAAGCCTGGACCCTGGATCTTGGGGCCTATCGTATGCGACTAACGATGTTATTCGGTATCGATGGGCGAAAGCGGTGAGGAGCGATTGGCGAGTGAGGATGTGAGGCTTGCGAAACTCGATTGAAACTGGTGGACGGCAGTTGGTGGTGTGGTGGTCGTCGTCGATTCGCCTCGAATTGCGTGAACGTGAAAGATGAAAAGGACAGAGCTGGTACTGCGAGGACACAAGGACTTGGAAGCGGAGACGAGCGGAAGAAGCTCCAGGCTCAACCAGGTCTTGGAACGGGTCTCTTTGGGAACGGGGGGGTATGCCGAGATGAAGGGCAGCGATAGTCTATCTTTCGTTTAGTGGAGGGATCGAGCTTTCTCTTTTTAGTGCCGCAATGGGGGGGACCCCGTTGTCGATTGCGAGAGCTGGGTTGGGGTGACTGCAGTGGTCGAGATTATGTTTGCTTTTGGTGTGCCTTGTGTGTGTAGCAGGGTGATGGTGGTTGTGAGCAAAAGGCTTTGTTCATAGGAAGGAAAACTGAAGAGGCGGGGACAAGACGGACGGGCAACGGACGGAAAGAACGAAGAGAAAACTGACAAGACACAACGGAAGGTGGTCCGTGGTGGTGGTGGTGTCCTGCTGTGATGGTGGAGGCGAACCTAACAGCTAAAATGATCAGTGACCAGTGGTGGCCCGCTGAAAAGGCAGGCTCCGTGGGTACCCTGACATGCGCCAGATTAGTGGCCATGCGCCCACCACTCTTCCAGCTGGAGGGCCATGTTTTCACGCCCCATCCCGGCCGGACGGGCAAACGGTACGGATAGGAGATCCACTCCCGAGATAAACACCATTCAGCGCCCGCCAACCGTTGATGGTCTTTGATATCGTGTCTTGTCTCTCTTCCGAGGCCTGAGATGGGTGATTGTGATTGGTTTAAAGTGTCTTGTGGTGTTTTGAAGAGAATGGAGTTGACATGTCAATCCCCCCTTTTGCTCTTTCTGTTAGAGAGAGATACGGATCCACCGACTGCAGGTTTCCATCTCACTGCTCCTTCCTTTGTGGACGCTTGTCCGCTGTCATCTGAAAGTGAAAGACAGAAGAAGTGAAATGGGATGGCAGTTTCAGCCGATTCTCGGACCGTCCTTGATGGCAAAAGAGAGACCTCGATACTGCATATCGCCCAGTGCTTAGAGCCTGAAGAGACTTTGAAGTGTGAAGCTATTTTCCCAACATTCCAAAGACTCTTCACGGGACTTGGAACCGGCCCCTGCGTCCTGCGTGAGACCATGTCAGGTCCATGTCAGGCAGTATGAATGTGATAGACCGCCGACAGAGCGTGGCCATCGCGTGGGAGAAGAGTCTGGGCATCGCCTGGCTCACCACCTGGCTCACCACCTGGCGTCCTGGCGAGCTCGTGGACAGTGGACCGTTTCGAGTTTAGTGGACGGAGTCGTTAATGCCCTGCCCGGTTTAGCGCTCTCGCCAACTTATTTTGTAGGCGAGCGCCAAGCAACCTTTCAATTTCCCTTGCGCCTGCAAATCCACTCGACCATGAAGCTGACAAGAGAGCTGAACCCTCAAAATATCATCCCCGTTGGAAATCCCAAGTTCCACGTTAGCCGGGCATGTCCGAAGCCGGTCGGTGGTAGTATCGTGCTGCTCGGTTCCGACATGATGGAAAGTTGAAGCGCGGTGGCGTCTAACCACAAGTCTAACCATATTATCGGTAACTCCAGTTCGTGGATATTTGGCTGGACCCTGGATTCACTTCTCTTTTCTTCCCGCAAACATGTTCGTTTTCCCGTTTTTTCCAGCCTCAACCTGGAAGACAAGATGGAACGTCCAAGAGAAACGAAATCGTCCAGAACACTGCGCGTACCAGCAACATCCCCGCATGGATACCGAAATAGACGAAACATTTCACAGAAACGAGAAAAAAGAGACGAGTCATCTTTTCGACGGTTCACGACGTTATGCGTTTGACGTGCGTTCAGAAGGACAAATGCATCTCTATAGTCTCGTCGGAGACGAACATTGATCCTTCTGCTCTGAAACGGACCACGGGGGTTGTCATCGACATCAGACGCAGATCAGATTCGATCATCACAACGTCTCGTCATTTTACACCATGCTGATGAGCCATGCTTCACCGCAACAAAGAACCCGGGTAGGTATCCCCTGAAATACGAAAATCCCAGTTGATCACAAAAAGTCAACAAAGAAAAAAAAAAGTCTGTCCAAAAATATCTTCTTTCCGCCCTTTCCGCGATATCGAATCAATTCTGGCAGCGTTTTCCCTGGTTACTGGTTCCAGGTTCCCAGTTATCGACACGAGGCAGAAACGAGGCGGATAGGAATATCCTTGCCTTACCACGTGCGAACTACGGCACGAGAAATACATATATATGCACGAGTTATCACTGTTTCTTTGAAAGGCGGGATGGTTTAATCTATTGGAGCGTGGCAAGTGCAGATGTGTGTAACCACAACCACCAACACCACCCACGGGGTTGGTGTTACCTACGTACAGACCGTGATACCATGATGGCGGATTCCCCCTCAGGGAGGCAGAAATGCTGACTCCAGATTACCATCGTGCTGGGCTCTCTCTGTTTGACAACAAGTGCCTACAAGTTGCTGACGATGATGATATCAGGCAAACAAGAGCCAGCTCACAAGAGCCAGCTCAAACATTGACGGGACTCTTTTCATCTGAAACGACTATTTGACAACATCATCATCACCATCACGGCCTGCCCGAACTATTCTCGCCTACATACATGTAAGCATATGACAAGAATGTAGTGCCACACGTCCACAGTTTCAACTTCCAGTCCCCCCATCCTTCAACGGCAGGGACCCGTTCTCGTGCTCGTGCTTCAACGGGTGGCTGCAACATTGAAGGATTGGCGTACGATTATGAGACATTGACTGCTCACATTTCTTTCGCATTGCCGTCGACCAAACGTAACATCTGTGGTGCGCCTATCCGTCCCACGTCCCACGTCCCCAAAGCGTAACACTCCTCCGTCCGTTCAATCGCCTTTTACCAACCATCACTTACCACTTCGCCGAGGTTCATGTCGTTCAACCGGTTGTTCAGGTCGGTCAGCAATGATATTTCTTGCGCGATAGGAGCGCGGCGCGGCGGTATCAATGCACTGCACTGCGTTCCTTCCCGCTGATAGTTTCTCAACTTGTGTTCACTCTGAAACGAGGGAGGGGGGGTTGCATCGCAGATTCCGTCGCAGTAGTACCTATCACGGGCATGGCAAGACAAGAAACGGACAAAGGATGGTGGTCGTCCGTCTCACACCGACCGTCTCCGTCTCTGCCACACACACGCGGGCGCGCCCCTGGCCTGGCCTGGCCTCCCGCCACGCCCGCCTCCTTCGAATGTGTGAGAAACCCAAAAGAGTGAACGTGATCCGGGGTTGGTTTGAGTGATTGGTCGGCTGGCCCGGTTGGTACGCAAGTCGAAGCAAGTGATTGATTGGGTTTCGAACCTTGCCCCTGTTTGGCTGACAGACAGACACCCCGGCCGGTAGTAATGTCCACTGTTCTACCGCTTTTCTGGAAGCTTTCCATTTTTGGGTTTGCACAATCTTAGATAAGAGAGATCATTATATTGAATCTTCTTCAACCCAGTTTGGGTTGCAAACATCATGATCGTGGAGAATACCTAGACTCAGGTAGTGCGCCGTTAGAATCGGTGACGGTACCATCCCGAGGTGCTACTCTACTCTAGGTAGAGCAAGAGGAGTTGTCTTATCTCGGATCGCTTCCCCAGAGTCTGGAAATATCAAGGGAATATCTTGGGTTATATCTTTCTTTACTGCCGCTGTCAACTACCGAAGCGAACAAGGGCATCAATCTTCGGACATTACTCCGGGGCTATTGAACAAACAGCGGAGAAAGTAGAGCATGGTGTACGTCATTCAGTCTGGTTTCACTTTCCTCTTCACTTTCCTTGGTCCCCTGATGATGGAAATGGGTTGGGGAAACAACAAGAGACAATGTCTCGTGATCTCCTGGCGTGATGAGCTCTTGAGCATGTTTGCATGGGTGAGTTCCATCACTTGGGCACTCGGTAGGAGAACTACCGAAAGCAACCAGTGCTGGACTAGCTGGGGGAGCTTGCCTGGAACTAGCTCTGTTGATGATAGCTTCAAGTGTTCAAGCATGAACTTCCAAGACGAGGGAGAGAGACAAGACGAGATTCTCATATTTGGGCCAGTCGGAGAGACTCCATTCCTCCTGGTCCTTGAGACGTCGTGAAATTGTTTCTGAAGATCTTCCGGAAACAAGGCGGACCATGAACCTTTGGCTTACTCGGGCTAGGTTTGCGACGGTTGACGTGGATAGACGTCGCAAGCGTGAGTACGATATCTCGTCTGCCTTGGCAACCGTTGAGAATATCTTATATCGACTCTGCTATGGCGATTATCATGCCATCAACTTCTCGTCGAAATCCGCAACGCAAAAATGGCATACAGAGCAGACCGGAAGGGGCCGGCCGAAGGACGCGTCGGTGTCAGGGTCCTCGGCGGTGATGTCGTGGGATAGGGTTGCAAGCCGACGTTGTACACAGTAAACCTCGGTCCGTGGAGCCAGCAGGGAGGTGATGGAGATGATGGTTGAAACAGAGGGAATGGAACGTGGAGATTTGCCATTGAAACCCAAGACGGGAGCGATCACAATGACGGACCGAAATGCAACGGATTATAGTCGGTCGGATTATAGTGGGTTGTGAGGAAATGCGGTGCCGGTGATCCGAATGGAACGGACGGGGATCTTGCGAGACGGGTCAGGAAATTTGTCGCTGCGACGGTTGAGGTCGAGAAAATTGACGCGACAGAAACATCGAAGAGGAAGCCAAGCCAGCATTGGGGAGAAGGTGCTTACAGTCAACCGACATCGCTTCTCCCTCCCTCCAAAAGCGCAATACCATCACCGAGCACTTCAACATTTCAAAGCTTCTTCCCCACGTCGCCCCCCTCAAGGAGCGAACACAGTGAAAAAGGGTTTGTTTTGCTTTCGCAAAGGTATGACATCAAAAATTACGGCCGGAACGGCCCCGAAGGACAATTCATGACGGCTAGCACCACGATGTGCAATGCAGGCTCTCCGCCATACGGCGCGGTTTTCTTGATCTCCGCGCAGTCAACCAAGGTAAGTATGAAGAAAAAAAAGAGGAGAAGAAAAGTCTAAGAAATGGGAGGGGGGCCCATGGTTAAATAGGTGTTGGGGGATGGCCTGTGCACGAGTGCAAACTTCCCTGCACCTGGCGGAAATTGCACTCGCGCACGGACGTAAAATGGCAGCTTGTTGGCGGCAGGCAGATACTGTCAGGAGGACGGGCGCAGATTGGACAGGTGGCTGGCACCGGCAGGCAAGAGACGGAGAGAGTGCCGTTCATCAGCCCCACAGCGGGGACGATCAGTTCCCCGGACCGCCAAATGCGTTCAGCACCTGGTGACGTCACTTGTCCCTGACAGGCATCAAGGCACTTAGACCGAGCAACAACACTTTATGTGAACGCGTCTTCCTCACCACTACACTCGAATCCAAACAAAACAATCAATCTTGAATAAGAACAGTATCACGAACATTACACCCGTCCAGCAACAGAATCCATAATCTTAATCCACAAACAATAACAACCAAAACAACAATGGCCTCCCGAACACTCTTCACCCGCGCCACGACCCTCCTCCGGGCCAGCGCCGCCACGAACCAAGCCGGATCCATCACCAGATCCACTCCCCTCGTGGTCTCCCGCGCCTACCACCCCACCCCTTCCCTCAAAACCGACAAAGACTTCTCCGAAGACCGGACCACCGTCCGCCCGCGCCGCTCCGAAGGGTCCAGCTACGCCTCGGACGACGAAGTGGCGCACCTAGACAAGACGGCCTTCGACCCCAAGAACACGTCGCCCAACGGGGAGACCGAGTCCGCCGGCAAGGAGTCCAACGGCAACCCGCTCGAGACTTCGGGAGCAAACAGAGAGTTCTCCAGGCCCCAGGGCGATCATCCTACCGAGGGGGATATGTCCAAGGGGGAGAAGACGCCTGGTATGGGCAAGGACAGGAAGAAGAGTGGTGGGCCGGCGGCGGGGAGTAAGAAGGGGGGGAAGACGCATTATCAGGAGAGTAAGGATCAGGGCGTTAGTGCTAAGGACGCCTAAAGGATTGAGCAGGTGAAGGATTGGGAGCAGCCGGGGCTGAGCGGTGTCAATGATGGAGAGATAGGCTCTGGGTCGTCTGCACAACATCAAGGGCATGGAGAACAAGTGCGCGGCCTGGCACAAACGACTTGCATGGCGAGAAGGGCGCTGCTGCAAGATTACGGAGGACGATGCTGGAAAGACAAAAAGATGGTTATGGGTTGCATCTTGCGTCATGAGACACGAAAGGGATTTCAATTGTTCAGTGGCTTTTGTTTCATTATATCGATGGCATGGGAGAGGATACAGGTACAACAGGACTGTTGCTCCTATCGGCATATATAGGCCTAATAGACATCGAAATCAGGCTTGCTTCATCGTGCTCAACAATGGAAATCCAACGCTTTATTTGTATCATCCAGCGCGAAAGGTCCAGCCGACTTGAATCCTGGCCCTCGAGCCCCATTCCTCCTTATTTTCGCAGCCCACCCCTCTCAAGCATACAACCCATCCATATCATCCTCCTCTTCCTCCTCCTCCTCCGCCTTCTTCTCAACAACGACCTCCCTCCTCTTCCCCACCTCCTTCCTACACATCGGACAAGTCCCCTTACTCCTCAACCACGGCCCCACACACTCGAGGTCAAACCGATGCGAGTGATGACACGGCAGCTCCACCACCAAACAATACTGATCATCCAGGTACCTCTCCGCGCAGATGGGACACTGCTCGTCCTCCTTCAACTTCTTCCTGTCCACCCGATCCAGCCCATCCAAAAACTCTTGCGAGACACCCTCGATTTGCGTGGGCGGGCGGAGGATGTCTTCGTCCAGAGATTCGCTCAGCGAGATGAGGAAGTCGCGGTTTTCGTCAGTCGGTGCCGTGGTGGCGAGCACGCCCATTTGGTCTTGGACCAGCCGGTAGAGCGCGGCGAGGTCGACGGGGTTGGCGGTCGCGTGCGGGTTGTTGTGGTGTGTGCTAGAAGAGTTCTCGGGGTTGATGTTGTGCAGGTGCGAGGTGAAGGTTGACATGTCGACTTGGCGGCGTTTGCGGGGGGTGGAGGAGGGTTTGATGTTGTGTTCGACTGGAGGGGAGAGGGTGGTGGTTAGTGATGCGCTGGTGGGGGGAGAGCTTGGGGAGAGACGGGGGGAGGGACGTACCTTCGTATTGGGTCGCCATTTTGACTAGTTGTATGCGCCGAAGCTGGATTGGGTATGCGACTGTGTTGGAGGAATAGCAACGCTGGACTGATCGAGGTCGAACCGAAGCTGCGCGGCTCTGGGAGTTGGAGTCTGCGGGGTGTTGAGGTGACACCGACGCAATGCCGTTGCAGCTAGGAGAGTTGATTGGGTTGCTGAAGACGAGAATGTAATGCGCGATGACTGGAGAGGATCAAGAAGGACGGAGTCGCAACGCTGTATGATTTGAATATAGTTCGAGTTTCGAGACAGACTTCGGAGTCGTGCTGGGAATAGCTTCGGCGTGGCAGGCAGCTCGAGGTGACGCGGGGCATTGGTCCCCTGGAAGCATCCACTGAAGCACATTAAGGTAAAGTGGCCCGTGCCCTCGCATCATGTTTTGAACGGGCCGACTAGGGCGACTGTGCTTTTCGGTATGGCGACTGTGTGGGCCACCCTCTAGCCACATGTTTATGGATATTAGCCACGCCTAAAGTTACACGTAAGCGACATCTATGAATATTTGTACTAACGATCGTCGTATTGTACCTACTAGTATACACCTAAGTCAATAATTGAATTGAAGCTGTAGAATCGCTGTCACTGTCGCCATTACTAGTATCGCCAAAGTAAGTCATGGTGTTGAGTAAATGTAGAGTGGATTATTAATTGCGTCGTGTGTAGATAATTGAAATTATCGACCTTATTTTCTCCTAACCAAACGAGGCGCCCGCGCGTACCCCCAGCCCCGTGCCCTCGATTAAATGGATTAAGACTAAGCTTCATAATAATGACTATAATTTTTTTAATATTAACGAATTTATTAAGGAGGAGAAGCGGTTACCGTCTCCTATCGCTACCGGCCTCCCCGCGGATAAAGTAGACTTTATCGCGATTGAAGAAATAGAGTTTTGCGAGTCCCTATCCTCTCTTCCCGCTCTTTGCTTACCTCTATTTAGTTAGCCCGAAGAGGAGATAGATTTGTTCGTGATTCTAGAGGAGGAGTTAGAACTCCTAGAGCCTTCTTACCCCTTCAAGGACTTTATATATAATAATTAGTGCGATATTAATACGTTCATTAAGGAAGTATAAGATACTGTTTGCGCTGCGAGGTTTGTGGTTATAAGGAGGAGGTCGAATAATTACGTAGATAGTAAACTAACCCGTATCGATTTGGAGTGTGCTGAGAGAGCGGTCTATACCGGCTTATATTCTACCTTTATCGACGTAAAGAAGCGCTTGCGTGCTACGTTGGGTAAAAAAGATTATAGATGGAAAGCGAAGGCTGTCTTTCTTAAGAAAAGGAGTAAGTAGTTCTTTATAATAATGTCCGATTAATATAATTACGCGTTACGATTAGATACGGTCAGATATATGGCTGTTAATTGCTGTCTTTAACGAATAGAGGAGGTAACCGTTAAGATTATCCGCTTTAGTAGTTAGGCTAGATTAACGGCCGCTAATATTGCCGCTATTATTAGAAAAGAGTTCCCTAGTATCGTTATTACTAAATTAGATGTAAATAATATACTTACCGCCTATAGAAAGAAAATAGTTAGAATTCTTACCCTAATATAATAATTCTTTAATATTCTTTTTACTACCCCGGGTATCGATATTCGAATATATTGAAAGGATGGTTTAAAGGAGCGAAAGTTTTTTTACTCGCGTAGAGAGGATTTTTTAGACGTACCCTGAGTATATTAAATAATTAAAGAGGAACTTTGATGTATAGAGTTTGGATTGCACGTATAAAGTTAATAAGTTTAATATATTTCTTTTATAAATATACAGAATAACTTTTATATATATTCCCTTTAATATTAGGTACTATTTATTGAGTAGCGAGAAGGAGGGGTGTTTTACCTAGGTTTTTCGATAGTTGGAGAAGCTTCTTATTAAAGAGAATATTCTTCGCCCGTTTGTGATAATTATAAATTACGATAAAGTATATAAGAATGTTATGCGGGTTGTTTTGAATAATATATAATATTAGATTTGCCTTTGGTATATTATAAAAAATGTCGCGTTTAATACGAGGAAGAAGTAGGTGGGTTCGTTCGAGGGTACTGCGCTAGGGAACCGTAGTAATAATGGTTCCTATTTTAAAGAAAATAGGTAAATTAGATATTAACTCTACTAACTACGACTATACCTCTCGCGCTATTGCTTTACGTTTACTACGGCAAAACGATTACGTTTAATATTTTAATAAAGGTATTAAAAATGTATATTTTAAGGACGTTAACAGCTTCGTCGTAGGTATAAGCGGTGCCTCTAAACGCAAGTAGGTTAATAATGCTAATAGTATTTTTGCTATATAGAACGTAGTTATATATACCCCAACCGAAGGGGATTTTAATAAAGAGTAGTTTACTTTAAAGGTTAATTTTGGTACTAAATAATTTAGTTAATTATCTTATTTATTATTACTTTTATTATTATCCCTATATGTACTATTAATTCTATTCTTTTATATTTAAATTTATTTACTTACCTTGAAAATACTTACTTCCCTTTATGCTAGGAGTTCGCCTATTTTACTATTAGTATTTATTGTAATTTTAGTATCTGTATAACCTCTCGAATAGAGAGGGTATATAGTATATTTAAATCTTAGCTTATTAATCAATATATCTAGTTTGATGAACTATTTAAGGCTATCGAGAGTACGCTTAGCTGCCTTAAGACGAACTTCTTATAGAAGTATGCCTATTAAGTCTCTCGATCTGTATACTACTACGACTATAAGATCTTATAGACCCTCAAATTCGTTGTAAGCTTTGCAGCGCTTAAATTATTAGCCAATAATATTAAGATTGTAGGGGATAAAATAAAGGATGGAAGAGAGGGCGAAATATGTATTGGCAACTTTAAGAAGCAATATAGTTTGCTTTACTAGTATAAGATAGTTACTCTATTAAAGACTGGTGGTTGGCTAGTATATACCGCTATCGACTCTTACTAGTTCTTAAATTTAGATAAACCTTTAATAGTTACCACCTTCGCTATCCGCTGTAAGTAGGACCTTAAGACAGTTATTAATAAGTGTTGGTAGATACTTAATAGCCTGTAGGCATTACTATACGCTCTTTGATAGTAAGTAGTACTAGAGGCAAATTGAAAGGGGGCTAGTATACGAGATACGCCAATTTACGATACGCTGGTACTAGCTAAACTGCTTGCAAAGAAGGCGAGAATTATTGTTACGTAGTAGTTGAGTTAGTATAAGGGGATGTTAGATTCTAATATTACGGCTCTCTAAGAGATTTAAACTACCTAAGTAAATATAGTACGAAAGAATTAGTAATTCCGCGTATAGTTCGCTACCTTAATACGAACTATAACGATGGGGATAGGAATACCTTCAGTTCAACTAAACCTTCTACTGCGAGCTCTAGTAGAGTACTCCTATACCTAGCCGTAGTAATATAGGTACTAGTAGTATAAGTACTAGCTGTATAGGTATGCCTAATACTCTCTCCTAAATAGTTAATATAATTATAGTATACAAAACCCCCTATACTAGCAATAATAGTATTGCTGGCAATAGAACAATCTTTTATAGAGCAGTTATTTAGAGTAGTCAAATTATATATTTATAGATTAATGTACGTCTTCGAATAACCTCACTTTCTCGATTTTTTGTATGTCTGATATAGAAATGTTGTACAATGTTACTGTGTACTGCAATTTAGCGGGCAGTGATATGCCCTATTATTTTGGCTACTGGGCCGCCTGGCAGATGTGTGGCTAGAGGGTGGCCCACACAGTCGCCATACCGAAAAGTACAGTCGCCCTAGTTCGGTTTTGAAGACCTGACGAGTAAGGAGATAAGCTTTTTTGCCTGCCATAACAATCCTGGACTCTTCCAACTCTGGGCGCAACAAGTGCCGAATAGCGTGCCTTTCAGAAGACATCGTCATTTCATGATTTCTCGGCAGCATCTGATCCAATATTGAAGCTGCTCTTTTCCCCTTTTTGTGTTACTTGACACCGTACAAATGTTGTGCACTAATCCACAACGCGGCAAGATGTGATTGCCTTCCCTCGGAACCAAACATGTGTCCGGGTTCAATGGACGAATAAGTTGAAGGTACTTTCCTGTTGTTGGCTGTTTCTCTGAATGGACGGGAATGACATCATGTCCCCCATTGGGTGGTTGACACTCTTTCCCAATCCCGTCTCCTGTTCAGGTACCAGCCAATCCCTTTTCAGTGGCAGGCCCAGCCCCTTGAAGCCCGTATTAAGCCCGATCCCTTGGTTTGGGCTTTGACTGATATTTAAAATATCTTGGCCGTGCTCTCTCTCTTTCTTTTCCAACTAAACATACCTAAACACCTTTGCCATTCATTTATGACGGAGTAAACAGAGAGCAAGATGCCTCCTCTCAACACGGCGACGATTGGCATGGCCGTCACGCCAACAGTCGTCTCCACCTTCTTCAGTCATGTAAGACAGCAGTCTAATCATCCCATCTTCCACTCCCCATCCACCACCGGGATGAACCTTAATCTTCTTTCGTCCACAACAATCCACAAATGATCGCTCGCTAACTTGACCGGAAAAAAGTACCTCAACCGCAACGGAGTCCGCCAAAAACCCACCGAGCGACTCTCCTACGACGAAGGCCTCCACCTAATCCGTTCCTTCCTCGACTTCGCATCCTCCCGTCCCGTCGAAGAACTCCAAGCCTTCACCGGCCAATGGGTCCCTCATCCTACCTGGGTACGCGTCGACGAGGTCGAAATCCCCGAGTATGAACTCTCCCGCGCCGCCAACCTGCTCCACGAACAACTCGGTCCCGAAGGTATTCGCCGTGTCGGCGGCCGCGAGTGGTGGCAATGGCGCAAACCCAAGAGCCCGCTGAAGGCTGAATGGATCGAGATGAAGGCCGACTACGAAGAGCGCAAGGAGAATGCCGACCCGGGCAATCGCGTTATGTTGTATGTTCATGGAGGTGCGTACTTTTTTGGTAGTGTCAATGAGCACCGCTTCATGATTCAGAGACATGCGCGAAAGCTGAGGGCCAGAGCGTTTGCGCCCAAGTACAGGCTGGCGCCGCAGTTTCCGTTCCCGTGTGGGTTGCAGGACTGCTTGGCTGCTTATCTGTACTTGTTGACGCAGCAGGAGCCCAAGACGATTATCTTGGCGGGTGATTCGGCAGGTGGTGGCATGGTGTTGTCACTGTTGGTGATTCTGAGAGATCAGGGCATCCCATTGCCGGCCGGTGCGGTTTTGATCAGTCCATGGGCCGATCTTACGCATTCGTTCCCCAGTGTTGCGGGAGATTGTCCATTGGACTACGTTCCGCCTCATGGGTTCCATCACAGACCCTCTAGGGCATGGCCGCCACCTGATGAGGATGAGATGGAGGAGCTGAAAAAGATTGCTGTCGAACAAAAGAAGGGCGACGGCGTGAAGGAGGGCAGTTCGGATTCCAACAGCGGCATTCCCACCATTGGCGACGTTATCGACAAACCCACTCGCCTGTCGCTCATGATCGACGGCCAACAAATCGATATCAAAGAGCAGATCCAGATGTACACCACTAACGAGATGCTCAATCATCCCTTGGTTAGCCCGATTATGCAACCCACCCTTGGTGGTCTCCCTCCTCTCCTCATCATGACCGGCGGGGCGGAGATCTTGCGCGACGAACAGATCTACCTGGCCCACAAGTGTGCCCACCCCGAGAAATACCTCCCACCCGAAGCCATGATGGACGAACACGCCTGGGCTCAGCTGAAGCAATACCCACCGACGGACGTCCAGCTCCAAGTCTGGGATGACCTGTGCCATGTGGCTCCTACTTTGAGTTTCACACGGCCAGCGAAATACCAGTTCCGAGCCATCGCCCAATTCGGCGCTTGGGCCCTTGCCCGCGCTCAGCGGAGGGAGATTGACATTCTGGATGATGACGATGTCTCTGTCATTTCCGGCCATGAGGGTGCGGATGAGTCTGACGAGGACACCAATCAGCCCGCCGTTGACCCAACCCAGCCGAACCTAGAACCCAAGCAGAAGCCCAAGAAAAAGACCAACAAGCCTAAGAATAAGAGAACCAAGACGGTCGCCGAAATGGAGAACGAAGCCAATGCAGTTGGCAAAGCAGGCGACCCCCTCCCTCCCTTCCACCAGCACATGATCCGACAACGCGTCACCACCACCGGTCTGATCCTACCTCTCCCTGAACATTCCGACCTCCCAGCCTGCTGTATGGACCGGAATGTCATAGGCGTAATCAAAGCCGGCCCCGTGCGCAAGTGGCTCGCCCACAAGAAGAAATTTGATTCCCGCTTTGCTTCGACCAAATCCAAGGTCCACAAGCTGAGAATCAAGGACATGCGCGAAGGCGGCTACGAAGTCTTCCCCGGTGGTGACGTGCCCCCTCCCTCAGCGCTCGCAGGCCGCAGAAAGATCGGCCACCGCGAAAAGGACCAAAAGAAGGAGAAGAAGAGTTGGGGTCTCAGTCTCTGGGGCGTGTGGGGCAGTAAACACGACAAGATGACTGTTGCACGCGGGGAAAAGGCCGATCGCGCTGCCGACCGAGAAGTTTCCACCAAAACCGTCCAGGGAGCTGACGGAGGTGAGGGCGCTAGGAGCTACACCGACATCGAAAACCAGGAAGGTACCGGCATCCAAGGCAAAACGGCCGCTGGCGTTGATCGTCCGGGTCTCGGAACCAGACTGTCTGGGTCTAGATACAAGAGTGTTGCGGATAAAGGGCAGACGGGGCCGCATGAAGGTGAAGAGCACGAGAGGATGCAGATCGATGATATTTTGGCTTACCGCAAGGGAGAGCTGGAGGAACAGCATCATCAGCCTCCAGAGGTCGGAGCGACGGGGAAGAGGCCGATTGTGGATGGCTTGGCGACGCCGTTTAGTCTGGGCAAGAAGGCAGAGACGGCTAGTATGATCACGTTGCAGAGCGGGAGGAGTAGGTTCACCGCGGGGACGGGAGTGCTGCAGAGTCCGCCGGGGACCAGCGCTGGTGCGTCGAGGGATAATTTGTCGTTGATGCCTGGCGCAGATGACGCTTACTCATCTGCTGAAGCCCCGGAGTCTGGTACAGCGGTCGACGGCGTGGCAACGGGCAGTGGTAGTGCTCTGAAGAATGAAGTGGAGGTGGATGGAGACAGTAAGGAGGCGGAGCGGATTGTTCCCCAAGAGGTGGAAGTGAGGAATTATGCTACCCAACCACTGGATGCCACGAGGGGAATAGGCATGTCGTTGCCTACACCTCTTACTCCGGGAACCCCGGGGACGTTGGGAAGCAGACCGGGGCTGGATCGGTTCGTTACTGCTGATGAGTTTTTGAGTACCGGTGCTCCTACTCCTACTGCTAGTGAGCAGAAGCTGGCTTAGGAAGCGGAATCCAGAGCTTGGGTGGTGACGAGACAGTGGAAGTGTAACTTTTTTTGAGTTTGTTCTTAGATATCCTTTGCTCATTTGTCGGTTTGGAAGAGTTAGTTTGATATCCATGGAGCGAAGTGGTGATTGGTAAAAAGCGGAGGGAATAATGGGTGATCGCTGTTGTTAGTTGCAGTTACTTTTGAGTTTCCTTTTGAGTTATGATATCACTGTATTAGTAGCGTTTTGTCAACATCTGAGTTGCCAGCGACTTGCAAACTCCATTCTGCTCTTTCCAGGACGGATGATTCCATTCAGAATAAGCGGTGACCTTGACTTCTAATACTAATTCGGGAGTTTGGAGTCATAAAGCCTCTGAGAGTTAGACAAAGAATATTGAAACAGTCTATCAAGGCTCTAGCCTATGGAATGGTTGTATTCTTCCCAAGGTCGTGGTAAAAACGTTATTAACACCCCTTTCTAAGGTTCGTACTTGACACAACAACAGATAACAGCGTGAACAGAAACATGCCCCTTTCAAGAACTACCTCTCTTGACTACATGAATGTTGAAGACGAGACTGCCAGGATCATCGACACTTATTGAACCCGACCTTAATTAACTCCCGTCTATGAAGATACAAACAGGGTACCATGGTAGTACCATGCAACCTTTTTACACTGCCCAGAACCCCCCCTTATGACAAAGACCCCTTATATGGTACGTGACGATACGACAGACCGAATACGCCCATCAGAAAAATTGCGGGCAAACATATGTATCAAATACCCAAACCAGCCCCAGTTCCATAGATATATCGAACAAAGAAAAAAAGAAGAGAGAGAGAAACACCAGAAAACCACCAACGGAATCGATACCCACAGCAGCCAGTCAACACACAATCAGAGAATAGGCTTCGACATGGGCGCAATAATGCCCTGCTTGAGAATGACTCTCGGCTTGGTAGCATCTTGGAACGTCTCCTTGGTGGTCCACTCGGGGCCGACGGGGATGCGCAGCGAGCGCTCGTACTGCGCCTGGCTCTCGAAGGGATGGGGGAGAGAGGTGGCGAGGTATTGGTCGTTCTGTTTTTTTTTTTTTTTTTGTCATCTGTTAGCACTGCTATCCATTGTACCATAATCATAACCATACTGCTAGCATGGGAGAGGGGGGAGGAAAAAGAAAACAAACCTTCTTGACCCTTCCTTCCTTGATGATCACCCCCTTGAGCTTGAAATCCCGTCTCTTCTCCTTCTTGACACCCTCCACCTTGGTGACATACCGGCCCGTGTGCCTCTTCTTCTCGCGGTTGGAGATTCCTTCACCGACCCAGCCGCCCCAGCCGGGCAGAGTGTTGTCGATCTCCTTGTCGTCGTCTTCCTTTTCCACTTCGGCCTTTTCACGGTTGAAGTCGCCAACGACGTCCTCGCCGGCGAAGGCGCGCTTGATGAGTTCTTGGTCGCGGATGGCGAGGGGGAGGTGGATCGTTTCTTCATCGTCGGACGAGGAGTCGTCGACGGTGGTGGCGGCCTTGGTAGCGGCACCCTTGGCGGGAGCAGATGATAACTTCTTCTCCTTGGCCGCGGCGTCCTTGAGCTTGGGTTTGGAGGCCAGCATGGCGGCGTTGGAAAGGTCCAGCTCGCCGACGGAGGCCTTGGCGGCCTTCTTGCTGCTCTTGCGACCCTCCTGAGGAGCCTTTGACCAGGCACCGGCGACGGAAGCAGCGAGGGATATGTCAACTTGGGTAGTGACCGCTTGTTGTGGTGTTACTTGGAGGTTGAACATATCCGTTGTGATACTCTTCTTCTCCTTCTTCTTCTGAGCAGCAGCCGCAGCCTGCTGGCCAGGCAAAGTGAGTTCTTTCTTGCCCATACCGAACTGCCTCCGGCCGATATCCGTCTCTTCAGGACCGTCAGAGTCATAGTCGGAGTCGAGATCTCGGCGGATCTGTGCAATCATCTCCTCGTTTTCCTTCCTCTTCTGGGCTTCGCCGCGCTGCATAAACTTCATCTGCATGAGCGCCGACTCGGGCTCGCCGTCCGCGTAGGCCGCAGCGTGCTCGAGCTGTTCCAGCAACCGTTCCTTGTCGTTCTTCTCGTCGCCCGACTCAGCCGAGTAGTCATCAGACCCGCTGTCATCGGAATCCTCGCCCTTTCTACGTCCCTCAATCCGGCGGCGCAACTCCTCCTTCTGCCTCGCGGCCTCCGTCAACCCAGCGCGGAAGTTATCATCCCACACCGCGCGACCGGCCTTCTTGCCGAGTTTGGCCCATTTGCTGTCCCTGTGACGAGTACCCACACGCTCGAGGGCTCGCCTCCTGTCCAGAGCCTCGCGCTCCTCGTCTGAGTCGATCTCTCCCGCCTCAACCATGGCATCATGCATCTCCTGCTCGTCATGAAGCAACTCCTTGCGGTGAATGCGACGGTACGCCTTGGACTTGATCTTCTTGATGCGCTTCTGGCGGGCCTGCTCGCGCGAGAACAGCTCACGCTCGTGGCGCTTCTGGCGGGTAATTTCCTGCATCTCAGCGGCCGAGAGGCCCTTGCGGGCAACGATCTCCTCGACGTCGTCCTGGTCCTCCTTCTTGGGCTTGTTGGTGGGTCCCAAGCCAGATTCCTCCATGATGGCGAGAATGGTCTGTTCCAGCTCGGTACCCGCCGTGGCCTTGGTCACGGGAAGGAGTTCTTGGTTGTCGAGGCCGGCGTCGTGGGCATTTTGCGCGAGGGGGAAGACAAGGTGATCCGCGCGGCGATTGTGCTTGACGGTGTCGATCCAGCGCTCGAGCGTCTCGGAGGTCTTTTCGTAGGCGGCGGAGCGGAGGAGCTTGTCTTGTTGCCTCTTTGCAAGAGGGATATCGAGCTTCTTGGACTGGCCAGGCTTGGCGGCCTTTTCCTCCTTGTTCATGAGCTTGAGAGACTTCTTCATGTGGGGGTCCTGGACGCCAAAGAGGCCGAGATCTGAGAGACTGAGTTTGTTTGTTGGTTTCGAGCCTGATTGCTCTTCCTCGTCGTCGCCCGCAAATCCGGAGATCATCTTTTGGAGGTTGTCGAGCTTGGAAGGGTCTTCCATATCCTCGTCGCTGTCTTCGCTTTCGCTAGATTCGCTGTCCGCATCGTCTTCCGATCCTGATCCCTCTTCACCCTCCTCCTCCTCGTCACTCTCCTCGAACTGATCCAGTGCCGTGGCGAGGTCGATAGCGTCGGAACCGAGCGACTCCATATCATCGTCGTCATCCTCTTCCTCTTCCTCCTCATCACTGCCGTCTCCACCCTTCTTCGCCTTCTTGCCCTTCTTGTTCGAGCTGCTCCCGCTGAAAGCATATCCATCAAACTTCTCCTCGTCACTCTCTCCAAAAGCCTCATCAGAGTCGAGTTCCGAGTCCTCGTCATCAGCGCCTACACCAACATGCCACTCCTCGCCGTCGCTGTCCTCGCCACCGTCGGAAAAGCCTTCGAAGTCGTCGCTGTTCTTAGCCTTCTTCTTCTGTGGCCTGGCGTCCTCGAAATCTTCCTCATCCTCGTCTTCGTCGTCCTCATCGTCGTCATCTCGTTGTCTCTTTTGGGGGCGCTCTTCGGGCTCGTCGAGGTCTCGTGTGCGGACGCCCTTGGCTTTCTTCTGGGGGACTTGTTCGGCGGCGATGGCGAAGGCGTCGAGGACGTTGTCTCGGGATTTCTTGTCGGCGGCCTTGTTGTTGACTCTGTGCTTGGGACGCCCTCCGCCGGATTTGGGCATTAGAGGCCTGCCATGGGCTTGACGGCCGGGCATTTTGCTGGTATTTGGGGATTGACTGAATGGGAGTTGGAAGGATTCAGTCGAATTCGAGGTCGGTACACGCAAAAGTGGGTGGTGAATTTGTCGTTGGGTGGATGGATGGATGCAATGTCCAACTTTTGCCTGCACGGGTCCTGGAGGTCGAAGTGACCCGAAGTTTCAACTGCCAGTGAACAGCTCCCCCGAAACTTTTTCTGCCGCCTCTGTAATCGATAGTTTATTTTTTGGCGGTGAGCGTCCAACACCCACCCATTTTGCGGGGCTGCGGCAGGCTACAAGGGTACCTGTGTCTGGTAACCTCACTTCATTGGTCCAATTGCTCTTGACAAGGCTCCACCTCGACCCGGCGCGGCCCCGGCACGTCGATGCGATTTCTCGAATTCAGCCCCGTCGCCCTTCGCCCGTCGCCGTCCGCTGTCCAGCGCCAGTCCGAGTCCTGTCTCCGTTCCTGTCGCGTGCGCCGGATCTTCAATCCTTTGTAGCGGATCCCGTCTCCGTTCCACCACCCATAACGCCGAGCTTCCCCCCCCTCTGCGCCCACCTCAACCCTTAACCACCGAGGGCTTTCACCGTCCGAATCACCGACAACAACACCCTCCGTCGTCGCCGCGCAAAGCGCATCCTCTAGCCCACCATGCAGCCCACCCGCGTTCTTCAAGGTCTCAAGTACCGCAAGTTGCGCCTCACCACCAAGGATGTCAATAAGGGTTTCTACAAGGGTAACCGCACCGGCTCCATGGGTACGCACACCAGCTACGGTACCTACAAGATCGACTACAGCAAGGTCCGCACCTATGTGTGCCCAGATTTGACTGGTTTCAAGGTGGGTGGTCCTCTCTTTCCGTCCGGGTTTGGGGTTGGAGTAGGATGGAATGGAATGAGTTGGGGATATAGTGCTGGAGGAGGGATCGGGAAGGGATGATGGTGAAGAGAACAGGACTGTGCTAACAAGAGAAACGATAACAGCTCACCCCCTTCGTCTCCAAGACCATCCGCCCCGTCCACGACCAGTTCCCCGGCGACAAGCTCGGCCCCAGGAACCCTACCACCTACCTTGCGCGCTGGAAGTCGGAGAACGGTCTCGATTAAACAACTCCTTCCCCGATATGCTACGGATCCGAAATGATGACGGAAGTGCGTGCAACGCTAGAAGAATGAGGAAAAGGAGGAGCTGAAGGAGGACAGAGGACGAGAGACATGGAGCGAGGCTCACACTCAATTACCACAAACGGAATATACCCCATTTTTTGCATACACTCCAGTCCGCTCGGAAGAAGGAATACGGAACGGAGCCCACGAGTCTCTATGTACGTCTCGACATTTCGCGACATACTCGCGGTTCCGTGAATGTGTGGGAATTCATGGTATACGTTTCAAACTCCATGGATAACATGCTACATAGGTCTGTCACGGTTGGCGTGAAGATTTGACAAAGATGGAAGCGGACAGACAGGCACGTCGGTCGCCTTGTAACACCACACACAACCCATTGTATACTACAACACGAATTGATGGATGATGACCAAGTTCCTACGACCCTCATGCAATGACATGGGGTAATAAATAGTAAGTCATAAAGTCGGGAAAAGCTGACCATTGTCATGAAAGGATTGTTTTTTCCCCCTGCCTCGCTTACCTACCCCCTCTCGTCCAGGACAAAAAAGCTGAGACCTTTTACAATCTAATACTATTGGTTTGTTTGTTAGCTTGGTACTCCTGGTATACTGAATGGACGAGATGTATCCCGAATTGTCCCAAACCTCACAAAAATAAAATGAATGGCTACAGGTACGGATCGGAAAGGCATCAACAATATTCAATATGGCATATCAAATTTTCAAAATAGCATATGCAAGGTAAGATCACGCTTTGGTTATGGAACGAAACGGATCAATTAGATATATAAACGCCTAGGAAAGTTGACCAGAGGTCTCGAGCTAACAACCAAACCAGTATTGTACACTGCTGTATGCCAAATCTTAACGGGTGATCGGCAAAAAAGGTCTCAGCTTTTCTGTCCCGGGCGAGCCCCTTTCTGCCCCTTATAAAAAACAATGGAATGGAAAAAGTCTAGTACAGTGAACGATGTCTGGATGTGCTTGCTCCTGATGTGTTGACGGTGGCTTGTATCGGCTTTGGCTACTAACGCGCCGGGTCTGTTCGTTCTTTCATGGAGGGGCGTTGGGCATTGTTTTTGCTGAGAGAGTTTATCCCGTCCGTCGATGGGGTATGAGTCGCACATCTGCCGGACACACTATTCAATGATAGAAGTACAGCTGAACGATGTGGTTGTGTGTGGATTATGGCAGCGGTGGCCATCGGTGGAACGAAGGCACGGTGGTTCCTATGAAGGGAGCCGAGGGGGAGTAGGGACAATTCTGCCGGTCCAGGGTGCACGCGACCACTCAGCAGACGGGTTTGGAGAAAGCGAAGGCCAACAAATGTCATTTCGAGCCTTCGTATGGGAGGGGAGTTGCATCGCTATTCATTAATGAGGAGTGCATGAGATATTGCGAAGCTTGTAGCCGGCTCAACACCGGTTTCTGCTTCAGGTGGCGCCGCCCCGTCGGACTGGTGTGCTCTTGCGTTCGCCGCCTGAATGAAATTGTCGCGGTGCCATCGCGCCCTATCCCGTGCATTCCGGAATGCCGTAACTCCTTTCCGAAAAGAGTCGATGCTGTCATCTAATGACCAGGAATCAACCAGAGTCATGTAGTACTTGGGCCGGCCGCCCGGCGCGGTCGGCGGCGCGACGTGGTGCGCGAATAATTTGAGTCTCCCGTCGCAGTAGGTCGAACTAAACGTATAGGCATTGCCGTCGTAGGACGGCTCCTCCTTGCCATAGTTCATGACTGCTTGCATAGCACGGGCTCCGATTGCGCCGACGTGCATTGCTTGTCGCTGCGCAACGCGGGCATTGGCCGTAGGACTTTTTATTTCCATGAAGAAGTTGGGTAGCACCGGAGTATCGACGTCGTTTGTAGGGATGATCAGCTTACTCAAATTACCGTCCTCGTTAGCACTTCTGATCTTTTTATGGATGGCCATCAGGTGAGCTCCGTCGAAGAAATCGGGCGCCGGTTTGATGACATTTTGAGCAATCGCCTCAAGGTTGGAGAAGAGGAGCTTTCCCCCACTGGGGATATCGGACATGCCGGCAATGAATAGGACCACGGTGCGGTCAACGATAGCTTTAGTAGTCGCAGCATCGTTGTTCCGTCGGAACACCTGAAACTCCCTCTCCGTAAATGAGTCAAGGGACGGCCTCCTTTTTGAAAGGACCTCACGTTCCTCCTCAAGATTGTTCGGCTCCGGAATCGTGGCGTCCGGGTTGTCGGGGAAGTAGTGAAACACAGGATAGGCGGAATAGTCAATCATGAGCTGTTCGAAAGCCACATTGTAAGCTGGCGTCTTTGCCGGCTCGATTTTAACACGGGTAGCCGTGGAAGGGGAAGCCATGATGTGTACGGCGCCTTCCGGTTCGGTGTACTATGACAGCGGGTCAGCGTCCGTCCCGTCTTCTCATATATTGTAGCGCAGGCATACCCCTCGAAGATGGCGAAGATCTGGGCCGCCGTGTCGTGCGAACCGAGCAAGGTCAGCGGTGCGCACTGCTGGTGCTGGTGCTGGCCGTGGGGCACTGTTCCGCCGGTCGAGTTCTCGAAGTGCGATACGCGCGAGCGGAACCCGAGATAAGTTGTCCCAGAGATGGGGAGGCCAGTAACGGCAGTACAAATGTTCAGCTGTACAGATATTCTTGGACGGCTGGTGAGGTGTGCGACCCGACTTGATCTTCTCGTTGGGGCAGTGTAGCTCTTGCGGGGCTCTCTTTCGACTTTGCGCGCTCGCCATGACGGGCTTTTATCTACGCGGAGAGGGCGGAGTTGGGAAGGACGAAGGACTGAGCTGACACTGCACCCCTTTCTGTTTGTTGTGTGTTGTGATCAAAATGTGACATGTGTTGTAGAGGAATCATCAATTCAGTAACGCAACGAGAATGACGGCGGCAGGCGCTTATACAGTTAGACAAGGTGAAGAGGATGAAGGGATCAGGTGAATGAGGAGGGATTTCAGCAAACAAAGAAGGTGCTGGCATGCACACCGGAAGCGGAGCTGAGGTGAATGAGGAGGGATTTCAGCAAACAAAAGAAATTACGGAAGGCAGCTAACCCCAGCCCCATACATGCCTAGAGCGTGTTGAGATCAAAACATGATATATCAAGTGCTTCCAGTCTCTCCTGGACTGAGCGAGCAACTTCACCATGACCACGTCACAATGAAGGTAAGTAGAGGTACCTACCTACAGGTCCCCGACGTTTCAGCAGACGGGAAATAGCTCACATAACCCCTAGGACATCATCTGTGCCCAGAGGTACCGCGTTAACCGCAAAGTCGCCGAGGGAGGCTTCGGGCTTGTCTATGAAGGTGCGTGCCTTGCTCCATGTTGTACCCCGGCCGCCGCTGACTGCCCTTGGTAGGAACCGATATGCAATCGGGCGAGGACGTCGCTTTGAAACTTACATACTATGATGAGAGCGCCGGCCCCATACTGCTCGAACGCGAGAATAATATATACCAGGAGCTGTCCGGCGGGGTGGGAATCCCGCAAGTGCGGCTCTTTACCTTCCAGGACGAATACCATATACTGGTTCTAGACCTCCTAGGTCCGTCGCTTGAGGATCTGTTCAACTATTGCGGCCGAAGGTTTTCGCTTAAGACCATCCTTCTTATCGCCGACCAAGCTATTTCCAGGATCCAATACATCAATTCCAAGGGCATCCTCCATCGCGATATCAAGCCGGACAATTTCGTAATGGGGGTGGGAAAGCAGAGTAATACGCTCTACGCAATTGATTTTGGCATCGCACAGTATTTTGATGAGGCCCAGAGTGGCAAGAATACAACGGGTCTCCAAGTGGTCACTATACAGTACGCAAGCCTCAGAGCCCACAACGGCCGCCGTAAGTAAGGTATTTTTATTATACTATTAGATCATCCGTCCCTTTACTAACGCGCGGGAAAGACACATCATGGGCCGACGACTTGGAGTCTCTCGGTTACGTCTTGGTAGAATTTGCCCGCGGCTCCCTACCATGGCAGGGCGTTGAGGCTACGGAGGACGAACGGATATGGAGGGCGCGGGTAGGGGAAATGAAGGAGAGCTTGTCAGGCGAAGCACTGTGCGACGGCTTTCTCCCCAAAGAATTCGCTACGTATATCAACTATACCCGATCACTGGGTTTCGATGATAAGCCGGACTACTCGTACCTTCGTCGGATTTTCAACCGCCTCTTTCGAGCAAAGGGATTCAAATACGACAATGTTTTCGACTGGACAGAGAAATTATTCTATGAGCAGCTACGAGGTGAGGGGGAGGATCATGTCGATTCTTGATTGTTATGGGGGTGTTTGTCTTTCCTTTCTTCGCTTTCCTTGCCTTCTTTTTTTCTCTTGTAACAAGCGGACTGGGAGTTGGCCAGCTTAGAATAGATTTCAATATGCCGGCTTTATCTGATCGCAAAGTAACTCTTGAAATTCGCACCCACCACGCCAAGTGCATCTTCCTTTTGACATGAGTGTCTTCATCACCATACAAAAGACCATGATCCAATTTGGATCGACTCTTTGTTCTCGGTTGGCTATCCTCCCTGACGACACAAGTTCTAGGACGCACCCGACATAGCGCCGTTTCCGGACCTCTTTCTTTCATGCTTCCTCACGCCGTCGGGTTCCGGAAAAATATCTTGGACAATAGCTCACCATGGGACAGCGGCGGTCGTCTCCTTATCGTACTGTCTCGAAATACAGGGTTAGGGTTATGCCTGGCTAACTGTCCGATGGGATAGTGCTTACAGTTATCGCTGGACTCTTTCGTCCCCGTGATCGTCCTCCCAAGATGGCTCAACTGACAAAACTTCCCAGCCTTGGAGGCCTGGACAACTTTCTTGTCTCGGTCCGAATCGAACCTAACTCGTCTCCCCGGGCTCCTACTGCAGCCTCACAAAATGGGCTAACCAGATGAACACAATAGTAACTCTCGCTGCAACTCCAGACAAGTCAACAATCTCTGTGATCGTTGTAAAACAATCTTCCCGACGGATGGGCCGTGGTTCTGGGACCAGGACGGCGGCATGCCAACGGATCAGGGTGAATGGCACCTGCATGACTTCACCATCCGCGACCTCCATGAATCAGCAGAGGCTGGTTGCCACCTATGCCGAGTTTTCCTAGATTCTCTGCTTTCCCCCGATATGATTGTTGGAAAACGCCATGGATATTCCGAATGGTATGATATCAACAAGGACTTCCAGCTTCGATGCACACTGGAAAGGGAATGGGACAGCAAGGAGTTCCCAATGGGGTTGGAGGTCCTCGCAAGCAATGAAAACAAGTGGAAGTATGATGGAGGCTGGAAAAGGCGACAACGAAAAGGGCTTGATTCTGAAGTTGTCTAACGGAAGAGGAGAAACGGAAACCAGGGCAGCCTAAATACCTGGAAGGGAGTGCCGGTGAATGGGCGACCCAGTGCCATTCACTGGGCAGGGCACGGACTTCCAACAAAGTATGCCCTTGGTGAAAGGTTTGAGACTCTAGCGGCCCAACCTTTGCGCTTTCAACCCGTGCGTCTTCTCCAGCCTGAACAAAACAGTGACCAAACAACTTGGGTGACTGATCTAGTTTTCGACACATGGCGAGATCCTTCCTTGTCTGGTCGCTCTTTCACGATAGTCCAGCCTTCGTCAGCCATCAGTTTTAACGCGGCTGCTTTTGCACAAGTACGGAGGTGGCTGACGGCATGCCTTGAGGGTCATGATGAGTGTTCAAACTGGAGATCGATATTGGTCGACACGTACAACTATCAGCATAAAATCCGTTTTATCGACGTCGGGACCGTGGAAGAACCGATTTTCAGATTGGTCGATGGCCAATCCCTCGTCAATAGGACAGGTGGCATCCAATACGTCACTCTCAGCTATCGTTGGACGGCCGAAACGGAGATTACCAGCATGAAGAGCTACAACAAAGCCAGTTATCAAGACTCAATCCCGACCTACAGGTTACCTCAAGTCTATAAGGACGCTGCTGCAGTTGCTCGCGCCCTAGGTGTTCGCTATGTTTGGATCTATTCCCTCTGCATCATTCAAGACTCACCAGAGGACTGGAACGAACAATCATCCATGATGGACCAGACTTCGGCGAGCAGCTCATCTGGCGGTGTCAGAGGCACATGGCAAGCGAGTCTTTTCCGTCATGGATCTGCCGTGGATCGTCAAACCCCTTCCTTGATCTATCTGTATACGCCCAAAGGCAGCATACCTCTATGGGGAGGTTCCCGTTTGCTGATGCTTACACAAGCGCAAAAAGACCCGATGAGATCTGGGAAGGGCTCGCAACACTTTACTCCAAAACGGAGGTAACCAAGCAGGCGGACAGGCTGGTTGCGCTCAGAGGCATATTCAACCGACTGGCGGGGTTCTTCGAAGAGTTGGAGCCAGATTGATGCGTTGCCGGACTGTGGAAGGCATCTTTGATCAAGCAGCTCCTCTGGCAACGGGATGGCGAGATCGACAAGAGCAATCCTCAAATGATTGCTCGCGCTAAGGAGGTTTCTGAGCTCTTTCCGTCTTGGTCCTGGGCGTCATGTGCCACAGAGATCTTTTTCCAGACCTTTCTACCGGGCAGCCATCACCACATTGAGGATATGGTTCAGGTTGAGTCCATACAGCCGGGTCAACCACTTGGACCGGAAGCTCCCTACATCGCTTTTGAGACATCCTCTCGCATCGTCTTGCGCGGTCTACTGGACGCAAAGTTCAACACCGAGCAAGTTTTTGAGCAATGGGCTACCTCTCTCGACGGAACCATGAATGGACTGGAAGTTCTGGTGTCCTACGACAGTGACCGGAATGTCAAGTTCGACACAGACATTGTGTTTGACCGACCAATGCCTGAGACGATCAAGCATCAAGATCTGAGGCTCCTTCCCATAAGGTTGTACTGCCAGGTCAATGATAATTGTTCTGGCTTCGTGGGCGGCTTGTTTGGTGGAGTCACTGGGCGTTCGGGAGGAATTGCCAACTTATCGTCGTATGGGTTTGTTCTCTGCATATTGCGAGAGGGAAATCATCACTGGCTGGCTTGGACGTGTTGAAAAGCTGGCGAACAGTGTGGATGAGGCGATGAGCGAGTTGAGAGAGAAGAGGAGGGAGTGGCCGGTATTGCAACTGGTGTGATGACTCTGAATGCCTTCGAGAATGAGAAGGCATACCTGGGGCACTCGGTCCCAACGTTATTGCTCCAGGAGGGAATCTCTATTCCGGAATACTCAAACAGGGGAACTGGTAACTCCACATACCCTCTAGTTTCTTTTCTACAACTACCTCTGAGCTAGAAACCCCATCTCGTCCAGGACAAAAAAGCTGAGACCTTTTACAAAATGGCTAGGTACGGATCGGAAAGGCATTAACAAGATTCAATATGGCATATCAACTTTTCAAAATAGCATATGCAAGGTAAGATCACGCTTTGGTTGTGGAACGAAACGGATCAATTAGATATATAAACGCCTAGGAAAGTTGACCAGAGGTCTCGAGCTAACAACCAAACCAGTATTGTACACTGCTGTATGCCAAATCTTAACGGGTGATCGGCAAAAAAGGTCTCAGCTTTTCTGTCCGGGCGAGCCCATCTGGCTAGCGTTGATATCCATGCTGGGATATTCTCAGCTGTGTGACGAGTCACCAAACACCACACTTCTAATACAGTACAAAAGCGGTCTCCATGTCGCGACTGATCAAGCTTCGACAAGAACAAACATGACGGTCTACCGCTTTTTTTCACTCATTACGGAGATGCTCTTTTAGGAAAGGACACGCCCTATGCGGGCGGTTTTAGCTCTCTCTCAGCTAGGTACATATGCAACATCTTGCCAACTGGATTGGCTCATAATCCTAGCATGATCCACAAAGCATCTCCGTTATGAGTGAAATTTTGCGGTAGATGGCGGGAGGGGAAATCGAGCTACATGGGAGCTCTAGACGGTATAAGACATGGCGAGCTGTCAACTTCGTAACTTCTATACTAGGAGGTAAGAACGCGGAAAACGGTCATCATTTCATCCTTCTTGTATTCCTTAAAGTTGCAAGGGCTACTTGTTCCAGCAGATTTTCGGGTTGTCTTGAACAACCGCGGCGTCAAGATGAAAGATGTTTTCGACTTCCTTTCCCTCCCCGTGATGCTGATAGCAGTAGTAAGTCCAACGTCTCTATTTCCCTCCACAACACCGGTTAATGAACAGGCAGGTCATATGCCTTCTCATCTTCCACCCTCTCTACAACCTCTACCTTCACCCTCTTCGCCACTACCCCGGCCCTCGACTCTACGCCGCCTTCCACCTCCCTTACGCCATTACCTACCTCCGCGGCCGCTCTAACACCGTCATGCATAATCTCCACGAGCGCTACGGTCCTGTCCTCCGCGTAGCGCCCAACATTCTGTCATACACCGACCCAGACGCATATCGTGACATCCGTGGACATCGCAAGCAAGGGAATGGGCAAAATCCAACGGACGTCGAGGGCTTCTTCTTCATGCAGCGACAGACCTTGCTTGGCATGGATCGCGATGGGCACACGCGCGTACGGAAAGTGTTAGCACACGGATTTGGTGCAAAGAGCCTGCAAGAACAAGAGCCAGTAATCAGAAAACACGTCGACCTATTCATCCGCAGGCTCAAGGACATGACATGCCAAGGCAGACCTGGAGGTACTTTAGACATCGTGGCCTGGTTCAACTGCGTCATTTTCGACCTCATAGGCGACCTCTCCTTCGGCGAACCGCTCGGCTGTCTGGAAAACTCGAGGCTGCATCCGTGGGTACAAGCAGTCTTCGACACAACAACCATGTACGGCAAGCGGATGATGGTCAAGTGGTACAGTCCGTCCCCGTCATTAACCGCGTGGATCGGTTGGGCAGTCGGCCTCTCAGCGCCCCATTCGAAACAGCAGGACTTTGCTGCCAAGCAGGTGGAAAAGAGGCTGGCGATAGAGGACTCGGCTACACGGCTGGACTTTGTTGGTGCCATGCATCGCGCGGAGGGAGAAGGCGGACTCAAGAAGGTGTCGAAGGAGGAGATTGTGTATAATATGCGGTTAATCATGCTGGCGGGGTCGGAGAGCACGGCGACGGCGTTGTCGGCTACGGCTTTCTTGTTGGCGGCACACCCGGATGTGCAGAGGAAGCTGACGAAGGAGGTGAGGAGCACGTTTAAGAGGGAGGAGGACATTGATTTGTGGAGCGCCCGGAGACCGAAATACTTGGGGGCGGTGTTGAATGAGGCTATGAGGGTGTTGCCGCCGGCGAGCTTGAGTATGCCGAGGGTTTGTCAGGATGGGGGGGATACGATTTGCGGGAGGTGGGTACCTGCTGGGGTGAGTTCAGCTTTTTTTGCATTTGAACTGATGAAAGAGCGAGTGCTGATGATGAAGGGTGACAGGTTACGCTGGAAATTTGGCCTGTGGCGATGACCCACAGCTCAAGGAACTTTGCAAAACCGGATGAGTTTGTTCCGGAACGGTGGATGGATGATGAAGAACGGGATCCGGTCTTTGAGAAGGATAAGGCAGATGCGCTGAAGCCGTTCTCCTATGGTCCGAGGGATTGTATTGGGAAAAGGTAAGTGATGTTCGTTGTGTCGTGATGTTTCTCGCTGTACTGACATTGCCATCTTTTTAGTCTTGCGAATGTTGAGATGAGACTCATTCTCGCTCGAATGCTTTGGAATTTCGACATAAGCTTGGCTGATGAAAAGGGCAAGAACTGGGCCAAGGATATGTTGGGCTGGAATTTGTGGCTGAAGGATCCTTTGAATGTTGTGCTTACTACTCCCGTTCGCCGTGGCAAAGAGTAAGGTAAGCGACGAACACCGTCACTTCGTCGTGAATCACGCAGGTCGAAGTTGCACGCTTTAGACTTATGGTGTTCAAGTTCATCAAACAAAAAGAAGCCTTCTGCGCCATACATCTGGTAACAATGTCCCTGCTGGAAGCCACCGTTGCCATCACGTCCGTCACGCAACTGCCACCGACTCCTCTTTGGGAACCAATGGCTCGGTTTGCTCCTTCTCCGGGCCAGTAAACCGCTTGAAGATCTCATCAAATACCTCTTCGGCATGCTTCTCAGCATCATGCTGATGGATCCAGTCCTCGCGAGGAAAGGCAATGCTCTTTGGGTCTTTGGCGACCTTTTCCCAATCAGTCTTGTGCCATCTATCCCTTGTTGTCTCCCCAGTCCTTTGCACAACTCTCACCCGATCGTATCTGCGCAACAATGTCAGTATCCAACCCTTCAAATAAACGAAGTTCAAGTCCTCACCTGATCTCCTGATGAGTCCTCACAGCAGCCTGCACCCCCTCCTTCCCCGCCCTCCTCAAACAAACAGCAATGGTAACCCCATCCTCCATAGCCTGCGTCGCGCCCTGGGCACTAGTCGGCAAAAACGGATGCGCTGAATCTCCCACCAGCAAAATCCTCGCATGCTTGCTCACCCACGTCGGCAACGGATCGCGATAGACCAGCTTTCAATCCACCAACGAGGGGGTCTTTTCCACAATGGCCTTGCAAATGGGATCCCACCCCTCCAGGACTTTGTACACGTCTTCGAGTTTGCCGGGGAAGGACCATGACTCGTCAATGTCGTGCTCATCCCGGTGGGTGAGCACCCAGCAGCAGTCGGAACCGTTCTTGATGGTGCTGAAGAGGAAGTGCACGTCGGGACCGATCCAGCCGTTGAAGGTGTCGCCGTTTGAGCAGAATTCGGAGGTTCGGGGGTCAAGGATCATGTCGGTGTTTGGGAACCTGATGCGTTTAGCTGATGTATGATGGGAGAAGAGTGAAAGTGTGACATACCAAGCTCGCCAAACGGCATACCCGCTGCTCTTGGGCTTATCCTCGAACCCGAGGACCAACTGGCGGGCTTTAGAGCGGACGCCATCAGCGCCAATTACGATATCCGCGGTCACCTATTACTTGTCAGTCCGCATACTTTCTCTCTCCAAACACCCGCACTTCGAAGACGAATGACTGGAAAGAATCCAAACTCACCCTCTCCCCATCACCCAACACAATCCCCGCCTTTTCCTCATCCTCAAAATACCCCTCAACCCTCCTCCCCAAATTCACCTCAATCCCCAACTCATCCCTAGCATACTCAAAAACCACCTGATGCAGCTCCCCCCTGTGTCCATTAAATACCGGCGCCTCTGGGTTCTGCGGCGGGGTGGGTTGATGGTAGACCACCTCCCCGGTATCGTATTTATGGATTCTGAATCCGTACTGCGATAAGTCGATGCTCAACTCGCGCAGGCGACGGGCGATGGCCCCGTCGGACCAGCGGGCGAAGATGCGTCCGCCGTTGGCGCCGAAGGAGATTATATCCCCGAGGACTTTGAGGGTGGGGAAGGATTCGTAGATGGTGACGTGGTGGCCGTGGCGGTGGCATTCTATGGCGGTGGTGAGGCCGGCGAAACCGGCGCCGACGATGATTACGTTGATTCCGGTAGGGGGTTTGGGGTAGGACATTGTGAAGGCGGTCTGGTCTGGTGGTGATGGGATGGTTGTGGTAAGGTGAGTGAGACCGAGAGAGGTGAGGAGTTCTGGGGATCTTGCTGAGGGACTGAAGCGGACTTCTGGGTGGTACAAAGGAGGTTTGATATTGGGGTTACAAGTATGACCGGGAGAGCATAGTTATGTGGCTGTTGAACGTTTCAAAGCAGATCCTCATCTCCAGGCTTTACTGATGGATGAGCTTGACTTGAGAGGTTCAGAAGAGACAACCAACCCAACCCGGTTCCCGGCTTGAGAGCTCTCTTCACTGTGTGATCAGGTGCACCGTAGACATACCGACTTCAAAGGCATTTCAACGTCGCTTTGCCTCAATAATCTCTTTTAATAGTTTTGTGACCAAGATTGGAACTGATGAGAGACAACGAGGGGGATTGTTCATTGTCCCAAAGCGGAATCCTGTTCCGAACTGGAAACACTTGGTCCTACGACGCTAATCATCGTTGGGTTCCGGCAGCATGAGCATTTCATTCAGCCTATCTATGATGGTTGCATCTTGGAAGATCCGATTCTGCCGAGCCTTCCCCTCATCCCTGATAGAAAGGTGGCGGATGGGTGAGGTCCTATGGGCAGGGGTAGGTAGTGAGGGGGTCAAAGACAAAGTGCAACGAACGAATGGACTGTTCGGTACGTGAAAGCAATAGGAGTGAGTATTTCACCGCAAATTTCAATACTTGGACATTCATTCAGTCTCATTGACGGTTCACATCCCGCGTTCCCAATAGTCATCTGGCTTTCACGATGCAACGGCGTTGACCAAGGGGATGCGCTCAATTCCGGCCGCCGTAGCAGCGTGATAGCCAGTCATGTGCAACTGCACGTCAATCCGCAATTGAATTCAGAGACCTCCCTACTCCTACGCAAGAATCGGAGAAGTGGTAATGCATTACTGTCGAACTATCACAGAGTGTCCGCACTGAGTTTTGGTGTTGCCAAAATGGTGCTGCAAAACACCAAGAATGTGCATGCGATTATAAGCAGTAGCTACGAGAACCGTTTCCATCAATCAGCTACGACAGTTGCTCAACAACTGTGAATCTTCCGTAGTATAGTGGTCAGTATGTGAGCTTGTCAAGCTTGAACATCAGTTCGATTCGCTCGAGACCCGGGTTCAATTCCCGGCGGGAGAGACCAGATCCTTTTTTTTTGCAAGTTTTTTTCCCGAGGTCGGTGACGAGGATCCACACCCTGTAAACAAACCCCTGATTATTTTGGCGATGGGCTTCATTAACAACAACTTCTGCCATATGCATAGACCGCCCACCAGCCGACGTCCTGGTCGCAGCAAGTAGCTGCCTACACCAAGTCCGAAACATCAACAGACGTCCCTCACTTGACCTTGACCATCTTAATATTCCCCTTCTCATCGAACTCCGGCATCTCCGCCACCTCTCTCTTCTTCTGCTGATAAAACGTTGACATCCTATACCTACTCTCCCCCTCCAGCACCTTCAAGTCCCTCAACGCCTGCTCCCCCTCCCTCACCACCGTGCTTCTCACCTCCTCACTCCTAGCCACAATCTCACACCGGAAAGGCTGCGGCCGCATATTCAGCCCATTCGTATAAGCAAAGATATCCACCTCCTCCTCCGCTCCTGTTTCCGGGTCTCTGTACTTCCTTATCGTGAAAGCCCAGAGTAAGCGCGCAACAGTGATCCAAGTCCCCTGTTCCGCCAGCGCCTGCCCGGAACAGACCCGCCGGCCCCAGCCAAAGGTCATGTACCCCTTTTCGCCCGGGAAGGGACGGTGGTGGTCATTACCAGGGAGGTAGCGATCGGGGTAGAAGCGATCGGGATCCGGGAATTCGCGCTCGTGGTGGTGGATTGCCCACACGTTCCCCTGCACCCAGCTATGCGGCGGGATGTAGTAGCCGTGGTAACAGTCCGGTGAAGTGTTGGAGTGCGGTTGGCCGCCGATGTTGGCTACGGAGCGCCAGCGGAGGACTTCTTTCACGTAGGCGTTTAGGTACGGCAAGTTGGGGGCGTCGTCCCAGTGCGGCGAGCGGCAAAGGGGGCCAATGACGCGGTCGAGTTCGGATTGGGCTTTGAGCATGGCGTCGGGGGCCGAAGTATGGGTATATCTGGACGCCATCGTGCTGGATTTCTGCGTGAGTGTTCCCGGTCTGTGTCTGTTTGTCTCCCGGTTAGTGAACGATGCGCTAACGATGATGCAGTCTCTGGGTGTACTTCTACCTGCCTGAAGTCAAGGGTCGTACTTTGGAGGAAATTGACCAGATGTTCGAGGCGCGGTTACCGGCGAGGAAGTTCCGCAAGTATGTGTGTGTTGGTCGCGGTGGTGTTGCAAACGAGTCGGACAGTGTCAATTCGGAGAAGAAGGGCGAAGAGGTGGTGCATGCTGAAGAGGTGAAGAGGGTGTCCAGTTAGATTCTTAACAGAAGAGGTGCTGTAAGTGCGGCAGAGTGGGGCAGTATCTGATAGCGCAAGAACACTTATTCACATCGCCTGGTCAAAGCGCATCTCGGGCAATGACATCCCGACAAAGACGGCCGTTCATCCAAACATCTTCCCATTATCATTTTCCTTCCCGTTGGCATAAGTATCACCCCCACCCTCTTTCCTCTACAACTTGGCCTCATCCAACTTTATAATAACACTCTTAACCTCCAAAAAGTGATCCATACTGTACAACCTCCCCTCGCGCCCCTGCCCACTGCCCTTATACCCACCAAACGGCAAATCCCTCCCCATCGTGGGACTCGAGCAATTAATACTGACATACCCGCTCTCCAGCGCCTTCGCCATCCTCATCGCCCTACTAATATCATTCGTAAACACGGCCGCGTACAGTCCAAACTCGGTATCGTTCGCCTTGGCAATCACCTCCTCCTCGGTCTCAAACGTATTGATGTTCAGCACCGGACCGAAGATCTCCTCCTTCATGATCTTGGCGTCCTCAGGCGTGTTAAGGAACACCGTCGGCTCGACAAAGTACCCCTTTGTCTCGTCCAACTTGCCGTTGCCGCCCACGGCCAGCGTGCCGTTCTTCTTGCCTTCTTCGATGTAGGACATAATGTTCTTGTACTGGACCTCGTCCGCTTGGGGACCCATTTGCGTTTGCGGGTCTAGGGGGTTACCGCCGCGAACGGCCGCCATCCGCTGGGTGAAGGCCTCGATGAACTTGGGCGCTACGCTCTTCTGGACGTATACGCGCGAGTTGGCCATGCAGACTTGGCCGGAGTTGACGAGGATGGACATCATGGTTGCTGACAGCGCTTGCTCGATGTTGGCGTCGTCGAAGACGATGGCGGGGGACTTGCCGCCTAGTTCGAGTGTGACGCTCTTGAGGTTGGTCTTGGCCGCTTCCTCCTGGATCAGCTTGCCGGTGCGGGAGGAGCCGGTGAAGGAGAGGGCGCGCACGTCCATGTGGCGGGCGAGGCAGCGACCGGAGGGGAGGCCGTGGCCGGAGAGGACGTTGAAGACGCCGGGCGGGAAACCGGCTTTGGTGATCAGCTCCGCGGCGTAGGCGACGGCGAGGGGCGCCTTCTCGGAAGACTTGAGGACCACGGTGTTGCCAGTGATCAAAGCGGCGGCGGCCTTGGCGGCGAAGAAGTAGACGGGCACGTTCCAGGGGATGATGCAAGCGACAACGCCGAAGGGCTGGCGGAAAGTCATGGCCACGTAGCCGGGCGTGTTGACGCTGGATTGGCCTTGGATATGCGGCCACGCTTCGGAGAAGTAGTCGAGCTCGTCGGCGCCCATGTCGGCGTGGATGTAGTGGCTGACGGGCACGCCCATGGAGATGGCCTCGAGGTGGGCGAGAGTCGACTTGTGCTCACGGAGCAAGGCGGCGAGCTTCTTGAGGTAGGCACCGCGCTTGGTAGGGTCGAGGGCGGCCCATGCTGGTTGAGCGGCCTTTGCGGCAGCGGCGGCGCGGTTGGTGTCGTCTTCGGTGGCTTCGGGGACCTTGCACGAGATCTCGCCGGTGGCCGGGTTGATGACGTTGAAGGTGCCCTTGTCGGAGGCTTCGACGAACTGGCAGTTGGATGTTGTTAGCCTCACTCGGTCATCTGGGTGTGACAGGAGCACCTACCTCGCCGTTGATGAGCAGCCTCGGCTGGAACTCAATGCCGTTCACGTTCACTGAAGTCGACATCTTGGGTGGTGTATATGGGTATAGGCTCGTGATACAACGCTGATAGATGACTGACGGCTTGATATTGGATTCCTGCAACGTCGTGATGGTCCTGCCGGTTGATGTCTGGAGCTTGAACCTGCCGAGGAGGGGGATATCAAGCACTTTAAATGACAACAACAAGCAAGGATAATGAAGACCGGGGAGAGCAAGAGGAGGGGCAAACGCCTCTTCGTAATGACACTCATCCATCCGGTTCTTCATCCTTCCTGTCAGACATTGATCCTTGGCGGCTGACACAGTTCGGATTTTACGAGTCCGACAGGCAAAATCCGAAGTCTATCATTGGCCGCATCGACCGCCGAAGTGTTTTGAGGCATACCGAGTACCACCGGGTTCGTTCGCCGTCTCTACCGTGATCTTGAGTGGTGTTTTGTGGTGTTTCGACCCACAGACGACCACCACGCCAACATCGCCATTGCTACCACAACTCACAGGAAGTACGAAGGACTTTTCGACCGATTGTCCAATCAGCGGTGTTTATTCCCGTTCCGGTGCCTTCGGTTGCCGGCGATAGCACCCTGATGGCGTTGTACGCAGCTGAGTACTCCCCTGAAACTGCCCCGCTACCAAGACCCTCGTGTTGGCCCCTTCCTGCAGGCGATAAAACACACAGCGGGGGGGTGACGGCAGAGGTTCGGATATTTCCCCCCAGCGGCCGCGGCGCAGGGACATTGAAAACCTCTCCGGATAAAGTTCAACGAGGAAGACAGACCTGTCGATCAACAGGGAAGAAAAGAAGTTTATCACGGGGCAACTTCCCTTCTTGAGCACCTCTGCTTTAAAGGATCGAAATGCCTGCCTCACTAAGGTAAACCCTCCTTCAAGTGGACATCCCCAACATCTCCAAGAACCTTCCGGGGACTTTCCAACAGCTTACGGACCCCTTCCGCACCAGCACTGATTCCCACGTGAACGAATAACTTATTTCATCAGGAAATGGACGTCAACACCACCAATAAAGCCCCCAAGGGCACCATAGCCATCGAAGAAGCCGTCCTCAACCCCTCCGGCATCGCCTGGATGGCCGAAACAGCCACCCTCTTCAACCCTTCCTCTTCTTCCACCTCCTCCGGCAACCCCCTCCAACATCTCCACGGCCACACCACCCATCTCCTTGATATCCACGACACCCGTCTGGCGCAAATGGACGCCCATGGCGTGGAATACATGCTCCTCTCCTTGACCTCCCCGGGGCCACAAGGCCAGAGCTCCCCCCTCGCAGCTGAACAGCTCGCGCGAGAGGCAAATGATTGGCTTGCTAGGGAGGTTAGCAAGAACCCGACTCGGTTTGGGGCGTTGGCTAGTGTCTCTATGCATGATGCGGAGGAAGCGGCGGGGGAGGTGAGGAGGGCTGTTAGAGAGTTGGGGATGTACGGGGTGATTATCAATGACTATCAAGAAGTTGAAGCAGGAGGAGAGGGGGACAGGGGGAAGAAGTGGTACGACACGAAAGAGTACAGGCCGTTTGGAAGGGGGTGGAGGATTTGGGGGTGCCGGTTTATATGCATCCTCGGTATCCGCCTAATAAGGAGTTGGGGCAGGGGACGGGAACAGCCGGTGGGAAAGGGGAGGGGGCAACTGGGGAGAGGGGGGAGAAAGGGGAGAAGGGGTGGTGGGGAGAACGGAAGCACTTGTTGGGAGCCGCGGTGCAGTTCCATTTGGACTTGAGCAAGCATTTGTATGCGATTTGTTCGAGTGGGGTGTTTGATGAGTTCCCTGGGGTGCAAGTGGTGGTTGGACATCTTGGGGAAGGGTGAGTTTTGCGTTTCGTTTGTGAAGCCCGGTGATACCTCGAGTGATGATGATGGCGATGGTGATGTGCATGTGATGAACGACGCTGATCCGGGTTTTGTACCCCGAAAGCATTCCCTTCAACCTCTGGCGAGCCGACCACTGGTACAACAAACCAGTGAAGAAAGCGTCGAGACCGTCGAAACACGATTACGGATACTACTTCAAGCATAACATCTCGATTACGACGTCAGGGTTCTTTTCGACTCCTGGACTCAAGTTCTGCATCGATCAGATTGGGGTGAAGAGGTGCTTGTTCTCTATAGGCGAGCTATCTGCCAATCCTCGTTAGATAGGGAACTGACTTTGACTGTGAAAAGACTACCCCTACGATACCATCGAGGAAGCGCAAACCTGGTGGAAAGGAGTCGATCTCCCCGACAAAGAGAAGGAGATGGTCGCCAGAGAAAACGCCATCAGATTGTTCAAACTTCCCTTGGAACTCTAATCCAGCCTTGTCAATCCCAAATCTTCATCCCTCATAACACCTCAAAACCCATTATCACCCAACAGCCTCTCAACCTGCTCATGCCTCCGTCCCGCCACCTCCCAATCATTATACCTCTTCTCCCCTCCCTCCTTACCCTCTCCATGTGTCCAAGCCTCCCAAACCCCCTCATAAACACTCCCCACATTCCTCGCCGGCGCCGGCAGTTCCTCCTGCCACCCCTCCCACTTCCACTCCACCTCCTCCACCTCGTCAGTCTGGTAATAATGCACCTCCACCTTCACCTCCCCCGCACCCAAAATGATCGCTACCGATTCCGGGCTGGTCACCCTTATCTCTCCCTTTTCGCCTGTAATCGACCACACGAAGGCTGGTTCGCCGGGGAAGGGCGGGCCGCGGCGCATGCGAAGATGCAAGGCTGCGTTCTGCTGGACGGTGTCGGAAGAGGGAAGCGAGCTGGTGACGTAGACGAGGTCGGGAACGTTGGATGTGACGGTGCGGATGATGGCACCGGTAGAGTCCTTCAGGGGAACGAGGGGGCGTTGGATGTGGAAGTGGGATTTTATGCTGGTTGGGGAGAGCTCTCCGAGAGCACTTTGCAACAAATCAATCACTGTTTTTGTTTTTTGTTAGCCCACATCTCATCTTGACAGGAGGGAAAAAGGGTAGAAAGCAAAGGAAATAACTCACAATGCCCACCCCCAATACTCCAAAAACCCCCACCCACCTCCCTCTTAGTGAAATACTCCGTCTTCTCCTGTACCGCCTCCCTCTCCGCCGTCAACCCACTCAGCCTCAACTCCGAACTCAACACCTTCCCAATCCTTCCCCCCCTCAACAACTCCCCTACTACTTTTTGCACAACCGGACTAGCCCACCCCTGCGTGCCCACCACCGTCTTCTTCACCCCCGTCTCCTTTGCCAGGGCAATCAACTCCTCTACTTGGGCCAAGTTACTAGCAAGTGGCCACTCGGAGTATACCCCCCTCTCCCTCTCTTTTCCGGCAGCCTTTCCATTAGAAGTAGCCTTCCACCCCTCCAGCAACGGCTTGATGTTACTGTAGTGAACATCAACCCTCGTTCCCACGACTACCAGATCGACGTCCTCAGCTTTGGCTAGCTCCTCGGGACTACCATAAGCTTTGACGATGGTGGGGTCGAAGTTGTAGTTCTTGATGGCGGCTTCGGCGGAGGAGAGGGAGGAGTTGACGAGCGCGACGATTTGGAATTTCTGTTGGCCACGAGAGGATAAGAGGTATGGAAGGTGGGCGAGGGAGAGCCAGGAGGAGGAGGAGGAGGAGAGACCGACTAGGGCGAGGCGGATTGGTGCCATGATAAACTGTTGTGTTGGGGTTGTTTTTAATGGTAGGTACTAGAGATGGTTGGTATGGGTTTGATATGGTAGATTGATTGATGTAGTGGGTAAGGGAAGGACGGGAGAGAAGGTTGATGCGAGGATTTTGTGTCAAGACTCCACGTTTGAGGGGATCAAGATGGGGTTATGTATGCTTTGACGAAGACGCTATGATTGTCATGCTTGGTATTCCATACTTCGCGGGGTTCGAGTAGGACGAGTGGCTGAATTGCTAAGGTAATCCGTAATGTCGTGATATGTTGTTAACGCCGAATTGGTAAGCACTACCGCGTGGTGTTGCGATTTCCGTTACACTTTCTACACTCCAACACACGATGCCAAGAACGGTGCCTGATTCTTGTCAAGTTCAGCTTCCCCTTTGATTCAATGATTTCTAAGCAACCTATGGGAGAAGTGCAGCCTCTTTGGGATAGCTACAGCAATGGTTCAGGATCCTAAAAAGGTTAGTTGCCATTTTCAATTCTCATACAGGAGTAATATGTAAAAGTGATCATGATTTGAGGAGAAGTTACTATCATCAAGGTTTACTCGTCCGTATTTGTTTGTTCGTCCTTCTCTATAACCAGCTTCTCTCTTTCCAAACAGGCCTGCCAGTAACTCCTCCGGGGTATCAGTCAGTCAACCGCATTAAAAATCGACAATAACTTCCTGCAACAATCCGTATACACCTCCTGCGTGTGCATCGCCGGCTTCAGCGGATCCGGACTCTTATCCCAGCCATGGGGAACCCCGGGAATCATCCTGTGATGGACCGTCTTGTTCAGGGGCTCGGCCGCCAGCCTCTTGGCGAACGCCTCGCCCTCCTTCTGTAGCATGTCCCACTCACACGTGTACACCAGCACATTCTGCGGGATGGCTTCCTTGAGTTCCTCGTTGCTGGCTCTGGACGGAGACAACCAAGGGTGATCCATCTTGAGATCGCCAGGGTAGAGGTAAGACCCGTCGAACAGGTTGGTCATGGTAGGAGGCAACGTGTGCTCGGGCTTGACGCAGGTGGCGCGCTTCTCGGCACGCGAGACGCTGTAGTCGGTGACGGGGTACCAAGTCGCAATGGCGCGGATCTTGTGTTCGGGAACTGGGGGCGCCTTGTTCTCGGGATCGGCCAATTCCTTCAAGTGTTCGTTGAAGCGCAGCGTGGCAGTGATAGCGATGTTGCCGCCAGCTGAGAAACCGGATGTCGCAAGCTTCATGGGGTCGATGTGCAGATCGGCCGATTGGCGGATAATGTAGAACAGCGCATCGGCAGCATCGTCGACCGCGGTCGGGAAGGGATACTCGGGCGCGAGACGGTAATCGACCGAGACGAAGACGGCGTCGCAGGTATCGAGGACGTAGCGAGCAAATCGGGCATCGTCGGTACCGTTGCCGATTGTGAAGCCACCGCCGTGGAAGTTGACGACTGCCGGGTATCGCTTGCCATGCTTAGAAGCATCTTGGTAGCCCTTTGGTGTATAGAATTGGAGGGTAAAAGTGCCCTTGTACTTGGAGAGTAGCGACGGGATCGTAAGGGTGAAGCTGGGGTTTGGTGGTCGAGGGCTAGCGAGGTAATGGAGGGTCATGCCGATGTATTGGCCGGATCGCAGAGCAGAGGCCTGTGCCTTGAGATACCACCGCGAAGAGGCCGGGTTGTTGACATCGTCGGCGGTCTCTGGTCTCACCCAGCTTCCCTCGTCCTTCGAGGTGGTCGGCGGGATGGGAATACCCTCGACGGTGGGAATGTTGGGGACTAGCTTTGCGCCTGACATGGTGTTGGCGATTCGACCTATTAGGGGGCAGACTGTTGGGAGTAAACAATGATATTGCGACAGAGTCAGCAAAGAGTTACGATAGATGACGGGTATCAAGAGTAATCAGGTGATGATGATTTTGCTTCTAGGGAGTGTCTAGAGGACAAGAGGTAGCACCAAAGGTGGGATATGGACAAAATAATAATTCAGCGATTTAATGCTTGTCGATTCTCGTGTGTCGCATTACCTCCATGAGTGCCACAACAACAATCCGTCATTGTTGTGCTCCAGTCTCCAATCCAAGGACAGGAACAGGACTCGGACAACTAACAACCAAGGCTGTGTGGAGTTGTGATCAGTGGGCTGAGAAGGAAAAGAGACAAGGAGAGGAATTGAAAGGGGGGTTGATGTCATCGGCCATGGGGTGGCTGGACTGGTTGGTCCACTTCTGGCTGTGCGATAACGCTGATAAGACCTTATCGAATACTATCGCCTGCCGCGAAAGCCCCGATAAGAAAAAGAACTCCACAGAAGATCGACCGCCGCCGGCAACGAATTGGAACGGAAAGAGCGACAATCATCAACTTGAACAAAGAACAACACCATCGTCAGATAATATGCATCGAGATTTTCCCGCCCACTTTTGTTCATTCATTTTTAAACCTCAGCTATCAATCGTGCAATGTTTTGTCTTGTTTCATGTTGACATTGATGCCCTCTTTCTGCCGACATTGGCCGCCCAACCGAGATCTTGGCGCCGCATAAACGGTGACGTCATAAGAACCATGACGTCGTTTGCTCCTTCCGTACTTGGTGGCTGGACCAATTTCCGAGCCTTCAGTTTCCTCTGACAGCGGACAGTCACAAAGACAAGCTGACATTGACAGGGCAAGTGCATTTTTGACATGGCTTCCTAGGAGGTGGGCACCTTTTCTGTAACAAACCACGGTTGGATGAAACATTGGAATGGCAGTACCGGACAAGAAACTCGGTCATATTCAACTGACAATGATTGATCAACACAATGGATGATGGCGATATACTCTACTTAGACTCTTGAGGGTGCCATCCTCTCAGTAAACTGTCAACGATATGTACCTGCGTACGGCCGAAGTGGAGGGGGAGCGGATGATGGACTTTGACAGCCATGTCCTTGACGATGATCACGATCCGTTACAGTACATCGATACCTGTTCGGAAACTCGGAAAGGGCCAAGAATTACAATCATACCGTAATTAGTATCAGACTTGTTGGATTTCCAGGCACAACGTCCCAACGAACATCTCGTCCCATTCCGCGGACATCTGAAGTCTGCTGTCATTTTAGTGGCTGTTGCCCTGAATCACAAGCTGTAAACATCCATGCCCGCCTCTGCCCCTCTGACCAAGCAAAGCCCAACCGGCAAGTGACCGGGGTGCAATCAAGGTTCCCCAGCAAATTCCCGAACATTCGTCATCACTCTTTGTCTCCCTCCTTCACTTTCCTAATAAATATTCTTTGCTCTATTGACTCTCACCTGGCTTTGGTTTTCTTTTCAGTCTCCATCACCATCTCAATCGTATCGCAGGCTGTCACGTTTGCACACGGCCTGACTTACTCCACCATTTTGTCTTGGGGCTGCCACACAGTCCGCAAGGTTCACAAGTCGTTGTCCCACGCAACCAGCATCACCAAGTAAACAAAACAGATACCCACCCAGATACCCCCAAATCATCAGCCACCATGTCGCCAGGCAAACTCAAGAAGCCATTGCTGGCGCTCAACCGCATCATCGGCCATTCGTCGGCCAAGAACCACATGAGCAAACCCAAGATCGGCGATATCGACCAACTCGACGACGAGCGCGCAAAGAAGAACATTCGCAAGGTCCAGGAGAAGGTCGCAAAGGAATACCAGCTCGAAGAGGAGAAGCGATTGTCGGTCCAGAGACGCAGCGATGAAGAAAAAAAGTTTCACGAAGCCGACGGCCCCGAGATGGCTCGACGATACGGAACACAAGAAGAGGAAGCCCTCGCCCCGGCAAAGTCCCTTCAAGCCCTCGTCAACGACTACCAGAATGTCGGCAAGACCGTTAGCTTCCGAGCCCGCATCCACCACGTTCGCGCAATGAGCTCCAAGCTCGCATTTGTCATCTTCCGCGACCAGATCGAGACCGTCCAGGGCGTCCTGTCCGTCAGAGATGGCGTCGTCTCCGAAAACTTTGTCCGCTGGGCCGAGCACATCACCGCCGAAGGTTTCGTACACGTTGAAGGAAAGCTACAACAACCTCCTGAGGAGATCAAGGGGTGTACAGTTCACAATGCCGAGGTGTTGATCGAGAGCATGCACCTCGTCGTCCCTCTTGACGAGCATCTCCCCGTCGATGTCCACTCGATTGACCACGTCGAGATGGACAGCGAGACGCACCAGCTGGAGTCTCTGGCCTCAACAAGAGTCCGTGTCTCCAACCGCATTGCCTTTCTCCGTACACCCACCGCTCAGTCCATCTTCCGCATCAATGCCGGTATCTGCAGCATTTTCCGCCGATACCTCGAAGACAAGGGCTTCATCGAGATCCATACTCCCAAGTTGCAGCCCGCAGCTACCGAGTCGGGTGCCGAAGTCTTCAAGGTTAACTACTTTGGCAGGAATGCTTTCCTCGCCCAAAGTCCCCAGTTGGCCAAGCAGATGAGCATTTCGGCCGACTTTGGCCGTGTCTTCGAAATCGGCCCCGTCTTCCGTGCTGAGGACAGCAACACCCACCGTCACTTGACCGAGTACACCGGTATGGATTTGGAGATGGCCATCGAGCAAGACTACCACGAGGCCATGCACATTATCGACGGCTTGATGAAGGAGATCTTCAAGGGTATCTACGGCAAGTACCGCAAGGAGATCGAGATCATCAAGACACGTTTCCCTCATGAGGACCTGGTCTGGTTACCAGAGACCCCCATCATTCCCTTCAAGGATGCCATCAAGCTCCTCAACGATTCCGGCTGGACCGATGACCATGGTAAACCCGCTTCCGAGACTGAGGATCTGAGCACCCGTGCCGAGATTCAGTTGGGCCAGGTCATCAAGGAGAAGTTCAAAACGGATTACTACATCATCGACAAGTTCCCATCCTCTGTTCGTCCATTCTACACTCATCTTGACCCCGAGGATGACCGCTTCACCAACTCCTTCGATATATTCCTTCGTGGTCAGGAGATCACCACCGGTGGTCAGCGTATCCATAGGCCTCACCTCCTCGAAGAGCGCATGAAGAAGGCCGGCATTGAGCCTCTCGGCATGCAAGAATACCTCCAGGGCTTTGAGTATGGTGTCCTGCCCCACGCTGGTTGCGGTATCGGTCTCGAGCGTATCGTGTTCCTCCTCCTTAACCTGGGAGACATCCGCAACGCCTCTCTCTATCCCCGCGACCCCAAGTCCCTTCCCGAACACAAGGAGATCGTTGGCAGGCTCCCCCACCCCGAAGCCGATACCATCAAGTACTCCTACGACTATGACCACGGCGAAACTGGTCTCGAGCTTCCTCCCGTCGAGAAGCTCATTGTCAACTACGGCGACGCCACCAACACTTCCTGGCTCGACGACCGCTACCACGTCTGGCGCCACGAGCAAACCGGTGCTGCCATTGGTTACGCTGAGGATAACGGTTATGCCCTGGTCATGGGCAACCCCCTCTGCGACCCTCGTCAATACCAGCTCGTCATCCGCGCCTTCCTCCAAGACATGCGCCACCGCAAGGACCTGCGTCCTCTTTGGCTCTTGGTCGGTCCCGAAGTCGAGGACATTCTCGGCTCCAAACTCGGCTGGCGTTCGCTCTCTTGCGTCGCCGAAGAGCGTGTGTCTGTCGACTCGGCCAAGAAGGTCGCCAAGAAGGAGCGTCAAGCCGAAGAAGCCGGTGTCTCCATCCACGAGGTACCCATCGGCGAGCCCGTGCCCGAACACATCCGCGAAAAGTGCGACAAGCGCATCCAGGACTGGAAGGACAACCGCAAGGGCAAGAAGCAGGTGCACATCACCGAAGTCCGTCCGTGGGTCGACATGGAGCACCGTCGCTACCTGTGGGCCGAGGACAAGGATGGTGAGGTCGCCGCCATGTGCGTCCTCGCCCGTCTTTCTCCGGCAAACGGGTACCAGATCAAGTTCGCCCTGGACTTCCCCGGTTCTCCCAACGGAACCATCGAGGCCTTGATCTCAGCTGCGATCCAGATGCTGGCCAAGGCCGGTGTCAGGAATGTGACGTTCGGTGCCGGTGCGCTGCCGGAGATGGTTACCGGTGGTCATCTTAATGGCATGAGGGCAAAGATACTGAGCCATACGTACAAGACTATTTGTCAGCAGTTGAAGTTGGTGAACAAGTCCGAGTTCCGCGAGAAGTTTGGCGCGACAAATGATCTCGTGTACATCTGCTATCCCTTCATGGGTCTGGGCGTCTCGGGCGTGAGGACACTTATCAAGTTCTTCGAGGATGAGATGTAAAAGGTCTGGAAGCGGGTTTTGTTTCATGGGTTATGATTTCGATGGTTTTTGCAATGGCTATGACGACGGAGCATTCATGATGGGCGATGGCATGCACAGTTATGTTTTGTCTTTTTTTCTGTTCAGTTTTGATACACGATACGATACCCCATATTACCAGCACTCAAAGTCACAGGACGTATTTAATCACAGTACGGCACGAGACCGGGTTTGCCAGGTACTTGTTGAAGTCTATTCTAGTAATTATAGATCGATAGGTAGTAGTGGCAGTGGTACTGGAAAAATTCATCTCTATTACATGGCTCGTATCTTCCTGACTTCCTTGCTCGTTTGCTTCTTGTGTCGGTACCATCCTACTCACTCAATTATGACCCCCTTTTGGATGCTTCTTCTGCTTCGTCCTGTCATTCACGGAGGCCTCGCAGATTCAACCCATGTCTCAAACTTGGAAGCTGACCGGTGCACACAGACAGGTTCTTATCTGAGACCTCGATCATAGCAGCTTCCATTATGACATGCGAATGTCTTTGTGGACCCAACGAGTCAACGACTGGTTCCTGACAAAAGTGCATCCCCCCAATTACATTGTCCATCTGCCATCGAATACATCGAGTAGTCATTCAGGGGTAAACGAACATGAAACATTTCAACACACGATACACCCAACTCAACCAGACACGTAAAGCACTCGAGCAAACCAAACGGTTGCAGAAGGGAATAAACCCCCCCTTTTATATTGTTGGGACACGACTCCATACCTCATCTCATTGTCTTCATGCAGTTCCCGTTTAGGTGTCGCTTATTTAGCCCTTCACGATGCCATCCCTGAAAGAACGGTACATGATCCCGGTTGGGCGGGTGTTAGCGAGATTGGCGAGATTGGGTGCACATGTCGATCATCTCATTCCAACCATTCGACCTCAAATAGCATGATGAATAAAAAGGGGTGGTTCCCCCTATTGAAGATGGAATGAATTTTTTTTTTCTTTCCGTTCTGTTTCTGCTTTTGTTTCTTAGAAGTGACACAGATTGTTTCTGTTGCTTCGAGAACAATAGAGGCTGAAGTTTGGGGACGGTTACCTCGAGTTTCACTAGGTGGATTCACCTCGGGTGAAGCAACACTGAACTGCGAACTGTGGATTTCGATAAAGAGCAAGGTATTTCTTCTTCTGGATCTGTTAATGAATGGGTTGGAGAGGTCAGAGCTAACCACCAGATAGTAAAGGTTTATTCGAGGGTTCTTCTAGAGCGTCACCTTACCACAGTCTCTCGTTCATCAACTGGTCCAATTTATTAACTCACTCCTTCATCCCTCACCGACGTCACTCTTTTTACCACCCACCAACCACCAAGATGATCATCTTCAAAACTCTCGTTACGGCGCTCGCCCTCACAACAAGCAACGTCCAAGCCGCCCCCCTCTTCGACTCCGTCACCACCTTCCTCACCCACCTCACCAACCCCCCTTCCGCCCAACACCTGGACATTTCAACCCCCGGCTCCGACCCCACGGGTCTCAACACCTTATCAACCCTCTCCTCCTCAGCCAAAGCGGCCCTCCAGAAGAACCAAGCCTACTTGCTTCTCATCAACGCCACACCCTTCACTCTGCGCAAGACAGGCGGACATTCCTACCAGATGCCTGTTTGGGACAACAGTTTCCCGGATGTTGTGCAACCGGGAAGCAGCGTGCGGGTGAAGATTGAGGCCAAGACGCATAAGGATGATGCGGCGGAGATGAGCTATGTTGTTGATGAGTTAAAAAGTGAAGGAGGAGGAGGGGAGGTGGAGTTCCAGTACCGCGGACGGGACGGGCCCGTGTTGCAGGTGGAATGGAAGAGTTTGGCGGCTATGAATAACCCCGTCGGGTCAGTCAGGAGGTTGGATTGGCATCAGGGGAATAACATGCCTTTTGTCCTTTCTGCTGCGCCGTCGGCTATGAGCCAAGTTTCTGGTGGATCGGGGGCGAATGCGAAATTTGATCCCGCTCAAGAGCTGATGGCGAGCCCGGGCCTGCCGACGGGGTGGATGAAGCAGGCGTATGGGCGGATGCATTGTTTGAAGCTGAGGGAAATCAGTCTTCCCGGAACACATAACAGCGGCATGTCGCTGCTCACTGGCGGTACGCCCCTGGTTAAAGCCAGACCGGAGTCGGTGCAGTGTCATTCTAGTCAGATGACGGTTGGCAAGCAGTTGGAGGCGGGAGCGAGATGGTTCGATGTCCGCCCTGTGATTGCGGGCGGGAAGTGGGCGACGGGGCACTATACCTTTTTTGACGGTATCAAGCTGCCCTCGGGACTGGATAAGGTTCCTGGCTTGGGCGATTTGGCGAAGGAGATTGGAAAGCTGGGAGGGGGTGATAAAGAAAAGGTGTTGGATGGGTGGCAGGGGGGGAATGGCCAGTTGGTGGCGGATATCGTGAGGGAGGTGAATGAGTTTACGGAGAAGAACCCGGGCGAGCTGGTGGTGATTAATTTGAGTCATGGCCTCAACACCGATACCTTCTCCGGCAACCCCAAGGCCCATCTTACCCAGCAGGAGTGGGAGAACCTGATGACCCAGCTACTGGCTGTCAAAAACCGGGCTACGCACATCACGACGCCCAACACCGACCTCACCTACCTTAAACTCTCCGACCTGCTCCCGCCTTCCGACCCATCAAAGCCCAACGATGCCTCCCGCGCTGCGACCGTCCTCTTCGTCGTTGACGACATCACCTCCGACAACAAACACGTCGATCTCTCCAAGTTTGCCAACCAGGGTTTCTTCTTCCGCGGCCAGCTCGCCATCTTCGACTCCTACGCCAACACCAACAACCTGAATAACATGATCACTGACCAGTTCTCCAAGCTGCAGACGCATCGGACCAAGGCGGATGATGCCATGTTTTTGTTGTCTTGGACACTGACGCAGCCCGTCGAGACCATGATTACCGGTAGTATCGTCAAGTATGGAGTAGATGCCAACAGGGCGTTGGGTGAGAAACTGTGGGCGCAGGGCGAGATGAATGGGCAGAGGTATCCGAATGTGGTGAGTGTTGATGCTTTTGATGGCGATGGAGAGGTGGCCGGGTTGGTGGCGGGGATTAATTGGTGGTTGGCGGGGGAGTGCCCTGCTTTGTAAAGTGGGAGCATCAGTTTGGTGAATGGTGACGCGAGCAAGGAAGATACGAGATATGTAATGGAGATGAGTTTATTTTTCACTGCACATACATTCACCAGTATTGTTTTTACACGTAAACTCGGTACAGCGTTGTCCTCTTCCGTGCTCAGTGCTCCTTCCCACTTTCATGTGATGACCTCCATGGAAAAGAGAAGGTGGTTGCCCTCTATCTACTGCACGTTGGTAATTCTTTCCTGCATGGTGCGCGATGCAAGTCACCGGCAGGCAAGATATTGGAGTCCTGGAAAGAAGTCCTTTTGTTCGCACTTCTCTTCTCCCTACTTCCTTCCTTCCACTTTTCAAAGTTCACCACAATTACAACACAATTGGGGCGAAACATGCACTCCCTTTCCAACTCCCAAACGGGGTTTCCCTTCCATTGATGATAATGCCCGGCAACGCCAGCCTCCAACTGATCGATGACGGCTGTCGCTTGAGATCGTTGTTCCTTATTCTTTTCCGCTTCCTCTTCTACGTTCGAGTCCTGCTTTATTACCTTTCCCTCAGCCTTGGTCACGAGAGGCTGCAACTTGGGAGTTGTGAAGCTACCTACCAACTCTTGGTGGACTGTCGCCTCTTCATGGTGTTCCTTCGGCTTTTATTCGTGTGGCTCCTCAACCTTCTTTTCTTGCACGTCGCAGATCATATCTTTCCAAGGCGAACCCCCTGAGGCCTGAGTTCATGGCCGATTCGTCCGAGATGAGTCGCGCCGCTTGACGAGTGTCTTCTTCGTTCCATCAGCCGACAGGAGGACGAGTCGGAGTTGAAAGTAGATGTAAAGACAGCAGCGCGCAGCGGCGGCGGCGGGACATGGACGATATTCTCCTCGTCGAGCTTTTCTCGGCCCTGGGTCCCGCGAGGGGGAGGGAGAAGGACATGGACCGCAGTGGTAGTGGTATGCTGGTAGGGCAAGGGCATGCTACGAGGCGTCCCGAGGCCCAAAATTCCGCGTGAGGGGAGAACCCGTAGATTTGAAGTCACAGGTGTCGAGATTGAAATAGTTGGAAGAGTACTATATAAGCCGGCATGAGAGAAAGCCCGTGATGTCAGGATGGGCAATCTTAGGACACTCAGATCATCACCGTGGTTCCTCGGGGCTCAGGACAATACGTGCCCTGGCACTGACATTATGGTAATTTATTGAGGTAGGTATATAAGAGGCATGCACAGAAATAAAACAAAAAAGTAGGAGAATGTGGTTCGGTGGCTGGGAGTTGGTCACAGAGGACATAATGTCAATGAGAGCGAAAGGTCGAGTTGTAGCTGAAATGGTTTCGATGTTATTTTACCACCAGCAATGACCAGCAACTATCTGTCTATCTGGTCCATTTTCTTTTCCTGCCTCTGAGGCAATGATCATCTACATCTATAGCAGTGATCTCTATACCTCTATGTATCCCGTCCTTTCCATTCCGAACGCCTCGCTAAACGACAGATGATCCCAAGCTGACCTCCAATTCCAGATTCCACCTCTACCACCCCCCAAGGATGTTACTGCCGTCACTCCTTTAAAGAAAACCGTGCGAGAAAGGAGGGAAGGTGTACTGAAAATAGGGAATTGTCGAAGACTGAGGCAAGCACCGCCCGACCGAACTAGCCGACAGCAGGAATCGGCTTTTCAGTCGGATACTCGATGTTCATGACCTTATGATCGGTCGGGTTGGTAATCTCAACGTTGACACCGCTGCCCAAGGCATGCGGGCAAGTGGCCTGGTTGGCACCCGGAGCCAAGGTGCACTTCTCGTCATAACCCTTGTGGCACAAGGAATCGTTGATGTTCCAAAGCTGGTAGTTCTTGCCGACCCAGGTGTTGCGACTGAGGCAAGACGAGAGGAAGTTCATGGAGTTTGCGCCCTGAAGGGGAAGCTTTCCGGAACCGTCCATGATCAAAGACTTGCTGTTATCAGCGGGGATGTACTGGTAGTCAAGCTTGCCCATGGCGCCTCCGGCGATGGCGGTGCCAGGGGCCGCGGGATTTCCAGTGGCGAGGTAGTTCCACGCGTCGTATGAGATATCGTGGGCACCGCCGGAGTGGTCGATGCGGAGAAGAGTGACGGTACGGCCGTTCGTGGTGTTGGTGAGCTTGACACAAATGTTGTCGCAATCTACTTCCTCCTTCCAGTACGCGACGCGGTTGGTGTTGATCTTGCAACCAAGAACACCAATGGAGGACGAGAAGAAAGGGTGAGGGGTGACATCGTAGAGGCTACCGGTACCGGAGGCCTGACGCTTGTCGACGTTGACATGAGCACTGGGAGTGCTGATGGGGGAGTGAGGATCGAGAGAAGAGGGTGATGCCTTGACGATGGAGGTTGAAAGCTCCTGGGCGAAGCCGAAAGCAGCCAAGAAGGCTACGGAAAGAAAGATCGCCTTGTGAAACATCTTGCCGATGTTGGAGATGTCTAGTGTCGACTGAGAGGTAGTTCGAGAGAAGACTAGGGGCTGAGGTTGCGGGATAAGACTTGGGGGTTTGTCTTTCGCTGTTGAAGATCTTGGAGGTTGATCTTCAAGGGGGATGGTGATGAGGATTGGATAAGGAAGAGGAAGGCTGGGGAGGGGGGGTTTTTATATCTAGAGGAGGAGGAAATACCGAAATATTGAGATCCACCCAAAAACCACATTTCGAGTGAAGGGTAGAGGATAGTTGAGATGAGAATGTTGAGTGAATGGGCTTGGATACGGTCAGAAGTCTTCATCCCACACTGTGAAGCTTCAACAAACCACAGTCTGGACGCTTCGGATGAGGAAGTCCATCGGTGAGAGACACCAGTTGATGACACACCGCATCAATCCTGAAAAGAAAGGGTCCGAAGGTTGAGATGAGGAGAAAGCTCTAGGTGAAGGGCTTACCTCTACCTCCAGGCAGCCCTGGGGCATTTACCACTGGCATGGGAAAGACTCCACCCCCAACAGAACACCTGTGGTCTGGCGACGAAAGATGCTCGCCTGAAATACTTCTGGGATATTTTGCTCGTCTTATATCTCTATCCTTGGGAGGCAAGTGGGGGGCTTTGCTAGATGACAACCACTGTGCCCGTCGTTTGGCCCCAACAGCCCTGCAGTTTGACAAGCGATTGAGGCTCCGGTTTTGTATTCATCCTCACTCCACAGCGGGCTCCTGCGCAGGGTCAGTATTGAAATATATCATCGTAGACACACGCGTTTGCTGTGAGTCTGTTCTTCAAAAATACAGATTAAGGGGGAACTTGCGTAGGTAGATGTTGCGGACGAGATGGTGACATGTGGCATTGTTATTCCTCAGTTAAGTACCTTTTAGTCCTATGCCAGACTTCAATGTGCAACAGCACCAGCCATCTCAGATGTTTGACACTCAAGCGTTTTCCCTACTCCGATGCTCCGTCCAGATTGCTTTTGAGCAGGTGCGATGTTGACAGACGTGGAGATTGCAAGCGCATACATGTCCCTCATTTTAAAACGGAAGCAAGCGAGAAGGAAGTCACGATTCCACAATGACTGTCATCAAATTCACGGTAAAAACAGAAGGCACGATGCAAAAATTGTTTTGATGACGCTGTATTGGAGTGATCCCGTCCTGTGGCCTCTAACTACCAGCTGATCAAAATCCGTCATTCCATGCCACTGAATCCCTCGCAGACACTGACCAAAAAGTCGTTGGGGATGCTCCCTTTCACCTGAACGATGATTCCTACAGCTTCAAACGCAGTCTCTTCAGTGAAGGGGCATGTTGACGGCCGGCAGAATTCATCTCACGACGTCAAAAACGGCTGGAGTCGTCACAAGTCCGGACCAGAGCAGGTTCCGTGCCCGTGAATGGTCTTTTCCATGACTGAGATTCCCCACAGGATATGGGCAGCACACTTACGCGGTACCTGGGCAGAAAACCTTCTCGTCTGAAGCTGTGGACGGGAAATCGTGCTCATTTTATAAGGTACTTTCGCCGGCTCGCATGACCACCTGGTGGTCTGACCTCGATAAGCTGCCGTCTTGGCAAGCGGTTGGAGTTGCAGTTCTCCATTCACTTTCAAGTCGACCCCCTTTGCCCGCTTTTGTGGTGACGACGGGAAGGTTGAGTCATCCAAAACACACAACTTCTGACCCTGCGTCTTTGCAAAGCACAACAAATCTCTCATCGTACTTCCTTGCGGTATAATATCCAAACAGACAACGCGTGTTCGGCGTCATGAGAAGACAATGGCGTGGCACTGTTGAGGAGTGACGGCGGACGTCAACCTCGCAGTCACCAGCCCTTGTACTGTGCGAGATTTTCCGCGTTTACTTCAAAGTCGTCCGAAAAAGAGATAAATGACCCACCACCCCCAGTTATTATGTGTTCGCCTCCCATTCACTCACTTGTATCTTGATAGGGTGAGCCGTGGGAAGGGTTCAAGATGAGAAGGACCAGTGAATGGACCGCGAGGTCCGTTTGGCTTTTGGGTGGACCCCCAATGCCCATGGAATAGATGGTCTCTCGATATTCCTCCCTCCTCTAGATATAAAATCCCCCATTCCACCAGCACTTCCTCCTGTTTCGGTTTCCTCTCCATCGACCACCCGGAAGCAGAATACCCTATCCTGCTTTCTTCTCACTCTGGCAACAGGACAGTCGCAACCACACTCCCAAAGCCACACAACATCAAGAACCGACAAGATGGTGTCCTTCAAGTCTGTCATTCTCGCCCTTGCCACCACCGTCATCAAGCTTGCTTCGGCCATCAAAATCCCTGGCAACGGCACTACCCCTCATGACCAGTATTCTTCTTCAGTCGGCGTGCTTGGCTGTAAGATCGATATCAATAGGGTCGCCTACTGGCCCTCCTCTGTCGACTGCGACCAAATCTGCGTCGAGGTCACTGCCAACGGTCGTTCGGTCACTCTGCTGAAGATCGACCAATCCGGCGGCGCGTACGATATCTCCTTCGACGCCTTGAACTACCTCAAGACTGGTTACCCGGCGGTCAAGGGCCACATCGAGCCCGGCGGTGGTTTCCCCGCCGACTCCAACTTCGTCCCAGCCGAGAACTGTCGCCACCTGATCAAGACGGCCTCGGGTAAGCTCCCCTTCACTGCAGCCAACTCCATGAATTTCATTAGCTCGTGCACCGCCGGCCGTAACACCTGGGTTGGCAACAACTACGAGCTGTGGAATATCCTCGATCCCGTATGCAATCACGGCTTCAACGAGCTGTGCACGCTCGCCCCTGGTGCAAACCAGGCTACCTGCAAGCACCCTCTGGGCTCCAACGACGTCCTGACGGGACAGGATGTTCTGAACATCCTCTACCCTTCTGGTGAGGTTGTCGATGCTCCCTAAGCACAAGACATGGAAAACCGGCGGCACAACACACCATTTCGACACACTTTTCCTTTTCTCTTGAGATACCACGGCGTCCAGGACGGATGGGTCGCATAAGGAGGAGGTCGGTTTTGAGTTTCGGGATGAGCGCTCATCATGGGTGCATGGGCTTGGTCGGCAAAGATGCATTGGGAGCTGGCGGATAGAGGACTGGAGTCCAAAAGTACATAGACTTCAAGGATTGAGCATCATGCTCCCCGATGGTAGCCGCGTAGTTGATGCTGGCTTCGGCAGGAAGGAATGACATAAACCTATTCGGCCACTTTCTTTCTTCTGTGATTGTGACTTCCTCGTTTGGTCCTACTCAGGCTCCTTCCTTCCAGTCTTCGTTGCAAAATTTACCAGGAGTCGCAGCAGCAGTGAAAATGTTCTGGAAAATGTTGGAGGGGGTGATCCTTGTATTATGCGGACTGATGCACACCCGATTCTCATGCCCTCACACCAGACTGGTCCCGACGACGGTGAGCACCACCACCGCCGGGAGAAAAACGAAAAGAAATGCCACTCAAGTTCATCATGCTCATTTTATTTGCAGAGGGGACAAACATTCAAAATCACTAATCGACTTGGGCCTCTCCTACATCATCGAAACATAACGCTCAATATCCTAACGGCCGTAGAGGAGGATTTGAAGGATCCAGGACCCCTCGAAAACCTTGGACTGGGAGTTTGGTCGCCTCCATCCTTACAATGCGTGCTTCACGGTTGGAATCCCATCTACTTGCCAAACCCAAACGGCAGGTAAGAAACGCGCAAAATGAATCCAATCGGATCGAACATGCTAACTCAAGTTTCTCTTCCCAGTCCAGACGAGACATTTGTGGGTTTACACACAAGTTGCTCCCATTTCCACGCTCAAGACAGTGCCCTCGGATAATACCAACGGAGCGGTACCTTCACCCAGAGGCTGCTGTCGTCTGAACTCGAGGATGACTCCCACCACCGCTTTTGGTCTGAGGCTCCGGGATGGATTCTGCCGGCCGTTGGCGGGTCTCTTCACCAGGCCTTCCCTTCACCAAAAACCTTCTCGTCTCGTCTCAACCTCCGCGATGATGGTGAATGGCATGTGGAGAGCTCCCATTCACCCGCCACAGATCTGGAAATTGGCCCTCTCCTCTAGATATAAAATCCCCCCTTCTCCCACCACTTCTTCCACATTTCCACTTCCTCAGCACCAACAAGAAGCAGTCTCGGAGTCTCTTGCCTTCAACAAACCCGAAAGCAACAACCACACTCACAGACATCTCCATCGCGGTCAACAAGATGTTCTCGAAGGCCTTCTTCTCCTTCTTCGCCCTTGCGGGTACTCTCCTCCTCAACGCCACTGCTGCCGCCCCCTTCAGCGACGGCCGCAACGGTACCAAACTGGCCGCTGCTGGCCAGATCTGGCTCACCCCCCACGATCAGTACTCCTCGTCTGTTGGTGTCCTCGGCTGCAAAGTCGACATCAATCACATGGCGTACTGGCCTGAGGCCATCGGGTGCGACGATATCTGTGTCGAGGTCACGGCTTTCGATCGCACCGTAACTCTCCTCCGCGTCGACAACTCTGTCGGCGCCCACGACATCAGCTTCAACAACTGGAACTACCTCGAAACCGGCTACCCTGCCACCGTGAAGAACCAGATCAAGCCCAGCGAGGGCTTCACGGCCTCCTACAAGACCGTGGACCCAAACAACTGTCGCTAATTCATCAACGGAACCGCCAGCGGCAAACTCCCCTTCTCGGCAGCCACCTCGATCAACTACATCTCCAACTGCGTTCTCAACGCCCCCAACTCGTGGATCGCTAAGAACTTTGAGCTTTGGAACATCTACGACAGCCAGTGCAATCTCGGCTACAACGAGATTTGCGAGACTCCGGACTTCAAGAACGGATTCAATCAGGCCAAGTGCACCCACACTCTTGGCAGCCAGAATCCGCTAGCCGGACAGGATGTCTGGAATATCCGCTACCCCAGTGGAGATTTTGTGGAGGTGAAGGGTCCTGGCCAGGCTTAGATGTTTTTGGGGGCTTGAACTTTGCGGTTCTCTTCGGCGGGGCATGGCGATAAACAGATCTTCATTACCTACCATTCATGGCTTCGATATTCGGTAACTTGACAGCCCGAAATGGTTCATGACGACCTTGTCGCGGGCTTGGAACAGGTTCAGAGGAAGGTCTCGGTTCGGAATCGGCACTTGCGGGAAGATTGGGAAGTCTGGAGTTTGTGGTCTGTCTCAAAGGGTGAGCAATGCATAGCGCGGAGTTAGAGAGTTTGACATCGTGGGCATAGTCCTGGAATTCATGATGGCTTTCGGAGGAATTCTCGTGTCTTTGGGGCTTCTAGGCTCGACATGAGAGAGGCAAATGGTAGATGCCGGCTTCGGCAGAAGGAAATATGAATGGGAATTGCGATCAAGGTGCAAAAGCGAGTCCCAAATGTTGTAATACCCGCCTGTGAAATGTGAGCTGTTTAGACAATTCTATTTGTTTTTGTCTAGAGGTCTAGAGGTATAAGATACCGTAACGTCATAACTCGTGAAATGCCCTCCGCGAGGAGAAAAAAAAAAAAAAAAAAAAAAAAAAGCCCAGCCAAGGGTCTAAAATGAGAAGAAAAAGAGGAAAATCGCCAGGTCCCGTACTAAGTATTTTGGGGGGCGCGTGGGATCCCTGAAGCTGCACCCAGTGTATGTCCTGAGTTTGTGCTCCAAATGATGTCCCAGAGAAGAGAAAACATGAACCCCGTCTAGGTCCTCCAAAAGAAAAAAGAAATCATATCCCAAGAACTCCTGTACAGCAAACCCGCCCACAGTATCCATCGTCAGAAAAACTAAAAAAAGAAGTGAAAATGCCGTGACGCCGTGTATCTTTCGTGGCTCATGATGTCGAACCAAACTCAGTTAGGATAAGGAATATCCACCACCGGATACTCCTCGGGCAACACCGTCTGAATACCCAAGATATGTCCCGCTCCACAATCCGGCTGGTTGGTAACAGCCAAATCGGGAAAGCTGCAGGGCACATCCTCGCCCCACTGGCACCTGGCATCGGCAATGTTATAAAGCTGGAAGTTGTTGCCAACCCAGCTACCGCCCTGGCAAGAGTTGACAAAGCTCATCGAGTTCGCCGCCGAGAAGGGCAGTTTGCCGTCAGGCGTCTTGATAAGAGGCCTGCACTCCTCGGGCGAGACGTACTCGTAGGTGGCATCCACGGCACCGCCCAGGGCTGCCCCGCCGGCAGCACCGACGCCGTTTTGGAGATAGGCGTAGGCGTCGTAACTGATATCGTGGGCGCCGGTGGAGCTGTCGATCTTGAGGAGGGTGACGGAGCGGCCGTTGGCGGTGACGCGGACGCAGATGTCGTTGCAGGAGACGGAGGACGGCCAGTAGGCTACGCGGTTGATGTCGATTTTGCAGCCGAGAACGCCGACGGAGGAGGAGTACTTGTCGTGAGGCGTGATGCCGATGGCTTCGCCGCGGCGGACGGGGGGGATGACGGCGGCGGAGGTGAGGGTGGTGGCCATGAGGCCAAAGACGGCGAGGGCGTTGGCTAACATCTTGTTTGAAGTTTGTGGTTTTGGTTTGAGAGCTGGTCTGGTGGGAGGTAGGTTTACGTGTGAGGCGGCTGGAAGAACTTGATCGAGATGAGTGGTCGATTCGAGTTAGTCAACGCTGGCTGGAAAAAAAGAAAGAAAAGATAGGACAGGGGAACTATTGTCATTTTATAAGAGTGTAAGAAATAATCTACAAGTACGGGCTTCGAAAATGAATGAACATGGGAATAGCCTCTTCCACACCCGGAAATCTACAAGGACAAAGACAGATACATCTTGGGTGGTGCGTGCCCCTGAGCCACCCGCATGGAACAAGGGGAGATGAAACAAAGTCAAGCTTCGAGAACGTGAAAGGAAAACGTGCTTGGTGGAGGTTATCTTTGCATGAAACAAAGGTCAGTGGCTTGTGGCTTGCGTGGCCACAGGTCCAGTCAGATAATTTGATATGGCTGAATCATACGTGGAAATGGTTCTGTGATATTTTAAGATCCACCCAAGTCTCGATCTCAGATATCCCCAGATATCCCCGCGCATGCTGCCCGACTCGGAGTGGTGTTTAATAATGCACTCTATACGCCGATGCAGGGACCGGCAGATCTGGGAACCGGACATCGGAAGTAGCCCGGATCCAGATCGGTGATATCTCGCGCTTTCATTCCCGTCAATGGGACGGGACCTGGAACTGTTGACGGGTTCCCGAGTCTCCAACTGGGGGTTCCGGCCGTGCACATGGTCTGTGGCCCAATCATTGTCCGAGTGTCGCCCTTGTCCCCGAGGCCGGCACTGTTCGTCTGCCGCTCCTATCCCGTTCATGCCGCTTCTTCAGCACCGTTGACCCCTTTTGTCCCACCCGGCGTCTTTGTATCGGCTCGGAAGGCGGCAAAGAGTGTTTCCCGTTGTCCAGGATATGCGAACTTGATCTCCCTTTGCCCGCAAAACCCGGTGCGGAGGTCATCCTTTGAGACCCACATGAAATCCTGGTGTTCCATCGGATTGAGAACAACTTGGGGGTCTTCATGCTGACCGTCTGCATCCTCGACAGAGACAAGGAACGTGAGTTTCCGATATCGCCCTTCGCCTGATGCTCCTTCGAACTCGAGTTGGTCGAGAAGTCCCATGACATCTTTGAGGACAAGGCCTGTCTCTTCGAGTAGTTCACGTGTCAGGGCGTGAGAGAGCGTCTCATCTCCGAGGTCAACTCCGCCGCCGGGAGTTTCCCACATGTTGGGGAAGCCATCGGTTGCCGCGCGCTGAATCAAGAGGATTTGGTCGTGGTGGAGGACTACGGCGCTGACAATCACACCCTTGATTGTGGGGTTGGTCATGAGGTACGTCTCAAGCGAGACGCCGAACTGGTGGAGAGTCATGGCGAGGTTTGTGATTCCGCACACGGCTTTGAGGAGATGAGTGTTGATTGTAGTCCCGGTTTGTTGGTTGCGAAATTATTTGCCGCTAAAACGCAATAAAGAAGTTGACGGGATACCGCTGAGCTGAATGGGAAAGAACTGAAGGTTGGCGTCAAGGTTTTCTGTTGGTCCTTGTGCCTCCCCAGATGTTCCCAGCTTTTGACTTTTGCTGCCGCCTTCGGTGATATCTTGCGTAACGTGGAAATTAGGTACCTTTCGATGGCCCCAGAAGGGAACACTTTAGGCAGGATTACTTGAGTAAACGCAGATAAACAATCGCGGTTGCCTGAACGCCACGTAATGCGGACACTGCGGGCTCTTCCGGTGTACACCCAGTTTGGAGATGTTCTTAACTTCGCGTCCGATAATGATGGTTGAACTGTCGCCTGGTTAGCATCACATGAAATTCTGAGAGCAGAAGCAGTCAAAGAAGATGCCACCATGAAACCACCAGAGTCGCAAGCTGAAAGAATCCTTTGTTCTCGTCGAGTGTCTGGGGAGTCTTCAGATGTCAGGGGTACACGGAATGGCCCGCCGTCGCACGTGCTGAAAGGGTCCTTTGTGTGCCCCACCTTTTCAGGGGCTTTAGCGCTCGTGGTTGGCCACAGCCCCCACCATTCAGCGGTCCCCATGACGTGGCGTCCACTGTTTTGTTTGTTGTCCACGACAAACATCGCGCCTCCATTTCCATCATGACCTTGTCCTTGTCCCTGTCGTCCATCTCCCGCTCAGCCCTACCCGCTCTCCATATCGCCGGTCATCGATGATCCCAAGTCCATCATGGCGACAGACTCCAGCACCCAGACCGAGACGCTGCCCGAGATCGACGAGGATGACTTCGTGATCATCACCCACCAAGAAGCCAACGCATTGCGTCGCCCGCGCTTCCTCAACGATATCAGCGATTACATCGACAGCATTGCCGAGGAACTATGGCCCATCAACAAGAAGATCCACGACAAACCTGAGCTTGGGTATGGCGAAGTCATCGCCCATTACACGCTGACGGCGTACATGAAAACACAACCAGGATGGACGGTGACGCGGTCGGCGTACGGCATGAAGACGGCCTGGGTCGCTGTTTACGACACTGGCAGACGGGGACCTTGTGTTTCGTTCAACGTTGAGATGGGTATGTCCACTTCCATCTTTCCCTCCCGCTCCCTCATATCCCGCTGTCTTCCCCCATGCCATCCTATCTCGTGATCCATCCCAACAAGTGCCTGAACACAGCAGGCATCACCCCAGCATTTCATAACCTCGACATCGCCACGTTCTAGACCACAAGCAAAACTGACACCAACCCCCAACCCAGACGCCCTCCCCGCCATCGGCCACGCCTGCGGCCACAACCTAATCGCCACCGCCTCCCTCGCCGGCGCCCTCGCCACCGCCCATCTCCTCTCCCTCTACTCCCTCCCCGGCCGCGTCGTCCTCTTCGGCACGCCCGCCGAAGAAGGCGGCGGAGGTAAGATCCGTCTTTTAGCCGCGGGCGCTTACAAAGACCACGGCGTCGACATCAGTCTCATCTCTCACCCGGGCACGGTGGGCGATTGCGCCCTCACGCACACGACCGCGTACATTCGGATGAAGGTGGAATACTTTGGCAGAGAAGCGCACGCCGCGGCGGAGCCGTGGTTGGGTGTTAACGCGCTGGACGCGTTGATCACGGCGTATAATGGGATTAGTGTGTTGAGGCAGCAGACTATGCCGAGTGATATTATTCAGGGACATATTACGGATGGCGGGGCGAAGCCGAATATCATTCATGCGTATGCGGCGGGGATTTTTGTGGTTCGGGCGGCGACGCAGAGGCGGTTGGAGGAGCTGCTGGGGAAGGTGATGGCGTGTTTTGATGCGGGCGCGATGGCGACGGGGGCGAAGGTCAAGGTGACGAGGTTGATGGCTTACAAGGATCATGTGCCTAATCGATTGTTAGGGAGGAGTTATGTGCGGTACTTTAATCCGTTGGTTCCCGAGGAGGGAGATGGAGGGAGGGATGGGGATGGGAATGAGGCTGGAGGGCCGAAGAAGATTCCGGAGGATCAGGATGTGGATAAGATGAGGGGGTGGAGTGGTGCTAGTTCGGATCAGGGCGATATTGCTCACGCGATGCCGAGTATCATGCCCGGGTTTGAGATACCGCCGGGACCGGGAGGGGCGGGGCCGCACAATCCGGGGTTTGCGGAGAGTGCGGGGACGAGGCTGTCGTTCGAGAGGAGTTTGAGAGTTGCAAAGGCGTTGGCGGGTACGGCGGTGGATGTGTTGACTGTTGATGGACTGTTAGAAGAAATCAAAAAGGAGTGGAGGCGGTCGATGAACGGGGGTAAGTGAAGGAAGAGCAAAACGATGGAACGGTTAACGACGTTATGACATTATGACAGCGGTACAGATTGGATATAGGTTGGATATAAGATAACACGGTAACGGGCTGGCCCCATCTTCCATCAAACAACATCTCTTACCCCCTTCCTTCTTTCCTTCATATCCTCTACTGATACGTAACCTGCATCCCCCCCGGCAGCTCCGAGACCCACCCCTCCGTCTCCTCCTTCACCGTCTGCTTCTTGAAACAAGCCAACGCCTGCTCCGGCGTCTGCGTCTTGAGCTGCGAGCACCGATCACCGCTGCACCGCGCATCCAGCGCCTTCTGTAGCGCGTCTCCCTTCCACCCAAACACGTAGTCGCCGTGCTGGCCGTACCCGGTCCCGTCACCCATCGAGTACACAAGCGGTTGTCCCTTGTCGGGCCAGATGGCCTTTTCGTTGAACTGCCGAGTGTCCCACATGACTTCGTACATGAGTTGCGGGAGACGGACGGGGTGGCTGGCGGGGCAGGGGCCGGTGGACTCGAAGGTGCCGGTGGAGGGGTAGGCGACGTGCGATTTGTGGTCGGGGGAGTCGACGTTTTTGCCGTCCCAGCAGCTGATTGCCTGTTGGTTCAAGAAGGTGATGGTGAAGGAGGGCTGGACTCACGTAGGGAAGGTAATAGTCGTGCGAATCCCACCCGGACACATCTTATTAGGAAAAGTGACGGTATCATCGCCCGTGCAGGGCGCACCGCCAAAGGGACTCTGCTCAATGTTGTGCTCACATCGATGGCAGATTTGCTTTTGCATGCCGCGGTTAGAGCGGAGCATGGCGTCGCCTACCAGCATGCGGAAGCCCTTGGATGGTGTGTCAGTGTCCGGTCCGTCTTATCACTCAGTTACCTACGCTAGCTGACAGGGGTCCATGAAAACTCACAGGCTTAAAAGCAGTAACCTTCGTCTTCCCATCATACGGCGGGATATAATACACGGTAATCCCCCCCTTGCCCTTCAGTCCCAGGTTAACCATCTGCGGCACCCGCTTATAGCTCCCGTTCTTGGCCCGGAAGTACAAGTTGGCCGTCCAGTAGTTGGAAAAGTCCTCGGCGAAGGAGCAGGTGGTGCAGGTGGACTTGGCGGACGGGTCGTAGTCACCCGGCGTCATGGTCGCGTTGAAGGAGTTGCCGCCGACGATCTGGTGCATGTGCGTGGAGGGGAGCATGCCCGGGTTGACGAGCGGGTCGAGACGCTCGATGGAGAGTTGGCTGCATTGGAAGCGCATCATGGCTGCTGTGGCGTATTGGGCTAGTGTCTCCTGGAAGAGGAGGGAGGCCGTGAGGGCTAGGTGGTGGAACTTCATGGTGATGGCTTGGCTCGATGAGCGTGTGTTCGGATAAGAGCTATCGAAGAGAAGAGGTACCGGTGGGGAAAGCTAGTGAGTTGCAGTTCGAAGAGCCAAGGAGAAGACAAGAGCGAGAGAGACCTTCTCAGGCAGATGTCATGGAGGACAACCCTTATACTCATGTTCCTCTTTGCCGCCCGCCCGCCCGGGCTCATGAGCATCGTTCCAGATATGCCGTGGTCAACATAAAGGGCGCGGCATGAAGTCTCATCGACAAACTGCAACCATGAATCTTGCTTCGTGCCAACATGTCGTTGCCATTGGTTGAGCCGCTTGCCGAGCTCCGGCCACAGATTTCCAGTACCGCCGTGGTGAACTGCCGCATATTGGCCGGCTTGGTGGTTAAATCCGGGGTAAAAGCTTATTGGCGAGGAAGGGGATCTGCCTTGGACAGGAGGGAGAAAGGTAATATACTCTAATGAGGTCTTGGGCCTTGACCCCTCTCCTAAAACATTTGGGATTATAAGAGACTATATGCAAGCAGCCAGGAGGGTGGTGGTTTGGCCACGAGTAGTTGTTAGGTCGCTGACTGTGATAGGAGCGCGAACAATGCCGTTGCCACATGGTGTTCGGTTTCTGCCGGTTGAAGTACCACCGAGTCAGAAGACCGGGTGGAGTTGCAGCTGGTCAAAAGAGAAGGATGAGATTATCCATATCGGCATGCCATACCGGGACAAAGTTCGAGCTTCAAGATTGCCAAGCGCAATTTACAGTATCGTCGTCGGCAACCGAATCGGAGGCCTTTTAACCCTGCTGGGAGATGGGCATCTGCAAGAGGCTCGTTTGATGTCGTAGACTGACTCGGAGCAGACTGATGGACGCATTATCGCAAATTTGCTGCGTCTGGATGGTCCTAACCGGGTTCTGAGCCCTATGCGAGTATCATGGCGTAAAGTCGACCAAGACATGGCCTGAGAAGTTCCAACATGTTTTCCGTGGGATACCGCTTGGCCTGGGCGGGAATGGTAAAGTCATGGCAAAAAGATCATCAAAGTTCCAACTTGGCTGCCGCCCGTTTCGTTTCTCCATTGGCCTTTTGGATATGGGCTTCTTCTTTCCTCTTCCCATCATTCGAATGCTTTGTTGTTGAGAATTCCCATCCTATCGTCCAGTTGTCGTTCACCGTCCTTTTCAGTGGCCGACCCCTGCCTTATAGGGCGCTGGCGCTGGCGCTGCTGACGCCAAGACATGACTGACCGGACTTGTCGTCTGCAACTTGCCGACGACTTTCCGGACACTCTTTTCTACCGTGTACAACAACAATATCGCGCCTTTTTACCGAATAGTCTTCAATGTGGGAGAAGGGAACTGAACAAGTTCGGACAAGAAATCAGGAAAAGAGGACAAGATAAGCAAAACAAGTCCCTGATAAGGACAGCCCCATCCCATCTTCCAAGCCCCAAACACTCGCGCTTACCTCTAACCCAAGACAGACGCCGCGTTAAGCGCACCATACGTCATGGGTGAGGAGAGACACAGGCCCACTCCGACTGGCCATTTTTAGAATTGAGTTCTGACGGCTAGCTGTAGCCTAGAGGATCTGAAACCCTGCTACAGAGATAGCGGATGTGCTGAGCCTTGTGGGCTTGGTTAGCGGTTGGAAAAGTGGTTGAAGGGGATTGGTCGTTTTTCTTTCGCTGTGCTCTCCTCCTTTTCTGACGCTCTTGTCAGGGTGATGATATCAGAAAGGGAGGGTTTGCTCACCTGGGAAAGGATGAATATGAGATGGCTGGAGGCACAGAATTGAGTTCTCGAGAAGGCATAATCGGTCCGCGCTGGTTCTCGAATTTTCGGCATCACCCCACTCATCGCACCGAGATACGAACCGTTGACTTGACTCGGCAATCACCATTGCGACTCCATCACGGGCGGCTCCCTTCGTATTCCTTATCAACCGAAGCAACTCGGTCGCACAATGACGCATATGACCGATGACAATAACATGCCTTCTGGAATGTTTCCCTTCCCAGACATGGATAAGTCCGATCTCAGTCATCTCACCTTCTCACCGTTCTTGTGTCTCCTCGCAACCGACCCAATGTGGCAATCTCCAATCTCCCCATCGGTTTCGCATGCACTCGTATCGCTTCGGAATCCGGGTGCCTACGCCTTGCGGACATTAAAAACCAAGATCCTCCAAGGCCAGAGGCCGAGCAGCGGCTGCATCAACGGGACCGGGGGATCGCTGACAGAAAACCGGGTGTTGCGGCGGGCATTAGGGTGATCGCTACTGCCAAGTGGTGGCGGTTACGGGGTGTTCGTGAAGCCGTCCAGTGATTTGTTGCCGTCGTTAGCGTTATCTGCAGGGTGTCAGCTTAGGTGCAGTGCCACCTCACCCATCACCGCAGCACCACCACGCCGGGCCCGCCGCCATGGGTCGGGATTTGACATTCTTATGTGGCAGCCTTGACGGGATGGATCCGTGGTATTGGTATATCTCGCGATGGTCGCAGTCGGTAGTGCTGTTGTGCTTTGCCTTCTTCTGACAGCCAGTACCAGACATCACCGTTGAAGGAAACAGTGGACGTCAGGCAGCAACACCACACCACCCAAAATGGCGACGACAACAATGACCAAGACCACCAACACACAAACCATCCTCCTACCGCCAACACCACCCCAGACACCACCTCCAGAGGTCAGGAAACCAACCCTCACCCTCCTCTCCCCCGCCCTGCCCATCCCTGCCTCTCCATCTACAACGTTCGCATTCGAGAAAGCACCACCACCCTCACAACCATCTCAATTCCTCCTCGCCGCCTCGGCCCGCCTGTCCGCCCTAGGATGGAAATCGCGTCCGCGCCAAGGACCGCAAGGAGTCTGCCGGCAACTTCAAAAGCCGAATCGGAGTCTGGCGATACCCACACTACTTCCTGGTGGTGTGCCGAGTATCATCGTTCACGGGCCAAAGTGCGAGTGTAGGGAACGAGAAGAGAGGACGGAGAAGGCTGCCGATGAGGAATTAGTGGCGAGGGTGTTTGCGTTGGCACAGCAGAGTGATGTGAGGGAGAGGATAGAGGAGCAAAAGAGGATTAAGGAAAAGAGGGAGAGAAGTGGTGGAAGAAGAAAGAAGGGAGTGTTTGGATGGAAAGTTGAGATTCCCAAGGAGGTGACGAGGTTCTTCAGTGGTTCTACCGCTTCGCTCTCCGACTCCGACTCCGAGACGGCAGGAGCAATCACCGACCACCACAAAATTACCGATCTCTATCTGGCCTGTTCCAATCTCGACATAGACAAAATCGTCGCCCATATATTGACCAACATGGTCCCGATCAATGGGCGCTGCACCATTACTTCCTCCGAAGTTGGCTCTCAACCGGTCGAGACCACCCCCCTCTTTTCCGTGCTCCGCTGCCCCCTCTTCTCGACTCGTCCAAAAGGTCAGACGGCAATCCTCCGGCTCTTGCTTGACCTGGGCGCCGACCCCAACACTTCCGTCTCCGTCCTCCCTCTGTCATTCGAATCAACCCACCTTTCCGCACAATCACAACCAGGAAGAATTACCGCGTTGAGCGCTGCTTGCATCCTCGGCGTGCCCGAAGCAGTTTCCCTCCTCCTAGAGCGCGGCGCAAAAGTTGATGCCAGAGAAACCAGCCTACCCCTTGGGGTCGATGGAAAGTGGGGGAAGGGGCTCAGCGCCTTGGATGTTGCAATTCTGACTGGCGGACAAGAGCGAGTTGTGAAAGTGCTCCTCCGAAAGGGAGCCAACGTAACGGGAAGTTGCGAACTCTTCCTTCCTGCTCAGCTCCCAAGCAAACTGGCAGGTACGATTGGGGGCAGGCCAAGGATGAGGAGCGCTTCAACTGCCACTGCGAGTTTCCATTCCAGACAGCAAGAGCGACAGCAACAACACAACGAACAATGGCCAGCACCACTACCAGTTTCGAAAAAGGTCACAAGACTCTCAAACCTAACACCCCTCCACCTCGCCTCCCTCTCCTCCTCCTCTTCCTCCCCAAACTCCGCCCTCGCCTTTACCTCCATGATCCTCTCCTCCCCCTACAGCAAAGCCGACAACAACGCGCGCACCTCCAGTCCCCTCAACGGCGGCCGCACGCCCTTGCACTACGCCGCTGAATCTCTCAACCTCGAAGTCTCCTCCCTTTTACTTTCTGACCACCGCACCGATCCGCACACAACGGATGACGATGGTGCTACCCCCCTGGCTTTGCTTGTGGGCAAGTTGGAGCAGAGTAATTACTGGACTCGGACGAGACAGAATGAACAACATGTGGTGGAGTTGGTCCGCAGGTTGTTGAGGGCTGGAGCGAACGCGGGAGTGAGGTATGGGACGGATTTGAGTTTGAAGGCGAGGCTTTTGGCGATGGATTGTGAGGGCGAGGATGGTGAGGACAAGAAGTGGGGGGTGTTGTTTGAGGAGGATGGAAGGGGTGTGTTGAGGGGGAGTGTGAAGAGGAGGACTTTCTAGGTTTAATAGGCTGGTGAAAAGAAAGGAATCACATTCGGATGATGTATGCATACTTGGCGTTTTGGTGCTCAATGGCGTTAACGGAGTGGCCTGATGTCTCCAAGAACGATATTAGGGACAGGCATTTGTTGTATTTTCTTTCTTCCATTCGGTCACAAAAGGCCCGTTTAACATCCAAGCACCAGATGCCCATTCACAAAAGAAACGACATCATCAACACAATGTCTGTCTTCAGATGCCAATTTGCTCCATGTCCTGTTTGATGTGATCACACCGCGCCTAATTTGGACACACTTGCATTAGTCTAAAGGCCACGGAGGAGGCCGCATGGCAAGAAGGGCACTAGGCGACAACGGAAACTTTCCAGATTCTTCTAGAAAGGAAAAAGAAAACCAGGGGACGACTGAGATTAACTTGAACTAACCCCAGGCGGGACCGATATGTTGTTACACCTCGATTTTACACTGTGAGACACTGACGTACGGCACGTGTATCTCGTGTACCGGTCCAATCGGTAGTTTTGTTTCCGAATTTGTTTGACACCATGTCCAGCCTTGCAAGGCTGCCTCTTGCATAGTTCGGGGTATAGCCGACTGTCCCAGTTCTCTGTTCTTGCAGTAAGTACGCGCGGCCGTGGCACGTCGCGCAGCCGCTGCTGTGATCGGGGCTGAAGTGATGTGATGAGATGGAGATGAGGGTGACACCGTTAACGACGTCCACTCGAACCGAACGGTGCAGGGAGACAGATGTCAAGGAGTGTTGCACGACAGAAAGAGGCCGCCACGAACGATACCGTCTTGATTGATCTACGCCAGGATTCCGTCTCGGTTTTTGAACGACCGTGATGCTTTGCCAAAGATGCCATCCGACCATGAAGCAGTTTTCCTTTAACCATTCCAAACTCCAAACACAAATGTTGAACTCCGATGCCGTTACTATATTGTCCCTTCTATAAGGGGTACACTCCACGCACGCCCATCGACCCTACAAACACGCCATTTTTCCTAATGTCAGCTGTTATATAAAACAGGCCGTATTTGGTATAAAAAACCAGATTTCTAATATTTCTAACATTTAATATAGGTCACTATAAATACTGTAATTAGCAACAAGCATCTCAAAATATCTACTCCTCCCAATTCAATAATGATGACGATAGGAATAGTAACAAACCAATTATTAAAAGGGAAAGGATTGAATTCAATAAAGTATACAATATTTAATCGGCTCGAAAAATAGAGAAGTTACTAGCCATACCTTAGGAAAATGTACTACTCTATAGGTAATCTAACCTAAATAACCCTAACCCTTATAAAATTTAGCCGGGCACGACTAAAGATAATGCTATCGTTTTAAGCGATTAGCGATTCCCTTTCTTATTTACTTTATAATAATATATACGTTCTAAGAGCCTTATCTTTCCTATTTTAGTGTATAAATTGTATATTTTAAAGTATTTATTACGGAGGTTGTAAGTTACTTTGAACTATAATAGCGTGTCACTTATTGATACTAGGAAATATTTCATACATTGAAAGTGCGAAATTTTACCGCTAAAATTAGTTTTTATAATAACAGTTAACATTAGGTGTCATAGACCCACCTAGGGGGAAAATAGCGTATTTTAGGGTATTTGGGCGTACGTGGAGTATACCCCTTCTATAAAGCGAGTGTTGTCTAACCATGATCGTTCCCAAGGTGTCTTTTGCATAACCTCCTATCCGTCAATCCCGCATGGCTGGAGTGCGGCAGAAGCCACATGCACGGCCTGGGATAACCCAAACATCCTCGCCGTTGGCGGCGCATGTGGAACAGCGGATACCAGGCAGGCCCTGATAACGAAGGGTAAATACATGAACTGAAAGTGGTCGAAGGAGGAATCTCAACACTCACTGGAACCTTCTGAATGCCTTCGTCTACTGATGATGGGATGGAGAGCGGACCAGCGCTCGGGAGTAGCAGATCCAGCTGCTGAAGACGGAGGGTGATGTGACTCTGAAGAGTGATGTTGTTGAGGGGAAGCATTGTGTACAGCAAATGTGCCAAGGAGGGTGAGGAATGGTGGGTTGACCGTGGTAGAGTGATACCTAGTAGTATCTTTCTCTTTCCGTGCAATTTGTACTTGTGGTGGCGGCTCTTGCTGAATGCTGTGCTTGCTCTACTCTGTGAAGAGACCACTTGATCCCATGAAGGTACTTTCCCGGGATTTATATCCTTCTCCATGATGAAGCACGGTGGAGCTGGGAGCGACAAGGATAATCGACTCGGTCAGTTCAATTGAGTTGTGTAACAATCGCAGGATAAAACGCCCAGAGACTTTCCGGAAGTAAACACCCGACTTCTTTCCCTCATTGGACATAACAAGAGAACCCAACAGAAGGAAACACAGTAGCGTTGAACCCCAGCCCAACGCTCTCCCTGTCCCGGTTGACCAACGGCAGTATGTGACCGTGGGAAGAGTATTTTCTCCTATCCGTCAAGCGATGGGGAAAAAAGGGAAATGGACTGACGTTCTCACGATATTACCGGGAGTTGTTGACCGAGTGTCCATCGCGAGCTTCACCGGTCGCTTGGTGTGCAGCCTATCGCAACGGGAGCACCGGGCCGCGGGGGGCTAATAAGGACGAGCCGCGCCGTAACCACCACAAATCCGGCTTACCGTGGGTACCTTTGCGTCGTCTGGTTGGCATGCTTTTCTGGTTTCAGGTTGCTCCTGGTTGAGGAGACCGGTGACGGGGTAGCCTGTGAGAGCCTACAGTGTTTATGATAGCCGAGAGAACCCCATGCAAAATAAATGGGCTCTTCCTGGCCGAGGGTGACTTCCACGTTACCTTGGGCTCGCCTCGATGGAACGTGGGCTGATCTTACAGATAAAATGCTGTCTGGCTACTGTCAGAATGCACGGTTATGTGAATGTAGAGAATATGGGTTAATCGCTGTATTGATCGAGTGTGTGGAGTAGAAAGACTGCACACATAAGTTGGGGGATCCTAGAGTATTAGGAAGGTCTATAGCGCTATTAGGGTAGTTAGGAGGCTAGTCCTTTTATAGAACCTTTGTCTTACTAATTAGATATAGCCTACTAAATTGATACACCTCCCTAATTGAAATCTCTTTTAGGAATGAAGTTGAAACTATTTATATATTGCCTTCCCATTTCTAATTATTTCCTCTACGTCTTCTAATTCAATATAATTTATTATATATTCCTTCTTTTCCTTCTTCTCCTTAATTGAAGCTATTTTTAACAATCCTTTGAATTATATATACTTCTATAAAGATAATACTTTCGTTAAACCGTCTATAGGTATTTTTACCGTTTCTAAATACTTAATTTTAATAATCCTAATTATAACCTCCGATTTAAAGTAATACTTATAAATATCTATATACTTTAATTTAGTTACTAGTTTAGAGGCTTCGACTATTATTACCCTAATCGTTTATTTATTATTATAATCGATAGTAGGGATAAAATTTACGAATTTTACGATTAAGCCTCGTATCAAACGTATCGTAAAAATAGCTTCCTTTACTATATTTAAAAGGGTAATAAGCTCTATTTTAATCGTTAATATAATTATAGTCGTTTATTTAGTAGTTCCCTAATATATTAAACTACTCAAGAATTTAATTGTAAAACCGTATAAATTCTTTTAATCTATAGAATTATTTATAAAGGATATATTTAGTATACTTTATAGGGTATTTTCGCTTTTATAATATAGCGCTATATTTATAGTAGCCTATAAGTAGTATAATACTTTATTTATAGCTGTATAATAATTTAAATTAGTGTTATAATTATACTTAGCGAGGCGGCTTATAGCGAAGGTAATATTAGGTCGCGTTATAATTACTATATAGAAAATAGAGCCGATTTTAATTAAGTATTAATATATTAATTTATTAAATACTCTATTTTTGAAGGGTACGAGTTCGATATTAATAATAGGTAGTTACATTATTCTTTTATAATTTATAAAGCGGTATATTTTCTATAAATATAATTATTAAAATAATTAAATCTTTTATATTTTATAATCTCGTATAATTTCAATACTTAGAAATTATTATAACTCTTTACTTTTAATAAAATAATATTGCTATTTAAAGCTATTTATATATTTATAGGCTTCTTCGCTTTTATTATAGTAGAAAGTAAAGATAATATTATCGATGTAATAGAGAATAAATACGCCATTATTAACGAGAATATAGGGTTTCTTTAGGATTACTTCGAAATTTAGGGTAGTAAATGCATTAGTAAATTTACGTTATTAGAAAAGCAGAGAATATTATAATTTATATAACGCCTTTATAATTTTATATACTTTATTTAATATTTAGTATCTTAGGGGTATATATATATAAATTTCCTTATTTATATAAGCGTTAACGAAAGTATTAACGGTATTATATTAAATAAATTCGAAATTAAAGTATATGATCATAGTAATAAGGGTACGGAAGGATCGGCTACCGAATATAGAAATATACGTTTCTTACTTTATTTCCTTCTTTTATTAATTTCTTTATACGATTAAATATATTTTAATCTTGATAAATTTGCTGGTTTTAAAGAATTTATATATATATATTTATATATAATCGAACAATTATTTTCCTTTGGTCTTTAAATTATCCATATCAATTTCTACCCAAATTTCTATTTCCTTATAACTATTAAAATAAATTTACTCTACTTTTTTAAAGAAGTTTCTAAAAAGGTAATAATTAAAAAAGTTTATAATTCTTTAGCGGCGGCGGTAATTTTTAGTAGTAAATAATTTAGAACTTATTTATAAAAACGAGGGAATTAAATTCCTTTTGGGTAATAATTTTATCTTTCTAGGAAAAGCATTCCAATTCTACTTTTATAATTACTTTACTATAGTATTTAACTATAAATTAATAAAATTTTCCTATGTTAAATATAGCATTCTATAGTTCGAAGCCGTAATAGATTTTATTTTTAGTACATTTATCGAAGTAAAAATTTATAAAGAAGGACGTAGATAATAATATATTAGGAAAAATATGGTAATCTTTATTAAGGATAAAGTCGAAGGATATTTTATTAGCGGGGGAATTTGAATTTTCTAATTAAAGTTTTAGAGAGTTGCGGTCGGTCTCTCCTTTTTAAAGGGTTTAATTAAATTCTAATAATAAATTTAAGAAATTGTATATTTAAGTATCCTTGAAATTAATTCAGTTACTTATTAAGTTTAATATTTTTGATATTAGTTAAGATTAGTTATATTAGTTAAATAGTATTATAAATTTATGAGAAGTAATTTATAGAAATTTTACTTCCTTTAGTACCTCCTTAAAAAAAAAGCATATTTTGATTAAATAATATATTGCGGGTATTAATAATTATATTTATAATTAGGTTTTAAATTTGGTAGATTGAAGACGCTACGTAACCGATAAAGTATCCTATCTAAATTTTAAAATTTATTTTCTAATATTTCTACTCCTTCTTTTAAACAGTAATAATTATTATATATACTTTATAATTATAAATATATAAGTATATTATATTTAATTTACGTAAGGATAATATATATGGAAATTATCTTAGTAAATAATAAAAATATAAAACCGTTTATAAGTGAGTTTTTAATCGTAGAATTATTTAGGCGATTGGTTATTAAAGTAGACCGCTATAAAGATAATATCTAATTATAAATCTTTCGTAAAATATATATTAAATTTAGTATTTAAAATTTCTCTTTAATTATATTTCCAAACGTTCTACGCTACCGTTCTATATTTACGTATTTAAGGTAGAAGGCTGTATAATTATACTTTTGAAAGCGAAAAAGTTTTTTTATTATTTTAGAACCGGTAATTTTATTATTATATTTAGTAACTTTAAGTTAAATATTATATTAATTAATGAATATAATAAAGAAGTCATTCAAGAAGGAAGTAATAATTATAATTTCCCGGTTTATTATATAATAATCCTAAATATACTTAATATACCAGCAAGTAATAAGTATAACAATATAGTATCTTTAATAGCTCTTATTATAATTTAGGAAATCGACGGCGAATCTTTTTCTAAATCTATAATTATAGTTTTAAAATTTTTATTTAATTTATCGCTTTATTTTCGATATTATATAAACGTTGCAATTTATAATTATAAGTCCCTTAAAGCGGGCCCCTACAACGTTACTAAAATAATCTAATACTTAGGGATTATAATAACCAAATCAATAATATTAAATAATAATTTCTTTCTTATAATACTTTTAATTAATTAGCAAATTAAATTAGTTTCGTCGCATAAAGAAAGCGGCTTTCGAGAAAATTAGAGAGAAATCTTCGAAAATTATTTAATAATAATACGTAGAAAGGCTATTAAAAAAAGAATCGTTTAAAGCATACAAATAATTATTTAGGGGTTTCTAATCCTAATAGAGACATTTCTTATATAAAAAATAGAAAAATACAAAATTAGCTATAAAATCTAAATAGAAAGCTATATTGTTAAATTGAAGTTCTTTAGGTCCTTTAATTCCTTTTATAATAATATTTATATTCCTATATCCTTTAATAGGAATATAGGAATCCCTAGCCTAAAGCCTATTATCTTATAGGGTATAACGAAAGTTAAGGAAACGAAAGATTTCGTTAACTATATACAGAGAATTCTTAAAGTCCAAGATTATATTATTATTAAAAAAAATATTTAAACCTTCCCCAATATAAAATTTTTCGTTAATATTAAATGTTATTTTATAAGTATTATTTTCGTTGGAGAATTAATTATTCTTATTATTAAATTTAAAGAGGGGTTAAGCGTATTATTTTACTATTTTCGTTTATAAACTTCAACTTCTATTCTTAATTCTATATTATTTTTAAGGTTTTTTACAACTTTATTTTAGGTTTTCTTATTAAGCTTCTAATATAAATTTACGGCTATAATTAGGGCGCAGAATATATATTAATACTATTTAATAATATATATACCCTCCTTATTTACTTTACAACGAAGGGAATAATCT